GTAACGGTGTGGTCGTGAGTCGGCTCCGAAAGGCCTCCGACTCGATTGAGGCTTAGACGTAATCCGAACAAACAAGTTGCGATATTATTTAGAGGCCGTCACCGGCTGGGACGAGTTTTTCTGTATAATGTAACGACGCAGGCCAGCAGGGAAGATATCCGGAATAAGTGTGAGTCCGCTACGAGGCATATGGGAGTTCTGGGACGTTGAGAACACTAGGATTGAATTCCCTACACCTATAGGTCTTGTACGAAAGGATACAGAAAAACTACTCTATCTAACAACTGTGTTGAAACTGCTTAAGTATACGGTTAGGAGGACAATCGGACCCGGAGCGGTAGACTAGCTTATCGTGCATGCAGGTGCCAACAGGGGCTCAGATAGTACAGCAGCGCAATGCCTGCCGACATGTATGCAGATAAGGAACGACTCGGAACCGTACCGGTGGTCATTCGGTTGCGGTCGTTACACCTCCCAGGAGATCAGGATCCATGCAGACAACTAGGCAGTCATCTACAGACTGCAGACTCCTTCCAACAAGCCTGGCCAGGCATGGCAGCTCAGGTGCATCCAGGCAGCACACCAGATTGTCAGCAAGGGGGCCACTGTATCCATCCACTGGGTACCTGGTGTCATCCTGACATGGCTTGCAGCCAATAACAATCCTCCTAGTCCCTCATCATGGAACATCATGGAATCCCATGGAACAACACAGAATCTTCAGGTTGCTGACAAATGATTACAAATGATTACAAATGCCAATGTATCTAGAACATTCCAGGAGCCAGCAGTCTGTCTATAAAGGCAGCCTGCCCTCCTGCTCCAATAACTCATGCTTGCAACTCAATTCAATTCACCTTTCAATTCATTCCTCAACTCACTCCTCACTAATCCTTTGTGGTATCCCCATACTTGATCCCTTCTTTATCTGTAAGGGTATCTGTGACAGCGAGCTCAGTAGCAATGGGGGGTGGTCTTGTAAGATTAATTGCGACCGTTCCCTGGCCATTGTGTGCCCAATTATCTATGCGCTCTTACCCGTACCATGCTAGCGTCCCAATGGGTTAGCGCCATTGTCCCAACACGTGACAGCCTACTTCACTACAGCACTGTAACCCCATTACATTATCACTTATCCTTTTTACCACTTGTGGTATCCCCACACTTGGTCTCTTCCACACCCTTATCTCCAACAAGCCTGAACCATCTTTCCACCAATCCTTCTATCTCAGAGAGCAGTTGATATCCCCAGCTGGCCCCCTCTCACATGTGTGGCCGACTCACCCGTGAGGTACATTACATTCAGTATACTCATTACCAAGCAATCTGAGCAATTCTCCTGCTCGAGTATATAGCAGGTAGACATGCTGCTCTTATGGCATTGTGTTCAACCTCATCAATCAACTTTGTTATTGGAATCTCACTTGCTCTTGAGCCAGACAGTATACTCTGTACTACTCATTGCAACCAATTGCCATGGTCTTTGACTAGACAACTACCTGACTATTACAAAGGTTATTACAACCTGCCTGGATAGTCTACCCCTGACCACCCGAGCTTTGCTTAGGTGACTGTCAACCCCTATGGACTCCCTGTACCTCTGCTCATCCCCAAGAACCAATCAAGTAGTGTCTACAAGCCTTGCTTAAGGCACGAATCGCAACAGCCTCTAGGCAAAGAAGCCATGTGAATTAGGTGTGTTCCTGCCTCAATATTGGCAACCCAATGGCTCTGGATGGTCGAGTGTTTTTAAAGGTTGTATACACTGCAACAAACAACGCTAGTACCAATTGGGTAATGGATACCGGCAGAAGCCTCCTTTTCCCACAATACCCATGTTCTTCTACGCAGGACTGTGGTGCGTCAAGTGGCTTTTCTGTTGTTCTTCAGAAGGTTGAGGCTGCGCAATGTGATAAGCCTTCGGCAATGGGGGCGGATTGTGTTGGCTGTGACGCTCATAAGCTTTCCCGTTTGCTACGCGATGTTGCTTTACCGATGTACCTTTGTCAGCTTTGAAGTCGTGGCTTGACATGAGTGCCAGACAAAAGGGCAGAGCTTCGTGGCTATGGGCGTCAATTGTGTATTGGATGTCGTCACCGACTGTTTGAGTAAGTGACCCCGCTCTCCGATTGCTATAGACTCTCATCCTCCGGATCTGAGGGAGAAAATCAGAGCAGATTTGCGGAGACATTATGAGCCGATAAGTAGACAAAGGACTACGGAGACTTTTGTCGATATCGGTCAGCTTCCCAAAATCTGCTGAAGACCTCCAGACCTTGTCGTAAGGCCGGATTTCGTGCAAAATGAGAGAGTACCAAATCGATGCTATCGACGCTAGTAGGTTGCGCACAGTTATGTCGATATCGTTCCTCATCTTGCAGCGGATTTGCATCTCCATCCACCAAAAGATTGTGTTATCTGCTGTCTTCTCCCTCGTCATCATCACTATGGTGTTCGCCATCGTCCGCGCCACAATCACTACCGTAGGAGTCAAGCGCCAGATCGATCTTATCGGGATGTACATGTGGACGAATATTGAGTTGGACGTTGGTATGGAGGACGATTGACATCCAGGTATAATATCAGCGGGACCAACAGCCATCATAGTTGCCTGCATTTCTGGATAAGCTCCTTCTCACGATCATCGAGAAGGCAAAACGCGGAAGGAGACTGGTCAACGATGGAGCTGCCATATCTGTCGCCGTGGGTGGAGGCAGGGCACAGCGAGCATTTGGAGCCGGCATCAAACACCTAGCGTCAGGACTACGGCATGATGTGAGTCTCTTCACAACGCGAGGATCCCTCCATGACAGCGAACATGCCGTACTTGGCACCTTGGGGCGAGGATGATGCCACGGAGCGTGCCACCGAGAGTCACGATGTTCTACTGAGTTTGCCTCCAGCGCATTTGTCGGGACCAACGGTTCATGATGACTCTGGCTGTTTTCCATCATAACCAAACAAAGTAGATGTGAATGCAAGTTTCATATCAATCTATCGATGAAAAGCAAGCTTGAAGGCGCTCAATGAAATAGTGCGCCAAACGTTGCGTAGATGTCTACTCCAGTCGATGCCAAAACGTTGATGATGGTTCGGAAGTCGTCACATATCGACGCCTCAATCATGATACCAGAACTTGGCCAATATCAACCATAACCATGCCAATGCCCATGAATGTCGTGAGTCGTCGTGGATGCCAGCCTCACTTCGCTGATCCCCGACCGAATGCGTTTTCTATGTCGTTGAGCTCACCACTTCTTACCCTGCGCCTGTAGCAATGCTGCCTTCTCGAGAGCCTCGCGCTGACGAACAGCGCCGTGATCTTCGCTGACCTCGACCTTGGCGACCTTGTGCGATAGTGGTGAAGCTTGGAGAGCTGGATCTGGCGAAGGAGTAGTCGAGGTCTTAGCAGCTTGCGTTGGTGAAAGTGGACTGCCAGTCGTAAGCTTGGTGGCCAGGATGTCATCGGCCTCTGGTGTCGGCGGTGAACCATGGATGGCACGAGCTACGCGGACTTCGTGACCTAGACCTTTCGCTTGGATGCAAGGTAGCTCAGCGAGGGAAGCTCCCAGCCTCATGGGGTCAAGGTTGCGCAGCATGGGGAGTAGGACACGGGTTTTCTCTTGCTCGTTGAGGCTGTAGAAGTTTGCGGCAAGGAGTTCATCGATGCTGCGGTAGCGATTAGGAGGAGTCGGTGAAGGTACGGCGGTAGAGGTGGTGGATGCGGTGCGTTGGTGTTGCATCTTCTTGGGAGTGGTCTTGGGCTTCTTGGTGACCTTGGTGGTGATGTTGTTGGTGATCTTAGGAGTGCGCCTTGGGGCATGCTTCAGAGGCACTCGCTTGACTTTCATGTTGACTGTGTGCGCCATGGTGATGTTGGATGGTGAAGCGGACAAGTCGACGAGGTGAGTAGTGCTGTGAGAAAGGACGGGGTTGTCGTGAAGGAAAGTCTGGATCGAGTGGAGGTCTTCAGCAGAAATCTTGAGGTCTTGAGGGCTGCTTATGTAGGGTGTCGAGGGTAGCGGGGTAGAGTCGAGGTGAGTTTGAGACGGCTTTGGGGTCGTTGGTGAAGCTAAGTTTCCGCGAAACGCGCGTCGCTCATCCTCGGTGAACTTGGGAGACCATAAGGCCTCGATGGGACCCATCTGCGTCGTGGCCTGCTTCTTTGGTGGAGACACCTCACCGCCAGTGGACTTCCGCTTGCGCGGGCTGCTGCTGCTCTGACGACTTCCAGGCGTCGCCAGGAGCTTGTGCTGAGGACTCTCAGCCGCCAACGCAGCCTTCAACTGCGCAATTTCGACTTGCACAGCCTCAAGCTGTGCAACGGCCGGAAGGTCCTCAGCCTGCTCAGGGGCAGCTGCGGGTTCTTCGTGACGGGTGCTGGAGTCAGCCAGCTCTGGTGGTGGTGGTGGTGGTGGTGATGAGGGTGCCTCTTCGGTGGCAGCGGGAACATCGTCAGTGCCCTCATCGAGAGCGAGGAAGTCGTTGAAGTTGAAGACATCAAGGCCATCAACAGGACCAGTAGCAGAGGGCGAAAGCCAGCCAACTGGCTGATCCTGGAGGACCTCAAGAGGCCCAGCGAAAGGAGAGCCGAGAAGGGGGGCAACGAGGAGGGTGTTGGCCGGCGGAGGAAGGTCGGTGGCGGCAGTTTCGACAGTATTGGCAAAGCCAAACATCTCGTGCAGCTGAAGATCTTCGTCGCCCGCGACGAATTTGTAGGCATCTGAGTGTGACATGATGAATGATAGTGGAGGTATGAAAGGTCTGTAGTCACCAAAAGCAGGGATGAGAGTGCAGAGAGCAATTCAAAAGAGCAGCTTGACACCTTCAAGTACTCTCGATATAGGAGGCTGGGAGGCATTATCTAAGCCTGGAGCTACTCGATTTTGCTCCGGTCGTAAGTCAGTGCGCTCACGATCTTGGTGGAGCGAACGCAGAAGCAGAGGAACAGGATTGGCCCAGCCTCTCATCCATCAAGAACAGAGATATGTAACGCATCATGTGATGGTAATGAGCTGGCTCGAAGAGTGCTCTGAGACCTTCCCTTCACCTGTAGTACTGGGAGCTGATTGGTTGTACTGGCCAGCAGCAAGGCGAAAATAATGGGGGCGATAGCAAAGTCAAAGCTTTTGCAGCCCTCAAGCCTGCTTGTCCGAGTTGCACGAGCCCTACGATGAGGCTGAGCAGCTGGGATCGATATGATCGGGATTGGGTGGTGTTGAGGTGAAAGTAGGCACTGCCACTCCAAGACCCAACTATGACCGAAGGGTCATAGAGTCTCAGAGTCTGAGTGGGTGTTACAGCTAAGAGCGCACATCTTTCTACTTGAGTAATCTGGCTCTGGCAATGGCTTTGCGCTCAGGGAGAAAGGGAAAGAAGACCTTGCTGGTTGTCGATGATTTCTAGGCGGCACACGTCACGAGAAATGTGTTGAGAGAAGATGCAACAGCGACGCGAAGGGCAGTGACCTTATTGGATGAGTCTGATACGTTCGTGCAGTGATATGCAAGTTCAATAGTTTGCTACGACGTTCGAAATTACCCCATTTGACAACCGAGCTTATTGCGTCATAACCAAAAACACGCCAACAGGGGGTGCAACTGTTGAGACCCTGTAATGGAGTTATGTAACTCCGTTAAGCGAGTCTCCTGGATTTAATGTACCTGTAGCTGCCCTGTTACGTAGCTCTTTAGAGCTACGTCTTGTAATCAATCCTGTTACTACCGTTCTCGTTCCGTTTGGTCTGGCTACAACCCCGCCCCCTGACAATGATAGAGATACCAAAGCCACCTCGGAAGCCCAGGAGATTAAAGTATCAAACAATAGAGGAGCACCCAAAGAAGGTGAAGGAGTGGGAAGCTAAGCTCCCATCACCAATTGAGGGAAGGTCAGGGGGTCACCACATGACACAGCAGTACTACACCAACACTATCCTTCCAACCTACGTTTCTCTTATCCATAAGTGCCGCACTCTTCTGTTTGGGGAAGGTGAGCATGACTGGATACTCCAAGAGGGTGGGGATCCTTCACATGGGATGAAATCAAAGGACCATGTAGTACAGAATCTGCGTGACACCCGCTGGATCTCTTCACTCCTTCACCCTCCTCAGTCTCCTGATCTCAATTCTATTGAAGCCTGCTGATATATACTTAAAGAGAGAGTCAAGAAGAGACTGAAATGGCCCAAAGAAAGTCAAACACCATGGAATGGGACAAAAATAATGCTCAAGAAGATTCTTATTCAGGAGTGGGATGGGATGACAGTAGAAGAGGTCAGGGATAGGATTAGATAGCTGCTAGGGAGGTGTGCACACCTTCATGAGAATGGGGGTGAGAAGATTCGCTCAGCTCTCTGGTAATTAGCTTACAATGTAGGCGACACGTGGATCACGCTTCTGGGGCAGCTCTGCCTCGACAAGCACCTTGCCGTTCCTGAGGTCAAGCTCTTTCTGCAACTTCTCGACCTTGTTGACGGCGAAGTCGTAATAGTTAGCATACCAATAGTCCGCCTCTGCCTTCGCCTGATCGACTTTGTGCTGTAACTGCGTGGACGCTCGTCACTGACCAGATAAGGAGTCACAATGTGCGGAAGTCACGGTGGTCGACCCACTGCGAGCACGCAAAACATCAAGTTCTGTCACGGTTCAGGGTGCTCCTGCCTGTCGTACCTCACCTGCCATGAGAGTGACTGCCACGTCACACTAGCGTTGTTTACAGCTACCCACATATATATACTGTTCGTAGCTTCACCCAATACAACCTCAGTATAATCTTGAACTTCTTCCCTTTGCGTAAAGTTCACTGAACTCCAACAAGTTCCAACCGGTCTCTTTAGGTCGACGCCAGGACATCCATAATTCCAACTTGTTTAATTTTCGGGACTTGAAATCGAGTGATGCAAATGTTTGAGGGGGGAAAGACGGGAGTTCAATTAATAAGAAAAGCATTAGGAAAACCTGTGCCATGTAGACAGGGCGTTTGTGTTCTGAAGAGATGTTTGCAGAGACCTTAAGCGAGAAGGCTCTCAACTTCCCAAAGGCTGCATAGTCCTCTATCTCAGCACTTTTCTAGTGTCCAAGAAATGAACAACAGGCAAGTGTCTTTCAAATGATTTTAAAGTGGACAAACTCGTGTGCCCAGGTGAAACAGCATTCGGTGATAGAACTCGTGATGTTTTTCGATATTTCGAGTGTGCAGGCTGGTGTAAGGAGAAGGGCTAAGCCAGGTCCTGAATGCATTTCGCATCTTTGAACTCGTCTTTTTCGACTAGTCATGACTTTGGCGTGCTTCTTTTGGTAGGAGACGAAGGCGCCTGCTTCTTCTCTTAAACGCCTGTGGATGCTTTCGAAGTGATGCTTATGACTGTCGTTCATGCCTGCTTGTTTGATATTGACAGGCCGGGGGAAGTATTCCGGAAGATAGAAGAAGTACTCGAGGACACGTGGTTTAGATGATAATCGGCAACATAGGATGCCTTGATCGGGATTGCCGAATGAATGCTGGACTACTGGGCCTGAATAATGGATGTGTCGTAAGTTTGTTCAGTCATTGACTGCCACATGATCGAGGGGGATAATTTCTCTCCTATACATGTTGCTGGCGTTTTGGATCTGGGAGCATCGACTGGCCTTAAGACTGTTCTGAAACGGAACCAACAAAGAAAAGGACCCAGAGCAAAAGAGAGGGGTGGTCATATGTTTTTATAATGAAGAAGAAAAGTGGTACTAAGACAGCTGAACACAGAAGAACATGTCCTTGGAATTCGTTGACTTTTGAACGAGCAAGAAGCCAGGATATCATTGAGGGTTCGATTTCTGAACCCAACAGCGCCTTCCCATGACATGGCGTTCCGGGTCTTTCGAGAGGGCGGTCGTGATTCGCATCGGGGAGGTTTTCGGCAAGAGAGCAATATGTTGTTCTACGAGTGTAGGACAAGAATGTAAGTGACTGACTCGGCCAACAAGTTATTTTGGCACTCAGCTTTCATATTGCGGATGTTGGAAGCAAACTTTCCTTTCCCATGCATCCTCAAGCTGTCCTTTCGTAGCCAGCATATAGCATATACAGGAAGCCTTTTTTGTGTTTCCAAATCAGTGAATTTTCTAACAACGAGCGTACGGTGGGAAGTAAGAGGTAAACACGTTATTGTATTCACGAGACCGGAAATATGTCAGGATCATGGACCTATTTTGTACAAGGTCCACATAGCCTCGAACCTTCCAACTTTCAAGACTTTCCAACTCGAACACATGCGGAGCAAAAAGGCTTTTGCAGACGGCACAGAGAAGTCCAGACATATCCTTTTTTGAGTCTCGAGATCTCACCAGAAGCACTGGAATATGTGGTCGACGTAGGGGCATTTTCGATGTTGGGAGAAAGCTCTGGGAATATATCGTGGAGGGTGGCGACAAGCATAGGCATATATAACACACGTGTGAGCCAGACACGTGAGGCGGCTAACGGAATAGACAAAACTTTCGTAAGTGGATGTAGGACTGACTAGGGTATGCAGTAACTTGGCGACGACGTAGGCTGCCGTCTGGATGCTCTTGAAGAAGAAAGGTTCATGATTGTATTCGTTAGGACTGTAGGTCATGCTGTTATGCCTTCTTGCTGAAACTCCGTCTTCCAATCAACTACCCTCTCAACCGCAGGGTCGTATGTACTCATGTGATTTTCTGGATAATTTCGCGTTCCTTGGCTGAGATCTCGCGTTCGAGTCTGGGCACCTCGCTCTCCACTCTCCTTACTCTCTTCTCCAGCTTCTCCACCGTAGCTAGACCCGTCGGTCTGCCCGTAACTTCGTTGACGTGGTGAACCACTATGTGCTTCGTCATCTCCGCGCCCGGCGCGCCCCCCTTCGCGTCCCACCAGTACTTTCTTGTCTTGTGACGAACCTACCGCCAGCCGTTCTTGCTGCGCATCTGCATCTGCTCGATCAACTAGATCGCGTAGCCGTTCGTCTGTCAGCTCATTCAGGGTATCACTAACTTTTGTGCCAGGTTGGACTGACGTTTCGCCGCCATTGATCCGCTGCAGCACCAAGTATCCAATGAGACCCCACAGAAAGGCGATGCTGGCCGTGCAGCTGCCAATGAAGACGACGGGGACGACGAAGAGAAGGGCGAAGCCGGTAGTGAAGAGTGTGAACACGAGGGCGGCGATGACACCGAGGATTATGCAGGTGACGAGGGAGACGATAAGAGTTGCAACGGCGAAGGCGAGGAACAAAAGGATAGGTAGACCGGCTAGGGCAGTCTGGGCTGCAAGGAATGACTGGTCAAGTCAACATCTGCTTGTGCAATTGAGTTGATCATGGCCTTACAGCAAGCTTGGGATTGCGCACAGAGAAGGCGCGCAGGTTCTCAAGCGCATGTTCGCGATGCTTTGGTGGGAGGAGACGGTTGGTCATGTGCGCGATCCTTGCGCCTACATTGTCGGCGACATCCTGGGCGGTGCGTATAACGACGGACATGTTGGGTGTGTTATCGGTCTCAATGGCTAGGAATATGTGATGGCCCAGACACTGACGGCTAGAGAGGTGAGTGGATGGCAGCTGTGGAAGACAAGACTGGATTGAGATATCACGTGGGAGCCGTGAATGCACGCGGTCGAGATACAGGAAACATCAGAATGAGGGAAGCACCGTTCATTGACCAAACAAGCCGTGGCTGCCGTCTGCCGTCTTGGAGACGCGTCGTGCAAATGATGTCAACGCGGAAGTTGCGAAAGTTAGTTCCTAACCCGTTTCGTGCTAGACTCCGTTCACTCACCGCCCAATTCTGCCAATTCGAGGTCGAACTTTTTTGAGTGCAACACCGACAACAGCAATCGCCAAGTGCAACACACAAGCACAACATGGCCGAGAAGAAGAGAAAGAGAAATGAAGAGGGTAATGAGAGGCCTAGCAAGAAGACCGTCGCGTCACAAGGAAATGTCAAAGTTGAGCTTCTGCAAGAGGAAGTGCTGGGCCCGCTGCTCGGTATGTCACATTGCGCATCAAGCAGACGATTGAGATTAACGAAGAAATAGCTGCGACACCAGGCCTCAAGTTCCCTTCGCGCATAAACCTCAAGCCATACCAGCACACCAAGATTCTCCCCAAGTCCTCCGTCACCACACTTCTACTCCAGTCCTCCGATCACGCCCGTCTCGACTACACCGCACAACAAGAGCAGGATGGAAGCGCAGGGAGTCAGCTCAAGGACTACGTTGGCATTTTCGACCCGGAAACGAAGAAGCTGCAGATTGTACCGGTGAAGAAAGTAACAGTACGAAGCACATTGCGCAGTGAAACACAAGAGCTGCAGGAAGAGCAGGCACGATTGGAAGCAGCACAAGGGACCATGACCGCGAAGAGGCATGCACTTGCCGCTGAGTTCGGTTCTAAGAAGTCAAGGAAGAGGATCGACGACATTACCATGAATTCTATCCGCAGCGGGGCGCCAGAAGCGGAACAGAGAAACGAGGGTGTAGCAGACAACGTGCTGACGAACATGGCCGAAAATACATCCGCGATGCCTACGAAGGCCGAGCTTGCAGCAGCTCTGGACAGCTCCAAGCCACGACCGACACCGAATGTTACCGCAGAGTTCCCTGGCGACGTCTACACACTCGATACTGTGGTTGGCAGTGAGCTTATGGGTTTGATACCCGTGAAGGACTGGATGGACGCCTCTGAAGCAGGCCAGGGTGTACAAGTTAACAGTAAATACGTCGCGAAGCGCATCCTGAAGCTCTGCAGGAATAAGCAGGTTCAAAAGCTTAAGGTCTTGCGCTTCCTCCTACTCTGCATCAACTTCAACGCAGCTTTGGCAGGGCAAACCGGAAGATTCGCGAGAAGGATACCGCCAAAGGGCAAGCTGGAGAGCCTGATGAATGAGGAGGACAACATCCCGCTCGTCAATGCCATCAGGAGGAAATTTGGCTCAGAGTATGTATCTCGGCTCAGTGAGACTGAACTCTACTGACACGTCTAGAAACAACGATATGCCTCGCTGGAACATCGACAACCTGATGACCCACGTTGCAGCCGCTGCGCTCATCGTGGACGACTTCGAAGTGGATGTCAACGACCTGCGCGAGGATTTGAAGATCGAGAACAAAGAGTACGTGTTTCGACGCCGCTTCTTGGACCGCAATAACTGACAGCTTCACAGGATCAAACAATACTTCCATGAGCTAGGCTGCCGAGTCGGCCCACCTACACAGACGGACATGACGAAGTTCAAGTTGACCAAGGCCGAGGCGAACAACCACAACATCGCGAAGTTGCGTTTGCCACTAGCGTTCCCGAGAGTGAACATCCCCACCAAGAAGAGAAGATGAACGACATACGAAGATACAAGCATCAATCAAAGCATCGAGACTCCCCGGAGCCTCGTATTCCCATCTACACTTACGTCTGTTAGTCTCCCATGTGGAGTTCAGGCACGGTTGGCTACGAAACCGATTGTCAATTGCATGTGCGCACCCCAATCGCCCTTGAACGGCCACCCACGCCCCAACCCCTAAATATCTGACCCCAAACCCCGTTCAGCCATGTTAGATCCACGGATCTCACTTCTCTTCGCCTAGATACATCATCGAGACCCTTATGCTCGTCATGCAAAATGCTCATTCGACATGCAACCCCACATATTCATCTTGACGTCATCACCCAATCACCATCCACCACTACATGGTGACGCAGCCGCAGTCAGCAGTAACCGTATATAACACAACAGTAGTACAGCGTTGGAAGGGTATCTCACTCATCACACATCAATCTTTATGCCTAAGTCAACAGGACCCCTCCAAGACCAAATCACAGGCGCTTCGCAAGCATCTTCTACGCCCGGCATGACTGACAACACCACCGCTGCCGCTGACAAGCTTGGCGCAAACAAGGGCACGAATGCCATCCCCAACGAGGTACGTCTTGCACTACGGAGGAACGAAGCTACTTCGTCTCTTCGCCCTAACTTCTTTCTTCGTACAACACCAAATTTCTGACTAACACCCGCCAGAACCCCAGTATAATTTCCTCCGCCGGCGCTATCGGCAAGCAATTCAACCCTGATGGCGCCATCGGTTCCATCGGCCAGGCTGTCGGCGGCCCTTTCAGCAAGGACGGTGTCATTGGTTCGCAGTTCGACGCAAGCAAGGACGGTATTGCGGGACATGTTGAGCGCGCCGTTGATGGACCAAGTAACCCTGCGGGGAGCGACAAGAAGGCATAGATTATCGCCGCTTGTATGATCAATGAGTAAATGGCCAAGAGGTCGAATAGAACGTTAAACTTTATCCAAGCTTCCAAATGCTGTGATGTGTCTGCAGTGTGTTCTGTTCGATACACGTAATATGAAGTCTAAGTCTGACATCCGTGAACACGAGGATCCATTATATGTGCAGAGCTGTTTGATAAGCCTAACGATTTTTTCAGCTTATTTGTGAAGGTTGCGGGAAGATGTTGTTATGCATGGGTCTTGTATCTGGTATAGTATACGATCGGCTTTCCTACTTTTTCGGCTAACAAACTGTTTCCCAAGTACGCCAGCCTTCTCTTGAGCGTCAGGCAATCCAGCCTTCACCCCACTGCGCGATCCGTAGGTGATCGCAGCTTGCCCTTGTACAACACATGTGCATCACTCTCCTCCGAGACGGCGGCCTGGGCCCATATTGCCGAGCTGAGCACCTGTACTGCGCCCTGTACTCGGCTGGTTTGATCCAGCCTCGCGCCCGTGACCCTGCACAGCGTACCCATATCCCCTGTTCTGCGCCGTCCCTGGCGTGGCACCAAACCAGCGCTTCACGATCTGTGGTGTGAACATGTAATTCTTGCCTCCACCGAATGTCGGCCAGATGCGTGTGAGGAAGTCGTACAAGTGTGCGGCGACGAGACCAGTGAGCTGGGTGAGCGCAGCGCCTTGGCCGTCAATGATGAAGGTCATGAACAGCATAGCGAAGGGCAGGTACTTGGAGTCGAAGTTCACGATGAAGAAGTTGACCTGACGCGTCGGGTTGTCTTGGGCGAACGTGTATGCGTATGCGAGGGAGAGCGCGGGGAGGAACGTGTAGCCGTCAAGGATGACACCTGCAAGCGCCTTTCATAACCGTCAGTACCTCTTCTCTCAAGTAAACGTGAACATTCGAGCTCGAGCGAAAAGAAGACGGAAGGTATGTAGGGAGCCAACACCGCCAAGCAGAATTGCGAGTCTGCACAGCTTTCTCAAGTAGCTATCCCACCATGCCTACACACCGCAACAGCCCTTTTATATTTTGCGAATGACGGACAGTGCGATGTGCAGGGGTACTCTTCCTCGGTTCCAGGAACCACTTCAGCCATTGACTCAAGCTGGGTGGGCAGATAATCCGAGGTGATGCTCTGTTGCCAGAGATCTACAGAATGCAATGTGCAAAGATGTGTGCAAGAAGACAAATACTTACAACTATGACCGAGCCAACGAACATAGTGTACATGAAGAAGTCGCCCGGCTGCGCAAAGCGCGACGACTCGCGCTCAATGGCGCTGCCGTACTGGTATAGGAAGTATGGGTCTAGCAGAATGGCAAACTTCGGTTTCGTAATGAGAAACGCGGTGAAGACGCGCCATATTTGCGGTACGATCTTTGTGGTGAAGACCATGTGGCTTGCAAAGATGTACTGGTAGCGGTTGGTGATGCCACCATAGCCCAAGGCTGATACAACTATAGAAAGTGCCGTGATGGTCCTGTGGAGCTGTTAGAATTTGTTCGCAGAGGTGTAGAGCTCGTGAAGCTGCGGCGAAGCTTACCTAGAGACCGGCGGCAGCGTCCAAAAGACATCCATCGTGAATCACAGCTGCGAACGAGTGTGGTGAGATTGTGGTGTCTGAGGAACAGCGAGTGCTGCCTGAAGGAATAGTTTTAAGCAAGCCGTGGCCTTTTGAGGCGGCCGGTTGCGTGGGGCGCCTTACTAAGCCTTTAGCTTGAGCTTTGGCCAATGCTCCGCGGCTCCAGTTACAGCAACACCTCTCTTTCGCGGTAAAGATTGCAGCGCCCGCGAAGCAATCTGGTGACTTAGCTTGTCTCCTGGAAATAGGTGAGGATTAAGGCAAGAGAATATGCGGACACTGCGGCCAGGCTGACAATGGCATTCAACATGTGGCACGATTCCGGGTCGAACCAGTCACGGCTATGTTTGCACTCTTGACGCTCGCTCAGCTCCTTCCATCGCCTCCAACACTGCATCCACTAAAGTCCTCGTCTCGTCCTTACCATCCATGTTCCGGGATTTCCTTAGACCCTGCTTCCAGCGATCCCACTTCTCGCGTTCCCAACGCTCGACACCTTGACACGATTCCAAATCCAGTCAATATTGTAGACGAACCGGAGACACGCAGTCTGTCTGCAGCAGAAAAGTACAATTTCCAGTTTCCTCATCAGGCTCTTGTGGCCCACAAGTATTTCGACAAGCCAGAAGGGCATATTGTGAATGAACCGTCAAGGCCGAACATGTCTGTTCAGCCCAGAATGCTCTAAGATTCTTTCAGCGCTCGACTTCACGCGGTGTGTTAGAAGGATCTCTTGGCCCTGCGCATGGTCTGCACATTCCCAGGATTTCCCGGTAATATCGAGGAGGATGACTTACCAAAGCTGACTCTCTTCTGAGCGCATGACAACCAGAACTTAGGCAAATATTTCCAAGGTAGTGTTGAAATGGCTCTCCACAATGTGAATGCAGACTTGCTGCATGGGTGTTTGCTTCAGTATTCATTAACACTTGTTTATGTTTCCTTGTGCCCTTACTAGTTCGTCTCTGCCTGTTCCCACTATCTCTTTTTGCAATTTTTAGATTCTCATAACACTTAAAATTTCTAAACCAGCTTTTGTTTTCTGAATATTCATCTATCCTTGCTCAGTAACGCTAAGAATTGCAGTGCACCATCGGGCCTGATCAGTGAGTGCGACTCAACGCCTCGTTCACGCTAAAAAGTGTAGTGCAAAACAGCCCCCAATTTGGCTTCACAAAGACCTTGGTGTGGTTCTCTCCTCAGGCTAAAGATTGCAGTGCAAGCAAGTGCTACAGTGCATGGGTTTGCACAACATCCTGATTTGAAGCTTTGAGATCCATCAAGGCGATGTCACCTGACGCAGACGCTGTGTTGTTTATTTTCTCGTACCTACGATAGGTATGATAGGCTTGAACGGTATGGTATTTCAACAGACCAGTCATGTCATATATCCAAGGAAATCAAGTACTTAGCGCAGAGGTGTATACTATCATTCCCATATTTCACGAACCATGCCATGGGCACCTGCACACCACTATAATTTTCACTCTTATAGCCCTCCACGTCAGCATCTGCCATTCTGATACTCCCCACCTCATCCTTGGATGCCGGCACCTCAGTACTACCAGTTTTCTTCTCAAGGAGCGCGTCAGTATTGCTCCAAGAAATATGGATGCTAGGGTAGTCCATGTCCACTCACCGCACCCCCCCCCCCCCCCCCCCGTCCCCTCCCGTCACTCTCCTCCGGCCTCAAACATGACATCCAGTGCCTCTTCCTAACCTCACTCTCCCCTCCACCAGTACCCTCCTCATCCCCCTTCTCATCCTCCTCACACTCATGCCCCTGCATTGCCTCCTCGTTCTCAAACCACACCCAACACATCTGGCAGACATAGGCTTGGCTGTCGTTCACATTGTCAATATTTTCCGAGTGAAGTGGTGATAGATTAAGGGTTCGTTTTGCCAAAACGGCGGCCATGTGCTCATCATCGTGGTAGCCGAAGTACCGGGCCATATCGCCGGGGCGTGTGGGCTCGAGTGGTGGCGGCGCGGCTGCGCGATGGGCGCGTGGTGAGAGGAGGTGGGTTGATGTCTGAGCGTTTGGAGTTGTTGTACTGGTTGTTGGAAGACATGTTGGAGGTGTTAAAGATGCTTACGGTGTAGAGGCAGAGAATGTTATATGTAGAGGTGGGCATGTGGAGGAAAGTGGCGAGAGTTTTGCTTTACGAGTGGGGCAGGATGAATTGCACTTTCACTTCACCACTGTAGAAGTACATGGAACACGATGGACAGAACTTGTATATGGGACGCCCAGACACCATGCTAAGGAGCGACAGGAATGCCAAAATGGTCATGTGTGACCACGCAATAAGATATATGGAAAGAAAATGTGGAAGATCCTGAACGCCTGACATATGCCCATCTCTGTACTCCGTATCTCCTCTGAAGCTGTGAGGTAAATCTGCGAATGTCCAAACTCTACCACTCCACCTTCCAGCGGAATCAAGCCACGTAGTAAAGCTTCATGGCGCACATCACCCTCTTCCTGCAGACTGGACAATTCTGCACCTCCCTCGCACACTGCAAGCACGCCACCACATGCCCGCAGTCATAGAAAGCCGCATCCGCCGCATCCTCCCAGCAGATACGACACAGACGCTCTTCCTCTTGCGCATTCTTCCAGTGCGTGACTCCCTCACCGAACTTCTTGTCATTCTTCCAGCCGCCAACATATGTGTTACCCGTCGCAGCCTCAACGAAGGTGCCAGATCCGTGTTGTTGATTGTCTACCCAATCACCGTCGTATGTGTCGCCGTTCTGGAAGGTGTAGAGACCGTGACCATGGCGTTGGCCGAGCTGAAACGTGCCTTCATAGGTTGCGCCGCTGTGGTAGAACATCTTGCCGTGACCGTGGCGGTGGCCGTTCTTGATCTCGCCCTTGTAATACTCGGAGGAGAAGTAGTTGTATGTAAAGTGTCCGTTAAGGTGGGAGGGGAAATTGCGGGCAAACGCCCGGTAGGCGAGGAAGGAGTGTGGATCTGTGAAGGCAGCACGGGCCGCGAGGGCGCTGCGTTGTTCGCTTGTTTGGGGCATTGCAACGATAATGACCGAGGTGCTGTGCAGATCAACTTGAAGGAATGACCGACGGTTCTTGATCGGTCGAAGGGTGTTCAGCTCCTCTTCTTCCCAGATGTCGATCTTCTTCTTATCCTCCATGGGCAAGCCAAGACAGGTCACAAGGGTCTCATCTACTCTGGCAGATTTCTTGACAATGTACGTGCCGCGAGCCTCAAGGACTTGCTTGTCCGGGTTGAAGAATTTCAAGAAGAAGTAGATCTCATCCGCCGGAGGCTCCGGGCTAGGAGTACCTTCTAGTGGTGGCGGTGGTGGCGGCACGAAACCTGTCGGCAGGTCGACTGGTGGTGGAGGCGGAGGAGGTAGGTCATCCTGTGTACCACCCATTTCTGTATCGCCGGGCACCGTTGGAGCTACCAACACATGAGGTTCTAGAGCCTCGGGCTCGTCATGAACATCTTCAATCATCGGTTCATCGGTACCTAGGATGTTGGCCAGGGGTACTGCGGTTGGTGTCTGAGGTCTCGGCTGTACAGGCACGACTGGTTCCGGCTCAGGTTCGTCAGGCTCGCTCATTGGCGTATCTTCGGAGCGTGCAGCGACTTCCACAGGGGTGAGGTCCGTCTCAGGCTCAGCATTGATCACAACGATATTGTCATTGATCGTTGACAACGGTACCTCGACGGTCTCTTGGACCTTCTCCACCTCTTGAGGAAGTGCCGGCAGGTCGGCGTGGTCTATAATATGCACCCACAAGCGGCGGCATGCAAAGCTTGACTGATCGAACTTCCGCTCCTTCAGCTCCATAAAGCGATCATAGCTACCACTAGAGTACTCCATCTTGCCGGTGCTCGAGAGGTTGGGGCGGCCTTGGGAGCCTCGTAATGGATCCAAGAACCAAAACTTGATCTGTCGAGGATCTTTGACTTCTTCGATGACTGACGCAATCTTACTGCGAATCTCATCGCAACTGTCTTTACGTGACAGCTGAATCGTGTGTACATGCTTGGCGCTGCTTGCGGTCCATTTCGACCCGTAGACTTCGAAGGTGCCGGGACCCTCATGCTGTAGGAAACAACGGGAGTCGATTACTTGAAAATCGGCTGCCTCTGCTGATTCCTCAATCTCCTTTTCCGAAGTCTGATCCTCGCTGTCGGCTACTGGAGCCGGTTCATCGATTGGTGGTGGTGGGGGAGGCAACGGAACCATGATGCGTGAGTTTCTTGTTTTCTCCACATCGGTCCGTATCCACTTGGGCACCTCCCACTGCTCGGACTTGGCGCTTGTTTCGAAGGCAAGGCCAGTTGTATCATCACGAACATACATGACAATGTATGCGACAGGATCGCTGCCATCAATTCGATTGGTACCAGCTTTGCCCTCATGAGCATCGACAGCTTGCCTTTTGGTGAGGCATTTGACGTGGTTCTCGTCTTTGCTGTCTGAATAGCTGTACCACCTAGACCCTGGTCCTTTAGGCCTGAGGACAGGCTGGTAAACGTATGACTGGAGGGTCTGTTTGTGGACCACGAAGCCGTAGAGCGTGTATTGCACACCACCAACCCGGACATGATCGTCTAATGTGACTTTGTTGAGCAGCTTCACATACGAGCGTGTCTTAGAATCAAACTCCTGCCGTTCCAACTCGATTGTGAGCAGTTGAGGCAGATCTTGTCCTGGTGTTGTGAAATCAGTCGATTTGTTGATCGCGTCTTGCATGTTCTCAACGCCCACCACAGGCACTCGGTAGCTTGGGACACCAACGCTGTGATTACGCTTCGGTCCACACATGGTCTCGAAAGCGGCAGCTTCAGGCATGTTACGCAACTCTTCCTCAAGCTTCACACGCAACACCTCCCATGTTTCGATGACATCGAGCTTGTCGATGCGATCATGGATACCGTACCACTCAAGAGCGTCAAGCAGATCATCTAGTGCTACTGCGCCGGCGCCAGGCTCCACCTGTGTTCTGAGCATGTAGAGGACCTTCTGCAAGGCGCTGATGAGTGGCTTGGGGTGCGCGAACGGTTCTTCTTCCGGGTCAGGCGCATGTGCGCTGTACAAAAGCTTCCTGAACGGCTTGAACAGCATCCACGATGCGATGGCCGATATCATGTTCCCGCCAGGAGCGCTAGCGTCTTCACCAAGCATCAGTCCCTGCAGACCAGTCATCGCAAAGCTGTCCCAAGGGTTCTCTCGGCTATGGTGCTCCCATAAGCAGGCAGTCTCGTCTTCGATGATTCGAACGTAGCCGGTGAATGCGAGCTTGTCATCACGAAGAAGCGCTTGTCGTTGACCTCGCAGGCGATGTGGAATATCGTAGTATGGGCCATGGAACCTGGTCCACCCCCAATCAGGCGAGCCATTGCAGAAACGATGCAGTGCGGTCCTTGAGTAATTGACGCGAGGCTCGGTAGGGTTGTACATGACGACTGAGACCTGTGCTGCAACGCTCTTTCGTTTGGGCAGCTGCTTGGATCCCAGGAGCGGTAAAGGTGTGTATTGGTGTTCGACGGCCTGCACGGGAACGTCCGCTGGAACATCCTCACTTGTCGTTTCCTCGACGCCATCTTTAGCCACAGAATCGACACGGCTTTCCTTCTTTTTCAAAGATGGGTCCACAACGCTGAGGCATTCGAGGTATACACTCAGATAGTCCGAGTCATTGCCCTTCGGGTAGAACTTGATCTGCCACTGGTGGCCACCAATAGTGACAGGCTCCGACTTCATGACGATTTCACGATTTGGGTGCTCCCGTGTTCCATTGTAGGATTCAATGGTCCAGTCGATCCGTCCACTGACGCCCACTGTGTACTCCGGCTCCTCCACAGGCAGAAACGCAAGGCTCTCCCAGTACTCGTGGTCCAAAGCACTATGTTCTGAGGAGGCCTCAATCTCCTTCAGCTCCATCTCATCTGGTGAGGAGATGTCTTCTTGTATGGGGTGCCACGGGTGCATGCCATCTTCATCATCTGACGAGTCCGACTCGGATCCCGCAGGGTCGACAGGCGGCGGAGGTGGCGGTGGAGGCTGAAGGTCTGGATCGAAGAGAAGAGGAGGAACGATCGGGGGAGGAGGCTCGGTCTGCGTCTGTTGGTAATCAGTCACTAGATGCGGCAGAGTGTGACTGTCACATACCGCATCATCTGCTGCAGCAGCAGGTTCAGTCTGCACAATGATGCCTACCTCTCCTCTGCCGGCGCCATTTGCTGTGGGTGAAGGTGACCGAGCAGCGGAAGGGATGGTCTGACTTGCTGAGCCATTTGGTAGCACGAGCTGCTGGTCTGTGTCCGGTGTCGTGTCCATAACGTCCTCGTCGACGGCCGCGACCTCGACCTCGACAGCAACAATGTTGGTGGAAGATTCAGCGGGTGCTGCAGAAGCTTGCTCGACTTGTGCTTGTCCGTTTGTCAAGCCTTCTCCATCTTGCATCTCTGCATCCTCCCGGTCGTGTCTCTGGCCGACAGGCGGCAATGTGAGAGCTGATGTGCTCATGTCTGCGTCGGTCGGTTGTTGTAGAGGTTGTGGAGCAGATGGCGTTTGCGCATATTGGAGGTGGCTCGGTGAGTGTGGAGGGCTAGAAAAGGTAGGTGAAGTTGATTGTTGGAAGTGCTGCGGCTGCTCAACGCTAACGCTCATGGCTGGGAGAAGGAATCCGGTGCATGTGTAACCAAAAGAAACCTATTAACGACTACTGGCACGTGCCGCCAAGTAGCAGGTGAAGGTACCAGGCCGTACCAGTAAATCAATGAACGCAGGCAGCTATAGAGCTGAAGCACCTGTTAGCGCGGAGCTCTATACCGGCAAGGTTGCTGTGTCGATGCTGTATAAGCTAGAAAAGGTCAAGGCTCAGATGAGGATGAAGAGTGGGAGAAGAGCTGTCAAAGTCAGTGTCAACAGCAGGAGGAAACAGTCACGGGCGTGGCTGGGTTTAAACCTATGGCTGCAGGCAGCTGTCGACGCACAACACGATCACTGGAGTGAGGCGGTAAGCTAAGCCGTGAAGGACCCGGATCCCCGCGCATCGTGGCGCTGCCTTAGCAAACCTTGCGCCCTCGCTGTCATCATAGAGCCCTTCTACAGCTTGTCATCACCTGATCGTGATGTTGACTCATGACCCCAAGGCTGCACAGCGTCATGATCGAACTCGGGAGGCCGCCTTCAGCTGAAGCTCTCCTCCTTATCGATTGCCTCAAGCTCCACAGTTGCTAGGCTGAAGGGTACTTTACTCTGTTGAGACTAATGGGGAAGCTGCGACCCCACCGCGCCTTCCCTGCAGCTCCCGCATCGTCTAACGCCAGACTTTCCGCGGCCTTCAACGCCTTGTACTAAAGTCACCGGAAGGCACGATCACGCTTCATTGACTTTTGACTGCTCTGCGCTCAGTGGAATTGGCCGGAAGGGTTCAATCATGCATCGTTATTGGTGAAATCTACGAAGTATTACCCTTCTGTCCGCTGCACACTCGCAAACGTCGCAGCTACTATGAGCGGGAATACCACCGTAGCCTCTGCGTACACCTTCACACTGTCGCCGTCAAGCTTGATCTTTCCCCAGCTCACAGCTTCGTCTGGCCGTGCTCCTGCATCGCTCCCATCGAACTCCTGGGCTGTGTTGACGTATACAGCGCTCTCTGCACCGTTGCGCATCAGGTTGGCATTGGCAATGTGATGCTTGACGATACCCCCACCCAGCACAATCATGCCCGTCCTCTTTGCACGTACGGCAATGGTGTTAATCTTGCGAATATCCTCCACGATGTCGACTCGCAGCTGCTCTGGTGATGCTTTGAAGGTGTGGAAGTACAGCATGTCGCCAAGACTACCGTCAGTCAAAGCCGGACAGAATACGGGAATGTCGTTCTTCCATGCCCAGTAATACACCGACCGTTCGTCGTTGATCTCTTTACCTAGACGATGAATCATCTTGCTCGGTGTCCAGTGCATTGGCTCGTCCGTCTTCTTGCTCGCTTCCTGCTCCTCCAGCATTTTGTCGAGGATTGGCACAACCCAGTCTTCAAAGGCACAGTAGTTGCTGTTCGGTACAACAAGATTGCCTATCCTGTTCATGCCTTTGGCGCGCAAGCCGGCACCGGGAGTGGAGAAGGCTCCAAGATATGTCGGTGCGAGACATTTGATGAAGTCTTCTTCGACCCCACCAGCCGTTGTGACAATGGCAGAGACGTGTTTGTGTTGTACCAGGTATCGCAGTGTTTCCCGAAGACCGGAAGAGATCAGGTTGGACGTGTATCCTAGGAAGATCGTCGTTCCCTCATTGGTTTCCGGGTCCTTCCATGCGCGCTGTCACCCGTTAGCAGGAAACGCCAGGCGCATGAGCGAGGGTGAGACGATGGTGTCGCGGTGCTACTTCCGGCCGAATCGTTTCAAATTCAGGGCTGCACCGCTAGCCTGGGCCTCAGCGGCTGTCTCCGCACTCAAACGCTGCAGCTGCGAACAATCTGCGACAGAGACTCACCATGCCGTTTATGATCCGAACTGCTTCTCCAACTGATGTCGCCTGAAATCCCATGTTCGAATATCCTGCGATAAGCTCCTCTACGGTGATGCTCCGGTTTGCATACTGATTGAAGTCGATACCCTGGACTTCTTTGGCACCTTCGGGCACGGGCTCAGAGGGCTTCAGAACTGCATCGGTGGCGCCAGAAGGAGCTGCAGCCTCGTTGATGGCTGACATGACGTGTTCTGTATGGTTGCACAAGCTTCTGGTCGCTGCAAATTGTTGTTGTAAATCTTATCGTGTGCGCAGCAGTGTTCGGTGCACTACCCTGGAGTTCTTCAGTGTTCTCTTGCATGCGGTTTTGAACAAAATGCGTTTTGACCCCACATGCTTTCGGGCGTACAATCTTGGAAGGCCCCTGCGGCCCTAGCGCGCTTCCAGTTCGACAGATCGTCGAGCCCGATTCTCTGATACGCGGAGTCCCCTGGAGTCCTCCAGCACTTTTCAGAAGACTTTTCAATCCGCACAAAATACTGTGTAGTCTTAAAATATCCTATTGGGCTGTAAATAAGCCGTCAAGTGTTGTGGAGTACCTCCGAGTTTCAGGGAAGCGTTCCTACAAAACTCGGCTTCAGGGCCAATTGTGCATGAGCGGCGGCTGGGCTGAGGACCTGTCTCGACTCTCGAACCGTCAGATTGATGCGTGATTGGCCTAGCTCATGCCCAAGCTTCTCTCTTCGATGTCTGTGTGAGGTGTGTTAGTGTGTTGTCTACCGGGTAGCCGCAGGGGTCCTTGCTTCGCTCGTCATGGCCTGCGGGCGGGCGTGCGTTGGATCCTCGTTCTCGTGTCCTGGTCCCCGTTGTTCTCCATCACACACTCACGCTCTGCGAAAGCAACCCTCTTACGGCACGATGTCACCAGCGTCCACCTGCACGTCACCTGGCTGAACATCTTCAACACCTTCGCATTTTTCCATTTGGACACCCTCTCACGTGCCCTTGGCCACCCACGCACGCAGGAGCGCAGCGCCACGTCAACGGGGGTGAAGTCCAGCTCTTTTCAGCCTGCGAATCGGTTCCAGCACCCACCATACGCGCCGAGACGCCAGGAACGGTTGCCGATATCCTGGATTGATTGCAGGCTGTCTGTTTACGCGATTGTCGAAGCCCGCCGACTCCCCAGGGCGTGAAAAGCCAGCTGCAGTTGGATCTCAGCTTGCCGGCCGCCAAGGCTTTTGTTCCACACGCGGCGGATCGCAAAGTGCCTTCCGGGGCGCGCTTGCCCAAAACCCACGGACCCACGGACCCACTTTTCCACATCCAAACAAATCACAAGTCACACACGTCAACATCGACCCGGTACCAAATAGTTCGGCTAGACACGCAACCCATCATTTTCACAGAGAACCGTGGGCAATCCGATTTGCGATCGTTTCACACTCACGATTTCACCCAATTACGGCTCTTTCACCTCAACGACAACAACAACCACACCGGCGCTCAGGGCCACGTGCAACGCTATCACAACAGTACATCTGGAACGCGCTCACGCCCATGCCGCGGTCATTGAAGCTCGACCCTAGGATATCAAGCTGCAACCATGTCCTCGTATCGCTACCCGGACACCAACAGGAATGGACGAGACAGATCACCGCCTTACCGAGACCGCAGACCTTCCAACTTCGGCGGCGGATACCCCCCAAGAGCTAACGACAGCGTAAGACCTAACCCCGAATCCAATGGCTTCCCACCTCGAGATGTGCCTCGAGGGCCTAAATCACTCTCCGATGCGCCACGCGGCCCTGCTACTGGAGGTTCATTAGCTCCCCCCTCAACACCTCGCGATGGACGAGGAAGGGGATTTCCAGGCAGGGGTGAGCCCACTCCTTTGCGTGACGCCCCGCCGCTCAGCAGCGGGCCTGCACCTCCAATGACCAATACGCACAACTCCTGGAGGGCTGACCGTGACCGAGATCGCGACCGAGAGTTTGATCGCGACCGAAGAGAGAGGCGTCCAACTCCACCACCACGTCGTTCGCCAATTCGGGACCTCCGAGACCCCCGCGACCAAAGAGATTTCCCACCGCGTGATCTAGATGTTGGTCGCGCACGCCGCAACTCCCGAGATGGACCACCTTCAGGAGGGTCTACATTCCCAGATCCCCCTATCCTTGGCACTGGCTCGTCGTATCGTGGCAGTGGGATCGGGCGAGGCCGCGGTGGTAGGGACTTTGGAGGACGAGGCAGACCGTTCCATAACGACGACCGAGACCGACATCACGATCCCCGAGATCGCCCACCAGACCGCTCATACAGGCCGCGCAGTCGATCGCCTATTCGGCGAGACCGAGACCTACGAGATGAACGAGATTTCGACAGGAGAGATCGTGAAGATCGCAGATTTCCAAGAGAGTACGATTCTTACATAGGACCTGCTGGCGCTGCCAAACCTGGACCGAGGGCTCTAGACACCCACCGTGGTCCTGGACCGCCTGACTCGCGGCACATGCCAGGAACGCCGACAGGACCAACCTCACATTCTTCACATCACGCTTCCCCGGCGGACCGGCTAGGACTCCAGGTGGACTCTTACTCTCGACGCTCCTCCATTGCCATTGACCCGTCAACTGCCAAGGACTCCCGTCGAGACCCCGGCAAAGACGACCTCCTGCTAGCCGGCCGCGCAGAGGCGTCCAGAGAAAGGTATGCCCCACGTGCTTCATCGCCGCCTGCTGCAGTCCCGGCCTTTGGATCTAATGTCTGGAGGAACCCCACGCTTGATGTGAAGCCAAGCACAGTTGCAGTACCACCTCCCAAACCTGTTCAGACCAGCAACCCGGCACCCGCCACACCTGTACCTCCAGTTGCAGCACCTCCTCCGGCAACACTTTCTGCTTCTGCACCTGCTGCTGTAGCTCCTCCGGTGGTTACAGCTCCTCCCACGCCAGTCATACCCAAAGCCAGCGCACCATCTGGCCCTGTTGCTCCACCTACTGGTCCCAGAGCCGACAGGGTACCGGATCGCATCACATCTGAGCGACCCTCTGTCGATGTGCCCCAACAAGAGAGCCGACCAGGATCAAATGGACCTCCACGTATGGACCCGCCCCCGAGCGTGCCACCTCCTGCTCCCTCGACGATCGCTAATGTGCCCGAGACAGAGCGAGCGGAGACCAAGGCACCTGTTTCGCGAGCAGTCAACGCACCACCATATCCAGCACGACAGGGACCTCCACCATCCGCGCCTTCAGCTCCTGCGAAGTCACCTCCACAAGGTCCAGCGCCACGACCACGTCCACCCCCTACTGCGCTGCTGGCGGCTCTTAGGGCAAATGTATCGCCGTCATTCTCAAGGGCTCCACTTCCCTCATATATTCCAAGGGATACCTCTTCCAGCGCAATACCTCCTCCGCCGTTGGGGCCCCGCAGTGGTAGTGGCGATGCTTCTATCAACACATCACCGAAGAGCTTACCAGCTAACATTCCGACTGGACCCAAAGCTGATAGAACACCGATGGCACCGCGACCAGCCCTTCCCTATGCGACATCTGAGAGACCAGGCTTCAACACGCCGAGGGCGCCTATGGGCGGCGGTCCGAAAAGCATGCAATGGGTCCGACCAGGCCTTATTCCCAATCGACCCACTGTTCCCACGAAGCGAGAGCTACCGGTTGATGATCGTGAGCGTTCATTCGGAACAGCTCCGAAAGCTCCAAAGCTTGAGCTTGGCAGCACTACCTCCACTCTGTATCCACAGCGTGCACAGCAGGCTCAATTTGGCTCTCCTTCATACTTCCGCTCGTCCGGTGCCATGGACAGAGCAAGGGGCCGAGCTGCATCGGCAGAACGATCCATAACCCCGTCTTTGAAACCCGGGTCAATAGAAACAAGACGGCATTCTGACGTAGTCATGGCAGATGCGTCCCCTCGCTCCGTACAGCCGCCAATGTCAGCTGCATCTTCTGCCCCGGACGCATTGCAAGACTCTGATGAAGATCTCGACCTCGATGAAGACGATTTCGCCGAATCGGAAGCGAAGTACAATAGAGACAAGGCGGCACTCGAAGCCAAGCTTGTCGACCTTAGTGCACCTCATCTGCGTGCGACCACCCCTCTGCAAGAGATCATCTTACTGTCATGTCTGAATGCTGATCACTTACCGGTTCCTTACGAAGAAGTCGAGCAGGACGCCGTCAAGAGGGAGGACCTGCTACCTCAACAGGAAGTCGCGACCGTATCGCCTGTCCAGACTCCTGTTGTGAGTAAGCCAGTAGAGCCTTTGACACCTAAGGCTGAAGACACTGATGACAGTGCGACGGAAAAGAGAGCTGAACGCTCAATTGCACCAGCAACAGTCGCCCTGCGTCTACGACGCGAAGTGTCCAAGGAACCGGAGGTGTTGCCCGACCTCAGTGGACTTCCGTACCTTGGCTCTGGTCCGCCTACGCCACTGTCTGACATCGAACAGGATCGACCTGGGTTGCCTGACACTATCAAGTCTAATATGCTCAAACTATATCAGAAAACTGTCCAACCTGAGCTGGACGAAGATGAAACTTTACAGCAGTATGCCGCAAGATACAAACAGTGGCGTCTGTCCATCCGCCAGTGGGATGATGAGCGTGAGCAAGATGAGCAGGAAAGACAGCCATCGGCCGAGCCCAGCTTGAAAGCCACAACGCCTGATGTCCAAAGCTCTACAATGGGTGCGCTGCTCGATGTTCCGGGTCCTACAGGACGACGCAGCCATGCCAGCCGATGGGCTACAGAACTAGATTTGGAGGCTGTTATCAAGGAATCACTTAAAACCGCTGAAGAGGAGAGAATGGGAAAGCAAGATGGTGAACCTAAGAGAAGCATGGCCGATCCAGAGAAAGAAGCCGATCTTCCTCTGGAGCTCAGTGAAGCTGAAGCACAACGACGCAACTTCATTGACACTAACTTCCAGCGTGAACCAGGACAAGGCATTTTCGCTTTCCATTACGAACCGCCAGAGGACGACTTCACACCGGATGAACATCGAGTTATGGTCGCGAATTACAGAGATCAATATGCTAAGAAATGGGGCAAGCTGGCAGAGATTTTGTACAAAGAATGCGGCAGTGAGCGAACCTACAAAGACTGCATCAATCACTACTACGCTACGAAGTGGGCCAGAGAGTACAAAGGCAAGGTCCGAGGTAGACGTGGAGGTGCACGAAAACGGGGCGGAGGTGCCGCACGTGGCCGAGCAGCCATTGTGAACATGGAACGACCTGAAGTTGCAGGAGAAGATGGACTCCCGCTCCCTGTCACAGAAACCGGGCGACCTCGACGCTCGGCGGCGCCCACGTTTGGTGGCATGGAAGCTGATTTTGATCCGACCGCCGCCATACCCACGCAAGGTCGAGTCCGCCGCCAGACTGATGCAGATGGCAACCCAGAAAAAGTCAGTAGGCGAAGCAAGGCCAATAAAGAAAAGGGAAAGAAGGTTAAGAACCCGCCCCTTGCGGCAGCTCCAATTGGATCACCTGTCAAGCTTGACCGCAAAGACAAAGCACCAGGCGTCAAAGCAGAAGATGAGTTTGGAAAACGACAAGTTGTGGAAATACCTGCTCCGATCCACGTGAGTCAGCACGAGGATCCATTGAGCGATCCAGCGCTGTTGAGCCTCAGAGGTAGTCATGTCGAACTTCCCTCACTATCAGGGAGCATACCTATGGGGATGATGGAACGGCAGAAGACGCAGCCCAATGCCAGGCCTGGCCCCTCAAGCTACTGGTCCGTATCTGAACTGCAGGATTTTGAGAAGAATGTTGCACACTTCGGCACAGACTGGATCGGATTTGCCAACCACATGGGTACGAAGACGCACATCATGATCAAGAACCAATACCTGCGCATGGTTGAAGGCGGAAAATCAGAGCTTGAACAAGCAGCAAAAGATGCTGATGCGAGAAGGGAGAGGGGCGATGATCTGGGCCCACCGCCGACGCCCACTCCTGCGCCGAAGAGACGTTACGAGAGCACGCAGAGTGTACTTCCCCGCAACCTTGCACCAGCCGAACTAAACCAAACCCCCCTCCTCAATCCCACCAATCTACCCAGAAACTCGCCTCCTCCAGCATCTCAAACCGCAAGATTTTTGCCTCAAGCTGTCAGTCAGAGTAAGCCACTTGTGCCTTCTACCTCTGGCTTCTCTCCTCTGCCAGAGACAGCGCTTGCATCCGTACCTTCAATGCCGCAACACCACTCGCCGCCTGCTCCCTCGTCCCGAAGTCAACCGCAACATCACCTTCAGCACAGCATGTCGCAGCACAAGCCGCACCATCAACCACCTCGGGCTGGATATTTTTCTGATGACTTACACTCACGTCTCGACAACCGTGTGCCGTCGCAATCGCCAATTCATCACCCTTCACGGTCTATGCAGCCGCACGGTGCACCACAGATACGTAGTCAAGAGCAACATCAACAGACTGGTTTCCGTGGCCTGAGCCATCAGGAGCGAGAGAATCAGATCAGATCTGAGCTTCAACAAGAACAGGAGCATCGGTATCAGCAGCACCAACACGCTCGGAGGATTTCTCAAGAGATGCATCATCATCAAAGAGCATTCCCTCCGGGTGGACCACCGCCACTAATGCCCCCTGTTCGTTCAAACTCCATTGCAAGGTCGCCAGAGCACCGACCAATGTCCTACTCGCACTCTCGTCAGGTTTCTCAAGCTCAGGCTATGACCCAGCCACCGTCCGATTTGATGTCTCAAGCGCATGGTATCTTTTCAGGGGCACAACAGCTGCCATCGCGCTCCTCTGTCTCCACTCCCCCGGTCAAAGAGGAGCCAAGGTACGCTCCGCCTTCCGTAATCCCTCAAGCTCAGCACACGCCGATCCTGCAGTCCCAGCACCAGGCTCGTCCGTCGTTTGGTCAGCCTCCTGTACAAAGTGTGCCACCACCGACTGTTTCAAAGCCTGCCGCACCGCCGAGGAGGTCCAACTTGCTGTCGCTGCTCAACGACGCCGAACCTGAAGAGCCCGCAAGAAAGAAGCCCGCCGAGCAAGGACCTGCGTCACATAGTACAACACCCTCGCAGCAAAACCCCATCGCGCCTCCGCCGGCTGCCCCGCAGGCCTCTACATCTAGAGGCGATGTGTATGGAGATACGGCAACCACGCAGCCTCCGTACGGTCGCCCTTCCTACGCAACACAGTCCTCGATACCTTCTTCTACGCCCAGTAGGTCTATCGACCTGACTACCGAGCAAACTCCAGGAAACCGGCACGGTACACGTGATGGCTGGCAGCAACGGCAACAATTTCATCCTGCTCAAAGCCAGGCACAGCAGCCTGTGTCGCTTCCTACTTCCCATCCTGGCCTACCTCAACCTGCGTTCAATGACTCAAGGCTGTTTGGCAATCATCGCTCGGTTTTCTCTCAGCACAATGGACAGCGACACAACCCCTCGCCACCACCCATGGCTGCGTATAACAATTCGCCTCACTTACACTCTCGCACACCGAGTGTAAGTGGAGCGCCGGGACAGCCGTCACGTCACGGCCTGCCGGGAACTGGACCAGCTCAGCATGCGCAAGTAGCATCGGCTGCGTCTAGTCAGATCCTCCAGCCGAACCCGTATGCACAAGTCGATCCTCCCGGAGCCGGTGCTCCAACCTCGGGTCCAATGGGAATGCGACCGAGTCCACATCTGCGCACCAGCCATGTGGCTCAGCAGAGGGAAATACCGAGCCGCAATGAACACTCACAAGCTCAGAACACAGGCCTGACATACTCGAACCCTCCTACGCCGAACGAGCACCCAGCTCATCAGTCAATGCGGGGTCCAGGTGGTATGACGGACTCATATCGTGCGCGTGATCCCCGAGACGTTCATCACGATCTCGAATCCCGCAACTCGGATCGTGATACCAGCCGAGAGCTTTCCCAGAGAACAGAGTATCTACGAGAGCAGCTAACCAACCCACATTTACGTTCCACGCCCGTACACGAGGACATGCGCTACCAACATCAGCAACAAGAGCGTGGCTACCTCTCTCAGCGCTCGCACACCCCGCTTTCAAGGACCGACGGAGGGCAGCAACCTCCACCCTTACAACACCCACCGCATTCGTCACTAGGTACAAACAACCACCCGCTCTACGGTCAACGACTCTCGGAAGAGCCATCGCGATTCTCTCAGCCCTTCCCTCGCGACCGAGGGATTGCAGACCGCATTCGTCAGGAGTCGGCCCAGCAACAACAAGCTGCTCTGAACCGAGAAGAGCAGATGCGACGAGAAGGTCAGATGCGCGAGCAAGAGATGCGAGACCGTGAGCTTAGAGAGCGCGACGCACATTTCCGCGCCGATTTGATGAGAGGCAATGTGGGACCATATGGAAGAGGACCGAGTTCTGAACAGAGGCAGCCGCCCACAGGTCCCAGTGGGCATATGGACTGGACGAGTGGTGTCAGTCGACAGCCGCAGCGGGATGGCTGGCAGCGATAAGCGATCGACCTGCTTCTATTGATCTAGTCAAAGCGTTTGGGTCAAAATCATTATGAACATCTGGATGCTATTTGGCAGGGTTTCAGATGCTTGCGATGGCGCCATATCCAAGGCATTGAATCTCTTTTGTAAGATGACAAGACGACTTTATATATGAGGACCCAGGTGACTTTGTAAATACCATCTCGTTCTATTTGTTTGGCATGAGCGTTAAAGTAAGTGCTTTTGTATATGTATTATACCTTTGTGTCCATCAGAAAATATTGAAGTTACAGATGTTACCTTACTCTGTCTGTTGTGTTGTGAAGGACAGGGCTGCATGTTGTGGATTGAACGCTGGCAGTCAGGTCGGGTTCTCCGAATCTATTCTTGCATCTGTCTTTGCCACCACGGTATTTCCGGCAACACAAAAGCCAGAGGGCTTGAGGGGGCAATCGCAAGCTCTGCACTGCAATTTCTTGCGCTACTGCGCTGTTGTAAGTTGGGCCTTTGGACAGCACTGGTGAATAGGGACGAGCGAGCGGGCCAAGAGCACTGCAATCCTTAGTGCGCAAGATAATTGGTCCCCCTTCCCGGTCGCACTCTGGACTTCATAGCCGAAGGTGAGGCTCAAGGCAGACAAGGCTGACAGTCAATGGCGTTGAGGATTCCGGTCATGGACGCGTGCATCAGGCTGAAGCACAATTGCACTGCAGTCTATAGCGCGGAGGAGAGGGTGCTGGAAAAGCGCAAGCCAGCACCCGATTGTTCCTTGTTTAATCTTGTTAGGAAGTGCCAGCAGAGGATTATAGTGCTCCAGATTATCTCCAAGCGTCCCTGATGGGTAAACATCTGGACAAGGGGCCCCAACGGTTCTTATAAACTGTCGCTCTTCATCGGGGTCCGTTGTTCAAAGCCCAAGCAATGCAGTGTAGCGCAGAGGGGATGTACTGTGCACCTAGTGCCCATGGTGCGCATATTTGCGACCTCAGCATTTGCACTGCAATCTTTAGCCCGTAAAACTAATCTCATTGGTTCTCTAAAAAAGACTCGTCTATTCCATTGCGCGCTGGCCCGCAGGACATCGGGTTCCAGGTTGGCGTTCAGACTTTCTGATTGGTGTGTGCATCAATGAGGCTTAAGGATGATGTGGCAGGCTGAGCACGCTCACCGGACGTATAGTGTACTGCACGTCGACCATTTAGCCTCATCTGTTTGACTACAATCTCTAGCGTGGAAAGCAAGATTCAGCCTGGTCGCTGCACTGCAATCTTTAGCGCAAAGGAGACACTGCGGCGTTGGTTCTTCGAAAGAATCTTGCTGAACCGTGGGACAATGTGACGGTTTATGGAGTAAAGAGGTCATGTCTGCCACATGTGCTGGTGCAGTGCTCTTGCCTGTTCCAATAGCACTTTCTGTCTGAACAACAGATACGTCATGTAAACAGACCCTGATGGCCCGGTGAGGGAGACAGAACACTGGATAACAACACAACAGAATATACTGATTTTACTGCTTCGCGCGGTTACCCCTGACTTACTGCCCTGCGCGATTACACCTTCACTTATTGCATTTACTGCAACAGACAACGTGCAAATCCACGAATGAGTGTGACTCGTGGGAGATCAAGCTGGAGAGCGAAATATCATACCCATGGAAACAAGTTTTCGCTTCATTTTCCAGAACTGCAATTTCAAGTGCAGGAAGGCACTGAAATCTTACTGGCTGAGTCGAGCAAGACTCATACCTCTTCTCCCTTCCCTAACAGCTGTCAGTATAGCTGCAAGTACCTTCAACTATAATGCATGACAACAGTAAAAGATCTGGAGAAGATTTTTATGCAGACAGCTGGACCAAAAGCTAGCTACCGCCACCTTTAATGCGGGAAAGGTGATACTATTCGACAAACATGCGTCATGGCTGGAGAGAAGTCTGGCTGAAAACATGTCGCCAACGATGAAGAACCGTCTTCGCCAGTCTCTAGCAGAATTTTGGAAGTTGATGATTGAGCTCAAGGAAAATCCTGGATTTGGAGCTGCAGCAAAGCTTGAATACCATAGCTAGGAGCCCAAGTCTCAGCTTTCAGGTTGTCAAGCGGGGTTTGGGAAGATATTGTACGTAGCCTGGGACAGCCATGGTTTAATGTTGCGGTATTGGTTGGTCTGTACAAGGTCTGACTGTACGCCCGACAGACTAGTCTCGTGTGTGACAGGTCACTGTGTGGAAGGGTTGAGATGTTGATTGATGCTCTGAGCTATTGGCTGGAATCAATCGGGACTATATAGTAGAAGGCAATAGCAGTGAAGGGTGGGAAGCAAACTGAACTAACCAAATGAGCTGGACAGTCACTGCAGTGGATCGCTAGCAAACAGATGGCAATCGGTGAATACCTTCACCCCTCCAACACACTGGCTTGAGGTCAGGTATATATTCGTAATCTCCCAGCTAGATAGCAATTTAGCGCAGTCTTCCATCGACCCGATAGTCCTACGTTATTATTTACCGTAGCTATCAGTATACCACAGCGGCCCACGCCGCACCATTTAATATCTATCCATGCATTTAAACCCCCCTCTGGTTCGGAGCTTGCATACCATGCAAGATCCAAGGAGAAGTTTGCCTTCAACCACTCTTGACCAAATTAGCTCTCTCTAGCTTGGTATCCTGCAATTTTCTCATATCCTACGATTGTCAGTTAAATCTCAAGCCATCCTGGTATTCAACTGACCTTCTCGACAGAAGATTCGACAACATATCGAGTGACAAGCACGGGGTATTTCTGGCCGAGGCGAAGGGCACGAGCGATCGCTTGGTTTTCAACAGATGGGTTCCACTGCGGCTCGACGATGAACACTCTGTTTGCGACAGCGAGGTTCAGGCTATAGAAGTATCAGTTTAGATCTCCTCGAGCGAGCGAATAGTATACTCACCCTACGGCTCCGGTACCCGTGGTCATTATAAGAACACGGAGGTTGAAGTCGTTCGCAAAATTCTCGAGAATCTTCTCTCGTTTGGCTGTAGGACAGTCGCCGTCGATACGTTTAAAGTTCTGAGGGGCAAAACCTGAGCTCGTCAAATGAACTTGAATCAAATCCAAAGTCCTTGTCCAGCACGTGAAGATGATACTATGAACTGTCAATACAGCATTCATTAGATGTCTTCGGAGACACGTGCCTTTTGGTGACCCAGACATCCTGGATGACGTCGCACATCAGTGCTTCTATCTTTGAGGACCGTCCAGTCGTTCGAAAGTAAGTATCTTCTTGCGACCCTTGCTTCGGTCGATGGCCTTGATTCGCTGGGCGCCAGAGTGGAACACATAACGGACATCGCGTAGATGCTTGATTTTCGCCGCTTGGCATGCTCTCGTCTACACATTCTGAGCAAAGAATGTGTCTACAATCTGCGTAACGGCGAAATTCTGAACCAGTACCAAATAATGGCAGTGTTTGGCGACAAGCGGAGCACGTTGCTTCTCCATCTCTACCCAGAGAGGCTTCTACTGCCTCTCGCTCATCGAGCAGGTGCAATTTGCGACGGTTCCAAGAGAAGGGTTGTTGCCATGTTCCGTGGTTACACAAGATACGTAGCTGAAGCTGAACTTGGAACATCCCCAGAGTGCTGTTCTGATCGAGCATTTCAGCTTGGTTTCGAACGGCGCGAAACATGATGCTGGAGGTCTGGTCATACTGCGATCGCTCTTCCGGCGAAAGCGTGATATTGCGAACGCGATTTTGCTGATCTGGAAGATGGAGCAAGTTCTTTGTTCGACGAAGACACACAGAATCCAAAAGCAGTGTGAATCGCTCGATCGCTAGTTGCCTACGTCGTCCGCCCTCATCGAATGGAAAAGCGATTGACTTTTTGAAGTTGGAGAGGTTGTGGAATGGCTTCAGCCTCAGAAAGGCAAGAAGCGAGCCGATATCTTCAAGCCGGTTCTGTACAGGGGTTCCAGTCAGACACCATCGAGATCTTGCCGCTATTTCCGCCACGGTGCGGTGCAAACCAGTATTCTGGCGGCGTATAATGTGGGCTATCTCAATATTAGTTTGGAGTTCAACAGGCGGCATCTTAACACACCCTCGTCAAGTACCAGACGATACCACTCGATCTTTTGCAACGAGTTCTTGGTATTCGAGGCGTCGGACGCAAGTGTATGATATGTAGTAATGACGATGTCCGTATCACGAAGCTCTTCGAGTGAACGTTCGCGACTGGGTCCATGATATTTGACGCATTTGAGTAGCCGCTTTGTGTTGTCATCGAAATGCCTAATCGTTTGAGCACGATGATTGCTTTTCTGCTAAGATGAACGTACTTGTCAAGTTCTTGAAGCCACTCATTAATCATGACTGTACAAGTCGTTAGATCGCAAGCATGCCAAAAGCTAGAGTTGCATACGTACGATCTGAGGACGCCACAACTAATGTGGCTCTTGATCGCGCCCTAGCATGATGATCACGCTGTTCCGATAAGCCAGCAGTATCTGCATATGGTGCCCACGAGTGCGCGACATCGAGTGTTCGGAGGATTAATGCTAGAACAGACAAGGTTTTACCCATACCCATCTCATCAGCCAGGATACCGCCACCTGTTTCTGTTTGCTGCAATCTGCCTGGATCTGGTCAACTTCGATTTGACCATAATATGATATACCTACTGATCATCCCAGTAACTGCATGCCGATAGCTGATTCATGTTAGCTCTGACCACATGACACATGAAGTACGTACCAGCTCTGTCCCTCTGTTTCCTCGAATTTCCATAACAGATACTCGCTGGGTATCGGTCCATTTTCACGTTGACTCATGAAGTCAAGAGCTCTTTTTTGGTGACTATGCCAATCAGCGGACAGTCACGCAGCATGTGGCGTGTGGACTAGACAAAAGAAAGGAAATCTTACGATAGAAGCGGTGTTCGTAACCGTCGATCACCCTCCAAAGCTACCAGATTTTGGCCACGAGTGAGTGCGCAGTAGACATTCGTGATAGCCTCTTTGACAACCTGGCCTGTAATTTTCTCGACAATTGGCTCAACGACATCTGAAGTCGGTACGCTCACGGTAGCTTCGTGATCTCCGAGTTTCAGGAAATGTGGGTTGTTATAGACGGCGCCATTCCGAACACACTCAGGACGCTGAAGATAAATCTTGCGTTGAGAAAGTTCTCGACCAACAGCTTTGGAGGCCGCACGGGTCCCGTAAACATTGACCTGAACGCGTGATATTGCATCTTTTTCCTTTGTTGCTTTGCTGATCGTTTCTCGAATCGCTCTTGTCGGTGCGAATACCTCAAATTCAAGCGAGTACTGCTGCTCCAAGATGCTGTTCAGTGCTTCTTCTAGTTGCAAATTCATCTCTCCTAACGCAGTTCCATCCGGGAACACAACGTGGTATTGAGTTTCGGACCTGACAAGTTCCATCTGAGAGTGACCAACGACGGAGCTCCCGGCCACCGAATTGAGCTTGTTGTCTAGGTCAAGCATGTTGCCCAAAAGTTTCATGGACGCCCGGAAGATCTATATCAATCATGAGAATTGTATTTTCAGCTGTCGGGAGGATGCTTCGGAGCTTCAAATTTTAACGGCTCACCTAAGTAAACTTACGGTCCCATAGCAGACAAGATCTTCTTTTGGTGGTTGTGGTGCCTCCAGGACCTCGGGCACGACATGACCAGTCACCCATTGCTCAATATGGTGCTGCGTGAACTGAAATGATTCCAGGGTCGGGTCGATGTTTGCTCCATAGCTTCCATCTAATACGTCGGGTGCGAGGATTTCGCCGATGCATTGATCCCACGGTTGACATGGAAGTACCGGGACAGGTCTCATGCAGGCTTAGTTCTGTATGCAACAGTCGGGGGATCCCACTCACTCATCAAAAAACCCTAAATCATCCGTATCACCCCATCTCAGTTGCTGCGCGTATACAGGGTACGACTCGATATCTTCGTCATTCAACAGGTGTTTGAGGGACATGGCAGAAGTCGGCGGGGCGGAACGCGTTCTAGCGTCTTGGCTACAAGGGGGGGGGGGGGGGACGCGTCGACGGCAACTCTTTCGTTAACACTAAATGGGGATTCCGTACGTTTTGAGCTTTCGCAGACTCATTACGCGGTGTAGATGTCTTCGTGCCAGGCTGTGCGGACTGCGGTTGAGACTTGTGGACGCCACTTGCTGCAGGCGCCCTCAGCCTTGTTCTGCCCGTTTCACTTCCCAGTTGCCTTCTTTTTGCCTGCTTTCCCTGCATAAGCCATGTCGGCTGTGCCGTATCTCGTCTCTTTCTCGATCACCTCAGGCGACTTGACTGGACTAGTGTTTCTCATGACATTCAACTCGAAAAGACAAAAGACATCTCTGCCCGATTCCAGCCCGATCAAACCTTGCGTGAGGCTGTTGACTCGCATGCCCTTCCCTAATCTCAGATGGCCAACCCAAATCTCTCACAGCAGACCAGTCGCGCATCAACAAACATAACCCTTATCAATAATGGTTGGACTCTCTTACCTTCGGACGGTCCTCTCAGAGTAGCGGTCGAGAAATTCATCAAGGACAATCCAAAAAAAGACCTCACGCAGTTTGAGAAGACAACATACGATGAACTACGTAACGCTGTTCAGCAGATCCAACAGGAACAGAACGAACGCCGCGAGATGATGAATCTTGCTCGCATACAATCATTCCTTGAAGCTATGCACCAATTTGGCAAGGTCATCGAAGTTTTCCTAAACGTCACAGATGCTCTCGCTTTCGTCTGGGGCCCAATGAAGCTCTTGCTGCAGGTATTCATCTGAGAGTCTCAAACAGAAAACGTCCAGCTAACATATTTAGACCGCAAGTACATTCACCGACTCTTTCGAGGCTTTACTGAGAGCCTATGAACAAATCGGAGAGCAGCTGCCTCTTCTCTCGGAGTATGACAGTCTATTTCGCTCGAATCTACACGTGAAAGACGCTTTGATACGGATGTACATCGATATACTGGAGTTCCACCAACAGGCGCTGAGATTTTTTCGGGGGAGTAGTAAGTCTGAAAGATACTATCAAGTTGAGTTCTGGGGCTGACGAATACGCTCCTAGTGTGGAAAAACTTCTTTCGTGCTATGTGGAAAGATTTCGAAACCAAGTTCGGCGGTGTCCTGGAGCGTCTAAACCGGCACAGAGAATACTTGGAGTCATGTGCTGGCATCGCTCATTTCCACCAGTCCAGGAAGGATTTGCTCGAGTTCAGATCGGAAAATGAAACCCTGCATCAGCGAGTTCATGACGATATTGTTGACCTACAATCACCCAACCTTACACAGCATCAGAACACCCAGAACGAGATCGCTACTGCACAAGCAACCAATCTTGCACAGCATCAGAACACTCAAAATGAGATTGCTAGAGCACAAGCAACGAATCTAAGTCTATTCCAGACGTACGAGGTTGACATGGCGCTTTTGAAATCAACCGCCCAGGTTATGGAGGCCAACAATGCCACTCGGCATCAAAGGTACGTGGATGAAATGGCGAAGCTGACCTCGAAGATTGCCGATATACTCGCTCAGGAGCAGCGCAAGAAAATGGGTACGGTCAAAGAATGGCTCGCTGTTGGGCAGCAGAATTCCGGGTTCCATACCTCGTACGGACAGATTCGGAAAGAGTATCCCAATACGACCCAATGGATATTGAAGCATGAGGCAGTGAAGAACTGGTTGGCTGCTGATCCTCCCGCCACACCGAACTTGTGGATCAATGGTATTCCAGGTGCAGGTATGTCGCCATTATGTGTCCCCAACGATCAACACATTTATACCGACAGGGAAAACTATCCTGGCATCTGCCATAATCGACTCGTGCCCACAAAACTCGGCGACCAGTATTTGCTTCTTTTATTGTCGCAACGACGATCCTCTAAGCTCTTCACCGGTTGGTATCATTAAAGCACTTGTTGATCAACTGCTGACCCAGCACCCTTACCATTTACCTCCATGCTACACCGCACGGACCACGAGTGGCGAGCCTGTACTTCGGTCTCTTAGCCTAGCGACCAAAATGCTGCGAGAGTTTTGTCTCACACTTGAGAAGGTATTCATTGTAGTTGATGGTCTGGATGAGTGCAGTCAGGTTGAGAGAAAGCAAGCTTTGGATGTGTTGATGGACATCGTATCTCAATGCGACGTTACTGAGGCCGGAAAACTTCGCCTGCTCGTTGTTAGCCAGGATTATATGGACATTCGACGTACACTCTTTGGCTCAGGGAACGCTAAGCTGGTTCCAAAGGTTGTCCAAATCTCACATGAAGACAATGAAGGTGATATCTTCATGTATGTCAAATTCTGGGTGGATAAGATCGATTCGAAGTTCGAGCTGGGTAGGGATGTAACTGAATACCTGACCAATCTAACAGTGGCGAATGCCAAAGGTTGTATTGCTCTGTATACTTGCAGGTTTGAGTCTGCTGACGACTTTAACAGGCATGTTTCTGTTTGCAAAGCTAGTCATGCGTAATTTGTACGACCAGGCAACCCGGGAGGTGTTGTTGGACGCAATCAGAACCACAAATTTCCCTACAAAGCTCAAAGAAGCGTAAGTTGGAAGCTGAGTGAAGGCCCAGTGAGGGTTGCTTTGTTGACTTCGCTCAGTTACGAGCGTATTCTGGATCGTATCAAAGTCATGTCGAGCAAGGAAGAGTGGAACGAGGCTACCAAACTCCTTGGTTGGATGGTTTGTGCAAAGCGACGTCTGACTTGGCGCGAGATGCAAATAGCCTTGTCGATCGACATCGATAACCAGACGATAGATTACGACAATAAACGCCTCCGAAAGCACATACACGAGATTTGCGGATCCCTGATTTCGGTCCACAGTGATCAGGTGTCTTTTGTCCATAGCACAGCAAAGACGTACGCCAGCCTTCAGTTTGCTACAACGTATGATTCGCTAACCCGAGCAGGTTCATCACACATGTCATCCCCGACATTCACGAACCTTCAATCGAGTGCAACCTTTCAGTGCTTTGCCTTCAATACTTGACATTCCCCTGCTTCGACAAGTTTGAAGATGACGACGAGAAGGAACTTCAACGGCTTGCACTAGAGGGCTATCTTGCACTTCAAGACTATGCCATCGCGACTTGGTTTCATCATATCAACGCGTTCGTCAATAGTAGCCAAGAGTTCCTTGTTAGTTTGTCTGACCAGGATCCTCGTCTCGATTCCATTGAGACAGCCCTTGACGACTTTATGTCAAAGTACGGAGAAGAGGATTGGGAGAAGGGATTGGTTGAAGAGTGCAAAAACAGCTGCCGAGCATTCGAAGACTTCTCTCTATTTGAGAATCTTGTTCTACTCACCAGCCACATCTACACCTTCCAGAAGAAAGGTTTTGAGGCTAGGCACAAAATCAGCATTGGGGGCCTTGATGAGGCACTCAAAAGGAATCGCAAAGTCTTGGAGGAGCTTCCCGCCAAGCTCGAGAAAGCCAAAGCGACAAAGGACCTAACTACTTATTCCAGATTCTACGACGCGGAAAAACCGTACAAGTGCAACAGGATCACTTGTCGATACTTCTCCGAAGGATTCAAGGACAAGCAATCCAGGAAGCGGCATGTGAACGTTCACGATCGTCCGTACCATTGCGATGTGCAGGACTGTCTTGGGCAAGAAGGTTTTGCGAAAGAGAACGATCTTCAGAAGTATGTTCTTCTCATTGTTGTTCATATCTGCTTTGCCACTGACTTCGACAAGGCACATGCGAGCGTTCCATCCTGAATTGTGTGATCTCGCACAAACGTTCAACAGCGCAACAGCAAAACGTGGAAAGGCCGATCACGCCTGCGCAATCTGCGGCAAGACGTTCACGCGCAGCTTCCATCGCAAGAACCACGAAGCCAGCCATCGAGGTGAGAGACCACACAGTTGCCCGGAATGTGGCAAAGCGTTTACAAGAGCGAACGATTGCAAGCGACACCAAAAAATTCACGAACGGAAATCGAAGTAACACATTTGGCCCCCACACAGCTCAGCGCTGAATTCGGTTAAGGCGGGCTGTGCCTGCAGCTAAGCGGATGCCTGGGGCTGAGCCCCGCTCCTGGACATCAAAAGCTTATATTCAGGATGAGAACATGTCAGCCGACGATCAGCACACTCCTCCTGTTCTACTACGATGCCAGGCTCGACCGTCAGTACTAGCTCCGGCTCCGGGAAGTGCACACTCAATCTGTGGAAGCAAGCCTACCAAGCACTCAACGATGAGGAGAAAGGCCGGGAAAGGCTGCACAAGCTCAACACCATGCTTAAGCAAGAGCTGGGTAAGCCGAACATGAAGTTGCGGTCTAAAGACGGTTACAAGCAGCTTTCCGACATGATTCAAAGAAAAGCGCGGCAACTAGAGGATAGTAAATCCACTGAGAAGATCGGAAGGATCTGCAGCAACATGATGAAATTTCAAGACATCGTTGCAGCCGGTGCGAATGTTGGAGGGCCATATGTTGCGATCCCTGCTGCAGCGCTATTCTCTGCTTTCTCTGTGAGTTCACAAATGTAGCCAAATACGGGCTTACAGCTGATGTGACTATAAGATGAACGAGATCTACATGGCTGAGAGAGCAGCAATGTACGAAGTCGCAAAAACTGCCGCAGACTACGTTGTGATGTACAGGAAAGCCGAAGACTGGACAACGGTTCAAGCGAGTGACGATCTCGACATGCGCGAGCTCAAGGAGAGTCTTCAATCGGTTTTCATAAGCTTGTACAAAGCGATAATTTTCGCATCGGCGCAGCTCATGATATCTCTGAACGGGGACTTCCAGTGGCTTAAGAATGTTGCTAAGCACTACGACTGGGCGGGTCAGCTCACAAGTCTGAACAATGAGCAGAACCGCATATCGCAATTCATGCATTCGAAAGAGTGGCAGGATGCTTTGAAAGCGCAGTCAGAAAACAGGGAGAAATCGAAGGAGCCCAAACGAGATCTCAAGAAAGCAATGGGCCCAGGACCACGCAACCCGCTTCATTGGGCTGCCGCCCTCGGTGTGCCTGAACAAGTTTCGTTCTACGTGCAGAACAAGGAGTATCCGATCAACGCACTAACACTGCAAAGCTGGACAGCTGCACACTTGGCTGCAAGAGAAGGACATACGAAGATCTTGAAGACACTTTTGACAGTTCCTGGCATCGACCTTACCATCAAGAACCGTGAGGAACGGACACCGCTACATATCGCTGCTATCTTCAACAAGAAGTGGGCCGCAAAGGCCCTGCTTGAGCGAAATTCTAAGCTGCTCGGACCTCGAGACAAGTGGGACCGCACTGCCTTCATCATAGCGGCAGAGAAGGGGCACATTGAGATACTGAAGGTTTTGAAAGGGTTCGGACAGGACATGAATGAGACGACTGTGAAGCAAGGCTGGACAGCACTACACTTAGCCGCTGAGAACGGCAATGCCGATGTTGCAAAGTGGCTTCTAGAAAATGGGACAAAGAAGTGGACGAAAGTAAAAGATGGTCCGCAAAAAGGCCTGACGGCAAAACAATTAGCGGAGTTGAAAGGAAGGACGAAAGTTTTGGAGGTCTTCTGAATATGCTGTCCCCACATAACGGAACAGTTCCCATAGACCCGGCACCAATCGAACATCGTAACGTCCAACCAAGCGTGCCGGGACGCACGGTGTAATGGGATGGGTTTGCACTTCGGAGCTTCACTATCTTTTGTTTGCAATTACATAGACCTATAGTTGATATATTAATGTTCTGCAGCTACTACTTCATCAGTGCATCAGCCCCCAGCTAGGACTGCCGCAATGTTGGCCTTGTTGTCGATTGTTTTGTCAACGCCGTTAATTTACCCTCTGTCAATACCCCTTATCTGTTTGAAACCTGAGGGAGCTCTGTAGAAATTGGACGGCTTGAGGGAAAACACAATCACAGAAATTTTTGCTCTAAATTTTCATATGCCACCTTAAGCTAAGAATATATAGCACGGGAGTGTTGCTGGTCAGGAGCAAAGATTGCGGAGAGCATTCCAGCGCGTCAGGACGCACTAGCATTTGTTGGTTTGCAGCAAGCCTGCATTAGCGTGCTCAGATGTCGCTATATGTTATCGTAACGAATTCTACGCTATACCTACGGCAGATCGATTTCTAGTAATACTGTGGCGCATGCTGGGGGCTCTCCAGAAGCGTCTACGAGCACGTACTCTGCCTGGCTGACACAGCCGCTCGTACCTTTCCTTCTGCGCTATTTTCGTTAGTGAGAAGACCACAGACAGCGAGTACTCGAATTTTTTTTGGAGAAAACCCGAGTCGACACCGATCGCTGGCATCTACTGTAGCGCCGAAACCCCTGGTCCAGGTTCCACGTCAGGACTTCGCTCCCGGCATCTTTTTCAATACCTCGATTCTTAACAATTTCAGTATGGTTGCCGTTCGTGTTTGCCTCCATAGCTATTGTCTTTTCTTTGAGGGAATTGCGTGTATTGCTCTTCTTGCGTTTGAACAAGTGTGTAAGGTGTTTTGAAGTGTGAGGTCATAGACAAATGATTCTTGTGGTTATGAGCACGCAAAAAGATACCGTGCGCGTGTTAACGACATCACAACGTGCCTGGAGTACCTGAACAAAGAGGAATTCTTGAGCCACACGTTGGTAAGTGGCTCAATAGTGGTGGTCAATTGTCGCAGTATAGTGGGTTCAGTACAGTGAGGTGGAGTATAAACGAACCGATATGGTACTCCTTCAAACGACTACAGTAACACAACAGTTTCACGGTCAAACCTCCCTGTCTTCATGGATTATTTAAACACACAGCTTAGTTCAGTTCAACTTCAGTGAACCTCAATTTCATTGCCCGATACCTATTGTATTCAGAACCGTCATATCAATTCACTCTAGAGGAAGACAATGACAATGGTCATGGGCCTTCAAACAGCAACATTGTGAGAACCTAGAAGGAGCAGAAGAAGCTTGATTACTTCTTCAACCATGCTCTATCTCCAGATCCTAGTCTTATCCAAAACTGCTGGCAACCACCTAAAAAGTACGTGAGGAAATTCCCACATTGGAATGAGCATGATACTATTGTTCTTGCAAAGGAGGGGTGAGAGAATTTTACTCAAGGTCTCATCAACAAGCGCATACACAATATGACTGAGCTCCTGTGGCAGGTTAAATAGGGGCCAAATGAGTGCAGGTTGGTGATGTGTGGATTGGACAGAAAGCAGGGCAGGTGTTGGTGGCTGCAACTTCTTCTCGTGATAAATCAACAACACTATGGTAAAAATTAAATCAAAAACTCCCACTTTGTTGCATAAGCAAGCGCCACAATTCTATGTATTTATTGCCTATAGAGCTGCGTTGTGGCAGGAGCTGTGTGGGTGGTGCTGAGAAACTCTTGAATTTGGTGTGCAGCCTTTTTTGTCACCCGACGTGCCAGGTCATCACGAGACTGCCTTCTCGGACCCGGGGCCGTTCCCTCACGCTAGAGATTGTAGTGCAAGCTATGACAAACTCATGACATCATTTCACCATTACATCCCGGAAAAGTGCGGGTCAGCGTCTACTCTACACTAAAGATTGCAGTGCACGCACGACAACCGTCCGGGTCCGGAACGGCCCGCAAATTACCGCTACCATGCTCAGATCAAAAGATTGATTTACTGTAGAGAGTCGAAAAAGATACCCCCTCTCCACCCATGGTTTGTCCATACTATGTTTGCCAACCTCCTCCTCACACATTGGCCAATTCCCACCGCACCGCGCTTCTTATCCCATGTAAGCCGCTTTACACATCAAGCTCTCACTGGTTTCGTGGCTCCCGTTGCGATGTCACAAAAGATGGCCCAAAGGTTGTCAGAGCTTATCATCCAAAATTCATGCACTCAATTGTTTCGATGGCTGCTCATCATTTGAGAGGCCCTCAATTCATGTAGCGCTCAACAACACTAGGAATTGCAGTGCCAGTCTCAGGTGAAAGTTCCAACGCTAACCCGCTTCCAGTCATTCCTCATGCACAGCCTCATTTTCAACAGCCCTTTCACGCTAAAATTGCAGTGCTCATGCAGGCAGCGCGCTAGAGATTGCAGTGCACCGGCCAAGAAGACTCAGGCGCCATGTTCGTTATGTTATATTGCATCTTCATAGTAATGTGACGACAGAATGCCTCTTACATAACTAATATATGCTTTCACGATTACTCCCATTATCAGAACAAGTTGAAGATCCCAAAGTGAGCATCCACCGGAATCTCTTCATTTCACTGTGAATTGTACCAGTCAGATGATCGTTGCGAGTGCTCAACGGTAGTAGATGTTGCAGTGCTTCATGGCTTGTGGAATGGGCCGCTGCCGACTTCAGTGCATTCGCATTGTCCTCCGCCGGCCCTGCACCTTCCAGCTCTTTCGCGCTAAAGATTGCAGTGCAACGAAGAGTCAGTATCAACAGGCTAGCTTGCATCACCTTAAGCGCGCTAGGAATTGCAGTACATCTGGCGTTTATGCAGCTCAGAATCGAGCTAATTCCGGAGCGGCGGGGTGCGTGATAGCTGCACTGCAATTTCTAGCGTGACCACGACGTTACCCATGTCTGCTGACTGAGTAGCAGCTACTCCTCCGCACTAGAGATTGCAGTGCGTGGCTGTGCTGCAGATGGCAATGCCAAAAAGTCTCTCATCACCGTTCAATTCTCACATTTTCACGCTTATCGTGTCAAACATGATAGAACTCTCGATCCGGGCATATCGAGCGGCTGAAGATACCTCTCATTATTCCTTCCGCATTGATGCTGCTGCATGTCACACTCCTTGATTATTGTGGAGTATCTTGCCATCTTACTGAGCTTCACAAACGCTACCACCAAATTTTATGGAAGGGCTGATTGTAGGCTCACTTTCACTGCCCTGATCGACTGTATGTACGTCCTCGCGCTGAGTCTACAGAAAAAGAACTGTTAAACAAAACCGCGGAGGAGGTCGCAGTATCCTCTATGTCTGCAAAGCTTAAAGCCATGTTCAAAGATCCAGATCCAGCAATCACTCCTCCCTCGTGCGATAGCCTGAATGTCTCCCGGCTCGCCCATTCCACCCCATCTCACCCACTCCGCCAAACGTCCTCAAACATCTTCCTCCTTAACATCACTCGGCTCAATCTTAACCTTCTTCTCCTCACCCCTCTCTTCACTCTCGTTCGCACGCTTACGACCCTGCGACGGACTCTTCAACTCCTCATCACCCGCCTCCTCCTCATCGGCCTTCTCCTTCCCCGAACCCTTCTTTGCCCTAGGAGACTTCAATGTTCCAGGCTCCTTCTTTGGCTTCGTGGCTGCCTTCTTGGGAGTGGACGCAGGAGTCTCGCCGTTGCTGGTGGATGTACTCACGTTCTTCTTCTTCCAAGAGTAGAGGCGGTTCTCGACGGCTTTGGGTGTGCATTCGGCGAAGCCCTCTATTCGCTTATCAATAATGCCTCCTCGTAGTTTCCAACAGTGTGGAGGCGTGTGGAGGTACTCACCAATTCCAGTGGCGCGGACGCGTCCAGCAATCTTCTCGCAGAGCGCTTTGCCGAAGGAGATCTGGCATTCTTCGAAGACGCCGTGGAGGAGCTAGGGTGGCTTGGTTAGTGGATATGGTGGAAAGAGGAGAGGCCTTGACTTACGATTGAGTCGAGCTCGGGGGTCCACCTCTTTGACATGGTGGTGGTGTTTGCTTGTTGATGCCTAGAGGTTGTCAGTGCGATGGGTTTATTGAATGGTACACAGACAATATACCTGAAATTTGGTAGTTGGGAAAACTGGGTTGAGATATTTGATGTCGAGGGTATGACGAGAATAGAAAAGGAAGAGCAAGGGAATTGAGGGGACGATAGCTTCTTATAGCTCACGAGGACGAGGGGCGGCGCTACTGGAGCGGAGACGAAGCGTAGATCAGAGGTGAAGGTGAGAGAAGAGCTTTCAGACCCTTGCTGCTCCTGCGGCCGCCTCACAATGGCTGGACGCTGACCAAGGTAGACAGTTTTCTTGATGACACTCTTTTGGCAAAGGATTAGGACATGTATAGTCATCGTCGTTGAGGCTATGAGAGTAATGAGACTTGTCAACTGCACGTCGCAGTTCGCAAGATCCATTTCCGTCAAGATCGTCAAAAGAGCAAAAAGAGACCCAAGTCGCAATGAGATGCTGACTACCTCCCCGATACCGCATGCCAGCTCTGTACTCTATCATCGTCGAGAAATCGTAAAAAGCGCAAACCCTGGAAACAAGCCACCATCAAACGCTGACTACCTCCACGCTACGGTAGCCGAATGCCTAAACTCTATGCCATCGCTGTCTCGAAGACACGCGTTCTTCTTGTTCAATTGAAGGCCACACTCTCATCTTCTTTTTCAACCTGAGCCTGGTTGTCAGTTACGCTAGCAAGACCCTCAGCTTCGACCGGCTCCGTCTTGACGCGCTTGGACACAGGCGTGAACTCTTCTTCGTCGTCACCGGTGGTAGCATCAGACTCGGCATATGATGCGGGAGCCTTGGAGGTGCGCACACGCTTACGACCAACAGAAGGCGAGGCAACAGGCTTATCGTCTTCGTCAGCGTCGTCGGAGATTGTGTAGTTGTCAGTGTTCTTCTTGCTTCTGGAGGCCTTTGCGCGTCCACGGCTAGAGGTAGGAGTACGCGGAGTCCTTGGAGTCGAGACTACCTTCTTGGGAGTTGCGCTTGATCCGTCGGAGTTCATTATCTTGTCACTCTTGCGCAAACTGGTGAGACGGTGACTCACGGCCTTTGGGGTACATCCTCAAGATAGTCAGTATGCTGGATGATTTGCTTTCGTGATGAGCTTACCCTCACCAATCTCCTTAGCTAGGTATTCGAGGAGTGGCTGGGAGTTCTTGATGTTGTGGAACGCAAAAATACCTCTGAGGATCTGTGGAGGTAGTCAATACATGATTGTGGTGCATGACAATAAAATTAGCAGACTTACGGTCTGGTCCTTCGTGGCGTCCCAGTTGATCATTTTTGCGAAGTGTGGTAAGAGCTGCGGATGAATCAGTCATCGTCATTGCAGCTTTGGATAGTGTGCCTACTTCTGGAGCTTTATTGTTGTGTGGGTAAGGACGAATTGTGGGGAGCTGTTGGTGTGGGAGTAGGGTGAACGAGGGAAGCAGCTGGGGGTTTCGTGGGTGGGAAGGGTTTTATGGTGGGGCTGGGCTGGGGGTTCGACTGGCACCGTGAAGGTGAAAGACTGGCGCTCCTCCGGAACCCAACATGACGCCACACTAGGTTTAGATGATAGGGAGCAGGCAGCAGTCGGAACGCAGAGGTGAGAGGCACTATCCATAGCGCCGATGCCGCAATATGCTCGATTCGCTGGGGTGTTGCACACGTAAAGATAGGAGGTGAAGGCCAGTCAGTGTTCGACGTGCCCTCGCGCAATGCTCTGACTGAGGTGGCAGCACATCTACCTTGACACTGGGGCATGTCAACCTCCATCCATATTCCAAACGGTCTTAGAGAATTTCCATTCTCCTCCTGCTGTGTTCCCTAACATCCATTAGACAACTGCAGCCGCCATGTGTGTGCTCTTGCGTGTCTGGGAGGGTTCAAACTGATCGGTGTGTTAGGAGGGAGGCAAGCGGTAGACCTGTGGGAGCGCTGAGTGATTCTTAAGGTCGAGCTCCGTAGTTGGTGTAGAACGGTGTAGGGGGGATCAGGTTGATACGTGATGATTGCGGAGGATGATGTTCTGCACATCAGGAAATGATGGTCATGACACCCAGGGCGCGCCTTCTCAATGCAGCTCAGGATGCACGTGGTTGGACGTAAAGGCAGAACCCAATTTCATTGCGCGAAGGCGTTTGGAAGTTAATATCAGGGCAAAATCAGCAAATGCAAGTTGGCGAAAGTACCTGCAACTGCAAGGTCCATGAACGAAAAATTCAAAAAGATGAGCGTGTGAATCATTTCGCGGTATCCAGTGCGAATCCATCCTATTACAGCAGCTGCCAGCCTCAAGGGATCAGACCTAAGGTCAGCGATCTTCACATCTTTTGATATTTCCTCCCTTATCCATCCTCGTCATCACCACGCCTATCTCGCCCGTCACCTTGCAAGAGCTCAGATGTTCGCCTTCTCTCTCCTCCCTGCCTAATCCGCTCACGACTTTCCATGCGCTTCAGCTCACTCATCCACTCATCCTTCGCCTCCTGTGTGCTACCTTTGACGAGGATCTGTACACTGCTTGTTGACCGCAGATGCTGGCTCCGACGCAAAGAGTTGTGCATCGATGCTTTGCTAGTATCACGGCGCTCTGCGTTGATGGAGGATTTGCTCGTCATGCGCTGGTGGTATTCGTGATCGAGCATGGTAGGTCTCGAGTCCTCTTTTGGGGCAGACTGGGGAGTTGACGGCGTGTGGTTTGTAAATGACGGCCGTGGAAGTGGTTTCAGAAGGGTTGATGAGCTTGACGACGACGAGGAGAACCGGCTGTGGAGTTGCCTGGTCGGGGAGATACGGGTGTTGATGTCGTCGACAGAAATTTGCTTCGTTGGAGAGCGTTGGTGCGCCGAGCTACTCAATCTATTGTTACGGGTCGATGGACGACGATGAAAGGTCGGCGATCGGTGTCGATGCGCTCGCATGGCTTCCATCTTCTTGAGTTCTCCTGCCCAGTGGTTGAGATCCGCGAGGTTAGGTCCACGGTGTCTGAACTCTCGGTCCTCAGGGCTGAGCTCTCCGCTCGGAACTTCGTCGATGATCTCTGTCGAGATGCGAAGATCAGTGCGCTGATTAAAGGAGTTGCTGTGCTTGTGGCTGCCGTTTGAAATGCTGGCCACAAGTGAGCGTGCTGGCAGATGGTTCCCCTTGGTCGGGCTTGTGCTCGATCGATGGGGAAGTCGGAACTCCCTGTTCCTCATCGAGCTGACTGTCTGATGTGTGTTGGAACGCGAACGAGATGAAATGAAATCGCTGTTGGAAAGCTCATCCACCATGGAGGCCAGTGCTCCTGAGCTCGTACTTGTGCTCATCTCGCTCTTGATGCTCCGCAAGAAATTACCGTAGCTGTAACCATCATCATCGTCACCACCGCTGCTCGAACCATCAGCCTCAGACGCAACAAGACGTTCCGCATCCTCCAAGATCTTCACTGCCCATGCTGCTTCGAGTGCAGTATCGTCAAGTTCCAATTCGCTGCTTTTGCGCTGCGTGCGAAACATGCGTAGTGCTTCTCGTTGTTCGTCCAGAATTGAGACAGCCAGGTGGGTGGGGGGTGGCACATAGTCCATGTGATCTTCAGTGATATCAAGAACTTCTGGGATTGGCATGAGAGTTTCATTGTTCATCCAGTCGTTTTGTTGCGGCAACTCCAGCTCGTCATCAATGCGTAGTTGACGCTGCAACGCAGCCTCATCGAGAGCGTGGCTTCGCAGCCTCTCTGGAAGGTCCTCAACAATAGCCGTTTTCAGCTTCACTTTTCGAGAGTGTAGGACTACCTGAGCAGCTTGCTCAACATCTTTCAGCCTGATCATTGTAGCTGGAACGAAACCATTCTCGCCGGAGTAACGCATATTGTTACGGGCCAGGCAGTACTTACGCGCAAGACTGTCAACGTCAATCTTGACCCTTTCGTAGATTTCCCGGGCGTCTGCATCATTCGGTACGATTGGAGAAGCTGGTTCGTGGTCTATGGCTGTGACGGGTGTTGACATCTCATGTTGCTCGACCTGTGGTGTAGATTTCCCCCAGAACCCATCTCTAGAGAACGAGTTGCCTATCGGCATGGGCGAAAGAGGTGTTACTGGACCTGACGTTATGACATCCCAACGCAACGTTCGCGGTGTGATAGGTGCCGGAATGCGCCTTAGTGGGAGCGAAGTGGTCGCAGTGTGCAGGCGCGTGAGCTCAGTACGTGTCGGCGTCGACTGGAAGATTGCTTGCGGCACTGTAGGTGCTGAAGCCGTTGTCATAGCTCGCGGTCGCTCCGCAGGATGTACCGTCGCGTGGAACTCGTGCAGGTGGATGTCGAGTGGAGATGATCGAACGTTGTCTTCCTTGCTTGCGGCCTCGATAGCAGCAACAACAGGCCTCCATTTCTCGGCCGCGAATTTCTTCTTCCAAGCCATGGCTACCTCCAATGCTTTTTCACGTTGCGCATCGTCTGTCATGTACTTGAGCGAATGGCGCACGTGCGGTTTTGCGAGAAAACCGTCAGGTAGCTTCAGTGACGACTTCGGCGGGAGCTTTGGGACTTCGGCCTCGTTAGGCACGATGCTGTTGACGATGAGTCCTAGTCCCGGGTCCATTGTGGATGTGCGCGCAGACCAGTAGTGTGGTGTGGTTGAAATGGTTGTACTGAGAAGCGCCTTGGGGCAAAGGGCCGGTACTGGCGCAGCAAACTACACGTATCAGCATGATTCGAGGTGAAAGTGAACTATGAGGCAGCTATGCAGATTCTTAGCCGAAAAGTTCCGATTTCACTCTGATGTCGAGCTCATGATGCCTTTCACTAGACCCTGTAAGTCTTCGAGTCATAAGGTGGGACAAAGGAAACGTTGACTATGGGTTCGAAAAAGTTCAAACGTAATAAAAGGAGGCGGTGTTAAAGATGGGATGTCGATAGGATGCTGTCTTTTGAGAAGACTTCTAGATGGTTGATATGGTATCCAACTCCACTAATGCAAAGGCATTGTCTATTCCAGGAATGTAAAGAGATTCGTGTGAACGACATTGAGAGCGCGGTCTGCCTCGCGCTCCTCAATGACGCATGAGATGTTAATCTCGCTGGCACCTGAGAAGAGTGTTAGATGTGACCTAGCAATCCATGGAATGGCAGTACATACCCTGCGAGATCATCTCGATGTTGATGTTGTTGTTGCCCAGCACGCTGAAGAACTTTCCACTGATACCAATCATGTTCTTGAGCTGCTTTCCGACAAGGCTCACAATGGCCATGTCAGGCACAATGTCGATAGCGCCCAGTTCGCCAAGGTCGTTGACAGCGCCCTGGAGATCCTTATCCTGAATCTTGTACTCATCTTCGCCGCCACCGCTCAACAGGGCGGACTCAGAGTGCAGTGCCATAGAAACGTGGACCTCAGAAGAGGAAATGAGATCCACAGACAAGTGCCAGCGGTCCAGAATGCTGAAGATGTTCATCAGGAAGCCGTGAGCACGAGTGCGCTTGTTGCTGTGAACGTTCAGAACAACAATGTTGTGCTTGATGGTGACAGCAGTAGGCCGCTTGGGCGTGTTCAGTGCGCTCAGCAGACTGGAAGAGCGCGTGCGGAAGAGGCCGTCCCTGAGAGGAGAGTGCGACTCCAACGCCTTCAAGTTGTCAGGAAAGATGATGGTGCCTGCGCCGCGCGGGTTCATGACATTCTTGATGCGGATGGGGATGCGTGCGCGAATGACCTGCTCCATTGTGAACGGGTGGATGACTTCTGAGCCGTAGAAGGTCAACTCAGCAGCCTCAGAAGGCGTAACGCTGGGGAGCAGAGCAGCCGTAGGGACCTTGCGAGGGTCGGCCGTGAAGATGCCATCCACCTCCTTCCATATCTGGAGCTCCTTAGCCTTCACGCCCACAGCTACCAGAGCAGCGCAGAGGTCGGTGTATCCACGTCCAATGGAGTTCAAGAGACCGCCGGGAACATTGCCAAAGAAGCCAGTAATGACTGGGACCTTGTCACCGCATGCCTCCACCTCTCTGGCCAATGCTGCAGCCAGGTCTGCGTAGAAATGCTCATTCAGACCCTTCTTGGGGGTGTGGAAAGTGATGATATCGGCGAGGTCAACGAATTGGGCAGGCGTGCCACGGTCGTTGAGCAGCGCAGCCATATAGCGACAGCTGAGCTTCTCGCCCTTCGCAACGATCTTGTCCTCAGCACGGCTGGTGACTTCCTCCAAGTGCTGCGCCGATTCCAAGATCTTGGTCAGGCTCTGACATTCGGCATTGACCTCCTCGGTGAAGGCAGCGAGGATCTCGGCGCTCTGGAAGGTGTCCTTGGCGGCCTGGATGTGGTCGGTGCGGATGGCTTCGACGATATCATCGTAACCGCGATGGCCCTGCTTCTCGGCGGCGCGGGCGGTGCGAAGGAGGCGATTGGTGGTGCCCTCGGTCTTGTTCTTGGTGCTGCGAGCAGAACAGACGATAGCGGCGCGATTGACTTGGTTGCCAGCCCTGAGGGGTTGTTGTTAGTTTCTGGCCATCATGGTGTGGGGGATGCGCGACCCTTACTTGACAATGCCCGCTATATTCTCCGCAAACTTTCCAACACTCGTTCCCCCAAACTTGAGCACAACCCAGCCTCCCGGCAGATGCTTCTCCTCGGTGTGGTTCGCTATCCGCTCGACCTCGCTCCTGTGGCCGTTGGTGGTTGCAGACATGGTGATCACGTGCAGTGTTTTCTTCAATTCCAGAGAAGGAAATTCGATAATTCGGTTATGTAGATGTTCGTAGGATATCTGCTATATGCAGCAATTGAGTGTTTCAGTGACGTGGATAGAGTGTGAGCGACTTTCTCGTTGTGAGTCTTGGTGGGGCCTGACTCTTCTTTCTTCCGGCGTCGGTGTGGCTAATGAACATTCGGCCAAGTGACCAATTCCTCCGCCCGTTCAAATGTCGGCAGAAGAAAATTCACGAACTGTGGTTTGCGGACGCCCAGCCCTGTCCACCCTTTAGTAACACTGTTGAATCATATTCCCTATCTCGAGCCACGTCGCACCGCGTTCTGGCATCTGACAACGCAGTCTCACAAATGCTGCGTGCAAGCTCGTGCTGCTGTGGAACTTTTGGCTTGTGATGACAGGCCATCGCCGAACTGCCGAAGTGCGAAAGCCTCACCGAGCGGGAACCTGCAGCTCGTGTGTTCGATCATCCATGTCCTCGGTCCTATCACAGTACATCACCAACGAAACATGCCCATGGAACCTGATATCTACTTGATAAAGTTTCTCTCCCTCTTCACAGTTTCTTCACGAACACAAAATATTCAAAGCATTTGACTTTGCTACGCATACTAGTAACACTCGCTGGACCTGGTATTGACACAATAGCTATTCAGATACTCTTGGAGATTTCTTTGTCTATCCCCATCAAAGCTGTCAGATGTCTTTCCAAGTTCGCGCCCTTGTTGTCAACAGTGCTGCAATTGCAACCTTTAGTGCGGCCGACCGCCCTTACCTTGTTGAAGTCCTTTAGCCTCCCTCCTAGGCGCCTAGGCGCTGCAATCTTGAGTGCAGAGGAGGCGTTGTGCTGCAATATTAGGCGCATAGGATTAGTTTCGCGAGGCTGACATCCTCCGAGGTTTGCATTTCTTGCCCTTTTATTGCCCTGCACTGCACTGCAATCTTTGGTGCGGAAGAGCGGTCCGGTGGCGTATTTGAATCCATTTCGAGGAAAGTAATTGGAACAGCTCTGCAAACCCTAGCACAGTAAGCACCTGGTAAGAGACCCAGGGGAACCGCTGGATGTGATGCGCATTACATGTTTAGGCGCCGAGGACAAGCCAGCCGGATGAAGCTGAGGCCACCGTCGACGTACTTGAACATCAAAAGCAATTGCCAGCATCTAAATGCTGGTATTTGAACTTCAGGGATACTGGAAATATAGACGGGGGTCACGAGCTGCCCACGGGGAAAGTCTGACACGAAGGATACGTACCGCTATGCCCATATGCAGAACGCCCGAGACATCATGTTGGACTGCACACCATCTTTCTGCACTGCAATCTCTAGCGCGTAAGAGCAGTTCGCTTGAATTACTGACCAATCGTGGCCGCAGCATAGCCTACCCCGGCTGCTGGAGGCTTCACCGGTCGAGACTCAGCCTTGCACTGGCATACATGCCAAGGGCTAGCTGCATAAAACCGGAGCGTAAACTATACATGTCTTGCAATACATCAAGATTGATAGGCTATTCCATTGAAGGCCAGGACGCCCACGGGATCGGCCTGGTGCACTGCAATTTCTAGCGTGCAAAAGAGCGTTCAGACGTTGCAGCCTAACATGGAGCCGCTTCTGCACCAATCAGTTAATATGCACTGCAATTCTTAGCGTATGCGAGATATTTTGGAAGACGCCATCTTTATGGCCGATGGCAAATTGAACTTGGGTCCATCCCGACAAGATTTCATCAATCCAACCTTGGAGTCTATATCTCCACGGGCGTAAGACAAGGTGAGACTGGACGGCGACAGAAGTTTTCAGATAATTGCAAGTTCGTATCTCATCTCGAGATCAACCGATAAACGTACTATGGTCTCTTATGTCCATGATGGCGCAGTCCAAGGCCACAAAGGCTGCAGCATCCGGCATGTAAGGAGATTTGATTTTTGCGCAAGAGAGAACTGTATCGATCGAAGAGCTAACAGATTACGTGTAAAGGACTCCCGGAGGAATCAACATATTTGGTCATTTGCTCTGCACATAACCACGACTCGAGGCGGTGGTTTAAGTACAGCCTGCTTAACGTGCACGATCGCGTTGTAGACATCCCGCCAACTTTGTCAACGCCACCTTTCAGCCCAAGCTGGGTAATTACATGCAGAAGCTGGAAGTGCAGCGAGGTCCTTGGTGGACATATGTTGAGCTTCCAATCCGCCCCAGTGTTCGATCAGACTCTCGCCATACTCATTACGACCAATGTTTCGGAAAAGCTTATGCAATTCACTTTCAGGACGCCAGTCATCGGCCATCCACCAGAGTTGGCGATAGCCTTTCAAGTCGTGCTCCGGATAGAATAGTGTCTTCTCATCAGGCCTTGCATAAGTGATACCCCAAGCATCACCCTTCGAATTGGTGACCACAGTGAGAAGGCTCTCAGTGCACGCATAGTGCCTGTCGCCTTCGCCAATGCTTGAAGGAACGGACGCATTGTGCGGTCTCTGGGGACGCGACGAAAAGTGAGACGACGCATCTATGGCGCTCGTGCAGTGCCCACGATCGGACGTCCATTCTTGTCGGCATTCTGAGCTGCAGGTAGGTTTCGAAATGAGCCGAGCCGCAGCTCCGATGCGAGTGTGGGATCGTGGCACGACTGTAAAGACACTATGCCCCTGGAAATGCATGACAATCCGGCCCATAGGGAGCAGTACCGCAATCCCTAGCGCCCAATGGTTATCCAGCTATGAGCAGCCTCGTAAAGCGGACTGAAGTCTCTCCGCGCTGATATTTTGCACTGCAATGCTTAGCATGGGAAGACAGATTTTACCTAGCATAGACGGCCTCCTTGATATCGAAGGACTGTTAGTGCCAAATCTTCGCGCATGCGCCATACGTCTGGCGATCAGTGTCTTTACCTCGTGGAACAGCATCCAATGGCATACGATGTTTCTCTCCCTAGGCTTCGTGCAGCCAAAGCGAATAATGCCTGGTAAGGACTGGAGAGAGCCTTGTACAGATCGATGTCGAAGCCCGAAACATCGCCCCCATGGCAGACTGAAGGACTGTAAGCAAAACTAAGAAACGTTGTCCAGCACTGTAGGACACACGTACGGTCTTGCCGGACGATGCGCATCGCAGGTCTTTGCGGCATGGAAGAGATGGTATGCGAAGCAAAGACGCACTGAATATTAGTGGCCTATCATGTCTTTGGGGCCTGCACTGCAATCTTTAGCGTTCAAGGGTCGGGTGGTAAGGCTATCGGCAGAGGACTGTGTAGGAATGGGACGCGCCGCGTCACATCTAATCAAGCAGCACTGCAATCTTTAGCGCGGAAGAGCAGTCTCGCGAGGCAGCTACGACTGGACCTGAGGCCAACATGCATTGCACTGCAAGTCATGCAACCCTGCATGGCCCTGATCACCGTCGGTTCACACTAAGCACTGCAATCTCTAGTGCAGAAGAAACGTCGGAGAAGCTGGGCAACTTGGTTGGTGCTGGCGAAAAATTACTTTTGCACTGCAATCTTTAGCGCGGACGAGGAGTCTCGCAAGGCTGTCCGTTGGCACGATGACTGCTTTTGGCCTTTTACCGCGGACATCCTGACCTGTGCTACAAACTTCCAACGTCAACGAGCGCATCCCATACGCCAAGCTTCACTCACATACCTTGAACACCTCTAACACCACTTGCAAGTAACAATGTCCATTCGCTCAAACTACATATACTATCGCTACACCGCGTAGCCGCGCACCATCAACGCCGTGCAAATGCTCTTAAATCCATCAAACGCCGTCTCTAAGGTATCGTGCGTCCATGATCATACTGAAACTATAGACGCCACGCCATACTGCATATATTCATAAGAGAGCCCCTCCTCAACACCCTCTTCGGTCCTTCAAGGATACCAGTCCTACCGTCTCCTGTAGATATCATCGTTTCTCCCCCTATTCTCTCTGTTGTCCCTCCCATCTCTGTCACCTCTGCGATCCGGACTACGCGATCGCGTTCTTCCATCTCTTCGATCTCTTGCAACCCCTCTCGAGTCGCCAGGCCGTCTGTCGTCGCGGTATGGTCTGCGCTCGTCTGTGTAACCGTCCCGCGAGTTGGCTGAGTCTCGTGATCCGCGTCTTTGTTGTCGTTCATCTGGTTCGCGTGATCCTCGAGGGCGTTCTCCACCTTGGTAGCTGGGTATGTACGTGTCGCCAGATGGAGGCTGATTCCTCCTTCGATCGCCGCCGTCTGGGCCGTAGCGTGGCGGTAGGGGCAGTGGGTGTCGACCTTCGCCTGGTGGAGGTGGCAGGTTGCCGCCGTTGCCCCAGTTTGGTCGTCTGCCGCCTTCCAGTGGAGGAGGTGGGGGTGGTCTATGGTCATATCGTGGCGGGCCACGGTCGTTGTATCCTCTTGGTGGGCGGTCGACACCTGGTGGCCCGCGGTCCTGAGGTCCGCCATACCGTCTATCGCCGTTACCCCATGAGTTCGGTGGTGGGCCAGAGCCGGTCCATTCTCCGTTTGGTCCAACGCCAACGGTGCCGCCTGCGGGTGCTGGTGGTAATGCCTGCTTTTGCCCTCGAGCATTGCGACGATCGAGTTCGTGCGAGTCGGCGAACGTAGGAATGTCTTCTTCGCGCATGGGCTTAGGGTTCTCCTTGAAGTAAGGGTGGTCAATTGCGTCGATCGCGTTGATGCGTCGCCGCCAGTCTAGTCTCATAAGATCCTTGATCAGAGAAAGACCCGTAGGCGAAAGCTCGCGGAATCTTTGTGCCATAGTACCGTTACTGGGCGGAAATTGGCGGATTGGCTCAGCGCCAGGTAGGTCGTGCCAGCCGGGCATGCTCTGGTCGTTCGGTGAGCCTACGAGCTCGAAGATGATCTGTGCTTGGTGAAGGTCGCTCTGCCCGGTAAGGATAGGCTTGCGCTTGAACATCTCGCCGAAGACACACCCAGCGCCCCACATATCTATTGCGGGGGTGTATCTCCTAAGCTGGAGCAGAAGCTCTGGCGGCCGGTACCATCTTGTGACGACTAGTGTTGTATATTCTCTTCGAGCCTCGCCGTTGCCCTTTCCTCGCTGTGGTACTGGTTCGTCATAATGTCTTGCCAGACCGAAGTCTGCAATCTGGAGTCGCCCACGGTTGTTGATGAGCAAGTTGGCGGCCTTCATATCTCGGTGAAGGATGTGGTTGTCGTGCAGATAGCGCAATCCCTTGAACAACTGCAGCATGTAGCACTTGATCTGCGCTTCCTGGAACTTGACGTCCGGATTGTCGAGGAGACCTGACAGATCGTGGTCCATGTACGGCGTGACCATGTACAGAATGGCCCGCTTACGCCCTTCAGCCCTTGGTCGTTCGACTGCCATCTCTTCCAGCTTCAGGACATTGTCGTGAGACAGCATCTTCAGCAGCTTTATCTCTCGTAACGCGGTGATTGGGAAGCCGTCCTTCTCGTTATGCATCAAGATCTTCTTCAGCGCGAAGACATTACCCGAGCTTCGTTGGCGCGCTTTGTGAACTTCACCAAAAGTTCCTTCTCCGAGCTTCTGCAGCATCTCATACTCGCCGATCTTGGAGCATCCCTTGAACCGCCGCTGCAAGCCATTCTGCGGTGTTCCAGTCGCCGGAGTCGCCATTTGGCTGTCGTTGTGGTGGAAGTTCGAGGATGATGTAGCGCGTTCTTCTTGCTCCGCGGACTCGCTTCGCTATGACGCCCGGCGCGAATCAATCGAGGAGGTGTCGCAAATACGCGATTCGGTGGACATGAGATACCGTGACGATGACTTGAGGCGCGTTACGGTGGCAGGCGCTGCCATGGAGTGGGCGGACGGGCGATGACGCTGTTATGGTGGTGGCAGCATGGTAGCAGCGAATAGAGATGGGGAACAAGAATGCGATTGATGAGCGGATGCGCAATGCTGTTCTTGGCGCCTGCCGCACTAGCTCCGATTGTCTGCAACCTCACCTCGACCACCAGCGAGCACTACGAGCCATTGCACAGCACACGTCGCAGGTACGGATTTACCGCCGCCCATACCCCCTCTATAACGTCGCTGATTAGCTCATAGGCTCAAACACAACCATGCAGCCCACACTCCGCAGGATGGGTCCGCCCAAGTACGCTGAGATGCCGAACCACCCCATCAAGGTCCACCCCGTCCGTCCGCTATACAGATTCATGGCTACCGGCCTCGGCGCCTCTATGTGGTTTTTCGTACGTCTACGATATGCTGAATCTGGCAGCGGCTAACAGGGCGCAGTTGATGTACCGCGCAAAGAAGGATGGCCCGGCCCTGCTTGGCTGGAAGCACCCCTGGGACCACTGAACGAAGATTCGAAGCGGAGAATTGGAAGGAGGGAGAACGATGGTGTAGGAGCTCGAAAGCTTGGGCAAGGAGCATTGTACATATGCGAGTAGAGGACTACCAATGTGGAGGATGACGCACAATATCCCAGCAAGTGAATGCAATGTAAAATTTCAAAAGCCCAGCACGCCATGCCAACGCATTGGTCTGACGTCTCGTTGAACCTGACTTCAATTGATACTCGGCAATGGGAGCTCAGCAAGAGTTATCAACAATGACTGACGCAGCGGGTCTGATTGGTCGCACAAGCCAAATACAACCGTAAGGTCGAAATCATCGAATGTCGCCCCTTCTCAGTCACAACACGTGCAAGCCTTGATCTGCATCGTGGCATCGTTTGTGCTAAAAGGCCAGCGCCGGGGTGCCATTACGCAGACTTCAGTACTGCAAGAATGACGCGCGACTTCTGGTTCAAGTGAACACAATCACAGTATTGTGACTTTAACGCCAAGTGGTTGAGACCGTGAGTAGTTTCATACCCAAAGTAGTTCGCTGTTTGCGGCTTAGTCTGCATCTAGCAATTGAAGACGTCAACACATGCTACATCGAGCGTTGCAGCTCAGCATCAAGATAAGAGCAAAACAATCATCTCAGCATGTACTGAAGTCAATGTGCTTGAATACGAAAAGCCGAAGGTGTAGAAAAGGTAGTAATAGCGAAACAAAGGATTGGCCAGTGGGCGGGTTGTTCGCATTAATGATCTGCGCATTGGTCGCATGCGTAGCGTACGAGTACAAGGACCAGCCTTGAGCGTCTAGTCCCTGGTAATGACAATGGTTGCAAGTCAATAGCGGAAACGTGCGTTGTAGTAGTCACAAGGCTCAAACTGGGTTGTCGCGCGATACAAAAGCCGCTCATTCTTCTTCCCAGTCCGGCCGACAACTGCAGCCTTTGGTCTTCAAGTGCATGACACCCGTCCGACTTGCCTCCACAAGCCACGATGCCCACTCGATTTCATGCTCGACCGCACGGCGGCTCTCACCCGTCTCGATCCGCTCTTCCTTGTTCCGTTGCAAGAAGTCTCTCAGCTTGCTTGCGCACTGCACAACGGACGGTATCGAAGCCTCGCGGTCACTGTTTTTCCTCTCCAAGTCGTTGTATACCATCCGTTCTAGTCTTCCTACCAGGGAGGAATACACGTCACCGCTTTCGTCCCACTTGAACAGCATCTTCGCCCGCTGTTTTAAGCGTACGGTGTCTTCTCTTGTGGCCTTTGTACATTGGAGAATACGCTGGGGTTTGGCTACATGGAAAGAGCCAACATCCCTCATGACGACAATGTCGTCGAATGAACTGTCTTGATCAAAGAGCGCATCAAACGGCGGGGCTTGCTCCTCGTTATTCGGGTCCCAGTCACACTCTGTATCCGGGTACTCGTCCGAGTCGTACCACAGAGGTTCCGAGTAGCTGAAGCCGTAGCCTTCGCGCTTTCTGGTGGGGTGTGAGAAGACAGATGGATCTGGCACCTTTGGTTCGTGGTTGGATTCTGAAGAGAGGTCCGACGGCGTTTCTGAATAGTCATGGTGTAGAGGTCCGGTAAAATTGTTCTGCGCGGTTGTGACGAGTAGTTCGGAGAAGCTTCTGTTCAGGACCTTGTCTTCTTTGCCTGGTCTGCTGGGAGTAAGGCGCTTGGTGGGCGAGTCGATCGGAGATAGCACGGGCTTATATGGTCGCGTATCCTCGAGATTCGAAGACCGCCCTCTTCTTCTACCTTTCTTCAGGGGACCTTGAGCATCTCTCGGTTGAGTGCTGAACGAGAACCGCAAGGTGACATCTGGGCGCATTGCATGTCGATCTGCTTTAGGAGTGACAACTGAGAGCTTCTTGCTAGACCGCTGCTTTCTGGGTGTTGAAGGCTGACGAGTTGTGGACTTCTGCACTCTGTTCGATGAAGTTGTGGACTTGGAATGTGCCCGAGGCAGTTGAGCTGCTACTTCAGTCCTGGGTTGTCGATTATCGGCTTTTCTTGCGGAAACAACAGAGTGCGCAGATCTTTGTGGTGTTTCTTGACTGGAAGGCTCCGCTGTTGGAAATGCGCCCGGTATCGATAAGCGTTTCTTTGGTTTGTTTGTCACTCGCCGCTTTGCCGGTGTTTGACACGGCTGTGGCGCATTAGTACATTGCGACAACCGAGCGCATGTTGCAACCAGTGCGATTTCGCGCGCGGTGGAGAACTTACAGAATCGAACATGTCGTCTGCTTTCCTTTTCTGCTTCACTGGTGTCATCATGGCTGTTCAAGTACCTTGGGTGTCATGTTGGTGGGGATCGATGGCTGGTAAATGTGGGGGTGCGCGTTTCAGAGTAGCGTGGGATTTTCGTGTTGTCGCGTCTCATGATCTGCTTCTTGTTTACAACAACAACAACAACAGAGGAGACCGTTGGCGCCTACAGAACTCTCTGCCCCACCGCTGTGCGTTTCCAAGACATGTTAGCAACAATTCGTGGTTGGACGCGACTTGCTCGTAGCCCCTCCTGCTAGGCGAGAGAACGAATGATGAGAAAGGAAGCATTGCGTTCCTTGTGAATCGCGCTTTCATGCTGCCCCGTGATGGTTTAAGTATCGCTGTGGTATCATCTTGCGGACTTCGACCCGCCAAATCCTTCTTGAACGCCGTTCGCCCAGATATCAGCACCTGCTCACTTCTTGCCATTCTCCATTAGCTCTACGCCGGTCCGTACCACACCAATGGCAGCTCCTGTCTGTATTGCTTCGCTGCCTCCTCCGCTGAGCCTGTACTCAATGTCTGCCATACCCGACATCCATGTTACCATAACTTGAGGAGGAACATCGTTCTTGACCAGCTCCTCGCTTACGGTAGTGAGGATGTCTGCAAGCGCCAACCCCTTCCGGGTCTTCAGGTTGTTGACTGTGCGCAAACACTGGGTCATTTCGTTCGTCGACAGCAGTGTGTCCAGGATGAACTTGATGTCTGAGGGGTGCGGTGCTGCAATGCAGTCGTAGATAGTGGTCTGCGTGATCTGGTCTCGCACAATGGCGCTCGGATCGGCTGCGGGCTTTCCAGGAGGCTGCAGTGGTGTGCTAGAGGCATGGCATGCTTGCAGAACGTTGAGCGCTCGTCTCATGTCGCCCTTGCTGAGCGCCACTAGCGACTCTGTAGCGTCTTGTGTGATGTTGACCTTCTCGTCTTCGACAACCTTGTCTACCAAATTTCGGATGTCTCGCTCCTTCAGTGGTGAAAAGCGGAAGCGGGTACATCGGGAGAGAAGTGCCGGCGAAAGCTTGTGTGTGTAGTTCGCGATGATGCAGAACCGTGTGTTGGCCGTGTACTTCTCCATGATTCGACGCAGGGCCATCTGCGCGGTCGAAGTCATGGCATCTGCCTCGTCTAGGATAATGAGCTTGAATGTCGCAAGCGATGCATCCCCTGACTTTGGCGCGGCCGAGAAGATCTGTTTCGTACTACTGAAGGTTTTGATCTGCTCTCGTACAACGTCGATGCCTCTGTCATCTGATGCGTTGAGTTCCAGTACCATCTGCCTCATATTCTTGTTGCCATATATGCGTCGTGCTAGGGCGAGTACAGTCGATGTTTTGCCCGTTCCCGGTGGTCCGTAGAGAAGAAGATGTGGCAGTCGGTTCGAGTCGACGAATTTGTTGATTGTGGCTATAATGTCTTGGTGCCCCTCGACGTCTGCGAGTGAATTTGGCCGATACTTCTCGACCCTATGCTGAGGTCAGCCAACACATTTGTTCCACAAACAATGCTACTAACCATGGCAAAGAGTCCTCGGCTTCGACCGGGAGATTGGCTGCACTACTCTTGCCTTTCTTTGTATCTCCACCAAAGCTGATCGAGTTGTCTGCAGCAGGTGCATCAATGTCCATTTCATCCTCGATGTCCGACATGATGGTAATGAGTAGGATTCAATGAAACCTAAGCGGGAGAAGAAGACGAAGAAAATGGACAGAGAGGATGTCGGTGAGTGCAGAAACGAAGACTTTCACGGCAATGACGACGCGAGTTGGGAGACGCGACGGACGCGTTGATTGGCAGCTGCACCTGCATTTGCTTAGTCAACCCCCGCGGTTCAGCCCTACAGGCATACCTCACATCATGGAGCTGCGCCATCACCGCCAACTGGACCCCACGAAAGCTCCACACACCACAACGACACTGGCAACATACATCCAAGATGCCTGTAAGCATTGCACTAAGTTCTGCGATTACACCTTTTAAGCTGTTTTTTTGCAATTGCTTTACGTAGCTGACCCCACTAGGCCTACCACTCCGTCTTCCTCGATGAGCCCAACCAGCAGCTAATTGGTACCTTGACCTCTACCTGTCACTGCCCGCCCTCTTCTCACGCACAACAACAGGCAACTTTGCGCTCCTTCCCCTCCGCACACGGACCCGCGGACCCGCACAACAGCTCCCAGCGCTTCCCGCCGATGTAACAGAGCTCACCATCGATGCATCACATGAGTCGTACGACCCTCTGGACGAGATCCTCGCTCTGTTCCGCGCAAACACATTCTTCCGCAATTTTGAGATCAAGGGCCCCGCCGACCGCGTGCTGATCTACGGTATCCTGTATGTGAGCGAGGTCTTGGGCAAGATCAGGCCGGGTATGGGGCGGAGGGAAGCTGAGAAGGTGCGTTTAGGGAACATTCTGCATTGATACGAGGATAGAGCTGGGCTTGCTGACATGCCATACAGGCGGTCATGAACCTCGCACTCGACACCAACTTCTCGATCCCAGGCGATGCGGGATTCCCCTTGAACCAGGCTTTCGAGGCGCCGCCAGACAGGAACTCAGCCGAGGTTCTGAGACAGTACATTATGCAGATGCGACAGGAGTTGGCTACAAGGCTGTTGAACAGAGTGTATGCGGACGAGACAGGTGCGCCAAGCAAGTGGTGGCTGAGCTACACAAAGAGGAAGTTCATGGGCAAGGCGTTGTAGACGGGCAGGAATTCTACTGGATCGATGAGGACACGACATAGGATCAAGGTGGCTGTCGATACCACTGCTGCCAAATAAGAAAGACAATTGAACCTTGCCAGGCTGTTGAACCTTGCACAGGCTGTTACAGCCCACCAAGCATCCTTTTGCCAACTTGAACTGAGCAGGTCGAAACTCGCAAGCAGGGAACGAGTTTCAAGCGACCGTTGTTTCGATTCCGGCAATTCGGCTTGATGACAACAATAGCCCCATCGTGACACAACAATAAGACATGATGGCATCTGCACTCGGCAACTCGAATGAATAATGGTACTCAGATCTAGCTTCAAGTCTCCACAGGTGTCTCCACCGCACTCGTCTCTGCAGGCGTTTCCACCGCGGTCTTCCTCTTCTTCCTCGTTCCATGCCCTCTCGCCTCGACCCTTCCTTCAACCGGTATAACGCGTGTAGCCGTGAACAAATATCCCTCAGCACCACCCTTGCTTGTCATCATAGGATGCGTCCGCTCGGGGAGTACCTGCCACTGTCTCGCGCGCGCAGTTTGCAAGCTCGGCGCAAGCAACAACGTCGGGTTAATCGGGAAATCCTCATCCTCGTCTGGCGCATCACCGTTCGCGTCCGCCTCCAGCGTCCTCTTCCTAGTCTGCTGCGCATCTGTGCCGAACTCCTTTGCAATAAACGCCGCTCGTCGTTCCTTGCTGTAACAATCCACAAGCTCAACAAGCGGCTCCACGTTCTGGTGGTATACAGCCACCTTCCCTCCACCCCTCACAAGCGGCACTAGTTCCCTGAGCACGCCCTTGACATCCATGCTCGTAGCAACGACCAACCCATCAAACCCACCCCGTTTCGTCTCATCAACCACTCTCTTCGTTTTCTCCCACCGTCTCCGCTTCTTGTAGTAATTCCCGCGCTTGCTGCTCTTCATGCTTTCCAACTCTGCGGCGGATAGCAGTTCGGGCTCGATGTAGCTCGGGTCGTCCTGCGGTGAGAGGAGCGAGAGCCAGGAGAGAGATTTGAGGTGCTTGTATAAGGGATGGGAGGGAGAGGGTTGGCCGACATCGTAGCCGAAGTATTTCAGGCAGGCGAGGTTGGGTTGGTTGTTCGGGTGGAGGATGGTGAGGGTGTTTGTGTAGGCGGACATTTGGGGGATGTGCGGTCGTGCGGGTTTTCGGGGGCGAGTTGAGGGGTCGGATGTGGTGGTGTCGGCGTCGGCGTCGGGCATTGCGGTGTCGCGTTGGGCGTCGTTTTCTGCAGGTGCAGGTGCAGGTGCAGGTGCTGGTGCTGGTGCTGTCTCCTTCTCTTCCGACGAGGTGTCGTCTTCTTCTTCTGTGGGGTAGAGGAGGCCCATCTTCTCGGCGAGTGCTGCGGTAACGAGACCGGCGGTGTCGTCGACTACGAGCCAGCGTCCTCCGCCGATTTGGCTCACTCCGTCCTCGGCTGTCAGGACGCGGCTCTTTGCGCCGCAGTGGACGTTTGACCAACTGCAGATCAGACCGAGCAGATCTTCTCTAAGCTCCATGATCCTGTAAGCCTCCTTCTCCAGAATGTGCTCAGTAAGTCTCCCAACATCCAACGGCAGCGCTGTGAACCTCCTCAAAAACTTGCGCGATTTCCTGAGTGTGTACTTGGCCAGCGAGAAAGCCGTCTTCTCGCTGATTGCTTGATGCGACGCCATAATCTTCGCGATGATCTCCTTCCCTGACCCAGTGCCAGCCTTCTTCAGTTCCTCGATCTCTTCCATGGTGAGCGTCTGCCGTGTTGCATCGTCGACCGTTAGCTGGTTATTGCGCATGATCACCTCGCCGTCAGTGCCCACGATATCGAACCCAGCACCGCTTTCAGCACTGTCGCCTGCTTCTTCCGCCGCAAGGGGAGGCGCATGCCCGTCTCCTACTGCTTCTGCGTGGAGCTCTGCGGCTGGTACGACGCGCAGCTCGGTCTTCGCTTTGCCGTCATCTTTGTCGAGGAGCTCGTATGTGAGGTAATACGGCCGGCCGAGTAGGAGGTTTGAATTGAAGGTTCCGAATTTTCCCAGGAAGATATTGCTGTACCCACATAAGCACCATCGCTTGAAAACCAAGGCGACATGGAGGGCTCACTCCGGCTATGCAACGTACGTGTTGGGTGTGAGCTCGACGATCTTCAAGATGCCCGAGGGCAGGCGCAACGCAACATGCGTATTGGGCCGTATGTGGGAATGCATGCTACTTGCTGAGTGTCACTCGTTCCGTGTGCGATCAGCAAGTCATGTGCGACAGCGAAGCTCCCCTATGCTATATGTGGTGACCGTTGCGACAGGCGCAAGGCCAAGATTGTACCTCGATGGTAGATTGTACCTCGAACGGTAAAAAGTGGTCTCGGTGAAAAAATGGCCGACTCGATCGAGATTCACATGCGCTTGCTTCCCCACGCCGCGCCACAACACCACCTGTGGCGCAGCTGGCGCAATTACGTAGCTACTGCACCGGCTCGCAGCTTCCGCATTGCTGTACGGCTGGCCGCGTATGCACGAGGTCCCGCTACGCCACACCTTCGCAGTACTTGCTCTTCCACAATCGCAGCTTTAGGACTCCCCATAGTTTGCTCTTGGTCTGAACACGAAAGCCAAGCTACTACTCCTGCCCAACACCCACCCTGGTGGCTTGGAGCTTGCTTGCTCACCCACTACCTACACTCCTCTTCTACACCACCACCACCACCACCCCCCCCCCCCGACGCGATGGTGATGAAGCCCTCCACAGACGAGGGCCTTGTACCAGCGCCTCTCTCGAAAGCGAACCCTCCATATCCCCTCACGCCGGGCGAAGACTGTCCACCTGCCATTCCTGCCTCTTCCGCGCACAATGGCTACCCTGCAGGCTCCAGCGGTACCCCAGCCTTCAACTTCAAGACGCCAGACACAGCGCCCCCACACAAAGACGACAACTTACTGGACGAGTCTGACTACAGCGACGAAGACTGGGACAAGTCCGACGAGGCCGACGACGACGACGACCCATGGGACGATTCCAGTCCTGTAGGCGTGCCAGACGCGCTGAGGCCTGCAGGAGGAAAGGCCCCGGCTACATCGGACAGCACCCAAAGCGCTATACCAGATGCGCTGAGGGCTGGTCCGCCAGCGGGTGTGCCTATCAAGAAGTCCTGGGAGAACATCTCGCCCATGGCAACTGGAGCCAGCGGGGTTTCCTACGGCGCTGTAAGCACGATCTCGAATGACGGGTCGTCTGGCTCTGTACCGCTGAAGACAAACAACCCCTATCTGAAGATGCAGACGACCGGGCAGAGCACGTTCGACGGAGAGAATGTCTGGGGTGATTCACACGGACAGTCTCAACGCTTCGAGCCGGTGGAGCTTCCTGCTTTCCAGACGCCTGTCACACCCACGAACAACACGGCCAACCTGAGCTTCAACAACGAAACACCTCAACACCAAAGAAAGCCCTCTGTTGACCAGCCACCTCTGATCGCGCTGGAGACTGCGACCCCACATACCGAGCATCCAAGAGACGACTCTCCAAGTGCCAACCCATGGAGCACAAGCGACACTGCGCCACGGAATGGGCGGCCTGAAGCCCGCGCTCACCAGGAAGCTCAAAAGACTTGGCAAGAGCCGGATGTATGGCAGCAAAATGAGCCTACAAGGCAGACCCAGGAACCCGCTAGCGCTCATAGTGCGGTGGGAAGCGTGGAGCCAAGACAGACACCTGCAGATGAGTTCCATCGGCAACAGCAGGTACCTGCGTACAAACCACAACAGCACAAGTCCGTTGTTCCATCTACACCGCCCCACGTGGAACAAGACCTCGCAGCATCGGCACCCCAGCCAAACTATACTCCTCCTCCTGCCCCTCAGTCGCAGCCTCCTCCCCTCCCCAATGCGCAGCAGCTACCGCCACACACCACCTCACAGCAGACACCGTCACCGTTCCAGGATGAGCCACTGCCGCCACCTCGATCAAGAAGGTCAACAGAGGAGCAGCCGCCGCCCTTTCCTCCACGACCGCTCGAGACAGGCTTCATCGAGGCTACGCCTCCGGGGCCCGAGTCGCCGAATACTGCTATGAACCGGCAGAGGCGAGAGCACTACCAGATCAAGCACATTCGATGGCACGATGTCAACAAGCCCGGCATCCGAACCTCGCCTATCCTCACTCAAAACCTGAACGGGCCGTGTCCCTTACTTGCTTTGGTGAACGCACTGGTACTGTCGACTCCAGCTGGTATCGAGACTGCGCTGGTGGAGACACTACGTACACGAGAGCAAGTGAGCCTTGGCCTGCTGCTCGACGCGGTCTTCGATGAGCTTATGTCGGGAAGGCGAGGGGATGCAGCGCAGGAGCTTCCAGATGTTAGTGACTTGTACAAGTTCCTCCTCACTCTTCACACCGGTCTCAACGTCAATCCAATGTTCGTACCTGACACGGACGCTACTCACGGTAACACCGCGCTTGCAAACCGCCCCGGAGCCAAAGCTGGAGGTTTCGAGAACACGTCTGACATGAGATTGTACCGTACATTCGATATCCCACTGATTCATGGGTGGCTGCCAGAAGAAGGCTCAGAGGCCTACCAAGCTTTCGAGCGTGTGGCGAAGTCGTACGAGACATCGCAGTATGTTCAATTTCAGGAGGAAGAGCTGGACGCAAAGTTGCAGTCTGGTCAGCCCTTGACTGACAGCGAGCAACAAATGTTCACGGACATCCACGCTATCAAGGAATTCCTGAGTCGGTGGCCCACTCAGCTGACAGACCACGGTTTGAAGATCATGAAGGACAGCTTGCAGCCTGGTCAGGTCGCAATCTTGTTCCGTAATGACCATTTCTCGACCGTATTCAAGGACCCCCGAACCCAAAACCTTGTTACTCTAGTCACAGACCAAGGCTACTCGACTCACGACGAGATTGTGTGGGAGTCTTTGATCGATGTCAATGGCATGGGAAGCGAGCTATTCTCGGGTGACTTCCGGCCCGTTGGTAATCACGAGTCCGCTCCCCAAGGAACGATACAGCACCAGGAGCAGAGTCCGGTCGTTGGTGACAGCCAGGGCTGGACGACAGTTCCAACTCGACGACCAAACCAACAGCGATTGGCTCCGGTTACAGAACCTGCCACGCAGGCTGAAGAGCCAACCTCGCCTACCGGCCCTAGCAGGGCTGAACAAGAGGACCATGATCTAGCTTTGGCGCTTCAACTTCAGGAAGAAGAAGAGGACCGCGAAAGGCGTGAGGCCGAGCAACGCGTGCGAGATAACGAGGCGTCCGAGAACGCGATAGCAGCGCAAGCCCGCGAACGCCCCGCTAACCGCAGAGCCTCTCGTCCCGGAGAGCAACCCCCAGTGATCCCACCGCGCCGCAACAACATCACAGGCTATAGGCCAAATGAAGGCCCAGCACCGCCACCAACTTATGAAGAGGCTTCAACAGCTCCGCTGTACAACCCTCCGCCAGGTCACCCTGCGAATCCAAACGCACTACTACCGGGTCAGGGCAGTGCGTATCAAAGCAACAGCGGTGGCCTTGCTCCCGGAGCTGGTCCCTCGGGTCGCCGATACTCCGGGCGTCAACCGTCAGGATCGAGCATTGGGCGACCTGGACGGCGACAGAGTGCCGGAGTGGTGGGACCGAATAGCGAAGAACGGGAAAAGTGCGTTGTCATGTAGACACGCATCGTCGCTCTCCCATCGTGCTTCCCATTGCTGACGTGAATGGTGTTCAGGAGTTTTGCGCAGCATTGTCGGTCGTATTGTACGATGAGCTGAGCGGTGTATTTGTTTTCGTTTATACCCGGGCGTTGCATTTCCTTCCCGGCTGATCGGCCTTGGCTTCTATGATAGCTAGTATTTAGACTTATCGCGCAATTCGAGCATTCGCCAACCTTTTTTCCCTTCGTACGCACATTCGCAATGACATCACGCGGCAGAACACCCTACCGTACAGATCAAGCCTTCACGGTGTGAGCTGCATGCTGTACCGCGAAATGCGCTTGCTCGCAACGCCTATGACGCAATGTCAGCTATTCTCGCTTGGCGTCTGCCACCTTCTCTATCCAACATGGGAGGCCCAACACAGATCACAGCCTGGTCATCGAAATCTGGGGGCCCCGCAGTTCAAAGAATGCCTTGGCTATGTGAAACACCAAGCCTTGGCTGCACATTCAAGACTCGGATTGGCAGGAAAAGCTCTGTCAGGCAAAGCCACCCGTCCTCTTGATGTCAGTGGTAAGGGTGCATCACACGACATACAGAACGGTCAAGGCAAACGCGAGCCGTTGCAATGGTGTTCTTGATCAAGCATATGTTTCGCTTTATCCTCTGATCTTGCCTTGTCACCCGCCCTTCGTAAGTCGTCGTCCCAACTCACAGCGCACATCAATGGCTACAGTAGAGGCAGGCCAGCCTACAGCTGTGCCAGACACAGAACGAGACCCAAACTATGGCGAAGGCGAACACATAGATCAGTCACAGACTGATCGCATCATCAAAGGTGACAAGGTTGAGCTACAAGACAGCGATGCTTGGGAGTGTTTGGGGTACTCTTTCAGGACTTGGCGGAAATGGTGAGTGCCTCCAGACCCCTTGAGCAGCAAGAATCAAGCTCTCTACATTTCCAATGCTAAGGATATCACTCTAGGCAAATTCTCATCGTCGTATTCTTCATCCAAATCAGCATCAACACAAACGCCTCCATGTACTCCCACGGCGTTTCCTTCGTGCACAAACAATACGGCGTTAGCGAGCAAGTAGCCCGCATCCCACAAGCACTCTTCCTTATCGCATACGGATTCGGGTGCGAGCTGTGGGCGCCATGGTCAGAGGAGTATGGGCGCTGGCCGATTCAGCAGCTCAGCTTGTTCCTCGTCAACTTGTGGCAGATCCCGTGCGCTCTGTCGAAGAACTATGCCACCATCCTTGTGTTTAGGATCCTAGGTGGCTTGTCGACTGCTGGTGGTTCTGTCACGCTGGGTGTATTGGCGGATATGTGGGAACCTGATGAGCAGGAGTATGCTGTCGCGTTTCTGGTTCTCTCGTCTGTTGGTGGTTCAGTCGTAGGTGCTATCATCGGGGCGTTTGTTGAAGCGCGACTCTCATTACCATGGTAAGTTGAATCAGTTGTGCTGTTGCACACGCATTGCTGATCATGTACAGGATCTTCTGGGTTCAGCTCATTATGGGAGGCTTCGTCCAGGCCGTCCACTTCTTCTGCAACCCCGAAACCAGATCGACTATCCTACTTGACCGTGAAGCAAAACGGAGACGCAAGACTGGCAAAGACCCGAACATCTACGGGCCTAATGAGATTCGTGGCGGGCATAAGATTAGTGCTAAAGAATGCGCAACCATCTTCTGGAGGCCATTCTACATGTTCTTCACCGAGCCCATCGTCCTGTGGCTCTCCCTCCTCAGCGGCTTCAGCGACGCCCTAATCTTCACCTTCCTCGAGGGTTTCAAGCCCGTCTACGAACAATGGGGCTTCGGCGTCATCCAGCTCGGTCTTGCCTTCATACCCATCTTGATCGGCTACTTCCTCGCATATCTTTCGTACATGCCCTCGATCATTCGCTTTCGCCGCAAGCGCAAGCAGAACCCCGATTCAGTCGCGCCTGAAGCTCGACTCTGGTGGTTGCTGTTCCTTGCACCGCTTGAATTCCTGGGCATGATGGGCTTTGCGTGGACAAGTCTCGGACCGGATTATGGGATTCCGTGGATCGCACCGATGATTTTTACGACGCTTGTTGCTATGGCAAACGTAAGTCTGCTGTCTACATATATCTCTCACACGTTGTGTTCAAGGTTTGACATCGCATCAGTACGCCATCTACCAATCCTCAATCGACTACCAAACCGCCGCCTACGGCCCGTACGCCGCCAGCGCCACAGGCGGCAACGACCTTGCGCGAGACTTCATGGCCGGTGTCGCTGCCCTATACTCCACGCCCTTATACAAAAACATTCCAGGCAGACCGGTGCAGTATGCTAGCACGCTCCTGGCTTGTCTAGCGGTGGTAGTTACGATTCCGATCTACATCGTGTATTGGAAGGGCCCGGATATTAGGGTGAAGAGTAAGTTTGCGCAGAGCTTGGATAAGACGAGGGAGGAGAGGACGGAGAAGAGGAGGAAGAGTAGTTTGGCAGGTTTGAATGTGGAGAAGGCCGGAAGGGAGCATCGGGAGAAGGTGTGATGAGCATCGTATGAAGATGAGATGGTGAAAGACGGCTTGTTCAGAAGACCATTTTGCTTCTGCACTTGAACTATTGTCTCTGAATTTACACATCTAGGATCTTTTCGTGATGGCAACCTGGCACGACTGAACTGAGAAGAGCACTGGCAAGCTGCACTGCCATTTTTTTTTTTAGCGCGGAAGGGAAGGTGGGTAAGATCAGGCTGGAGTTCTTCAGCTGTCCCAACGCAGTTGCTGTACGGAGCTAGAGATTGCAGTGCACTTCAGTGGCTAAAATAAGTTTGCCGGAACATGGCGAGCCTCTCAGTCGAGAGAGCCACACAGGGCCTCTTGCGCTGCAACCTTTAGCGCGGAAGAGCAGTAGACAAGGCTGCCCGCTCTGTGTTACTGCCTTGCTCTGTCAATCATGCAGAGCCCTACTTGCACTGCAATGTCCAACGCCGAAGATTAGTTGCAGCAAACGACTCCATCAGCGCTGATGTCAAGCACTAGATCTTTGCCTTGCACCGCTGCGGTTGAGTGTGCTACTCTCTTTTCATACTTTACTAAATGTTACCGAAAAAAGAATGCCCATCTTGGAGGGATTCGACCTGACCAAAAACCTCATTATTGGCAAGAGAGCATGCCCTACAATAAAGCATGACAACCTCAGCTACTCAACAACTCTACAAATCCCAAAATCCAACGCAACAGTCTTCTTAACGACCAACCCATCCTTCATCAACACCCTATCATCCTCCTGCCCAAACACAATCGCCCCATTCCTAACATGCTTCAACCCCTTCGTATAGTCGACCAACTCACTGTACACCTGATTAAGCTGACTCGTGACGCTCGCTGTATACATGGGCGGAGTACCAACATGGGTATGCGAAGCGACGGTGAGGTCCCGGTAAGAGGAGTACCTCCAGAGCTTGGGCACTTCGATGATGAGACGCACGGTTGGGTAGGTGCGCGTGCCCATGAAGCCTGAGAAGGGACAGGGGGTGGGGCGTTGAGAGAGGAAGAGGTGTGTGCATTGGGCGAGCCATTGCTGCACTTCTCTCGGATACTGCGACCGTACTTCCTTCTCCATGGATCGCGAGTAGACAGCCCCCGGTGCTGGGCTGAAGAACGGATACTGTTCCAATTTGTCTACAAGGGCACATAGCAGCTTCTTCGTACCGTCTAATGCACATTTGTAGAGACAATCCGCGTCTACGATGATTCTGGGAATGGTTTTGTGGATCTTGTCTAGTTCCCGGGTGAGGAAGGGAAGTGCTTCGGAGTAGATGAGTTGACATATTGAGAAGATCTGGACAGGGAGGGTTTGCAGGGTGACGGTGATGGCAGGCTGATCGTCAAACGATGCTGTCATTTGGTGTTCGATTTGAAGACCGGTTTCGAGGGGCAGTAGTCGGAGTTGCCTGGTCGAGATCGTGAGGTTTTCGTAGACCATGAAGCGTAGCTCCTTCGGAAGGTCCAGGAAACGGAATGGTACTGGCTCGAGCATTGTTTCTTCGGAGATGTTGTGTTGGAAATGTACACAGCTTGGTCTGAAGTGGAAGGAAACCTCAAAGTAAGAATGAGGGAACAATGAGTCTGGTAAAATGCGAGGCGGAGATGCCACGCCATGCAGTGTAGTCGTATACGATAGCCGAAATCGAAGTTGTGATAGTTTGGCAAGGGATGTCCTTACACAACTAGGCGCTATACTCGTGACTCATGTTGGACAATCGTGGCGTAAATCATTGGAGTGAGGTAAGCTTCACCGGTGCCAGCAAGGCTGCGAAGACTCCAGCTTGCTAGAAGTGCAGCAGGCAAGCCTGAACATATATAAAATGGTGATGTTCGGAAAGAATCCACGTGCATTGTAGTAAACGTAATGGTCCGATTTGTGATACTGTGGCGGCAAAAGTAGTATTCTGCGTGTACGAGGGCTGAAGTACAAGGTTCCTATTGAGCATTCGGCGCAAAGCTAGTTACCAGATGCGGCAGACCTGATATAGATCATGCATACCCTTGGTTTTGTTCCGCAAGGGTGAGTGCAAGGTGGTGTAGGTAAGGTCGCCGACCTCTCCAAGAACCCAGTTCATCTTGCCAGCAGACCTCAGGACCCTCTATGCCACATACCACCGAAACTCTTGCTTCCGTTTTTTAAGCCCGCTTTCGGTCCCGTCGGTCTCTCCATCTTTTGCAACCTCTTGCAGCTCACATCTGCTTTGACCAGTATAAAGCTTTGGTCGAAAACGTGCCCGTTCGCATTACCGCATCTCTCCAGAGCTGGCGCCAGCGCAAGCTCGACTCGTCTGGCCTTCACACTTTGGCTGTCTCTGTAGCCGCCTCGACCACTCTCGCTGTCTTCGCTGTCATCGTATACGTCTTCCATTTCGCTGTCGTAGAAACCGTAACCCCAGAACTGATTCGGCTTGCCACCGGTGAATGTGACAAAGCGGTAATCGGCGCGCTGCCGTTTCATCTTGAGGTCGAGGGCAACAGATGCGGAGACGATGGTGTTGAGCTGCTCCTTGCTGTCACGAAGAGATCGAGTCGAGTATGGCCGCAGCTTTCGTCGCATGCGGCTACAAAGGCGTGAGATACTCTTCAGAACGGGCGCAGCATCGAAGGTTGGGCGCCACTTGCCATCTTCTTGCGGTACAAGTAAATTGACCGTTAATGAACGCCATTGATGGTACTCCTCGGCTTGCGCTTCGCTCTTGACAGCTACAACAAGTCAGTTTACTAGATGGGATCACTATAATGAGAGATTTTGCGCACCTTTCCGCAGTGTGTCATTGATGGGTCGAAGCTTCTTGTCACCCAGCTTACCAGCCCAGACATATCCACTGCCCTTCTGGAAGTTGTTGAAAATCTTCTTCTGTAGCGTTGACCAAATGTAGGCTTGTACGAGAAGTGGCCGGTCATCCGGATGCTTCAAGTACACGGTGTAGTTGTCTGTCAGTCCACCAAACAGGCCCTTTGCCGCATGGAAGTGCGGTCGCTTGCTTCGAGAGCTGGTAGGGCCGCTGAAATATTCCTCGCTCCATACTCGTATCTCGTAACGCAACGCTTGCAGCTCTTCGATTAGTGTCTTTTCTTCTGACTTGAAGACCGCCGAGCCTCGAGTTGGTATGCCATTTGGTCCCAGGCTCTTTCTTTGTAGTTCTTTCCTTAACGCGTCTCTTTCTCTCGTAACCTGATAGAAGCGCTGCACCAGATCTTCCTGGCTGCTTCCGGGCCTCACATCTGGTCGAGAAGGGCTCTTCGGAGGCACGAGCGGGCTGCCATTTTTGGTGAATCGCTCTGGACTCAGCTCTGACGAACCCTCTGACGAAGTGTCCGCACCGCGCGTAACCTTCACAGGTGGAGGAACATACTGCGTCCTCCGTCTTCGCCGAGGTATGAGCTCCTCCTCATCTGACCACTCTGTATCTGCGTGTTCGAAAGGGTTGGGTTCCATCGTCGGGGAATGAAACGAGGCGGGCGAATACTCAGAGGGAAGCCCTTCGGCAGAAGGACAATGCAGCTTCAGCGACCGGAGAGTCGAATCGCGAACGTCTATCAATACGAGCTATGTCAGCGCATTGTGCTTATACAAAGTAGAGCTGCGCAGGACGTTTGCGCACCAGGAGATAGCGTCGTCATAGCCGCTCTTATGCTCACATGTCTTATATACACCCAAAAGCAAGACTGCAGCGGTGAAGCTCCCTGGCACGCTCACGCCGCTATCCTTTATCGAAATCTCAGCTCAGATTAGCTTTGCAGATACGGAAGAACTGCACCCAGCCTTATGCGTGGGGCCCACGATGCGATCGACAGCCGGCGACGTGGAGATCGCGAGAGTTGAGAGACAGGCCACTTTGAGTGAACAATAACATGTTGGAAACAAGTTCGTCCCAGCCTCATCGCATAGAAAACCCATGGATGTGCTAGCTGCGGCGGTTATGTTTAGCCAGTCACATCACCTTGATGCGGGACGAGGTGCGCTGACGTGTGACAGGCGAGTGAGAGCTGCGTGCAAGCTTGTGCCGGCAATGCAGCCGGGCCTGGGTGGGAAAGGCGGCTCGGGTGTGTGCCCCTTAGCGTGCTGGTGGAACCGTGCCACTTCAGACACGTTGTGCCCATCACATGTTTTGTTTCATATCTTCGTAACACTACATCACTTGCTCAAGGTGCGCTGTCATTTCTCGAGTTGTAAACATCACAACAATGTCTTCTCCCTGCTGGTCCAGCTGACATCACGGCGGAGCAAGAGGTCTGAGACTCGACGCAGTCCTGGCGTAAGTTGCAAGGAGTAAGATGTTGGAGAAAAAAGAGAAGCAATTGAAGAACGTTGACATTTCGAACGATAGGTTGGTCTTGTTTGCTCGTCGTGGTCAATTTGTGTTGGCGCCTTGAGTAGGGTGGCTGAAAAATGTTTCTGTTCCATCAGGCATTCATGCTACCACACATTAGCATTGCAGGGCACTTACTGTGAGAAGTTGACTTACTTGATGGAAATGGTCTTCGCCTCGACGTAGTTCATCAAGCCTAGGCGACCACCTTCGCGTCCGATGCCAGACTGCTTCGATCCGCCAAATGGCACATTCGGGCCGAAGACCTGCGAAGTATTGATGTTGACATTACCAGCATCGAGATGCTTGGCAATGCGCAGAGCTTGTGGGATAGATGCTGTGAAGATGCAAGCTGCAAGAGGTTAGGTCTTTCGAGTCGCGAATGACAGTCAGGCATACTTACATGAGAGACCCAAGCTGGTATCATTGGCTAGTTTGATTGCCTCTTCTTTTGTCTTGAACGTACGGATTGTGAGGACTGGACCAAAGATCTCCCCACGATAGATCCCTGCGTCATCCTTAGGATTCAAGAAGATGGTCGGATGGACATACCACCCGTTGTCACCATATCTTGCACCTCCAGTCAGGAGCTCCACCTCTTCTTTACCAATGTCCAGGAAGCTCATCACACGCTCGAACTGCTTGCCATCGGCTAGTAGGCCCAAGAATGTGTTCAAGTCCATGGGCTGTCCCATGGCGTGAGCAAACTGCTCAAAGCGCGTTTTGAGCTCCTGGATGAACTTCTCTGCGATGTCTTCGTGAACGAAGGTGCGGGATGCAGCAATGCAGGCCTGACCAGAATTGAAGAGGGAGTTCTGGCTGTAATGCTGTAGTGCGTTCACAAAGTTGGCATCTGGGAAGATGAGACTGGGCGACTTGCTACCTAGTTCCAGAGTCACACGCTTGAGGTTGCTGAAAGCGAGGGTAGCAATTGAAAACCTCAAGGCTTAGTGATGAACACACCTCTTCGCAGCAAGCTCTTGAACCTTCTTTCCGGCAAAGGCAGATCCGGTGAAGGAGATTTTGTTGATGTCGATATGAGATGCCAAAGCTGCACCCACCTTACCATCGCCGGTGATAATGCTGATAACGCCAGGTGGAAAGCCAACTTCTTTGACGAACTGGCCAAGTTGCAGCGTCCCAATCGGACTCTATTCAGAGCCGTTCCATGCGCCAATGCCGGCACACACCCCAACAGGATCATACTGAATTATCTACGCAGTCATCAAAACAAGGTCCAGAAGTAGCTCTAAGCTTTCCATCCCTTGTACATGCCCTGTTCATCTTCAATCCAGGCCTCTCCTGGCAGCTTGTCTGTCCAGCCAGCGTAGTACCTGAATACCTTGCCAAACAAGGCATAGACGAACTTTGCGACATTGATGGGCTGACCCATACTTTTCACCTCCCAGAGAGCAAGCTCCTCAGCATGCTTGTCAGTACGACCTGCAAACTTCAGCATCGCATCGCTGCGCTGTTGCGGTGTCCATTGACACCACTCGCCCTTGAACGCGGCGCGAGCGGCAGAGACAGCTTTGTCAACATCTTCATGGGAAGCTACTTGGATGCCATCGGCGACTTGGCTTTCATCGTGCGGGTTGTAGATGCTCAGAGTGTCGCCAGATGTGGCATCGACGTTACTGAATAGTTATCAGGTAAGGTCTCGTACGTTTGGCGAGCGACTCACCTCATTGTTGATAAAAAGCTGCTTGTAGACCATTATTGAAGCCGTGAAGAAGAACTATGTTGTTGAGGGTGATTTATGTCACCTTGCCATCCATAGATGCTGATGCGACATAAGCTGGCTTGACTATTTGCAGTCGTAGTGCTGCTGTAAGCAGACCAGGGGTTGCTGACGGGCGAGCATCGTCGGCCATAGTGCACCGCTCTCGGACTTGCCGTCGTTTAGACGAATGCAAGACGACACCCGCGCGACGACAAAGTTTGGCTTCAAAGAATCCTCAAGGTAGCGGACGAAGTTCGACAGTTGATGAATAGACGATGACCCCAATCCCCGACTCTTCGAGGCCATGGTGGAGGCAATGGTATGGCTGTACTGACACAAACGGAGCTTGTGTAGACCACATGACCTTTTCAGTTGAAAGAGACGTCTTTCCCACGAAGTCCATCGTGGAGGTTGACGATGGTTAATCAGACTGCTCAACAACCTCGCTTGGTTAGTGTCCACTGACGTAGTTGCTGCAGCATCAGATAGCGCCAGCCTGTTAGTCAGCTAGAAAGAGCGCACAAGTCTATGCACGGGTGCTGCCTGAGCAATTGAAAAGGAGGAATTTTTCTGCCGGCGGATCGAACGATGCCTAGGTAAATAACGCAAGTGACCTCGGGAAGTTGACGGATGGTGAGAAGCTCGAGGTGTTCTGCGATCCACAGGATGGTTCTTTCCGGAAGCGGCTAAACACTAGCGCCAATCGGCAAGAGCCCCGCACGTGAAGATTGAGCCTCTCCTCGCCGATGACTTCACAAAAGGTCGCAACCACCTGAGTTTCACACTGCGAATGACAGGTGATAAGAGGAGGGTGAATATCGAGGGATGGTTGAGACAAAGCCTGGTTCCCAGGCGCACTCGCCGAATATAGCAGGAAAGTCTGGTGGAGGGCGGCAGCGCACGATACAAAGTTGCTTAACCTGCCGGCGTCGCAAAGTCAAATGCGATCATGGACATCCAATATGCGGAGCTTGCACGCGTGGGAATCACCTCTGTACCTGGTCAGATCAGGTGCAGGGCCAAACATCTGCCCGAAGGGTATCCAAACCATCAACACCTGGGGGCGGAAGACTTGCGAAGAACAGTGACGTTCAGTCGCGCCTTGATCGACTTGAACTTCTCCTCGAAAAAGCAGTTACAGGACAAGGTGGCAAACCGTCCGTGTCTGCTCGAGCTATTGGCGACAGCGAAATGAAGGATCATGAAGCAGCGCTGACGCCATCATCGAACAGCCAGACTTCTCACGGCGCCGGTATGGCTGACGACGGCGATGGCACTCTACTTCTCGACGGCGGACAGTCGAAGTTCGTGTCTTCGTTGCATTATGCTCTACTTGCAGAAGAGGTGAGTACATCCGTTTGTAACATACGAAACGCAGATATTGACGCACCTCAGATTCAAGATATCAAGGCATTACTTGGTGACAAAACAGATGAAGAGCGAAAAGAAGTGCCACAAAGCAGTTTGGTGGACCTCCTGTCGCTGGGTCGTGCAGGTGCAGGTTCAAACCTGGACCAGCTTTTACCGGATACACAAGAACAGCGAGATACCCTTCTCGATGTGTACTTCGCCAACGTCGACCCTATGGTCCGGATCACCCATAAACCTAGCGTTGTGCGCAAGTACTCGTTGTATATGCGCGAGACCCATCCCCTGGCGTTTGCAATATGTTTTTCGGCTATCAACTCGTTGCCCCCCAACGTGGTCCAGAGTCGATTTGGCGAGACGAAGGAGGAGCTTCTGGATCGTTTTCAACTAGGCGTAGAGATTTCTCTGGCTCGGGAGAACTACCTCACAACATCAAGCCTAGAGATTTTCCAAGGTTTCGTGCTCTGGCTGACATGCATCACAAAGGAAGAGGATATGGGTAAGATAAGCATTGTATAAATTGCTTAAGATCTTCGCTAACCATGATCATCAGGCAAGGCTTGGGCGCTGCTCGGCATCGCAATGCGCATTGCGTTGAACCAAGGTTTACATCGTGACCCATCCCTGTTCCCTGTTGGCTCGATGGACGCTCTCACAATAGAGCTTCGCCGTCGCATATGGCATCAATTAGGTCATCTGGAGTTTCGTGCCGCCGAGTGCAAAGGACAGGAACCAAGTCTGTCTGAAGATTACTACACAACATTGTTTCCGCGTAATGTCGAGGACGAAGAACTCATTGACGGGGCAAGTCCCGGCCCAGCGCCATACGATGGAGAGAGATTCACATCGATCACCTTCCAGCTCGTCAGGTATCAGGGAATGTCAGCACTCAGGCGGATCATTCGAAGTACCTATCACCTTGAGAGACGAATGTTGGACTCGGGCCTCCACGGTACATCAAGACCGGACCCTGCGCGAGAGCTTCAAGAACTCTACGAGCAAATCAAGAAGATGCTAGATGAGGTGCATGAGGAGTCCCACAGGAAGTATCTTCGCTTCTGCAACCCGGAGATCCCTATGCAAAGACTATGCATGGGCTTAGCTTCACTGCTCGAATGGCGATGCTACCTGCTCTTCTGGCTTCGCATGCCTAGGGCCTATAGGGACGTCGTTTTCTCCAATGAGATCCGCAAATCGTACGTATACTAGGTCTGTTAAGAACTTGCCCATATTTAACCATCACAGCATCTTCGAGAAATCCGTTAATTGCATAGAAACAATTAATGGAGCATCGGTCGATGTCGACGCGGCTCGCTTTCAATGGCACATTGGTGTGTACACCTTTGGCTCTCCATGATCGTCAGCTCACTGTGATAGGTGGTGTTGCTTCCTTCCAAGCTATCATGCATGTGCTCTCCGAACTTCGTAACCCGATGTTCGATAGCCCTGACCGGCAAAGAGCGCTTAGGGCTCTTCAAATGTCACGCATACTACGCGAGAACAACGGTGCCAAAGCGTGGCTAGCAGTGAAAGCCATGATCGACAAAGCCATACAAGAGCACAGCATGTCGCAAAGAACCCAGTCCCAAAGCTCAAGCGCGTTCGCCAGCCCGACGGCACCGGTATCGACCGCACTACAGACCGATGGAAATGTGCAGGTCTACCCAGGACAAGGTCAGATACCCAGTTACGCGATACAAGCACCGTCGATACCATATGGCCAGCCTGCAGCAACGTCCCAGCCTGTGCAGAACTACCCTCAGCCAAGCTATGTACAGCCGATAGGGCCAATGCAGGAGCAGGCTCCGCCATCCTGGGAAGATATCAACCTCAGCAATATCAACAACATAGTTGACAGTCAAGCCACGCCTGGCATAGTACCAGAGTTCGATTTTGGGTTTTGGGGTGACCCTTTCAACTATGAGAACGAGCCCATTACCTTTCCCACAGAAGGCAGCTACTTCCCTCCTTGGACCGGTTGAAGAAAAGCAGAAGCAGGCCTGTTATGTATCGATACCCCTTCTCAATGAATCATGTTTGACACATCTGTTATTACAGAATAGCTTTAGTGACTGCATACAACTGTCAGTGCGTCACGGGCAGACACCAGTAGCCGTCTAAAAGAGGATGCCCCGGCCGCCGGAGCTGGAGTCCCCACCTGCAGAGGTAACGAGTTGCGCGCCTCTGCAATAAGCCTGTCATTGAACACACGTATAGCGTCGCAGGTCAACTTTAATCGATTTAAAGTACATCAGGATACTGCAACGGCAGTCACAACCGCTCATTGCAGTTGCCTCAACCTTGGACTAATACCTGGGATATTCCTGGCTGCGGAGGGCCGATAAGCTGCTATTTCCAACGCCGCGGGAACGATCAGCGAACAACGGAGTATCGCGTTCGTGAACATCAGGGGCTTGCATTACCCCTGCATTCAACCCCTGGTGCGTTTCTCCCATAGGTGTCCCGTGTCGGGCCGTTCCTTCCCACGTCCACCGGACTACGAGCAGCGCTCCGCAGGGTCTCGTAAAGTACCTCTTTAACACCCAAACAAACACCAACGAATCACATTCTCAACAAGAACATGGTGGCTCAATCATATGGCGCTGAGTGTACCCCGAGTGTTCAGAAGATCTCAAACGAGTCATCGGATTGCGCGTGACGCATGCATGTTGCAACATTATCTGTAAAAGCTGCGTCTCCGTTTGCATGGTACGATATCCTCCCAGGCAAGAAATCATACCCGTTCTTACCTGCCTCATAGATTATAGTGAGCCGGATGGCTTACTTTGGAACACTAGTATGATTCTTGAGTATGAGAGGATCGTGGGGGCTGATCCTCCGCAGGGACGTACGGTGCGCAACGTGCAACGACACTACCCGGCGAAACATGGGGCGTCAATAACAACTTCGATGCGATGCCTTCAGCTATACGGCATAGGTATCCTATTGGTTGACGTCAGCCTTATTGTTGAGCAGCATCTCGACTACCTACCCGTGGCCTCTAGCTGAAGCTGCCTGCAGTGCGTTGCCGTATGGTGCGAAAAGCAAAGCATAGAAGTATTTTTGTAAACTTGCTTGTACTTCTAATACGTGGAATTTCGCGGCTTAGTTATCAGCGGCTAGTCAACAGCTCCTCGCGTTTGAATAAAGATCCTGATTCGCGCCTGGTTAAAGGCGTTAACTTTTTGTTGCAAATCAAGCTGTGAGCCTCCTCTACAATGCGGTCTAGGCTACTCAAAACTCGACTAGGGTCGGTTCGGACGTAGGATCAGCTGGAATTGCTAATAGAGCAACCTCACCGAATGAATAGCCTTTAAGATACCTTAGCCAGCGAGCCATTCTGAGCCACGGTAAGACCTCCGTCTATGCTGCGTTGTCAATGATGGTACCTTCTCGGGCCTCTAGAGCCTCATCGATCTGAGTCCGGATGTAATCAGCTTCAGACATCATCATTTCCATATCCCGGCGTCGCGTCGTTTCTTCTGCTTCTGTAGATTCAGTCAAAGAGAAAACTTCAAAATAATAACACTTAGCACCAGACACAAAGAGACGCTAACAGAGGACGGTCTCCCAATGTGGGACAATCGGCGCTTGGAAGCATATGGAATCTGGTTTGATCAGAGCTTTCTGCAGAGACTTCCCCTCGAAATGCGTGCCTTTTTCGCAGAACCAAATTGCGGTGGTCAGCGTGAAGGCGCGTTAGATGAGCTAAGTAGTGTTGTGGCCTCATGCCATAATTGCATGGGACACGAGTCTGTGTTTGGTAATTGTCAAATCAGGAGAAAGGACCTATTGTCACACCGACTCTCTGAGCGACAGAGCGGGTCGCGCTGCCTATTTAGCTATTCGCCTTTCTGCTGCTGTGGGCGCGGTGTTACGGGCATTGTCTACGTTCGCGCCTCCAACGTAGCCCTAAGCGACGCGCCACACTGTAGAAATAGAAGACATAACCTGACAAGTTGATGCCAGAGGTGTTGCTAAGCAATATCTCCACAGAAATATCTTCTCGTAACAGCGCTAGCTAAAAAGTGAGTTAGGCCTTCAGGTTAAACAAGTTAACATCGATCTTCATATCTTCAGATTAAGTAGTCTACGCAAGCTGTGATACCGGATCTGTCACAGGTTAGGCCCAACTTGTGGGGTTATAATAGATGATGAAAGTTTCCATTGGTTATTAGGATAAGGAGTGGAAACACAGACTGATGTGTACTTAGGAGCTACGAACCAGGAAATCAACCAAGCTGAAGAGAACGATAGTCCAAAAGAGGACGCGCTAGTAAGCACTCTGTTGAGCTTTAACCCTGACTCTACGGGGAGCCATTTTGAATCGCCCATGTTACGAACCTTCTAGGCGACGGGTTGCATTTCCTGTTGATGGGCTTTAGTTCTTGTACAAAATGGCAAATACAGGCGGGTAAAGATAACATACATAGTACCCTGAGCTGGATAGACCTGCGGTATGGCTGTCGCCGGAGTGGCAAGTTTCACTTTGAACATAGACATCGTGGATCGGACCAGATCCTCCAAATCGAACGTACCAACGTCTATGCAATCGGCGATAGAAGGGTCAGGGAAGTTGTGTCTGTCGATGTAGATGTGACATGTCCCGCTGCTCGCTAACTCGATCCAACGAGAGGCACTTCCGCCATACCCATCGGTGAGGCACCAGTGACCTCCAGAGGAATATTGGCTATGGACGCCACTAACAAGGTCGGTGCAGTCCTGACTGCTCATAAGGCTCATGAAACCAGTGCTTGTTTGCTTGAAAGTGCTGGCGCCACATGCGTCTCCACTAAATTGGTCGGGTGAAAGGGATGGGATATTAACACGTTTCTCTAGATTGGAACTAGGCACCAGGGAGTCGTGTACGTGAAAGGTTATGCTTCTTCCTTCTGATGTGGTGACCTCGTGACGGACCATGTTGACAGACCTACCAATATCGATTGGTGATTGTGCTGGGAGGGAGAAAACTGTCAGAGTTCAGTGAAGAACTGTACGCAAAGGGAAGAATTCGAAGATTGTACTGAGGTTGTATTGGGTGAAGCTACAAACAGTATATATAGGTGAGTAGCTGTAAACAACGCTAGTGTGACATGGCAGTCACTCTCATGACAGGTGAGGTACGACAGGCAGGAGCACCCCAAACCGTGACAAAAACAGTAGGCAAAGCTGCCATAATAAGGATAGTTGCCGAGGTTTTCATAGTGTATATTTGCGTGTGTGAGAAGAGTAGATAGTAGGAGTTTGTTATAGGGGAAGATATGTAATAAAGTGAGTTGATTAATACAACGTGTTCTACTTCTTTGCAGTAGTACATATATTCTTAGGGAATCTACTAATATAAGCTAATAGGAAGCCTTGTATTGGCAGAAAGAGCTAAGTTTGATTACTCTTATTTTTAGAACACCAAGAACAGAGAAGTGCTAGGTAAATAAGTACGAAAAACAAGCTAACACTAAGGCCTAAACTGAATAAGCACTAAGCTAAGATAAGTACCAAACCTCGACAGGCATTAAAACAGGACAAGCACTAAACAAGACAAGCAAGACAAGCACTAAACAAGACAAGCACTAAATGTTAAACACGTTGCTCTCACTTGCTCCGCCTTGCAACCAATTGTACAAATCATTAATCTAAGGTTAATTGTGGTTAGAACAGTACATATAGTGGCCTTCCAAAGTCAATAGAATGTCATCCAGCTTCAGATCACGGTAAATGACGCAGTTTTGGTGGAGATACTTCAACGCCAAGCAGACTCAGCCGCGTAGAACTCGGTGCGCTACGGTAGTGCCGGATTGTCCTGTCTGGATGTGAAACATCAAATCACCACCGCTGATGTCCTCATCACGGAAAAAATCTTGGTCTCGGTCCGAAAACAAGCGTGCAGGTTATACAAGAAGGAATGACAATCCTTGGTTGCAATTAAGAAAATGCGCTTCTCATAATGTGTGCTCTTAACCTTGTCGTTCTCGATAATAAACTCCTTCTCAAGCACCTTGATTGCATAAAGTTGCTTAGTGGTCTTAGTCTCTGCCAACACGGCCTTACCAAAGTTATCCTTGCCGTCCTTGGCAAGGAATGTGATGTGGCTGAGCTCAATCCGGCGTCAAGCGCCTGCGGGATTGACTGTAGGCGCTAGCTTCTACTCTTCCACGACTTGGTTGGTGACATTATATGGGGACTGTTGCTGGTTTTGCGCAGCAGATAGTCCGAAAAAAGATGTACGCGGAGGCTGCTCGTACGAGTCTGAGGCTGATTGCTGCTATTCTGCGACACTGCGTCCTAATGATTTGGTGTGAACGCAAAGCTTGGGGTTTGAGCGGTGGTTGCAGATTCAAACTACCCACAGAGAATGCTCTCATGATTGCTGCCAAACGTGGAGACGAAAACATCGTATAGCTTTTGTTCGATGCTGGCGAAGATCCCAACGAGGAATCCACCTTTATCATCACTGATAAAGACAACAACCAGCACGTGCACACAGCTACTCTTCTGATGATTGCAGTATACTCCGGGATCAAGGACTACGTTGGCGAAGAACGCAGCACAGCCGTCTCACAGAGAATGATCAACGCGGGTGAAGATGTATTGCCGATGGTGACGCTTCATGCAAGGTCATAGTGTGCTTTGTCTATATCGACGGATCTACTCCGGAAGCGTTCGAGAAATGCACCAGCAGTGTGACAAAACTGCTACTCGAGAACAACGCAGATCTCAGCAGGCCACTGACCTCCACTCCCAACATGGTTCACTTCTCTCACACCCAAGCTTACTTTGGAGACTCTGGTAAATGGACTGTACAGCCGCTGGTCACGAGAAGTCCCATAAACAATATGAATGGAAATGGAAATGGAATGCAGCCAAACTTCAAACCCCCCACAAAACATTACTACTGAGCAGCGTTCTCATTGCGCACAAGGAAGGAGTTCGACAGTTGCTCGAGAGCGAAGTAGAAGTCAATACCATGAATATACCTAGAGCAAGCGAACTCTTCGCAGCAGCTTGTTGGACTTACCTGAGGTGGATAGAATGTATCAAAATTATCCACATGTTATTGGACGGCATGCTACAGGTTGGAGGAGCGGACGACAACATTTTCGATAGTATTCTGAACGGCCGCACACTACAAGAGTCGATAGAGCGGTTTCTGAAGTCTGAGCAATGCGAGGACAGGACGGCGAAAGTGAGAGCACAGGTGCAAGAGCGCCGCGCAAGCTTCCGAGCGAAAATCGAGAGGAGACAGCAAGTGTGAAGCAGGTGACAAAGAAATTCTGTAGCGCACTCAAGTGCGCTTTCATGAGCGTTGTATCAATGCAGCAGATGGTGTATTTGATGTGCAACCGGATCGCCGCTCAGCCGCAATGATCTACGGGGTGAGCTCAGAATGTAAGTCGTCCAAAGTAGAAAGCCATCCCAATATCGAGATTACCACTAGTATATGCTGTTCCAAACGATATTTTCCCGTCAACCTACTCCGTAACTATAGAGGCATGATGTGCGGTAATGGCCCAGCAGGTACAACCCCGTTGCCTACCGTCACCGATGCATAACCTCGTTTGATCTGCTATGATTAGTTCTTAGTCTACCCAACAAAAGGAAATCACACACTTACCACTTCGAATTGAGTGCTCTTCTTGAACGCTCCACCAGCTGTCTCTGGACCCTCGTCCCAGTACAGACGTCTCAGCCATGCATGTAGTCGGGGGTAGTCCATTCGAATCATCTTGATGTTGCATTTGAAGAGCGCATAGTACGCGACGTCAAAACGGATGAGTGTGGTGTAAAGGCGGATGTCAGCTTCGGTGATGTGCTGCCCGAACAGATACGGATGTTGCCCTTGCTCTGAGAGATGGTTTTCCAATCGGTCCAGCGAATGAAAGAGCCTGGTGATGTGCTCATCATATGCGGCCTGCGACGTGGCAAAGCCGATCTTGTAGACTCCGTTGTTCACAGTATCATAGACCCAGGAATTGAGCTTGTCGATTTCGCTTTGCAGGTGGTCAGGGATAAGAGCAGCTGGTCCTTTGTTGGCTTCGCGTCTCTCAGGCGGCAGTAGCTGATCGAAGGCACTGATAAATATACGTATGATATCTGCACTCTCGTTGTTAACGATGGTACCTGCACACCGTCAGCTGAATCCAACTCTAGTCACATCTCTGAGGGTGTACAAAGACCGACCTCGCTGCTTATCCCACAGCACAGGAATAGTGATTCTCCCTGTATAGCTCGGGTTCGCTTTTAAGTATAGCTCCTTCAGCCATCGGACGCCGTAGATCGGGTCGGATTCTGGGCCGCGATGCCCAGAGAAATACCAGCCATGTATCGGATCTCTGGCGTCCACCTCAACGACCTGTATGACGTCTCCCAAGCCTTTCAAGGCCAGGGCAATCACTGCGCGATGAGCCCACGGACAGACTGCGTTGACGTATAGCACATATCGATCTTTCTCCGCAGGGAAGTGTTCTGATGGTATCGTGTTCCGGAACTTTGAAGGCATGCCACCGCAAGGGTTCTTCGAGTGAAGAGGTTGGCTGGAATGAAACTGCAATCACAACATCAGTATAATGTGACCTTTTCAATAAGAGCACCAGAACTTCATGTAGGACTTACCTTAGAAGCGGTCATGTTGGGCGGTGCGAGACCTAGTTAAGATACCTCTGCAGCACGAGGTTTAAAAACATACACCTGCGGGATGTGAGAGCACTGCACATTGTGCGTGGGAGATGGAGATGCTGGGCTTCGCTGGACAAAATGCGAAATACGTGATTACAAAACAGCAGCAATTGAGCAAGGATGATTACAATGATTAGTATGGACTACTGCCGGATTCGGTTTGCGCCCGGTCGCTTTCCCAATCTGATGTATACTTGAACAGTCGTCTGATGAAGATACAAATCAAGACCAATCTTGAAAAGAGACGTTCCGATGGCACCAGGATCTCTTGGGACACAATGATGAGAGGCGAGGTCACGATGGCTGTTTGTCGATCACCGCCGCGGGGGAGCAGGGGAGGAGCCAAGGCTCGTTTCGTTAGTGCATTAGACAGTTTTTGATCTGGCTCCTCTCCCTTTCCCTCTGCACGAGCAGTCGGTATTGCTTAACTCACAGGCTCACAAGATCAGAGCTGTCCACGATTCGGGAGCAACAAGTTCTCATACTAGTCTCTTCGATCTACGAGACATCGCCGCGTTGTACAATTTTCGAACGGAAGTATGTTACCGCACTCGGGATTACTGAACACTTGATACCTTGTCGAGACATCCTTGTGCACCTCTCGGCAAACTTATGTTTAATATCAAATCCGCGGGAAAGAAGTCGTTTCTATCTTCATCATCACAGTGGAGACTGCAGGAAAGTGCAGCTAACCTGCAAGAAATGCCCAGGCACGACATAACTCTCTTGAGAATGTCGGTAGAAGCATGCTTCGCACATTACATCACATTGAAGTGATGAGCACCTCTAAGTGGCCAGTTCTTTGGAGAGCAAGCGAAACTCTGCTTGATACTTACATCGCTAAAAGCGCAAGACAAACGGCGTCTAGAAAGTAAAGGCTGACCAGACCCTGGAGGATAATTCTATGCTTACAGAAACGCTCAAACACGATCTCTCCATCGTCAAACTGGACGGCAGTACGACCGCTCTTCCTCAAGCTCGCCTTATACGTTGTTTGCCCCACTGAAGCTATATCCACTCCCACCGTGTGAAGCACGACTAGGCGCCCTGTCACCTGAACCGACACTTGCGCCTAAATTCGCGTCCGTCTCGCGCCGGTACTCTTCATACCCACCACCAAGTGTATACCCTCCAGGCGAAAGCGCATCTGTGCCATACGCATTCGTGCTGTTCCTGTAATCCGCATAGCCCGTCGGTCTGTCATACGGCTCGCCGTTCCGATCCTCACCCCAGCTCAGCGGCCGGCCTGGATGTCTGCCCTGATCTGTCTCCGTTGAGTGCAAGAGCGCATACTCGTCTTCCTCCTGGTTGCCGCCGCGCTCGGTGTGTCTATCGTCGTCGTCGGAGTCATGGGTCTCGATCTCAGTGGACCAGGCGTTGTCTTTGCTGTTGTCGCCGCTTGCGTAGTAGGGGTTCTCTTCTTTGGATTCGTAGGGGAGGACGCCTTCGCGGAGGAACTTGTGCATGTAGTAGCCAGAGATGGCGCTCGTCAGGGCGAAGAAGATACTATGATGTACTGTCAGTTCTGCGGTATGGTAGTAGGTAAGTATGGAGTGCTTACAAGACCATGACGCCAATACCGACCGCGCCTTTGCTGATATTGCACATGGCTTCACTACCATACTTGAAAGTGGTGCAGTTGCGGTCATTGTCGCCGATGTTCTTTTCTTTGGCGCCTTCTTTGATGCCTGTCGAATTCCACATTGCGACCGCAATAAAAGCTGCAAACCACAATACTGCCTCCCTGTCAGCCTTGTACCATCCGCAGGCTGGTTGTATGCGTACTTGTGTAGAGCAAGTCGACTGCAAGAAAACCGTATGCGTTCGCGAACTTCTTAGTTCGACTCCACATGGGCACCATAACGAGGTATATGATCGCTGGTATTGACAGAAAGCACTGCGAAGCCGTGTCAGCCTTGCCCTCCTTGTAACGTGCAATCTGCAGCACTCTCTCCACTTTAGTGCATTCACACCGTGTGTTCCTGCACCTACCATAGCGAAAAAGTACTTAGTAGGACCGCCAATGGTCCCATCCTTCGTCATGACAGCAATCGTAAGGCATCCTGCTATGAAGATGAATACGACCTGCAAGAAGTGTAACGAGATCTTGCACTTCTGGATATAGCTCTGTGTTATCCGCCCAATAGGCATATTTGCGTCTGGGTCCCTCTCGAGGGCGCTCGAGGTGCGTTGTTATGGACAATGGGCGAAAAGGTGCTGTGTTTACGCGGCTCAGCCCTACGGAAACCTTCGGCTCGGTCGGAGGAGATACGGTGTCGCAGTCGGCGTAGCAGGTAGTTTGAGAGGGGTTTTTGAGGACGTTAAAATTCGCAGGGGGTAATAGAGCCCTCAGCGAGGGTGGGAAAAAGGCAGGACTGCTCAGGAGTGCGTGTCTGATATTGCAGCTGAAGGAGAGTCGCGGCGCACTCAGCCTCACTACGGTTAGCTCACGCCTCCCCGCGCAACGGCAAGGGTCATGCACGCTATCGATAATTTTAGAACCATGTTGGTCAACAGTTTAGGCGCTTTGTGGCCTAGACAGCAAATTGTATCTTGGATTGAAGATTTCGTCATGGTGAAGGTCGGTCTTTTGGTTCTTGTCTTGGAGATATATTGCTGTTGTGTTGAAGGGCGTGGGCTCTTTCGCGCTCTCCACTTGCATGTTACGGCTGTGTCACAGAGGCTTTCATCGCAGTGCGCCTTGAGTGCGCCTTGTCAGGCTCCAGTATACATTCACTAGGCTTGCGTATTTACTGAAACTTTGGCTTGGGCACAACGTGGACTTCCCAGTCTGCGCCAAACTGTCCCTTCGCTTTTCCGCGCTTGTCAGCATCTGCCAACGGTCCTGCTGAGCTGGTGACGTCGCTCGCAAGGATACCCATCTTCTCGCCCGTTTTAAGGTACTTCAAGAAGTGGACCGACGCGTCAATGTATTCGCGCAGTGCAATTCTCGAGTTCAATGTGGTTCCAGTGACCAGCTGCATATGATCAGTACAGTGACATTGCAACGAAGATGTTCAGGTACTTACTCTCATGATCCAGGGCACGATCAGAGGTGCATCGGTGCAAGATGGATGGGCGGTGCCGGCTGTATATAGTCAGATCATTATTTTTGCAAAGAGCTGTGCTTGCAACTTACTCAAGGTCATCATCCAACCGCCCTTAACGTTCTCAACAATCCTCTTCACGACGTCAAAATGCCAACCTTGTCCGTAGAACTCGGTCTGCTTCTCAGTCCACTCTCCACTCTGCATGACCAATAGAGGAACGTTGATGTCCTTGTTCAAGGGTCCTGAACCTTTGCCAGGGTCCAGTGCAATACCTCCATTGAGGTTAAGATCTTTGGGTCCGGCAGACTTCAGAGCCTGCAAGACACCAGTTGCGCCATAGGAATGACCAGCAATCGTAACAGCTGACATGTCGAGGCGATTCTTAAAGCCAGGAAGAGCCTCACGAGGAGAGTCGGGCTTCAGGTTGACAACGGGGGCGTCTCCATCATTGAGTTGCGCGAAGAGCTTGACCGTCTCTGCAATCTCAGCTTCGCGGAAAGCGAGCTGGGCTTCCTTGAGGTCCAGGTCGGTCATCGGTGGGTCAGACCTAAACGTCGTCAGCTTATGATACTACTACTGTGGTGAAAATATGGACTCACACAAGATCCTTAAGTTTCATGTGCCAGACGCTCCTCTCTGTCTCATTAGGATAGTGAACGATGGTACCAGGCCCACTCCCATCGCGATGCTCGACTGCCGCTATAAGGTAGCCGTGACTGGCGATACTACCCAGGTAGTGCGAGTAGCTTTGGCTCATACCAGCCATACCGTGCGTGAAGACAACACAAGGAAGTGTACCAAACTTCTCATCTCTCTTCAGCTCAGTGTGCTCCTGTTCGGCCGCTTCCAAGATCTTGCCGAAGCCACCAGCACCTGCGCCCTCCTCGACAAGCACCTTCTCTGAGCCAGAAAGAATCGGTGCATCAACGACACCTGGGATGACGGTCGAAGAACCAAGTGCCCATAGGGCGAAGGTGAAGACAGGACTCAAGAATGATACACCAGCGAGGCGTGCGTACCCTTGACCAATCAAAGAAGCAGGTTGTGGAAGCCACGGACGCGCCCATGGTCGTTGCGAAGGAGGAGCATTGGGTAGAGAGGAAGGGTAGTATAGTGTGACAGCCAAAGTCGATAGCTCAAAGGCATTCTTTCCCGTATTTTTCAACGTTGCTTCGCGAATAATCCTTTTGGTCACTTTTGTTTCGACGTCCAAGATGCCGACCTCGTGTGGACCTGTGTAAGGAGGTAGTGGTGAGGTGATTGGCGTTAACCCAATTACGAATATCCAGAAAAGTACAGATGCGGATGTGAAGAAGAGGATGCGCCGCGGCGTCAGGCGGCTAAGACCGAAAACCATGACGATTGTTCCAAACTTGCAGTACAGCAGAAAAGGCGGAAGACCCGGATAAGATATGGAAGATCAACGCAGGGTGTCGCGATGGAACTGCCTGGTTGTGAGGGTCTGGAGATGCGTAGGAAAAACGTTTTGAGGTCAGGATGACCGGTGTGGCTTCGATTATGCCGTGGAGGCAAGATGAATGGCAGCCGCGATGGGTGGTGAGCGATGACGTAGCCGTGCAAGAATCCGGCAATCGCAAACGGTCGTTGGGTGTCCCCGACACGCGGGCAAATGCAACCATCGACCTTCCACAACAAAAACATTCGAACCACAAACACTAACTCTTGGGTTCTCGAGTGATCGAATGCTACAATTACGACATGAAGTCACCGCAGAATTGTTATGTAAAATAGGGAGCATTGCAGCAGGTGGACGTTACGGCAATTTTGTCGGTGGCTTCAGCAGCACGCAGATGCCCTGCGTTGGTGTATCCTTCGGTATCGATAGGAGTCTGACCATGCTCAGCATACGAGAACAAAGCTATACGCAGAAATCTCGGAACCTGCGTGTCGATGTATGGCTCATTGCGTCTGGTGGTCGTACTGTGACCCTTGAACGGATGACGATAGCCTTCGAACTGCGACAAACAGGCATCAGATATTGTTCGCTACAAAGATTTGCGTACGAAGGCGGAGAAAGACATAGGGCGGGAAGATCTCGTCATAGAGCTCAGAGAACTGTCGAGATGAAGGCGTTCGCAGCTCGTTGAGACTTCCCAGACTTAGTTGAGCGTTTGTGGCGTCCATGGACATGGTATGCCTGACGAACACCGGAGAGTGTACAACGGTACATTACATGTGAGGACATTACCACTCCAGTCGACTCTGTTAGTATTCATCTGACGCGACCACGTTACGCGCTGTTCCAGTATCTCTCAAACAAAAGCAAACCCACGTTTCACAGCATCTCAATTGCCGTCCCGCTCCCCTGCCGACGATCGACCCTTCCATCTCCCTTCCCTACCGCGCATCTCCACAAAACAAAAGCAACCACCTCAGCCCTACACTCCCCGTTTCCGTGAAACAGTTTCACAGCATCCTCCTCAGCCAGGCTCGCTCATCAATTCGGCGCCACTAACGCAACGATCGGACACCAGCAATCTATATCCTTGTCGCAGTCCAGAAGGGCCATCTGGATAATCGTGCGAACATCGTAAGACCCTGTCTCGCGCAGGTACCTTGTGGTGGAGTCCTAGGGCTTAGCGCCGATGGTAAAAGATGTTTTGTTGGGCAGCACGGTTCGATGGGGCTGAATGATCTGGGTTTGCTGCATGCAAGATGGATCAGGAAACGTTGTTGGTGATGTGTTGTGATATTCTTAGGTAGTTGTTCTCTACAGTTATTTCCATCGCCTCTGGTGAACACCATGTACCTAGAGACGCCAACTCAGTATGCTTTCCTACACCTTTGACAAAGGAGATATGGCCCAAGGCAACGCTGACAAAAGGCGCGAACGCCTGGTACTAGTACATTGCGTACAAGGCACAATATGCAACACCTTGAAGGCAATGTACGTGACGGATAAGAAACTAGAGAACAGAGTTTATTAATAACGAGAGTTGATGCGCCAGCCAGTCCCGTCTTTTTTGATCCGTTGTGAAAGACGCCAAATGTGAGACGCGCTAAAATTGGAGCTCATGGCACGTCGTGAGTATGTACAGTGAAATGTATGGGTCGTGCAAACATGTCAAGGCATGGTCCGGCCATGCTTTGAGGAGCCGCCAGGGCGCGGAGGAGTATGGACAAGGCGTAGTACAGTGCCAGTAGGGGAGTTGTGCTAGTTGGTAATGCGAGGAGAAAACGAGGGTGGTGTGGGGAAGAGATGCAAAAATTCCTCCCCGTTGTTGTAGCTGATGGTCGCCGCTCGGCTGCGAGGCTTCGCATTTCCGGCCGAGGTGAGCAGCTGAGCTGCGCCGTCTGACAGGGCCTGCTTATGAGAGTGCTTGTTGCGCTGGTAGCTCTGGTTATCAGACAGGTCTTGCGCTGGGGTGAAGAAGGTTTGGTCTGCTGAGAGACGCGATGGTCCTGGAGGGGTGACATCGTCATCCTCCTCATTGTCACTGCCGAATGCCTCTAGTGATGCGACCTGCTCTGAGAGCTTGTCGACGACAAGACTAAAGTTCTGTCGAGTGTGACGTGAGTGGACAAGCTCTGGAAGACTTCCAGCAGAGCTTGCCGAGCGTCGGACTGGGGAGCTCCATAGACCGGAGCTTTGGGCAGACGACATCAGGCTGCTGTCATACGAACTTCGGCGGCTGAAGCGGGCGCGACTGCTGCGGGTTGAGCTCGTGGCGCTTTCATCTAGGTCCATGATAGAAAAGTGGCAGTCAGAACCATCATACTCCTTCAGGATATCTTCATACGAGGTCTCTGCTGCTTCCTTATAGACCTGAGGAAGCAGAAGCGATGGGCTCAAAATAAATCCTTCGGACTCATGGAAAGGTGTTTGCAATCCCGTTCCTGCTGTAGAAGCTGATGCCGCAGATGTGGAACCTAAGTCTGGAACGCTGTCGTTGCTCGGAGGCAGGTGCAACGAGGGAAATGGCAGTTGCAATTGGAATGTCGGCTTACTGCTGGTAGAAGGATGCACCGGCTCGGAGGCCTGCCGCACCAGAAGCCTTTCCTTATTAACTGCTCGTGTCAGGGCATGGTGTCGATCAGCGAAACTCTCATCCTCAGACACACAGTCCCAGTCGTTGTCGCAATCAGCTTCCAGGGCGTGCTCATAGATATAGTCGACGTCCTCTTCCCATGACTCTTCAATAGCACGCCAAGTGTTCGACTTGCGACGGGTCACCGTTGGTCTTGGGATAGGGCTCTCACGTACCAAGCTGGGCGAGCCTAGAGTCTCTGACGTCTGTGAGCTAGGCCGAGCAGTCAAGTTTCTCAAATTGGAAGACTTTGGTGAAGCGCGTGAATTGCCCCTCGGTCGAGTCCTTACACCTGGTGAGCGCTGGCTGTTAAAAGAGAATGACTCCAAGAAGGGTGACTTGGGAGATGTTGGAGTTCTCAGCCGTGGCGGTTGGGGCGCAGGTCTGGGGCTGACGAAACGCTCTGGCTCTTCTGCAACATCCTCGAGACTGGGGCTGAACGGTGGCGTCATAGCCTGAATTGCAGAGTCGTCCGGTGTTGTAACAGCGTTGCCGACGAGCATGGAGTCTTCATCTATTCCTGGAAGCTGATCCGTTGGCGCTGTAGCTGACAGGGTGAATGCATCCCATATTCCTGAATGTCTCTTTGAACGAGCGGCCGGTGATACGGCTGAAATCTGTTTCAATGGCCCTTCCTCAGGTATGTTATGAACGGATGATGTTGGTAAGAGGGACGAGGTTCTTGTGGATGCAATGACGGAGGATGAGTGTTGGTGGGCACGAAGATTTACACCGGGTTGCGAGAAGCTTTCCACGGACCGGGTCAGTCGAAGCCCTGGTCGAGATGGTGATGAGCCAGTATAAGATTCTGATTGTTGCCAGTTTCTTAGAATTGGGCTTTGGGACGGTGACTTAGGACCAACGATCGTAGCCGAGCCTGGCTCGAATGTCGTCAAGTTCTCGGTCGATATGTTGCGAGAGCTGACAGCTCCTTGTGTTCCCGAAGCAGACATTTGTGCAGCACGTTCGGCCCACCCAGCAACCAACACGGATCCGGGGGTTTGTTCTAGCGCTGCTACCTGACATCGGTCGGCATGTGTCAGGTGCTGGAAGTCGAAAGGACTCGAGATGCGGTTCTTGAGCTCGTGTTCTACATAACAAATTAGTGCTTGATCTACAAAGCGGTGTTGTGATACTCACGTAACATCTCAGACTCATTAGTGCCCTTTCGTTTTCGCAGGAACGATGCTCGTTTCCTCCCAGCATCTGCCTCCTGGTAGTCGTCGAATTCTACGCCACTTCCAATTGATTCGCTCAACCTTTTACCCATCTTTCCACGAAACATTGACCTCCTTGGGCCGCCGTGGTCAAGACGGCTGTGGCTGCCAACATGACGAAGTGCAGGTGGGGAACCAGGAGAGACGTGGTCGTATGCAGCCATGTCCGCATGACCAGATGATATGATCGAAGAAGCTGTAGAAGTAGCGGTGTTACTTCTCGAGCGCATGTTGAAGACGGAACTTCGTTTGCTTGACGCAGCTCTTCGACGCCGTTCTGGCGAATGCATGCCTTCAGTGTGAACCGAGTCTAAGCATTGCGATGCTGTTATCGAGTCGGGGACTGATGTCAGACTTGGACACTCTGCTAAAGGTGAGTCAACAGACGATTGTCTGGAGCGCGAGAGGGTCTCGTTCTTATGGAACGCAAACATCGCTTAGAAATTAGGATAAAGCCCGACAACGGTCCATTAATAGTCGAGCAATGCTGGACTTGTACGAGCAAGACCCCACAAACGGTCGGTGATGGTGCCAATATCAGCGGACCATGAAGGAACCACAGAATCCGGGGAGACCTTTCGCGAACGGAATGCCGGCTGGAAATAGGGGAGGCACGTATACGGATTGATGGTCTGGTCGACGTATTAATGGTCTATGCCAACAGCCATCGAGGATGAAGCTTGCAAGAATAGAGACTAGGTATAATAGGAGGAAAAGACAATACGAATGATGTGTGTAAACAAGAACTGGAAGGATTGGCAAGCAAGCCGTAGTTGGAAGCAGTGAACTCGAAAGCAGTATATGCGCACCTCTTAAGATAGTTGAGTCCACCACCAAAGGAAGCAATGAGCAGCACGAGGACCTGATCACAGACCTTCAGACGATGCACTGGCGAAGAGGTACAGCTCAAGGGGGATATCGCTTGTAATCCAAGTTTTAAGACAAGGGTACGCTGCTATGGTGAGATCGACTTGTTGTTTGACTGTAAGTGTTGGAGTAGGGTCGTGTAAGGAATGTATGAGGCCCAAAAGACCTGGTACAGATCGGAGTGATAACGTGGTATTCCTCGTAGTAGGTACCAAGGGGCGGACTGGAAGTCAATGTAAATTCCTCCAATATTGGCACTGCGCATGAGGCTTTTGGGGCCGGTGAACCACTAGCAAAGGTAGGGATGGCCTGAGTATGTAAGTACATAGCGGGCGTACACAACAGCGGAGAGCATGTGGAGAACGATGGATAGTGCTCAGTGCGCTGCGCCGAGGTGCTTAGTGACATTCAGAACAAGCAGGGACAGGGGATGCTGCACGCAAAAAGGTCATGGATGTGAACTGCGTAAAAGCGGCATCTAGACAGCTGTTAGTGGCTGGGAGCAACGAATGCAGGGGTGACGAAGACGGGGGAACCTAGAGCTCACCGTTCCGCAAGCCACTGAGCATTAGACCGGAGAGCCTGCAGCCCGACAGGTCGGCTGGGACGCAACATAGCATTGCAGGGGAGAAATTTGGTGGTGATGATTGGCTTGCGTTGTGAATAAACGGGTAAATAGCGCTGCAGCAAGCCCGCTGGGACCACCGCGAGGCCCGCTTAACAGAGACACTGAGCATCAATCTGGTCAATGCCGGCCGATGTTGTTGTGCAACCGCAAAGGATTCGATAGCAGGGTTCTCGTCAATGACCCTGAAGTGAACAGAGCGAGCTATTGATGCTGTGCACCTGCCCCTTTGCAGCGTCGATCTCACAGCGCGTGGAACAGAGAGGTCGGCAAATGCAACGCTCCAGCGAAAGTGCGTGCGGCGAACATCGTGTTGTTTTGTTGGTGTTTTTTGTTGCGTGTGTCTAGCTTGGCCGGGTTCGCATTTTCATTTGGGTGCACGTACCTGCAGGGGACCTTGATGTAGGCCAGGGTCGGCCTGATGAACGCGCTTCATGCATCAGCCCGCAGCCTCGCAGCAGAATGCCGTCTCGAGGCCAGCTCCGTCCCTTTGACCAAAGTGAGCTTGAAGACCGTAGGCACCTAGGTAAGGCCTCCATAAGAGACAATGATGTGCACAATGTCTTCCCATGTCTTCAAAGCTCGTCCATACTCGCAAGACAGAACAGAAATGCCGTGACGATCAGATAGCACGCGTTGAGGGGGTTTCTTCTTCGGGCGTAGGGTACCGGTCCAGCCACAACGATCTTCACATCACGGATGAGAGATGAAACAACCGAAGAGGGCCCTATGGTCGGCGACGACGTGTCGATTGAGCAGTGCTGCCCCGCCTTGCTCACACATCTCAATCTACGTTGTGGACCGATCGAGTTGTGAACAGTCGTTGTTAGGCTTCATAAGGACCATGGGCCTGACGTGCGGCCTCAAACGCTGGATGGCTTTCAAACATGTTTCAAAGCGTCAACCAAGCCGCCACTGTCAGAGCCGTTGGATCATCACGGCCTGCCAATCTCGGGCTCACTTGCCGACAAACTGACAGGCAGATACAGAAGCGCAGCACTGGGAGCACAGCGAGGATGCATTCTGAACTCGCCATGCTCACGAGGACTGTTGACGTTGCAGTCAAGCCCCCCTGAGCCCATGCCGTGGCACGCGGTCGAAGCTGTAGGGACTTTCGTCAGCCGCCGTGTAACAACGACAAGTAGCTGGTTGTGTCTATTGTGGGATGCGCGCTTATGTTGCGGTGAGCTCGCCAGTCCTTCTCATTGTTGGAGCGTAGATGAGGCCTCTGACTTTCAGGACTTGCTCAGGGGAAAGTATCGTGCGCAGGTTGATACATCCGCAACAGTGCCGAACAAGCACACCAACATGACTTTGTCGGGTGAGGCGTTCAGTGAAACGAACCAACGTAGTACAGTGCTGATAACAGCTCATCTGTGTATCCAGGCGTCTCTGCACTGCAACGAAGGGCAATCGAAGGGTCATTTTGCACAGTTGCCTCGTATCGATGGCTTTCACGATCATCCAAGTGTTTGTGAACAAGTGAGCACGAGACACTCTCCACTCAGCAGGGCTCTTCCGCGAGCCTGGTCCAGAGGGCTGAAGGTCAAAGGACGCATGGAGACCGGCCGACAATAGATCTAGCGTTGACGTGTGCTGATTCGCCAATTGATCTTTGTGTGCGAGGAGTAAGCCCGGCGGTCGGAACTGCTGCAGAACCACAAGGGAATGGCACAGTAATGACGTCGAATATTGATCATCAAGCAGGAGCTCTACTTTTTGTCGCCTCGCTCTTCTGCAGGTACACGAACGCAATACTCGGCAACCGCAAAGATGACGATTACAATAGGTTCTCCCCTGGTTCCTGCAGCGAGGGCGCTGACTGCATCGGCACGACTTTCTCCGTACATCCACTTCTGCTGGAGCCCCACGTCTTGTCCATCCCATCTGCGGGCTGCATCAGCCAATGTTGGCGGTGCATTTCTGGTTCTCGGATGACGTCTACTCACAAAACGAACGCGCTACTATACGGCAGCCTCCTCAACGGGCCCTCCAGTACCAAAAAAAGACCTCAACCCACACTCGTGGGAACAGTTTTCTGCTCCCTAACGTGCATGGCAATCCATGTGCTTGCGTACACTGATGCGGACCGGCTGCATCGAAAAAACTCTGCTGTGTCCAATTGCTTCGGACTCAGCTCAGCTCCATGCCGCCCTCCTCGCCATGCCGTGAACACGAGTACGACAAGGCCATGCACCCTAGCGACCTCTGGGACGCTGTGCTTACTTCTGGGCTACAGTCGAAGCATTCCACCGCACTCGTATTTTGGTGCCTGACTTCGTTCAACTCTCCGAACGGTGCGCCTACCGCTGGTGTAACAATTTTGTCGGTTGTACCTGCATATTCCCTTCTGGACTCTGGATGCCAAATGTGCCTAAACCGTAGCCCGATATGCCAGGCTTTGGGGCTGCACTTCACGCTGCCCCGCCCTCACTTGCCAGAACTCAATGCTGCCCCAATACAGTCAACGAGCATAGACGAGAACCTTTGGGACTTTGACTTGCGTCCATACTACAGACATGGACTAACAGCACAGGTCATCTCCAGCTCCACGAGGCTGTAGCTACATATGCCCTCGTGGCGCGCGAGCTCTGCTCGAACCCACTCGCATGCCAGGTCCTGCATGTTGATGAGCCAAATGCCAAATGCAGCAGTCAGCTTTAGACTTCACTGCGCGAGTATGCAGCTTAGTCTTTCTCTGCCTCTCCTTGATATTATTTTGAAGTCAACATCTTAAAGTTTATGGACGCTCTTCTCCGTTCGTTCCCCACAGTCATGGCCAGCCTTACGCCACCAGGTCTCCGTCCACTTTGGCATCTATTAAGCTGCACTGTGGCAATTGTGACGATCTTGGCAAGGCCTTCATTGCGTTCTCAAATCTTCAATGTTCGAAGTTAGCCAATCTGATAGCTTCAGGCTAAGCACGAAGACAGATTGACTTTGGCTATATCGGCCGTTCACGCAGGTAAGATGTAGCTTCGCGGGCCACAGACCGCTTGCGCGAACGTTTCAAGGACATCCTAGCCTTCGAGCAGCATGCAAAATGAGCTGATCAAGCCAGTTCTCACTTAAGGAGTGGCCGTTCTCCCATCTTGGCTGTCAACGGACGCGCTTCCCGCCTCTTTCAAGTGGTTGAGAAGGGCTCTGCAGATTCTCCACAACTAAAGTCATACCTGACGATCTGTCTAGCATGCGGCTGTTTCTGTTGATTCAATGGTACGCTTGCACGCTTGAAGGTATCGAATTCGATCTTTCCAGATTGTGGAGATCGCGCAACTGAGCTCCTATACTCCGACTACGCACGATTGGTCCCAACGAGGGTAGGAGCATAACGAACTACCGACAGCCGTTATTTCGGAAATCAGAGTTTCGATGGTTCAAACCGAGCGAACGAGACCGCGAACGAGCACGGGAGCTAAACTCTACAATCTTGAACCGAGGCTCCATATCCGCGGGAGCTGAACACCACATTGTTCACCATCATCCATACACCAGCACTTTGCCATCCAAGCGATACACTCTATGTACTTCGAACTTTACCTACATGCATACTGATCGGAGACCCGTCCGCTGCAGCTATTTATCGAGTTCTGCAGCAGCAGACTTTGGAACGCAGTGGAGTCAACTTACGCAGGAAGCATCAAAGTTCTCGTGACCTTGCAATTTGGGTTTTTGGGAGTTTAATCGTTAATCAATACCTTCAGTTGACACTTCGTTTGGTAATGACCCATAAATCTCGAAGGAACCATTGTCCATGAGTCAGTTGGGACTACAACCGACCAGGGGCCTCTCCAGGGTCTTATCACAACCAAAATTCGACGCGGGAACAGACCCTGATGAACGTCCATTGACGTAGAAGCCACTTTGGGGGGTTCATGTCACGGTTTTCTTGTGAGTTCGTAGGGTACCTATCTTCGGGGTGAGCATCTGGCACATTGAGCATATGCGTTCAGCTTGCAAGGCTATTAAAATTTCACACGTCAATTTCATCTCAAGGGCACATGACCGTACTGTCATTACGCCTTCACATAGTTGCTATTACTATCCAGTACAACTAGTCACACTTCAATTTGAGTCCCGCAAGTTCGAGTTCAATCGCAAACATTTCTGCATTTCTCACCACAGCTTATCCCCTCTAACCTCAAAGCCTTGAATCAATCCACCTTCCCATCTCTCCAATCTCATCTCCACAACCTCAATCGCCTCATGTCACTCAGCCCATCCCATGTTCCAATCTCATCAGCCTTGCAGATCGGCAACATCTGCCTTACCTCAACAGGAAGTTCACAAGGCATCGCGGCTCACGGCACGCGCACCATCTCACCACGGGTTCTTGTACGGTTCGAGCACGTTGACGGGCTGGCATTCGGGCCGGTGGACAAGGATTCCGATCCTCTTACTGAGGATCACTAGCCGCCAACAAGGCTACAGGCCGTTGCTGCAGGTAAAAATGCAAGATGGATCACAAAGATGACAGGTCGCTGTGGGGTGGTGAGTTGAAGTGGATGTTTGCACGGGTTTGCATGGGTTTGGTGTGGCGAAGTTATCTCTAGTACTGAGGATCTGGTCGGGCAGATTGGGGTGGGTTTGAGGGTCTAGAAAGGCAGGAACGGAGAACTACGATGTTTACGAGATGTAAGTGAGGCACGGTTGAGCCGCTGCTAGATTGTGGAGAGCCGACGCAGACAAGCGCGCTCTTGTGATTATGTTGGTGGAGACTGTCGTGGAAGAGTTTCCTGAGGCGAGTAACCACACGCAGGCGCTGCAGGCACCGGACTGTGCTGAGCCAAAGTGTTTTGTTTTCAAGTGAACGTACCATTTGCAGATGTGGCTCAAGCAAACACGCTTTCAACTCAACACGAACATTTGATTGATCCCAAGAGTGTCATACACCATATTGTTTTTAGGTCACAGGACTTGCAATGCCGACAAAGGATCAATCTGCAAATGGAAGTGTGCTAATTCATATCCTCACTACCAGTAACTACCCACCGTCACGCTCATTTGACATCTGAATATCATATGCATGCAAGATGCAACATTCTCGCTTGCTTTCAACAGTCGTCTTGCTCGAAGCCAAGCTTGTACCTGGGCGCCGTTGGTATGATCGAAGCATGAGTCCTCTGCCTGTCTGCTCTTTTGTGAGATGCTAAGAGGCACTCTGAGAAGCGCAGACATCTGCGCAATTCCAATAGTGTATTGAGACTTGGTACGACCATCCTAGTACAAATATTGAATCTACAACGTCATTCAGCATACTCTTTTAAGCTACTGTTGGGCTGTAGGGAGCATTGCATGTTGTGAAGTCAACGATCTGCAACCTGGAGTACTCATTAGCAAGATCTCTGCACACATCTGTCCCCATGCATCTGTCCAGCTTGCTCTCGGGAAAACCCACCAGCGTTGTTCGCACCTGCCAGGCTGTCCACTGATATGCTAACCCAGCGTCCTAGAACAATACTGAGATTGCTGAGGTGACAATACCTTGGGCTTGGGTACCACTTCTCTCAAAGTTGATATTGGCAAGAGTTGACACAAATTTTTGGCTTACACGAATAGAACCTGACCTTAGCGTAGGAATTCGTCCGGCGTTGTTCGCAATACCCTCGTATCACCCACCGCAATCATGTCGGAGCATTCGGTCCCATCTCGCATACCATGCTCAAACTAAGCTGTTCAAATATCATAACCAGTCAGCGACGCTTTCTAGTGGTCAGTTCAGGCGTGCAAACTCCCCATACTCCAAGATAAAAGCTCAGCAGGCCCTCAAGGCCCACGCTTTCCAGGTAAAGTAGGCCTCAGACAATCCAGCGAATCACATGAAGCCCAAGTGCGCTGACAAACGAGACTTGCTTTGATCGTGCTGTGTGGTATTCCATATTTACAGTCCTCACAGCGAGGGAAACTGAGTCAACCGGTACGCCCAGGTCTTGCATATCCTCCTCTCTCTCCTCTTTTCATGCCTATCTACCCGCGCAGCTACCCCGCTTAGTGGCCGTCCGCGCTGTGGTGCCCGTGCTCTTCCTTGAAGAAAAGCTGCTCAGCAACGAGGTATCCGGCGAATGCGACTGTCGCGATGCCGAGGCCGGGGAATGAGCCCTTGAAGCGGTTCCACCTGGAGAAGGGACCTGTGTATCGCCATTGCTCGCTGTGCAATTGTAAGTTTGCTATTTGGGAGCGCAATGAAGCAATTGAGAAGCGTACTATCGTGCCCATGGGTCGCCCTTTGTGCCGTTCTTCGCAGCGGCAGCGAACTTCTGCGGGTCGAAGCCGGTGATGTTGGGCTTTGCCATAATGGAGCTGCATCAGTTAGTAACGAGCGCACAGGCTGACTGATGTGCCAATTGGGACGTTGCATATGCAGCACTCACTATGAGGGCCTCATTGTGTGGGATATTGAGACGCAGCGTAGATCTGAAGACTGTCGTCGTGGAGCTGCTTGATGTCGCGGTTGCTCAACTCCATGTCTTGGCGCAGAGCTCGGACTGCAGGTGCGGCCACCACTCCCGCACTCGCTTTCATCTGCATCATACCCTCCGCATTCCAACACCTTTCGATTTGCCGACCACGATCAAATATCTACGACTCGCGCTGCCTACTGGACAAGCGCACCTGGTCGGTGCGACTATAAATCCAAGGTCATCTGCATCTTCCATCCCGGCTACCGCATGCCTATAGCCCTGCAACAGTATCGCACACGAGCTACCCAGCGGTAGCACCTTCCATATCGCACAATGGCACGCAACGGCGGCCGCTTTCCCGGCCACAACCTCTCCAATCCATTCGCTCACCTCTCCGCGCCGATACACCAACAACCCCAACTGCAACAGCAGCACCAGCAACAACAGAACATGCCACACCCCAGCTTCGGCGGAGTTAACCAGGCCCACAACATCAACCTTTTCGGTCAAAATCAACATAGTTTCCAATCGAACAACGCTGGTATTACTGGTGGCCTCGGTGGTGCTGGGTTAGGAGCAGCAGCTGGTTTAGGTGGGGTCAGTGGAGGGACAGGTCTGGACGGGCACGAGGCACGTATGCGCTTCGCTCACGGTGCTCAACTGCAGCAGGACGCAGTACGCGGCCAGGATGGCGCCAAAGGCCTTGCTGGGCAGCGGATACGAGACGTCTGGCGGTCGAACCTGCACCAAGAGATGGATCTGCTGCGCTCCTTGATCGATCAATACCCATACATCAGCATGGTTAGTACACCTTTTCGTACGATTCAGTTCTGTATTTCATTGTGCGCGGCGTATGTCTGACATACGTGGTTGAAGTGCACTATCAACGGCTTCAGGGAGTTTTGGGCCATGGGCTTGGTACTCCCTTTTGTTCTGCGATTCTCTGGTCATGATGACGCTCACACTTTTACTAGGACACAGAGTTCCCCGGTGTTGTCGCACGACCTATCGGCGACTTCAACTCGAAAGCTTCATACCACTACCAAACAGTGCGCTGCAACGTCGACCTCCTCAAGATCATCCAGCTCGGCGTCACACTATTCTCGATACAAGGCGAGATTCCTCCCGCACAGCTCGACTCGTCCACACTACAGTACCAGCCCAAGTCGTTACAGCGATATGCAAACAACATAGTCATGTGCCCGTGCACATGGAGCTTCAACTTCCAGTTCTCCCTCGAAGACGACATGTATAACGAGGAGTCTATTCAGATGCTGAAGAAGTCCGGCGCCGACTTTGAGAAGCACGCAACACAAGGCATTGACCCTCAAGAGTTCGGTTCACTCCTGATAACATCTGGCATGACGCTCTCAGAAGACGTCAACTGGATATCTTTCCACTCTGGCTACGACTTTGCATATTTGGTCAAGATGCTCAGCTCCAAGCCACTACCTGAGGACGAGGACTCATACCGCAAGCTCGTCGAGATCTTCTTCCCTCGCCTTCTCGATGTCAAATACCTCTGGCGACATGCGAATAACCTCGTCCGCCGCGGCATAATAGGCGCCAATGCGACCAACATTTTGAACAACTTGGGCACGAAATCAGGTCTTCAGGATCTCGCTGACGAGCTGGGTTGTCAACGCATTGGCAACTCGCACACCGCAGGCTCCGATGCCTGGCTCACCGGTACTGTCTTCTGGGAGCTGAAGAAGAAGATCTTCGATGGATTGATCCTTGACGAGATGAACGGGCAGATGTGGGGACTGACAGGTGTTGGACCACCAGCCAGCGCGACGGCACAAGCCGCCGTCCTTGCTGCACAAGGGCAGCAAAGCCTCACTGGTTTCCAAGGTCTTAACGGTGGCATGATGTTCCATCCTGGCAACGCAAGACACGGTGATGGACCCAGCACACCAACAAACCATCCAGCTGGTCTTGCAACAACACCAGGACCTACAGGCCATATGACTCCAGGTGGCAACTATGGAGGCTATGGCGGTAACAAATAGTTGCATTATGCCTGAGCTCCATACTGAACCATTGTATAGTACCATTTCCTCAAATGCCGTTTCCTCCGGTCCCTCCCCCATTCCCTCCACCCCCATGGATATACCCTCCTCCACGGGCGACCCCACCTCCACTGCGGCCGTCCGGTGCTCCGTGGCCTCTACCTCAAATTCGGCGGCAGCTCGTCCCTCCGCCTCCTAACCCTTGGCCATCCATTGCGGAAAGTCAGTCGATGCAGCCCTCGAGCGGTGGTGTCACACCTATGCGTGGATCTCGAGAAAGACGCAAGCCAGATCGTCAGCGCAGGCCGATGTCCCACTGATCGTTTTTTCTGGGATTTAGGAGTAGCCCCGATTACTGTTCAAGCATGCATTGTTTTTGGCGTTTTGACATTACTCCATTACTCAAGGCGTTGGAAACAGGTTGGCTGGGTCAGTGAGGATGTTGTGGGTGAGCAGCGTGTGGGTCTTGCATATTTAGTTTAGGCCATCACGATCCCTTGCGTAATAGCACTACGGCCTTGAGCCAATTCCTCGAGTCTTCGGCATCTTTCAGATTGGTGCAAGTCTTGAGACCAGACACGGTTCTTCTACATGTTGAAGCGCGTCCTTTGCTTCTCCATACGGCCCTTCCACTGCCATTCCTGGCCACTCTTGAACTGGATCCCGCGATCTATCCTTCGGAGCTTGAGGGTCATGCGAGGCCTGTCGTCACGTCAGCAATGGTCCAACATCCACTTTCAGGAATGCAGACTTACCCAATCTCCTGCATACCCACCTTCACATCCTCAACCCCCTTAAGCGGCTTCCCATCATTCCCCAGAATCGGCTTCTCCGTCTCCCGCTTATCGCGGAACACATACCGATGTCTCCTCACAAAGATATAATCGCGCTGATTATGCAGCGTTAAGACCTGTCTCCCCTCCAGTTCCGGGGCCGCAGGAAACAAGCCCTTGAACAAGTGCGCCGTCAGGATACCCAGCGGTGTCTTGAAGTTATTCAATATGAGTTCTGGGTAGTGCCCTGTGTCATTCGCGTGTCGAGGCAGCTTCTTCCCATCCACCCAATTCGTCACGCTGAAATGAAAGTGCGGTCCGTTAGGCAAGTGCACGATATCCAGTCCGTCGGGCTTCTTCTCGTGCTCGGCTTGCATAAGCACAACGACGGCGGTGTAGTCGCGCGCCGCGGCGAATTGCGAGATCTCGCGTATCGAGTATTTGTGTGCGTGGGCGTGTGCGGTGCGTCGGATATAGGTGCTGTTGGGGAAGAAGGAGGTCAGGGTGTCGGCTTCTTTGTGCAGGGAGGAGTTTATGGATGTGGTGACGAGGATCTTGGGTTCAGGTTGGGGGTCGAAGAGTTGGGGGAATTTCTGTTTGAGGAATTCGGGGGAGAGCTCCATGTTTGTGGCGGTTGTGGTTGCTATTGAGGGGTCGGGGGATGCGGCGCGCTTGTTGGAGGGCTTGGTGATTTCGGAGTCGTCGCTGGAGAAGGCGTCTTCGTTGTCAGAGTCCAGCATGGAGTCTGCATCCTCGTCGTCCTCGTCGTCCTCGTCCTCGTCTGCATCTGGCTCTTGGTCTCTCTTCTTGAGCTTGGCTAATACACCCTCCTCTTCATCCTTCTCAGCTGCTTCCTGGTCGAGTTTCCTCTTCTTCGCCAGTCGCTCCACATCTACCGCCCAACCCAGGACATCCTCATCGTCTCCTACTGGCTCGTCCCATACTCGCTTGTTATCGATAGTCTGGGGAACGTTGTTCTTGAGACGTTCTTCGCGCAGCGAGGCATCCTTGGTTTCCTCTCGTTTACGGCGATGTCGAAGATCACGCTTTTCTGCTTCTCTGGCCTTCTTTATGGAGAGATGTGCGGCTTGTCGGCGGAGCTTGTTCTTGGGCTTGAAGCCTGTAGCAGTAGTTGGGGACTTGGAGAACGCCATGTTGGGTGGTTGTACGCCTGTGAAACTTTGTCAGAGCTCTTTCCACATGTGTGCGACAACAGCCTTACCGTTACAGCTTCGTGGCTCAGAGTTGGGGTGTTGTGCTCAAAAAGTTGCCGACTGCAGATCGCGAACCTCCATGGCCGAACTTTTTTGTCGGCGAGGGTTTCTCCGCACCTCCGTGTTTGTTGCATTGCCGCCGGCGACTCATGCTCAGTTCGAAGAGTCACGAGCGATGATTCATCTGTGTATTATATATGAACTAGACGCTCTCTAGACCAATTGCTTCTCTCTGCAACGAGAGAGTCTCAAGTGTATGCAGGGCGTGTCGCGGCTGTTGCGCGCTAATACTCTATCTTCTTCACTGCGCAACTGCAGGCCCGTTTTTAGTACCCCGCCTTCCCTTGTTTATCCCACCAAGCCCGCCCGCAGCTTCTCTGCCACACCTACCCACTTCAAGTTCGTCGTCCCCAAGCGAAAGCAGCAGGTCAAGATGCCAAGCGATATGACCACATTCAAGGGCAAGCCCTTCGACAGGGCTTCGCTCGAGTCTGTCATGAAGGTATGCGCATGCATTCTGTCCCACAAGCCATGCGCCGCTTCGAGTCATATTGACGAGTGCAGCGACGACTCTTTTACACACCTGCTTTCGACATCTACGGCGGCGTCTCTGGCCTCTACGACTATGGCCCGCCCGGTACCGCGCTCACAAACAACATTGTCGACGTATGGCGAAAACACTTTGTGCTGAGGGAGAACATGCTCGAGAGTATTGCGCACGAGACCATGGTCCATGGACGACACTGACCGGTTGCAGTTGACACCACCATGCTTACACCCCACGAAGTCCTCAAGACGTCTGGTCACGTCGACAAGTTCGCCGACTGGATGTGCAAGGACCCCAAGACCGGCGAGATCTTCCGCGCAGACCACCTTGTCGAGGAAGTTTTGGAGGCCAGGTTGAAGGGCAACAAGGAGGCGCGTGGCGAGAAGGTTGAGGCAGAAGAGGAGGACCCCAAGAAGAAGAAGAAGAAGGTCAAGAACATTGCTGCTGTCAAGATGGACGACGCGCTCGTCACTGAGTACGAGGAGGTTCTGGCCAAGATTGATAACTACAACGGCGAGGAACTTGGTCTGCTCTTGAAGAAGTACGACATCAAGAACCCCGCCACCAACGGCGAGCTTCAGCCTCCTGTCGCCTTCAACCTCATGTTCCAGACATCGATCGGTCCCTCCTCAAACATGCCCGGCTACCTGCGCCCCGAGACCGCTCAAGGTCAGTTCCTGAACTTCGCAAAGCTCCTCGAGTTCAACCAGCAGCAAATGCCCTTCGCCTCCGCCTCCATTGGCAAGTCCTTCCGTAATGAAATCTCCCCACGGTCCGGTCTTCTGCGCGTACGGGAGTTCTTGATGGCTGAGATCGAGCACTTTGTCGATCCCGAGGGTGGCAAGAAGCACCCTCGCTTCGAGGAGGTTGCGGATGTCGAGCTTGAGCTCCTCGACCGCGAGGTTCAGCTTTCTGGCAAGACCAACGTTAAGACTACCAAGATTGGCGAGGCTGTCAAGACCGGTCTTGTAGACAACGAGACCCTTGGTTACTTCCTTGCCCGTATCCAGCAGTTCCTGCTCAAAATCGGTGCCGACCCCAAAAAGATCCGCTTCAGGCAACACATGGCCAACGAGATGGCCCACTACGCCGCAGACTGCTGGGATGCCGAACTGCTTACCTCGTACGGCTGGATCGAGTGTGTTGGTTGTGCCGACCGTAGTGCATACGATTTGACCGTTCACATGAAGAAAACCGGCGCGCCTCTGGTCGTTCGTGAGCCCAGAAAGGAGCCCCTCAAGGTTGAGGAGTGGGTATGCGACATTGAGAAGAAGAAATTCGGTCCTAAGTTCAAAAAGGACGGCAAGACTGTCGAGAACGCGATTGAGGCTCTTACACAAGACCTGCGTGAGAAGCTGTCTCTGGACCTCGAGAAGGAAGGCAAGATCGTCATTGATGTGCCCGGTGTCGGCGATGGCAAGGTCGAAGTTCCCAAGGAGTTGATCACTATTGAGAAGCGCACAAGAGTTGAGAACGTCAGGGAGTACACACCCAACGTTATCGAGCCATCATTCGGTATTGGCCGTATTGTCTACGCCCTTTGCGAACACATCTACTGGACTCGCGAGCAGGACGAAGCTCGCGGTGTCTTGTCCTTCCCTCCTACGGTCGCCCCTACCAAGGCACTCATCGTACCATTGAGCTCGCACAGCGACTTCAAGCCTTTTGTACGGACACTGAGCGACAAGCTGCAAGAAGCTGGCGTCTCTACTCGTGTCGATGACTCTGGCGCTTCCATTGGCAAGCGCTACTCGGTAAGCTATTGACGATCCTTTTTGCACTTTGTACAATTCTGACACCACGCAGCGTAACGATGAGCTTGGTACCCCTCTTGGTATCACCATTGACTTCCAGTCCGTTAAGGACAACACATTTACACTGCGTGACCGTGATTCGACAGAGCAGGTTCGCGCTGGTCTCGATGAGATCACCACCGCCATTACCAACCTTGTCAATGGCAAGGAGCAGTGGTCAGATGTTGCTACGCGTCTGCCCAAGTTCGAGGGTCAGGAGGTCGATGCCTAAGTTACACGAGCAAGGACATGAACGTAGAGATAGGAATATTCGGACCGAAGACAAGAGTCAAAAGTTGGGGAGATACCCCTCAATTGTTAGAGAAGATGCATTAGTGAGTGAGTACGAGCATTCTGCGGAGGCAAATGGGTTAGCCACTGTGCGCCCTTGTTACACAAACGCAAGCAAAACACTTGACCGACGCATGTACAGAGATGTTGACGTGCCTCCCATGCATTGCTGCCCTCCGAGCTCATCCATTCGAAATCTGACGTTGGCGCTTGCCTAGCGTTTCCTTTCCAGTTAAACAGGTTCAACAGACCCTTCATCGCCAATTCTCACTCTTTTGTACAACAAACGATCCACTGTGAACTGACCCCTTCACTTGAGTCATGATCGCACCCAGCTTGCTGGTCCGGCATCGTCGGAACAGCTTCCTCCTGTCCCAGCGGCCGTTTTGACAGCGGCAACGATGCCAGCGACAGAATGGTGGCGCACCTTGACCCAATCACTCCCGTGCAGCGCCTCCTGACCTTTGCGTTGGATCAGCACTGAGACGGTATGCGGTATAATCTCCGAAGCAGGTCACCGCGTTCGGATCCACACCGAACCGCTTCGAGACGAATGCGACAAATGAATGCGACAACGAGCCTACGATTCATTATCCGCTGAGCCCTTCAAATCCCACAGAGCATGGCTCTTTACTAAGCTCGATTGTGTACTTCCATCACTGGCTTCTTCTGGTCATCTTGAACCCCATTTGACTTCGGGCTACTGCTTCTCCTCCCGCAGTCCGTCATGTTCTGGAAGGGAACATGCAGCCAAATGCCTCACTTCTAGCAGCCAAGGCTCACCAAACATCTGGCTGGTCTTACAGCATCATATCTAAACGAAAAGCCATCGGAGACGGAATGGTGCACCATACTCAGACTACACCGAGTGTGGTCAAGGGTTCAGCATCGTACCCCTCCGCCTAAGAGAACCCGCGGGGCGGCCCAGCATGCATACACAGCGCCGAACAGCTGGCCAAATACGAGATGTACCTCCGTCTTCACATCCTCGCAATGTCCGCCGCAACGCCGAAGATCATCAAAGTGCATGCCAGCTTTGTACAACGACGCGTGAACCAAGCTAACTTGATGCAATGCCCAATTTAACCTGCTGCAGCTATCGGGTATTCAGTCTGTCTGCCCGCCTGCCTGTCTCGAGAGTCGGTCTCCGCCCGAGAGTCGTGCATGCCTAGCGCGCTGTACGCTGCTGGCATGGATGCTCCTCGCTGGCAGCTGCTGTCCATTCAGATTGAGGTACATAAGTATGTACTCAGGAGGTCAGCAGAGTCATTCGGTGCACAGCTGATCAATCACGCCTTCGGCAATTTTACGTACGGATCAGAGTTCGGAGCGGCTCGCCCTCCGACTAATCTTGAGTTTTGCTGTAGGGCTCCGCAAGTTCTACAAGATCATGCGCTAGGCGGTCAAGCCGCCATCGTCGAGAGCCTGCAACATTCAGGTCGACGCCCCTCTTCTCAGATTGCACAAACACAACTTCCAGAGAGAACACAAATCGGAGCCCAGGGATTGTGACGTCTTCAACGTTCGCCACCACTTAATCCACAGGTGGAGGACTGGATTGGCTTCCTTCCCGGGACCATGGAAGAGGGACAGCCACATCCCGACACTCTGGATGGACATGACACGGCCGCATCCAAACGCCCGCGAGCTGATTCAGGGAGCTCCACCTCCATCGAATCTGTGTAAGTTGTACACCACATTGACTCTATTTACTCTGTTCGTTCCGCGCGTCTCACTTACAGTGAATTTTCCCGCGGCTGAACCATCAAATTATCCTAATGCTCAGACGTAGCGAAGGACACCACTGACCACGCTACGCAGTCGATCTGTTCGCACTGTAACCTCGGAGGATCTCGAATACGTACACGAGAATGGCCGCACCTATGGCAACGACACATATTTCAACCCGTGTGTTTTCAATAGCAATCTCAAGGAGCAAGACCGTTTGTTCTTCCAGCACCAAATCTTCGTACATGCTCTACAAGGGCGCTTGACCACTACGAGGCTCTTGCCATCTACCAGAAGGATCCTCGATCTTGGTACGGGACCCGGTCATTGGGCGGTCGCAATGGCACAGACGCATCCACGAGCAGAAGTCGTCGGTATCGACATGACACAGTGGGATCTCGACACGACCGAAGCGACTATGGGCAGCGCAGATGTAACTTGGGAGCTGGACGACTTGGATGTGTGGGGCGTAGATGCACATATAGAGGATCTGAACTCCATCTCGAACTTCGACTTCTATCGCGACATGACGCATCGGATACCTATCCATTCTCCGCCCAAATCGCCAGAGAGAGCCGGGTTCAGCGAATCCATCACACATCCCGAGACGTCTGTTGAATCACTCGTCATCGACCCTCGTAACCTCAACCCCCCACCAGAGCCAGGGTGGCACTTCAGCGAACCCTACGAGTTCATTCATCTCCGCAATATGAAGGGCTCATTCTCACATTGGGAGGAAGTGTACGCGGAAATACACAAGAGCTTGTCGCCTGGTGGCTGGATCGAGGTAGCAGACTGGGATATGGGAGCAGTGCCAATTGATCACGCCACATCTGATCCAGCCACTTTCCCTGTACCGACTCTACGAAAACTCTATGCCTCTATGATGGAGGCGTCCTTTAAGTCCGGACGCCCACTTGGCTTATTCTACATGCATCCCACCTACCTTGAAGAAGCGGGCTTTACAGACATTCAGACTACGCACGTCAATGTTCCTATCGGGCAATGGGCAGGCGACGAAGAGCAAAAGCGTGTGGGAAAGCTAATGCTGGTAGTGGTCATGGAAGGTTTCGAGGCGAGCTTACTACGACTGCTAACCAAGTATGGTGATAGAGAGCGGATATGGAGCGCTGAAGAGGTCAGGGCGGATATCGCGCGTGCGCAACAAGAGGTTGCGAATTGGGTAGAGAGGTCAGAGCGAGGAGAGGCGGAAGGGTGGTGTGCTAGCTTCAAGTGGATCACAGGGAGAAAGAGCTGGCATGCAGATTGACCAACTGACTTGGTGTGAGCGATGTAGCATTTTCAGCGGGAGCGGGTGTCGGAGTAATACATAGACTGTAATGACGTGACGAACACAAGCATATGCATATTATTGTGATTAGTTCCGAGCCATTGGGTTGAACAGTATCGAACTGGTGTCATTCTTCATCTCCGCCCGTTCAAAGGCCTACTCCCCCTTTCCTCATCCTCCTCATCGAAGTCATCCAGCTCGAATTCCTGCGCACCCCTGATGCTCTCCTCGTCCTTGATCTTGCCAAAACCCTTCTCATCTGCCGGGTTCGGGTACGGCGTAGCACAGTCCCTGCTTCTCAACGCTGGATAATACCTCCTATAGGTGTAGTGTGCCACCGACATGCCCAGCAACGAGCCCACGCTCACATCATAAACATCGTGTCTGTAATCCTCACACCTGCTTATCGCAATCAGCGCCGCCCCCAACAGCGGCGCAAGCGCAAGCAACACCCTCGCCAGATCCGCCCGTGGCCTGTAAACGTGACACTGTCCCGCAATGAACAAACTCAAATAGCCCAGCCCGCTGAACGAGAAACTGCTATGCCCTGACGGAAAACTGCGCCACCCATCATGCAGCACGTGATGATTCGTCTCCGTGCACACCTCCCACGTAACCAGCACATCCCCCGGCGTCCCTGGCTCTGGCTTGCACCGCGCGATTAAATCCGGTCGCGGGCGCCCGACGGCGTTCTTGATCACGTCTGTTAGGAATAAAGTGAGGATCATGCTGACCAGCCAGCCCAGCAGCGTGACGTGCACTTTGTGTGTCTCCAGGCGTGTGATGAGCGCCCAGAGGATTAGGGTGGTGAGGGGGAGGGCGCCGGCGTATATGAAGAGCCAGGTTACGTTTACGCGTTCGTAGAGGGCGTGTGGGTAGGCGATACGTAGGTCGGACAGGTAGAACATGCGGTGGAAGGGCTCGGCGAGGAATTGGATCTGGAGCTGGGTTGTTAGTAAGCCGTACTCGGAGAAGGGTGGAGAGAGGGGCATACGAAGATGTACCCACTGATTAGGAGCGCGAGGCCGACATAGTCGGAGGCGTAGGAGCGCTGGATGTCTGTCAATGATTGTAAGGGTGCGCGATGAGTGGACACGGACCTGCCAAAAGCGGGCAGCTGCCCCTATGAAGCCGGGCTGGTTAAGCAGGTCATTGGTGTTGCGCCTGGGCGATCGAGCAGGCATTCTCAGTGGTGTAAGGGAGCAACTGGCATTGCGAGGGTTGGCGCGGGAGGAAAGGTGAGGTGTCCAGACATGTCGGAGGTCCGCAGTGACGCGTGTTTGGCCCTAGCGAGATGGGATGGCAAGGGTTGTGAGCATCTTCGCCCTTTCATCTCCATCTTCTACTGTTCACGAAAATTGAGCGAGAGTTTTGTTCGCGTATTGGGATCAGATCTAGTTGTTGGCAAACAAGTCCCTCGAGGGCATCATCCCCAGTATTTTCATTATCAATTCATTCAAATTCTAGCACGACGATGCTTTTAATATAGACGCCGCTCAACCCCCTCAATCCACTAGGTCTTGCTATGGACCCTGATCTGAAGAAGGTGAGAACTGATATACAAGCGATCTCTAGCAACGAAACTAGTAACAAAGAGGCTGAAGCCCATGGATATTTACTATGGATTCCCTGCGATAAGCACCATCCTCACTCCCCACTCGACATAGACACCGCAACTTTTCCTTTGCAGTGTTCAACCACCTACGAGGTCATTACACGCATCCTTTAACACAGCACCACGATCTCGAAGCCCAGTTTGTTCGGTTCGATTTTCGTGTTTTCGCCCATGAGGAAGCAGTTGAACGGTGCATTCTTGGCCGCCATAGCTTGCGTCTGATTCCACCACCTGGGCACAACGCTAGCCTCAAGACACGGCCTATTGGCTGGCGCATTGCCGTTGTAGCTGTTGCATGCTTCTATGCAGTCTGACGGTGTAGCAACAGAGATCGCAGCGAGATGAGGGTTTGTTCGCCAGCGGTCCGCTGCTCCGATTGGCCAGCTCATTTGGGTTAGCTCTCCCGCCTTCACTGTACATATTCTCAACCCCTCAATAGCTCTCAATCGATAGAATAGGGTTGGTCCAGCGTGTGGCGCATACGGCCGTGTCCTGGATCCGACAGTATCAAGTGAAGCAGTGCTTCAAGTGCGAAAGATACGGCCACATAGGAACCTAGTGCAAGGCAGCAACAGCATGTGGCTACTGTGGGCAGGAACACGATACCCAGGACTGCCCATCGAGAGCTGGACAGAGCGTACTAAGAAAACGCGTGACGTTCTGGGACGAACACGAAGCGTGGATTGCTAATGTCTGACCAGGAAGGACGAGATAGCCAAAGCGAAGTCCGCATATGAGATGCGGCCCCGCTACTAATATGTTGCAAAGACAGCGGGATAGACTGTCTAGCAAGAGACATCGGCCATTACTTCATTTTCATCTATATGGCTATCTATTTACACCCTTGTGGGAACTATTGATCATCACCGCCTCAAGGGAGTTGGTCGATGTCTCCAAACTCTGAACAAAACAGGTATATTGCCAGAAAGAGGAACCGCAGCTTGCTTACAGTTGCAGTTGAAGATTATCGCAAATTGGTTATGATAGACATAGTCAAACTGCCTGCTGTGGTTTGCCAGTTATTGAACCGCCCGTCGAATGCTTGGCCCACACACCTCCAGCATATCCACTTATTTCGAGGCGGAAGTAAGACAATGCTCCGCTCGTCGCGCCGCTGACTACTAGACTCCGACCTTCCCATATGCCATGAATACTGGTGTAGAGCGGGTAGTTCTTCCTGAGCCCTTCGGGATCAGGAGCAGACTACAAGGATATGGATCGATAAACAGGGACTCCGTGGCTAGCCAGCCACAGAACTTCCTGACACTGTCGGCCGGCCCGCTCTGCTGGCAGCTCAGATCGAAAGCAAGTTATATCATAGCTTTCACGATGAACCGATACAGGATGATACGACTCAGTCGACGGATCAGTCTGTTACACAGCCCACTATTACACTCTCCCACGGGTTGCAGCTGTGACAGTTTGCGACATGGTTGGGTAGTCACGCTACAGATAGCTCGATATGTTTGCCTTCTCTTATACTACATTGCTACAACTTTCCCTCTATCGCATCTGCATATAAGAAGAAAACCCCAATACTATAGAATCCACCTCTTACTACCTAGATTAAAGTCTATGTGCCAAGTCGCTCAAACCCCTAAATCTATCAGTTTAGATGCAGTCCACGAAGGCTTTGTGACAGGAAATGACAAGCCGCAGTCACTGTCTGTACACCACGTTACAGGTTTTTCAAGATCTCCTCCTGCGACTGTACGCCCAAGTCGTACCTTCTCATCTCGGTAGAAGGCACTGCTTGCGTCATCTGTGCCAGCAACGTACGATGCAACCATGTAGACCGGAAGACCTTCTGGGACCGAAAGACTCTCCAGAATAGGAGAGAATGGATCAGGTAGCATGCTCCGAATAGAGTAGTACTGCATTGCCCATAGATCCTCCTTCAGAGATTGAGCGTGGTGCCGAGGGTAAAGACTTTTGTCAAAGTACCCGGTAGCATTAGCTGGAATGAAGACTGGTAGTAAGCCCCTAGAATTGATTTAGCCATTTAGGTGAGAAATCAGAGTAGTGTTAGGAGCTTCTCGACTCACCATGGTAAACCCACACCAAGAATTGTTTGTGTCAAACTGGCCCTTCCTTCTAGATCTAACTTCGCCAGTGTTACTGTTTCTTCCATGGTCAGATTTTGCGTCCTCTTCTGATCCAGCCACTCGATCCCATTCGGAGATACGTCAAGCAATACCACTCCTCTTGTGGTACTAGGGTTCTGCTTGGCATGCCGCAAAACATTCTCTCCTCCTCCGCCCCAACCGACCAGTATTTTGGTTTCATTCTCGCGCTGAATGGCATGGACAAGTGGATTGAATACGGTCGTGAGGTCTGTAGGTTCAGAAGATGGAAGGCGTGAGGAGAAACCGAAATTTGGCGAATCATACGAGCAGCTATTGCGACCGTGTAAATCCGCTAAGATTGTCTGTACGCCAATGAAGTCGGTGATGCCATGGGCTCCATCTGATTCGAACCAGATCGTTGATAGTGATGACGAATTTGTGGGAGGCACAGTGGTACAATAGTAGTTGATTGACAGAGACGCACCAGAAGCAAGATCCACTCTAGATATAGTGCCTCTATATGATCGTCAGCTGGGAGGTTGTTTGTGTTCACGAGTGTTCAATAACTTACGGGTTCTTGAAGCGGTATTGCATTGCTAGTTGTACAGCTCCGACGATGAATAGTATAGACAACGCGAAGCGCATGAATTTAAACAGGCGATTGGAATTGCGACTGACAGCAAGAAACCATCTCCTAGACTGTGAGAATCGCTTCGAATCTGGAAGTGGCATGGCTTGCGTGCCCGTTCCCTTGAGCGAAATTCGATCAATGATAACCTTCATCAATGCCACAGCACTATTGAGAAATATCAGTACCTGGATAGCTGTGGCATCAGGTTTGGGAGTCAGGCCGTAGCCTATGGCGCAAGCAAATGCAGATACACTAAGAACGATCCAATATGTGTTGGTAAAGATCTGAAGTAGGCGTGTACGAGAAAGATAGAGATCCCGGTTATAGGGCTGGCTAACAAGCCTCAGTACTTGCAGTGCGTCGAAAGCCAGTGCGCACGCAAATTGTAGGCCGCTGAAATGGCTGTAATAGTACTTTGGACCCGGACGGTAGGAGTAAGACTATAATAATCGTGTCAGAGTTGCCTTTCTTGAAACTAGAAATACGTACAGCTTGCCAGCAAATGATAGCTATGGCAACTAGAAAGAGAATTCCTGAAGCGAAGAGGCTTCCCGCTTTGCATTTTTTAGTATAAACCAGCTTCATCGCAGTGAAGTTGTTTGGGGTTGGAGTGGATGAGATTGATTCTGCATAAAATCTGGACAGCCTGCGGCCTTTTTGAATAATCATAACAAGGACAGATCATGTCTGTTCTTCCCATCTTAGCACAAACTTCCGAACTCCGCTCGTACATATTATACACTGTTCGTCAGCTCATTGATGGGAAGCCTTCTTCTCAGCCAATCATATCGCACGGCGTATATTCGGCAATGGCAAAATAAACACGTGTATCTAGGGCTAAGCTCAAAACGGAGCGGTTTACGCTGCACTTACTTAGCGTTCTTTCGCAGGTCTGAAAGCCCCGATGTGTAAACATGAGTACATCTCGACCTCCCCCTCCTTCTCCGCCTTTGCCTCGCTTTCGCTTCACACTCTCCCCGTTACGGATACCTTTACGCTCAACATTTTCGGTCAGACTTAATGAAGAGAATTCGAAACTGCACGACACGCACGCGTAGTGGCTGCCTAACGTGCAAGCATCGGCGCAAGAAGTGTGATGAACAAAGACCCGTTTGCGGCAATTGTGCTTCATCTAAGAGAACTTGCCAAGGCTACGTTGACCCCTTCCGAATTGTACATGAAGTCGCGAGAGCGGGTATTGACCGTACTTGGCAATCTCTTCCGTCATTACCAGGCTTGCAGTTGGCGAGCGAGTCAAACGGGCATCGAATTGCCAGCTTTCACCATCTATCGGGTGCTCTTTTCAGTCACCTAGACCAAAACCTGGTCCACGAAGTAACACGAAGGAACCTATCACAACGAACCATTCAGCATGCTCTACTCGCACTTTCAGTACAGCTGGAGGCCTTCGCTCGTAATCATCGTATGCGAGATGTCGACCACACGAATATCTTATATTCGCTCAACCACTACGGCAAATCATTGAGAGGCATTCAGGATTCCCTGAACAATGATATGGATATTGAACAGCAAATCGAAACGCTCTTTTCCTTGTCGCTCATCATCAGCTACGAATTGCTCCGAGGAAATGGCCCGGCCGCATTGACACATCTTAAAGGGGCTTTGTGTCTTCTTTCAGCACCTGCGATGGCTTCAGGCCCGAACGATAAGGACTTGACAGTATTAGAGTCGATAAGGGTACTCTATCTGAGATTGGAGGTTGGCGCACTCTCTTTCGTTGGGTCTTTAAGCCCTACGATATCGACTTCAAGCTTCGGGGACATTTCTGTTCGGGCCGAATGCGACGTCACAAAAGGCAGATTGCCAGAGAGGCGAGCATTCCAAGCCGTTCGTACCAAGTTCTTATGTTTAAAGTTTCGCGGCCTACAGGCTATGAGGTACGATGAAGCCGAAGGCCGCTCCCGCTACATGAGCGGACGGGACTTCCAGGCGAAGCATCAACATACAAGAGATGCTGTCTTGGCGGATCTGCAGTGTTGGTTTCAGCTCTTCCAACCAGCATTGGATACTGCCATGCACCCAAGATACATGAATGACTCGATGGATCCTCAAATATCGAAAGAGTGTCTGATCCTACACATTCACTACTTGATTCTAGTTATAAGGCTATCTAGCTTTTGCCCGGAACCACGAGAAACAGCATTCGACACTTTCGACACCTCCTTCCATGTTCTCTTAAGTCATGCCAAAACGCTTGTAAGAGAGGATCAACATCATCTTTTCACCTTAGATATGGGTCTTATTGAGCCTCTCTATCTCACTGTGTTGAAGTGCAGAGAGCCCAATAAGCGGCTGTTAGCCCTCAAGCTGCTCAACTCATGTCGCCAAGAGGCAGCGTGGGATGGCCCACTTATGACTAGCATTGCACAGCGTGTCATAAGAATCGAAGCTACTCTGACTAGAGCTGCCAGACCTGATGAATTCTCGCCAGGGCCAGGCAATAATTCTCTCTTCGACATTGCTAAAACTATATGGGATTTTAGAGATGATCCGGAAGCAGAGCGGTGTAGGGTGTCTGCTGTAGCTCTTCCATCAATTGATTGGGGACACAGGAATGCTTTAGCTGAAATCCATCATCAACGTGGAAAAGTCTGGGCTATCTGCAAAGCATCAACGGGATACGAGTAACTATATACTTGCAGACTTTAGCTTAGACAATGCATTCTCAATAATGTTATAGTACACCTGGCTAGCCGCTTTCCATCATGCGTGTGGACCGATAAATGAGCGCACCCTTTTTCATGCTGGAAATCTACCTTGTCTTGATACTCTTAGACTTCATTACAGATTGTTAGTTCTCTAAGCATTTCATTAACTACCAATCAGACATTGAGCTGAACACCCTTACCAATAACACGTTAGCAGAGTTCTATGTAAGGTGTCCCCTCAGAATAGTACGTGACTGTCTGCTTTGCTTACTAGTCTCATTTTCCACGCCTCACAGAACTACAGCGAGAATTTTTCGAACCTAAACAAGCCTAATTCCTGTCTGTCCTATGACTCGGATCTCTAGAAGATTGTAGAAACTTCTGCGACTGTAAGGAGGAGGTTGAAAATATGCCCGGGCAAGGGGGGTACCTGGTTCTGAGTCTTGCATGCTAAACAGTCTCCTACGAGATTGGTGACTTTTCTGCTCAGCCCGTTGATCGGCGCCAAATGTATGGCCTCTATTGGTGTGTACAGATGCACAAAAGATGAGCCCAAACTTTGGCGCATAAATGCGGCACTTGCAAGGAGTTCAAGGTCGATCCAAGTATATTGGCCGTGCTCATAAGGAAGCAAAATTCAATCAAGTGTTTCCTACAGAGAACGGTCTCTCATGATTATAAAACTATGGCTGCAGGAGCCTATCCCCATTACCAATACTCATCTCTCCACAATTCTAAAACCATTCGTGTGGTGAGAATATTAGATCAAGATCCAGGCGACATGCCTTGCTGCTCTCTAACAGAAGCCAAACTAGGTTCTCAGCCAAGCTACATAGCACTGTCCTAGACGTAAATGTGTGCACGCTATGATCCGGTGACATCATCCCTCAACTTGTCGAATACAATCCTTTTAGCTTAGTCGAGTCGACCAACAGCTGTAGTCTAGAAGCTCTCCAAGATCATAGGCTCTTCACCGTGCTCCTCGTCTTTCTAGAGCTAGTAGAAGCATTTCGCAGAGGAAAGTCGTAAGACATGCTGACGAAGGTGCCGACCACTGACGTAACCATGAGCAAAAATGCGACAGGGTGCTGGAAAGCGATGAATGTTACTGTCCAGGCAAGTGTGGCATACACTGGCCAGAAAAACTTCCACAGTATGTCCTGCACAGCGTTTAACTTGTATTTGAAGTGGTCGAGCTCTGAAGGCGATATGATGCGGTCCCACCACATTCGGAACTCGTCGACATCGAGGTCTGCAGAAGCTAAATCGTGGACTTTAAGCCATATTGACCAGAATGGTCTCAGTTCTTTCGACCTTGGATCGTAGGGGCTCTCGCGGCACATGAAGTCGACCCACTTTTTCACAGCTGCTATGGCAAGCTCATTAGGGGCTTCGAACCATTCGTGATGTGTTTGGTTACATGGTTTGCAGAAGTAAGGTTGACAGAGATCTGAAAGATACCCCTGAGTGAGAGCTTCTGTTCGGATATAGAGGCCCACTAGTCTGGAGTAGACAAGCTGAGGTTTGAATCCACATGAGTTCTCGATAGTTGCAACGCGGAGTTCGCTCTCTTTGGCTCTCCCGATCTTGCAAAGATGAGGTCTGTTCAGATCTTTGACAACATAGATGTAACCCTCCTCCTCTTTGGGTGTCAGCCTGCTCGCAAACTTCTTCCGAAGTGTTTTGTGCATAATCAGAGTGTCCGCCGGGCTTTTATTGCGGATACGACCTGGAGTCTCCAATTTTGGTTTATCCTGGCCAGGTGATGCTTCATAGTGCAGATTATCTGGCCCCAAATCGGCTGCTTCCTCAGCTCTAGGGGTTTTGATGTGTGGCTCTCCTGTCGCTTCGAATGTTTCCGCACTCAAATCGCTTTTCGGCTTGGAGAGTGGGCTCTCTTCGCTCGATTTGTGGGTGTCGTTACTCAAAGAGAATCTCACCGGCTCTGCTTGATTCTTCGGGGACATCGTAGTGAACACATCTTCAGTTTGCTGTTCCTGTGTTTCGGATGAATTTTTCTCATCGTAGTCCGATGCCGATGGTTGCACTGAAGCGGGCCGCATTTTGCAATTTGGGTCCTGGCAGATGCGTAGATGGTTCAAACGAGAACGTTCATATTTATAGTTTTCTTTTCTGGTACAAGAAGTTGGCGTCCTTAAGTACGGACTGGCTGTTGTATCGTCGTTGCTTGCAACTGCATCAGCTCCGGGGCTACGTCCAGAAGCAGACTTGGCTCTCTTACGAGAAACGGGCCGATCTGGTGTCTTCAATGAGCTATTCGCATGCTGCTCTTCCGGAAGAAGATTTGGTGTGCTTTGTGACTTTGTGTCCGATAACGCTTGGTAACTTAAAGGCGAGCCTTTGCGTTTGGACGGGGTTGTATCCGGAGCTTGTTGGCGTGAAGTCGACTGGATCGTTGACATATCGATGGAGTGAGCTTGGAGCGAGGGGCTAGAATTCATGTCGGCAACAAGTATAGATGTACGGTAGGATAATTCCCTGGTCGATATCGAGCTTCTTCAAAGGTCTGACAGACGTAGAGTGATTGCCGTTCTTTTAAATATCGCTGGAGGGACTAGGGAGCAGGTTGGTCTCGGCGTCACCATACTACGACGGGTTCTCGTATGTTGCAGCAAGATGCAACGCATGTTTGCCAATCATCAGCACTAGCTAGAATGGGAAGGTTTGCAGGCATGGTAAGAGGAGGTGAATAAGCCACGTACATGGCTGAAACTAATTTCATCCATCGACGAAGCGCAGACCAATCTAGGGTTCATTCTGCATCATTGAATTCTGTAACATTTTCCATAACCCTCAGGAACACTCGGCGGTAATAACCAATTGGTCCTAAAAAGGGTTGGGAGCAAAGCCTACAGTTCGTCATGAAACCGCCACCACTGGGAACGAAGTATCGTTACGAGTGGTGTTCATCAGCTGTGTTTCAGATCGTTGCTTGCTTGGTGCGCGGAGAACGACTCAATCCCTCGGGACAGGGGCATTTGGAGTTCCTAAGTTACTGGAACGACCAGGATTGAACGTGCTGTGCCGCAAGACCGCATGTAGCAATCACTCGGCCCCAATGACATAGCATACGCTCGACCCTGCTCGAAAGATATGACAAGGTGATCTTAGGATACTAGAGATGGATACTGATGACCACCAGTCAGACTTTAACTGTTGATTACACTAAAAAGCGTTTTGTTAGTGACGACGTTCGCCTAATGAAGTCAACGAGCGAGCTCTAAGGCTGAGCGTAGCGCGTTGCTCCTTCTCGGACATTCAATGCAGGCGGTAATAGCGATTCCGGGGCGACCGAATGTTGCAGTCACATGGAAACGGGCTACGGTCTTGATTCAGGCCGGCGCCTACCCTGGAGAGGAGAGGAAGGCGAAGGATGCACTCCTGTTGATCAATGAGCGCAGGTTGATCTGAGCACTATTTAGAGACTACAAACTACACTGATGAATTTCAACACGACTCGGGGGCGAGAGCACTAAGAGGAAGTTGGTGGCGGTGAAGGAATACTGTGTGCGTGGATAGGACCGAGTCACATGAAACCCAACATCTTCCCCCTATGTCCTGCAGCTCGGCAAGATCCTAATAGTCCTACTGTAATATGAAACAACTCAAGTGTGCATCAGTCGAATTGATGCGTCGAATTAATAAGACTCATGAGGGGTGGTGCAGAAGGTCGCTTCTCTGTCAGCCAACGTAACGTTGAACAAAAGCTGCCACGCGCAGCTATCTCATGGCAGCTACTCTATCTCAGCAAGCACCTTGCAGGACTTCAGTGATATGAGCATGCGCACCAAATTCCGATAACGAATCTGTCTTTCTCTCTTCACCATCAGCAACCCGTTGCCAGGTAAAATGGCGGCTACTGACCTGCCGCGATGTGGCTGCGAGGAGGTAATGAACTTCGATACGTAGCGTCGGCGGTTGAAGCATCGACTGGATGAGATTTGACAGCGACTGATTTGACGGCTCAGGGTGTGTGACATTCTCGAGAGCAGGGAATGGGGTATCAGATACCGCCCGTACTATGCAGGCTATTCTTCGACCTTCCTGATGCCAAGAAACCATTCTTGATGCTAGCCGGTGTGGAACACACTCCGGCTGTCGACCCTTCATGGTCTCCCTTCTCCACCAACGAGTCGGGATGGTACCAGTGGCTCAACGTCACAGGGAGCAGCCATCAGAACTTTGCTGATTTGGACGACTGGGTGGATCTGCACGGTCTGAAGAACAAGACGATTACACTGTTGTTAGGCACGGTTTGGGCACCGAGAATGAATTACATCGTTAAGATGTTTGTGGAGACGTTCTTTGGATTTGTGCTGGGCGAAGAGCAGTGGCTGAAGATTCCGAATGAGGCGTCCCCGGAGGTCGTGTACATCAATGGAAGTGCTTACACGCTGTAGACGACTGCCATAAATGTAATGTGGCTTATAGCACGCTGGACCCAACCATGCCAAAGGAAAAATGATGCACCTGTCCGTGCCACTTCGGAGTCCTTGCCCTCTCGTTTAGTCCACAATCATGCTTTAGTTAGCATTGGAGCTGCGGTACGCAAATTCTTGGTGTTACTGTCTCGCAGCCCTCCTGACGCTTGCGCGTCTGCCACTTTGGACTATTGATTGTGCTGTCCGGACACTAAAGGATCTTCATCGTAGTGAACCGAGTATCGTATATCATGCCTGATACTGTTGTCTTCTAAACGCACATTCTGGTCTGGTCTCTCTTTAACGCCCGAGCGCTTCGGCAGCGAGGACACCGTGACTTTGTTTTGGAGGGTTTCGGGTCTCAATTTTAACAGCTGGAAGTCACCACCTTCTCTTGGAATAGTTCGAAACTCTTGCCGGCTCATGCGATTTGGTATCGGCTCGACAATGGTGGATGGCTTGGAAGCAGTGGAGCCCTTGAGCGACGCGCTGCGATCGGACATCTTGTAGCCTTGCGAGTGCCCGTGTACCCGGATCAGCTCCCCATGTCCGAAGCCTGTGTTGAGACTTTCAGTGAAACGCCTGAGCGCTGCAATGGTGGCTGCCGCGATCGAGTATGACATCTCAATCGCTTGCCAAACGACCACCATGGCTGCTGTAAGCGAGATATCAGCAGTAGAGCCGAGATTTTTTGTCGCATTGTCGCGAAGAATTGTGAACACGAGAGTTCTAGACAGCTAGTGTTAGTACACATCTGACAGGATTAGATGGGTGTGCAGGGCTTACGGAACGCGAAGCCAGAACGCTGCAATAACGATGAACTTGTTTTTGGTAGACATCTGTAGTTTCCAGACCAGCTGGAATGGCAGGACGAGTATCGCAAGCTCGGTCGCAACATCCAAGCCTGTGATAACGTGCCATCTGAGCTCTTGACGTGGACAAGCTTTGTCATTCGACCGGACGTCCCAGGCAAGACCTTCAAAGGCGGTACATCCAGCGGTCATCAGAATGATGGAAATTATGCATTGCGTTAAGACCAGAGCCCCAACAGAATATTGGAGTCTTTGATGAGAGGCTGTTACCGTCGTGTGTAGCAACATCGAAACGATGGCCAACTTCGATAAACACAGTGCTGTGATCCACGCCAGGTTGCTGACTAGAGTCAGAGCGTTTAGTTTCTCGAACGTATCCTGCTGCGAACTCAGAGTATCTGTGGGGCGACCCAATCCTGCGGCACGGCAAGCATAGTTGCAACCAAAGAAGACGAAGGCCAGAACCTAGTCATTCTTACGTGTTAGAAGGAGTCCTTGCTGATAGCTGTCGCAATCAAGGGTTCCGTGGATGGGAAAACATACGGTGGACAAGGAGACAATGAAGTCATCAGTACCAAAGGCTCTCCATCGGATGTACAGTCGAAGAGCAAGCACACATAATGTGTAGCATAGACAGACCGATAGCGAGAACTCTAGGCCTTTGCTGTAGCCATCGTGATAAGCTACATGATCCTTTGGTTCAGACATGATTTTCGAAGAATTTGGTCAAAATACTGGAGCGACAGAAGGCGCTCTGTCACCAGACTCTTGGAACCGCGAAACTCCGATAAAGCCAAGATCCGTTGGGGCATACAACAGAAGCCATTTGCTCCGTTGCGCAGACGATGAACCCGGGAGGTTCGGGCGTGAAGCTCGTGTGGATGCTTCTGGATCAATGACAGCCAAGCATGCTGTGTAAGGGGATCATCATGTTTCCTCTGCACGACAGGTCTGATAGCCTTCTTGCCCCTCTTACGCCACGGCTTCGTTAATGAACAATCAGCTGATGAAAGGACCTTAACCGTATACTCGACCAGTCGATAGTGAGTGTTGGTACTTGGTGATAGGAGATGTTTGCATGGTTGGACAGCCAAACACGAACTCTACCATTTTGTGCTCGGGCCTTTTGCGCTTCACCCTGCTCTGCTATCAGATTGCGATAGTGTTCAGCCTATCAAAACTGGGTTGGCTCGGCGAGCCGCTTCCACGCGTTTTTTGTTCCAGAAAAAGGAACATGCATCGTGGCTGACGGACGCGCAGGATGGCCGCACAAGCAGAGTCGGGTCGGAAGCTCACTTGTCGAAGTCCTTTGAACGGCGGGACAGCCTTTGCTTCAATGTTAGAATTACCAATAGTAAGGGAAAGAGGATCTCATCGGTATTTGCCTCGATGGTTGTAGGACGGCAGGTGAATAGAGTGGTGATGGAAGCGAGATGTGGAAAGCGGGACGTTCACAGAGTGTGGCTCCTAGCGTCGCTGCGGTCCGCCCCATCTCCTTGGATGAAGGCTTGAAGCCACACCATGCACACGACGCACATTGAGGATGATCACGACATGAAACTCACAAGGTTCTCCGAACTCAACGTCTGAGCTGTTCATCAACCAGAGCGTCCAATCTCAACAGAGTGATCGCACCGACCCATGAACGAGCATGATCTTACTGGCCATCTCGACCTTGAAGGAATCACCATTACAGTACGGTTCGTAGAGGGGCAAGAACGTGCATCGAAATTGCATGCAAGACTTGGTGCACCCAGTCGGAAGCCGCAGAGCTCAAACCAACCTTCTTGCGACCCGCCCGCATGAGGGGCGCAAAGTTCACCATCCCGGTTATCGGTTGTACAAGTTATTGACCCTCAATTGTGATTTGATGCAGGTGGCCTCGACCTGGTTGCACGCCACTTAGTCGCAATGCGCCTGCCTCTACAGGCACCTGCTATATAGCGGCATATGTACAATCATGGCTAATTCTCTGCATCGGGGTCACAGAACCTGAGTCGCTTAACCAGTATCTTCGACATATTTCTCTGTCGACTTCGCACGTCAAGGTATCCTCTTGAGGCCGTTGTTTGCACCCAGAACTCCTCTCCTTGCACAATGGCAGCATCTATTGAGGGCAAGCCTGCAGGCTCTGTGGAGGAGTACGACATGGGACACAACGGAATCGATCGAATCCACGGCGATGCTCTGGGAGGAACTTCGCATGATGCGCAAGACATGTATCGGATGGGCAAGAAGCAGGAACTCCGCGTAAGCCTAGTCTTGACCACTCTGTTCGATCTCGGCTGACAACTGTGACAGAGAAACTTCCGCCTTGTCTCTATCATTGGATTCGTCGTCGTCCTTCAGTCCACATGGGAGAGTGCCTTATTGTAAGTGCATTGCCAGCACACTTTGCAATTGCGAAACAAACTGACAACCTCTGAGGTCAGCTTACTTCGGTCTGTTCAATGGCGGTACGGCAGGCGTCATCTGGATGACAGTCATTACATGGCTCTTCGTCATGGCCATGATCGCCTCTCTTGCGGAGATGGCTTCGATGTAGGTTTGTTTCGAGGGTTGGCTGACACGCGGTACTGACATCGAACACAGGGCACCAACTGCTGGCGGGCAGTACCATTGGGTCAGTGAGTTCGCGCCGCCGTCATTCCAGAAGAGCCTCTCGTATATCGTTGGCTGGAGCGCCGGCGTTGGTTGGGTCTCCGGCATCCCCGCCTGCGCGCAGATGCTATCCTCTCTTGTCATTGGTATGGTCTTGCTTGTAAATCCTGACGCTCAGATCGGCGAGCTGTGGCACGTCACCTTGATCATGATGCTGTGGCTATTTCTCATGGTCGGCTTTAACATCTTCCTGGCACAACACCTGCCACTGGCTGAAGGCATCGTGCTGGTCCTGCACGTATTCGCCTTCTTCGCGTTCCTGATATTGTTCTGGACCATGGCTGAGCGATCACCCGCTGATGAGGTCTTCACAACATTCTACGATGGTGGTGGTTGGGGTTCGCTCGGGACATCTGCTCTTGTTGGTCTCTCAACACCGCTGTGGTGCTTCATCGGACCAGATGCCGGAGCCCACATGTCTGAGGAACTGAAAGACGCCTCAGTGGTACTTCCCAAGGCTATGATGTGGGCTGTCTTCTTCAACGGTGTCTTCGGTATCATCATGATGATCACCTTCGTGTTCTGCGGTGGGGCGCTCGACTCGGTCCTCGAAACTCATACCGGTGTCCCAGTGCTTCAAGCCGTGTACAACGCCACCGGCTCTATCGCGGGCACCATCGTTATGGGCACAATCCTAGTCATCCTAGTGTTCTTCGCCGCGGTTTCTGTAACGGCTGCATCCTCACGACAGATTTGGGCCTTCTCCCGCGATAAGGGTCTTCCGTTTTCTTCCTGGATCGAGTACGTTCGACCTGGCTGGGACATTCCTGTGAACGCACTGCTGGTTTGTCTGGGTTCATCATTGGTCCTTGCTTGCATCAACTTCGGCTCAGACGTCACTCTCAACGCAATCGTCTCCATCTCGAATGCCGCATTGATATTCTCTTATATCATATCCATTGGATGCGTTCGGCTCAAGCGTCTGCAAGGCGAGCCTCTGCTAGCTCGTCGCTGGAGCTTGGGCAGGTGGGGTGGCATTGTGAACGACTTGGCACTCGTCTTTCTGCTTGTGGCATTCATCTTCTCTTTCTTCCCTATGACGCCTAATCCAACGGCTGTCGACATGAACTGGGCTGCCTTAATGTTCGGTGCATTGGCGATTCTGGCAACGGCTAATTATTTCGTAAGCGCGCGGAGAAGCTACGTCGCGCCTATATCTCTGGTCAAGCAGGACTAGACAATGCTCATCAACGAATTTGGGTAGATCATGCTTATCGACATTAGAACCCAAAGTTCATTGCCGTGCCCTCGGGTGGGTCCTCACCTCCTGCAGTTTCTGTGTCGCACTAATGCAAAACAGGCTAGCGTTTTTCTGCATCCAATCCAATCCAATCCTCAACTGTGAATCTCCACTCACCAGCTCCCTACACCAAAGTCATAGATCAAGGCATCTTGGCCCATTCAACGTCAGCACTCGTGTTCATATCGTCATAAAGGTATCTCCCGAAGACATTGAGCGTCTGCGCTGAGGCACAAGGATCAACGTGATTTTGGTGGTGTTGATCGAGGTACTTCAACACGATATTGTCTGGATTGTCTTGGATTGAACTTGCAATCTTGCAGGCGACCATGGCTCAGCCCCTCAATCAGTCCGATATCATCTTTCCCCATCTCTCGAACACCCCAAACTTTTCCAGTACCTTGTCTTCACTCAAGCGCTCGGCTTTGTCCGTTACCAACCGCCTCACTTCCATCACAAAGGACAGCGAGTTTGTGACCAACGTAGCAGCATCTTATGGGTTGCCTCTTGTCGCAAACGAACGTTGTGGGAGTTGGTACATCCCTCTGGACCTGAAAGCTTCGAGCGTCTACTTCAAAAGCACAGACGGTCACATGGGCGAATGGGCGTTCAGTCTACGGAGGCTCAACCTACAACTCTTGGATGTGGTCAGCCAACATGGAGGATGTGTGATTGTGGACTCAACAAGAAGAGGGAAGAGTATGCCTGATGCCCTCAGTAAGACAGTGCCGTTCTGGTGTTGCGTTATCAATAGGGCAGTGTTTGGCGCCGAGAAGAGAGGTGACGAAGCCTTGAACCTGTGCACGCCACCAACTGCGGTATCTGAGAGCGAGAATTCTCAAATGGAGAGAAGAGTCAATGGCTTCGTACAGCAGTTTCTGGTACGACCCATTTTTGCTTAACTTGAGGAAAAGAGTCACCTGGCTTATTTCGATATCAGGATATCTGCAAACCCGACATTCCATCACTCCGATCGAAACTACAGAAACCTCTTCGTCCACTATGGGTAACGCAGACTTCGACTCTTCCACACGCTATACCGGACTTCCCGGACTTCCACCCTGTTGTTCTCTGTACTGCATCTCGTCGCGTTCGCGGCGCCGAGGCGTCAGAAGGTGGGTATGTTCAGGGCGCGGCAGACGACCATGAGGCTTGGTCACATGGGTTGACACCGCCATTGTTCTGGAGTAACAAAGATGAACTGCTTCGCACGAACGAAGAAGATCTTCCCAACAATATCGCAGAGCTGGTCAGCCAGGAACGAGGGACTGACGCAGTATTCACTCTAATCAACCCGACAAGCAATCTGTACGCGTCTGCGAGCCAAAATGTCGACCTCGCAACATTCGATACAGTGATAAGCTGTACATCCGAGCCACTGCCACATGCTCTTTTGAGGAGCGCGGGAGTGAGAGCGTACTTGCACCTCCCCTGTCAGACCGGCAAACTCGGCTCTCGAGACCTACGGATCCAACTTCCCGCCATACGCCTCCTTGCATCCGCTTCTCATGCCAAAAACACAGAAAGTTCACCAAAAACATTGATATGTTGCCCAACAGGCAAAGACCTCTCAGTCGGTACAGCACTCGCGTACCTGTGTCTGTACGTTAACGATGACGGCACCGTAAACTACTGGCAAGCACGAGAACCTAGGGACATCGACAAGACATTGATCAAGCAACGCCTCAGTTGGATCACGACCAGCAACCCGGCCCTCAACCCCAGCCGCGCGACACTGCAGAGCGTTAACAGCGTGTTAATGTCAAGCGAGCCTCTGAAGTCAGCACTCCCAGAGATAAAGGACCCAGCAAAATACGACTCAACCTGGACCCCGCTGCCACAGCCTCCAAGCTCAGAACTCGCCACCTTCCAACTCACCGACACCACGCCCACCACCCCCAGCCCCCCGAACCCTAACGAAGAGGAGCCTTCACAACCGCACAAGCAACTCCCAACCCGTCCGCAAACGCTTTTCACCCGCCTCGCCACTTCCCGCTGGTCCTTCACCCGGCACCTCCGGTCCGCGCTCCCCACGCATCCCTCCGGTACAGTCGTAGGAAGCGCAACCTTCACTTCCACACCACTGCTCAACACACTCTTGTACGCAGAAGAAGGCGATTTCACCACGGATACAGGGCTGCGCTTCACTGCGAGACGGAAGTACGTGTACCAACTCGCCAGGCTTGATGGTAGGGACGAGAAGGAGAAAGGGGACGGGATTGTGGTGAAGTTCTTCGATGACAGTGTGAGGAGGGAGGACGTTGGACAGGAGGGCGAGGGGGTGGGTGGGCTGTTTGTGGAGATGGATTCACTCAGCGACGTTGGGGATGGCGAGGACGTGCTGGTGGCAAAGAACAAAGAGCAGCACCTATGTGGTGAGGACTTGTATAGTGCAAGCTGGCGCTTCTCGAAGGGGATGCTGGATGGGCCCATGGCGGGGGAGAGAGGAGGGTGGTGGGAGGTTAGGTATGATGTTAAGGGGCCGAGGAAGGACTATGTTAGTACGACGCGGTATGAGTGTATGTTAGAGGAATAGGTGGGGTGTTGAGCGACGTTGCACTCGATCATATTGATGTTGTTTCGTATGAATATATGGGTATCTTATCATCTGTGTCCTCATTCCTGGCCCCAATTCGGGTCATCGTCAACGTCACCCAGGATTTCAACCCCTTCCTCCTGGAACGTGACCGTCTTGTCCTTCTGCTTCCTCTTCTTCTTCCCCTTGCCGTTCTCCTTCTCAGCAGCACCCTCCCCATCTCCAGTCACGCCCGCAAGCCTCCTCTGCTTCTCGCGCTCCTCCTTCTCCTTCAGCGCCTCATTAATCTGCTCTCTCATCCTGGCCTCCTCCTCTTCCAAATCCTTCTTAATCGCATCTGCGTCTGCGAAAGACTCTTCCTCAAGCTGACTCGCAGCGAGGAAATGGTCCCAGTGCGATGCTAATTCGGACTTGCCGCGCAGACAGTCGCGCACGATTTCCGGGTTCTCGCGCTCCTCGCGCGTGAATTTGGTTTTGATGGATCGCCGCGTCATGCCGGGGAACATGTGTGCGATCATTTGGAAGTCGGTGCCGAAGCTGCGGAGGCCTTGGTAGAACATCTCTGTCGATTGATGGTTCCATCGCTTGCCCTGGCCGGGCAGGACGAACTCGTTGGGGAAGCGTTTGTTGTTCTTCATGAAGCTGCGACTCGTGATTCGTGTCGTGAGATCGTCTTCCTCGGTAATCGTCATCATTTCGATCACCCGGTCTGCGTCGCGCTCGCGGTCGATGGTGCCGGAGTCTTGGATCAGCTCGATGCGGCCGTCGACAACGTGGTAGCGCGGGCCTGCGGATACTTGTTCCACCTCGCCGGTTTCGAGGAGCTTGTCGACGGCGGCCTGGGTTTCCTTGGTGGAAATGTGGCGAGCGTCTTCTTCGCGGCGGCGCTGTTTGACGGCATCCCAGTCGATTTTGCGCATTTCTTTCTCGCGACGAGAGAGCTTGCCGACGCGGATGTTGCGCGAGGCGAGATCGTCCATGCACATTGTGTCTGGGTCGATGGTCTGGTCTTCAGCGTCGGAGGGAGTGTCTTCGCGGGGTGGCCGCCCTCGACGCTTGGGTTCCACCGAGCCATCCTCGCCTTCAGCTGGAGTTGACTTCTTCCTCTTCGGTGCGCGTGGCTTACGTTTTGGCTTGGCAGTCACATCGCCTTCCTGACCAGTCTCGCCATCGACCGTCACTCCTTCTTCGGTCCGTTGCTCCCCCTTGTCTTTTCTAGGCTTTCGTGGCTTCTTTGCTGGGGGATCTACTGGTTCGCCATCCTCACCCACTTCTGCTGCATCTGTGCTTCGTCTCCCTCCTGTTCTGGCGCTGGGTCTCTTTTGTGTGGGCTCTGCCTCTTGCTCGTCACCGTTCTCCTGATGCTCTCCATCTTCTCCCGCCGCCCCAGTAGCCTTCTTCTTCCCTCGAGGTTTGGGTGGCGCACGCTTCTTCTTCGCAGGTGGCTCGACAGCTTCAGTGGCCTCTCCGCCCTCCTCTTGTGGGTGGTTGACAGCCGTCCATGGAAGCGTCCTTCTCCTCCTTCTCTGTTGAGCAGGTGCATCGGCCTCGGTAGGTGGTGTGGCACCAGTGCTCGCACCAGGTTCTCCAACGTCGACGGTGGAAGCAGAAGTCCCCTCAGCCTGTGAGGTGGGTTGCTGTGATATAATCTCGCCAGTCCGTGCATCCTGCGGCGGGACCATGACAGCGACTGGTACCATTGGTGTGCTCTGCCGTGACGGTGACTCGATCCGCCTCCTCTTGGCTGATCTTCGGCCTTCGACGTCATCCTCGACAGGCTGTGACACTTCCACTTGCTTCGTCGGTAGCTGTGGGGCGTCCTGGGACTCCTGGGGCTCTTGGGTCTCTTGGGTCTCTTGGGTCTCTGGCGTGGACTGCGACTGTTCGACTGCTGGTGTGGGTGTGGGCGTAGGTTCAGGCGCGACTGTTGCAGAGAGTGCTTCTGGTACGATGACAGCTGCAGTACTGGAGGGCTCAGTTGCCGCTGGCGTAGCCTGGATTGCAGCTGTCTGGGTGGTAGGTTCCTGTGTGGGTGCAGGCGTAGGCAGTGGTGCAGTGACTGTGGGTTCGGCGGCGGGGGCACTCGACGATTCAGGCTCGAGTTGGGAGGCTCGAGGTTCGGCGGTAGACGGTGTAGGTTCGGCTGCAGGGGCTTTCGGTGCAGACGCGGCTGTTGCACCTGGCCGTCGCCGTGCGGCTTTGGGAGCAAACTTCTTGCCCGAGGTGTTCTTGTTGATGAAGGAACTAAAAGTCGCCGGTGCCTGGGCCTTGTCGGCTCCCTGCGCCGGCTGCTGTGTCGAATTGTCCTCCGCCATGGTCGCAGTATGCTGCCCGGTGCAGCTGTCTCCTACTATGTCGACATCTGAGTGTTGGCGGGGAAGAGCGAGGGCGCGAGCGTTCGCGCGCAGAGTCGCGTTCATCGCCGGACCCACTCTTGACAAGCGTCAGGAACCATACTCGTTCCATGCTAGCGTGGCTGCCGGCCTTGGCCCTTCTTCGTTTTGTCTTCCAAGGCCACTCGACTCCTCTCTTCACAACACCCGGGCTCACACGACACCCCGCCCTCTCTCTCCTACCGCCTCTCGCCATCCGCATTCATCCCGCTCTTTCATCTCACCTTAACGACCTGATTGTTGCACTCACCACCTGCGCCACCTTCACCACTGCGTCGCCTGTCCGATGAGGCTCGAAGCCAGAACCGTCGCACCCCCATCGCTTGACCAAGTCAAGATGGAGGACCGCAAGAGGCCCAGTGGGCACGACGATTCTGCCCCTCCCGCTAAGAGGCAAGCTGTGACCGTCAACGGTGCTCGCTCGCATCCAGACGCTGACATGCCATGGAAAGATGACATCGAGGTTCGCCCCCCGATCCGCGCTCGCAACAACTGCCTCGGCAGCCCTCGAACACACACGCTAATACCGCATTGAGGTGCAGGCTTATCAGAAAGATGCCATCTTACGCCAGATGCGCGAGTACAAGCGAGAAAAGGCTACTCTCGAGGCTCAGCTCAACGAGGTCGAAAGCCGCTCAAAATATCACGACGAGGAGCTGCGGGCAATCGATGCATGGTTTGATCAGGTCAGTGCACTCAGATAGATTGAGTAGATCAGGGTTGACCATCTGCCAGCTCGTTGACGAGATCAAAATCCTGAGTGGAGAAAGGCTGTCAGGTGACAAGTCATCACGTTCGGTGCCTCCAGCGCTTCTTTTCGAAGACAGCGAGAGCTTTAGGAAACACTTGTCGAAACGGAAAGACACCATCCTGTCATCACTGTCTGGTCTCTTTGCCAAGTATCCACCCCAGAGTCCGGATGTCGCAGATCTTGAACAGCAATTGTCAAAACTGCTCGCTGCGCAAAAGGAACACGTGGTGCAGTCCCAGAAGATCATGACTGAGAAGGAGCAGCTCTCTGATCGACTGGACACTGCGACTCATCGCTATCTGGTCGCCGAGAAGAAGATCGACAGGTTCAAGAGCCAGCAAGTGCAAAAGTTGGAGCAGTCAGCAGTAGCAACCACGGTAAAAGAGGAAGCTTCGTCAGCTGGCGTCAAGAAGGAAGCCACCAACGGCACGACTCCGGAACCCGCAGTCAGTGAGGAGCTGGAAACTGCGCGAAATCAAGCTGTGGCAGAATCGTCCAAACGGAAAGCGCAGTTGGAAGACGTGGAGAGAGAGAACAAAAAGTTGACCGAAGAGCTATCAGCGCTGAAGGTCAAGCTGACTGGACTATCTGATGACGACTACGCCAAAACGGAGCTCTTCAAAGCACTCAAGTCACAGCACGAGGATGTGATAAAGAGGATCAACAACCTAGAAGCGACAAACGTTCAACTACGAGAAGAGGCGCAAAAGTACCAGGCTGAGCGGACTGCTTACCGGATAAAGATTGACGACGAATCTCGTTCATCCTTAGCTGAGTCTGAGAGTGCAGTTTCACAAGCCGAGGCCAATCTTGCGCGTATCCGCAACGCCCGAGACGAACTAGTGGCCAAGAACCACATTTTAGAGACCAGCCACAAGGACAGCGAGGCGTCGAGCTCCCAGTCAAAAGAGCTTGTAGGGGCTTGTGAGAGTCGCATTGCGGCTCTTGAGTTCGAATGCGAACGATTACGATTGCAAATTGCAGAACACCAGCCGGAAGAAGAGCCTATGGAGACCGATGATTCGACTCCAGAGCAATTGCGCGGTAAGATCTCCAATTTGGAGAATCAGCTCAAGCTTCTGAGTGGCGAGCTGCCGTCAATGGAAGCTGCATGGAAGAAGGCGCAAACAATTGCAGGAAAGAAGATTGCCGATTTAGCTGCATGGGAGGAGAACATTGCAAGAGCAAACGCAGACAAGGCGAAAGCGGACCAGAAGTTTTTCGCAGCCATGAAAGCAAAGGGAGAGATGGAGCAGCAGATTCGCATCCTTCGATTGCAAGCAGCAAAGTCGACCGAGGTTGTGTCGCAGTTGAAAGAGGCGGATTCTCTCAGCAGATCGTTAGTCGACAAGCTCGAGAAGCAGACAGCAGAGATGCGATCACAGATGGACGAGCTCTCGGTACAACATCGCCAGCTACAACAGAAGGTCAATGAGAACGCGATCACCTCCGAAGGATACATGAGCCAAATCGCCGAACTCAAGAAGGTTGTAGAAGCGAAAGACGCCGCCTATCTTACCGCGAGACACACTCAGCGCGAAGCCTGCACCGAGCGAGACGGACTCGCTGCCCAGGTCGATGGTCTCAAGGAGCAGATCCAAGTCTGGAAGAAAAAGAGTAAGGGCGAACAAAGCTCCGACGCCGCCCTCATGGAGTCCATGTTGCAATGCCAGATATGCAAGAGCAGGGTCAAGAATACCTGCATCAAGACCTGTGGCCACCTGTTCTGCCACGACTGCGTCCAGGACCGCCTCACCAACCGCGCGCGTAAGTGCCCTAACTGCGGCAAAGCCTTCGGCAGCAACGACACCATGCGCGTCCATCTTTAGAAGCTTGTATCGCTACCTCATTTGTACAACAACAACAACAGCACTTGCATTTCCCCGTTCGAAACTTTCAACAAGCGATGTATGCACGGCGTTTTTGGTTTTTTTGGCAGCCCAAGCTCGAAGCAGATCACCAATACCCAGGGCAGGTGGCGAACGGCGTACGGCATGTGCGGTCATGTTTTATTAGATGTTTGACGTTTTTGGTAACGGGGCGGGTACGATATGGGAGGGATCAGATCAGTTGGCCGTGTCAGCGCTGGGCTATGCGCTTCGGCCAACCTTGAATCGAAAGAATGCAAGCAAGTTCAAACGTCTCAACGCTGTCCTTATGTGCCCCCGAAGTGGTGGATTGGACAGTCTGTTACTTCTCACACAGGGCGAAGAGCACGCACGAGTCCCTTGTACGCCATCGTTGCGATTTTTTTCCCTTCTGATTCTAGCGTTACATCACCCACCGGGTCAACACTGCTCGAACAAGCGTCACAAGAGCATGGATTGCCCGGCAACATGCTCGGAGAATAGCATATCTTGAGAGGGTATCAACCATCGTACAATGAAGAAGGAAACTACGTGAACAAACTGCAGAACCCCCGTCACTGGACATGCAAGACGAAGTAGCCTAACAATGACAGCGCGAGAACTCAACAGCGGTACAATCGAGACAGTAAACCCACGCAAACGCCGCATACCGGAAAATCCAAAGCATGAACAGTTCCCACATACAATATCGCATAAAACCCTCCCACCAGCACAGACTAGCGACCAGCGCCGTCGACACTGTAGATTGGCGGTGGGTCAGCGATAGTGCTAGCAGTACGCGACGGGATCGGGCTGGCAGCGTCGGGTTTTGTGATCTCGATGGCGAAGCTGGGGGTTTTGACATAGTCGTCCATGTCCATCCGTTGCATGCTGGATCCAGACAGGCTGTGCACTCTGATCTCGTCCAGCTCAATGTCAGATGAGCTCTCGGAGTCTTGCTTCCTCATCTCGTGGTCTGTCCAACATTTGAGCGCCAACTGCAAAGCCAGCATGCCGAGAATGCCAGAGGCACAGCTCCACAGCGTGGCCCAGTTGTAGTATATGTCCGCGTTGGGCACGTTCTCGACAAGGATATCACGGACAAAGTTGAAAGTTGCGTCGTTGGGTGTGGTGCTCAGGTGAGGCGGGATGTGGTCCCTCGACGAGGCTTCCCAAGACCTGAAGTTGCCAAAGTCTGGTACATCAGGCTTGCGACGAAGATCGCTGTACTTCCAGAGTATGTTGCCATGGTGTCGGCCGTCCACTCGCGCTGTACCAGCATACCACCAACCACAGAGCTCCGAGTCTTGAACGTCGTACTTGGATCTGATGGTGTAGTTGTGCGCATGTAGCAAGTGGGACAGGGTCTGCGGGTAGTATACGTCGTAGCTAGTTGCGATGGCGTAGGTGAAACTGAGATCGCTGGGGTTGTTAAAGAAGACGTAGGCCGCTGCTCCCGGCCAGAACCACATGCCCACGGAGGTTTTAAGGCAGCCATCCACTCGCTCCATGTCTCTGGTGTGCCATGATTCGGTGGTGTAGCGGTCGAGGTATCGTGCTGATGATAGGGAAGCGAGGATGAAGAGAAGCGTAGCGATACAAGAATGCATAGTTGCAGTAAAAGACGAGTGAACGGATGCTGTATAACGCTCAGCGTGGTGGTGGTGGTGGTGGTTGAGTGGTGTTCACTGAGAGGAAGAAGACGGGGGAGACGAAAGCGTGATGTTTTGATCCAAAGTTAGGCGGGGTGCTCTTGCTGTAGAGTCTGGGTGAGACGGCAAGAGTGTAGTGGGCAGGAGGTGTTTACAGAGTAAGCACGTGTGAGCTCACAAGGTAAGTGTAATGCAAGTAGAGAAGGAAGAATGAGAAATGATCGGCCCTGGTCATGATTTCGAAGTCAACGCCGTTCCAATGCTATGCCAGGCTCCAAGACGAATGCACACTCTTACACAACACGCATCTCTGCACAGCCAACGCTCGTCGCTCAAGGGTCCTGGTCCCCAAAGGGGTAGTTGAACTTCAGCAGCGCATTCAACCCGCCCACCCAGTGATCCTCAGTCTGGTCGTCTCTCCCCGCAGTCGCGCGCACAATGCAAGGAACGCCACCGTGCCATTCGCCCGTCTTGGTCCTCACATCTTCACCCATGACTCTTACTTCCATGCCCGACCCCAGGCCTTCTGTGACCGTGCTGCCATCAATGCTGACCTCGACCTGCTTGCCTCTGTTCTTGTCACCCAGCCGCAGGGTGATTGGCGTTTCAGCCGGCAGCAGGAGCGGCCTGAAGGACAGTGACCGTGGGCAGATAGGTGTGAGGAGGAGAGACGGGACGAGCGGATGCACGATGCTGCCGCCGCTGGAGAGACTGTACGCGGTGCTGCCTGTTGGCGAGCTGATGATCATGCCGTCGGCAACGGCTTCGGTGAGGAAGCGGTTGTTGATGTAGACGTCGATGATCTTGAGGTGTGGGCTGGAGCCGCGGTGGAGAGTGACCTCGTTGAGGGCATAGCTGTCGTCTGAACCGGCTATCCTGGTCCCGTCTGGGGCGAAGATGCCCACCTTCAGGCGGTTCCGCAGCAAGACTCTGACGCTGCGATGCGTGCCCATCGCCTTGCCACGGATATCTGCGTACGAAAGCGGCTTGTCGAGCGGGTCGTCGGGCGATGTGGGTGGAGTTGGGGGGTTAGCGCCGAGAGAGTCAGACAGGGTCGCGTATGTGTCTGGCGCGCCGCTCATGTACATTTCCCTGAAGGCGCGTTTGTACTCCTTGAACTTCCACTCGCCGAGGAAGCCTATGGTGCCCATGGCGAAGCTCAGCACGGGCGGCACGCTTTCGACATGGCTGAACAGGCTGCTGGCCCTCAGCAAGGTTCCATCGCCGCCCAACGTGCAGACCAAGTCGGTTTTATCCGACAAGTGCTGCACGGCGCCGTCGTATGCGTAGACGGGGAAGGCCAAGTGCTCGTGTATCTCGCGCGCGGACTCGTTGTCCAAGATGACATGGATGGATGGGTATGTGGAGTGGATGTGGGACGCAAACTCGATGACGGACTGGGTGATGTTGGGCGTGCGCTTCTTCTTTGCGATGAGGACGTTGCGGGGCGGCGAGGGCCACTGCAGACTGAGCAGCGTGTTTGCGGGCGACTGCACGTACGACGGCTTGGTGCGCGTGGGGAGCGCCGAGATGTGCTTGATCTCTAGGGAGCGCCGCGTTGTCGAGAAGAGGCTCCTCCCGCGCGCCGCCTGGCCGATGAGCCGCCGCCGCAGGGCTCGCTGCTGGACTGTCATGTGCATCCTCTTGCGACACGCTCACATTGCGACCGCCCTTTCACTGGCCATGACGCAGACGCACCCATTCCGCAACAAGCGCCAAGCGTCTGGGCTTGGCAGGCGCGAGCTTCCTGTCCCGCGCCCGCCGGATCCCTGCATGGTGGGGCGCTGTGGTCCGCTTTGTGTCATCGGCGAAGGGCATCACATGCAACGAATGTGGAAGCCTGCCGTCCGGAAAGAGCCTCCTCCTCAGCTTCTTTCCTGCGGATGGAGGCCAGACGGACACCGCGAGGCGGCCTGACAGCTTCACTGCCCATGCGCTTTCGGCTAGGAGCTATACACAGCCCCGAGCCTACATGATTACTGCCACCGTTTGCTGCTGCTGCTGCTGCTGCTGCTGCTCCTGCTGCTCCACCGCTCCGGGCACACCGTCATCCTCCTCCGGTCCACACAAAGCCCGTCCGCTGCGCTCTAGTACCTGCGCAGGCGCGCATCCGTCTACTCCGCACCCCCCGTGCACCTCTGCTATCCTCGCATCACCGTAGAGAAGCAGCCAGTATGGACACGACACCAGCAGACGCGGGGCTGAAGCAGCGGCATCCGCCTGCATCCGTACCGCCACAAGAGAAGCAGACAAACGGGCGACCCAAGCTGTCTGCACGAACGCCGTCAAATCACCCAGGCGGAAGGGTCAAGCATGGCGCCTTCATGCAGTTCCTGCGCATGTGTGCCTTCGCCGCCTACTTCAATGGAAGCATCGTGGCGTATGTCCACTCGGCTTGCTGTCGGCTCTATATAAAATAAAAAAAAGTCGCTGACGCGCCTTCCAGCATATTCGTGACACAGGCTATCGGCGCGCCGTTGTACTACTACAGCAAAGACGTCTTCTACGCTTGGATGGCCATGACCAAGCAGCACTTTGGCATCGTCGTCACGACCATGACATACTGGTGGGCGCCCGTCAAGATGAGAATCAGCGGGGACGCGAGCGTCCGCGGACAACTCCGCAGAACAGAAGACGGGCGCATAGAATGCGACTTCCCCGAGCGCATGGTCTTGATCTCCAACCACCAGGCTCGCCTACCCCATCCCCTTTTCACTGCCCCGCTTGCTGACCCTAGCAGATCTACACAGACTGGGTCTACCTCTGGTGGATAGCCTACACCTCCTCCATGCACGGCCACCTCTACATCATCCTCAAAGAATCCATAAAATACATCCCCATCCTCGGCACCGGCATGATGTTCTACGGCTTCATCTTCCTGTCCCGAAAATGGGCCACCGACAAGCAGCGTTTCCAATACCGGCTCAAGAAACTCAGCACGCGCCAGGAAGCCGCCGTCACCGACGCGAACCCCAGAGGCCTGAATCCAATGTGGCTGCTTATCTTCCCCGAAGGCACAAATCTGTCTAGCAACGGGCGCATCGCAAGCAAGAAATGGGCGGACAAGAACGACATCCCAGATCTGCGACACGCGCTTCTACCTCGTTCGACGGGCCTGAGCTACTGTCTCCAGGAGCTGAGAGATACAGTGGACTACATGTACGACTGCACGCTCGCCTACGAGGGCGTGCCTGTCGGCCAGTACGGACAGGACCTGTTCTCCCTCCGGGGCTCGTACTTCCAAGGCCGGCCCCCGAAGAGCGTAAACATGCACTGGCGCCGTTTCGCCACCAAGGACATCCCGCTCGGCGACGAAAAGGTGTTTGGCGACTGGTTGCTCGAGAGGTGGCGCGAGAAAGACGAGCTGCTGCAGTATTATATTGAGAACAATAAATTCCCGGCTGACGACGGTGTGAGCGCAGACGAGCATGGGAATGAGGTAAGGGGTGCCGGCTGGATTGAGACGGAGGTCAGGCCTGCAAAGTGGTTTGAGTGGGTGCAGGTTTACGTTCCGACGGCGGCGGTGGGGCTGTTGTTGAATGTGGTGTTGAAGATGGTTGGGATGGTGCTGAGGGTGCTGCACCTTAGGTGAGACGGCCGTGAGCGGTAAGATGTGAGCTTTGAATACAGTATCGCAACGCTTGGATAGTAGTAGAGGGGTAGAGGAGAAGGAACGTTTATGTAGATAGACGATGTTGCATTACTGGCCACTGGTTTTGCGGGACGTAGATGGCTTGATACCCTGTTCATTCTCCTCTCTCCATGAGTTGAGTTGCCTGCAATGACTGTCCTCGCTCTCTGGGCTTGATTGGTTCCCCACATTCCATGTCTTCAGCGTTTTTCGGACGAGGGTAGATATGGTGCGTTGGCCAAGACTCGAGTAGGCTCACGATGTGGCTGCACCTGACTCACTGTCGCTTGGGGATGGATTCGAGGGCGCATAGGGACCATCCGGGCTCATCACAGCTCTCAACCTCTCATCACACAAAACTAACCTACTCAATCAACCGTCTTGTCCCTCACGGCGTCGAAGACAACTTTCTTCGGATCCTTTGCCTTATCATCACCCCACTGGATCTCATACCCAGCATCTTGCAGATACACTTTCCAGTTCTCATCTTCCTCGACCAGGTTCGGCGGGCGCGCGGGGATGAAGAACCACGCAACCAGCATACCCAGCACCGCGAATCCAGAGCCAACGAGAAACACCGCCTGGTTTCCTCGCACCGTATCGTCTCCGTAGGATGCAAGGATGGGCTTGAACACGCTTGTTCCGATGGCGGCACCGGCTTTGCTGACTGCTGCGCAGAGACCCAGCATCTGTCCGCGGATCGAGGTTGGGAAGAATTCCGATGAGGTAGCTACAATGGTAGCTCCAGGTCCGATTTCGCCGAGTGTGAGGAAGAGACCGTACAGTACGATGAAGAGCGCGGTGCGTTTCTGGATGTACTCTAGACACCCGCCGATGATGAAACCGAGACAAGCCTGCAAACCAAATCCCAGCGCCATTGTCTTCCTCCGGCCAATCTTGTCAGACAGATACCCGCCGATGAAACCGCCGGGGAGGTAGAAACAGTTTATTAGTGTGCCCCAGCCGTAAGATTTAACCAGGCTGTCATCGGCGTTGACAGATGCGGAGATCGTGGAGCTGAAGAGGCCGAAGGGGTAAGCGATGTAGTTGTATATGAACCAGGCGGCTGCTGCGCCGAGGAGCGGGCGCCAGTACCGTTTTATGGCGAGGTGGTAGGGCAGGATTGTGTTCCGGGCTGAGCTTCGGCGCTCGGCAGAAGACATAGCCATGCGCCAGCGGAACCAGAAGATGGAGATCGGCGGCTGCAACATGTTAGGAGCGCATGGTTAGGTGGAGATGTGGAAGAAGTGGGGACGTACGATGATACCGAGAGCGAATGCGATACGCCAAATCTTCTCATAGTGAGCTTCACGCTCGTGAAAGCATAGCAGCAGGAGCAGTGGGACGAGGCCGGAGAAAACAAAACCTAGGGATGCTGAGATACTTCCTACCATAGCGAAGATGAATCCTCGGTGTTTGCGAGCTCGGGGAGAGTCGTCTGTGGATTCTGCAGTACCAGCACCTGAGACCGGATACTCACCGCCAGCGCCAAAACCGGCGATCCCACGAGCGACAGTGAGCATCCAGAAGAGGCCTTTGTCGCTGGTTCCGTGTGATACGGCGGTCATGATGATACCGATGGAGAGAAAAAGTGTGGTCAAGACGGCGCCGGATTTGCGGCCTAGACGGTCACTGATGAATCCGAATGCTATCATACCCAGGATGAGACCGATGATGAAGGCGTTGGTCAGCTGGGATTGAGTCGCGACACTCAGCGTGTCCGGATACAGTACTGCAAAGAGTAGGAGCAGTTGTCCCATCAGAGCGCTGTTGTAGGCATCGCTTCCAATGGCCAAACCGGAGAAGAGCACCATGAAGAAGATGGACCTTTTCGAGTACAAGATGGGCGCATGGCCTTCTTCGAACTCGAGGTCAGCCGTGGGTGTGGCATGAGTCGTGACATTTTCGCCCTTGTCTTTTGTATCAACCTTGGTCTCCATCTCTTTCGCTGGCGAAGCTATCGAGTCCATGGTGTCGTTCCTGACTTGCGTGACCTCCATTGTCACAACCGAGCTGGCGTGTGAGCGATGCGTGAGGGGCCATCATGCCTGTCGGCAATCTGTGCTGTCTTTTGTACAGCCGATTTTTCGGAGAATATCTTCCTTATCGTGGTTGTAACGGCAGACGGTAGAGCTTCGGAAGGAACATCAATAACCGAAGGCGAATGATAGATGGAGGAGTAAGAGTGGGGGTGGGTTTTCTATGGGGTGCATTAACGACGTTACAGGGCACTAGTGAGGTCTGGGAAGGTGCATCCGACCATCTGTCAACTCTCAACGTCAGCGGATCGCATCCTCCAGTCTTGAAACACCAACATTTCTCGCCATGAAAGAGACGTTGCTACCCTATCATGCGCCGGGACCCCAAGCGAGGGTCAATACAGTTGCGCGATGGGTGTTCTGCATTGCTGCAGTGACATTGCTATTTACCTGGGTTCGTCTGATCCTTGTTCATTCGATGATCTAGCTGATGGCGCAGAACTATGCCGCGTACAATGATCATCCAACACCCCTCATAAGATCAAAGAAAGACGAGTTTAAGAAGTGTTCCGTTGACACATACCGTGCCACCGGCCTCAAGTTCCTTGACACTGCCGAAAGACCGCCTGTCGAAGAGTATGTCCTACGAAGGAACAACCTTGCCAAAGCTCTTGCAGTAGAGGAGATCGATGCATTCGTGGTCGAGCCTGGGTATACATTCAGCTACTACGCAAACGTTACACAGCCTCAATGGGAAGTTTGGGAACCAGAAGAGCGTCCATTTGTCATGGTCATCCGACCTGAGAAATTGTCAGATGGCAGTGTCGTCGCAAACACTTCTTTCCTCGTTCCACACTTTGAGGAGACACGTGCTAGGTTGTTGAACATGCCTTTCGAGGAAGACATCCACGCCGTCACGTATGAAGAGCATTGGAACTACTACACTACCTTGTACGAGTCGGAGATCTGGGGGGAGACGCTGGCGCCGAAACTGATGGTCGATGAAGAGATGCGTGACTTCATTCAGCGTGGCTTCGCAACCAATGGCTTTACTGTTGTTGGCTTGAGCGGCGAGGTCGAGGCTGTTCGCCAGATCAAGACAGATCGTGAACTTGGCATACTGAGAGCTGTCAATACTGGCACTGTCGAAGCCATACGAGCCATGCGCCAATGTCTCTACGTAGGTGTTACCGAAAACGAGGTGGCGGAGGTACTCGATGACACGATGAGGGCAGCGGGTATGGACCCGTTCTTCGACATTGTAGAGTTTGGCAAGAGCGCTGCGTTACCACACGGTGGTTATGATGGCAGCAGAAAGCTCGAACCGGGTATGTTCGTGCTTATCGACGTTGGTTCACATCTGTATGGGTACAGCAGCGATGTGTGTCGTACGTTCTACCCGTCGTTTGTGCCGAATCCACCACCTTCGAAGTACAACGTCACTGAGCAGTTGCGCGTCTGGCAAGTCGTACTTGATGCTCAGGATGCAGCTGTCAAGGCTATGGTGCCGGATGGGACTGCCGCGGCGGTAGACATAGCTGCTCGAGAGGTTATTGCAGGCGCAGGCTACGAAAAGGAGTTCACTCACCGTCTCGGCCACGGCATTGGCATCAAGGCTCACGAGAGTCCGTACCTCAACAAAGGTAATTTTGGGGCGACACTGCGCCCTGGCATGGTCTTCACAGCCGAGCCAGGTGTGTATGTGCTGAACGACTTCGGAGTCCGTCACGAGGATATCTTGGTAGTGAAAGAGGATGGCGAGGCGGAGAACATCAGTGGAGGGTTTGCAAAAAGCCCGTGGGAACCTTGAGCAATTGAACGGGCGATCATCTGGACACATGTGCAGCAAACAGCTTCACTTACATAGCAGGCGCCCGCGCTCTCATTGAGTCCGCCCCTCGACCGTTCGCTACGGGGGACCCGCATTAGTCGCGCAGTTCTCGATATATAAGCCTGCTTCACCTCCACTACGCACTCTCACAACTGCAATTTCCACCTTGTGTCAATTGCAAAGCTTCACGACAGTCGCTCGCTAAAACAACCCCACGCCATCAGCCCGTCAAGATTGCAAACTCCGCTACCTGTTCACCGCGACGATCGTATTCTTTACAAGGAATTACTAAACACGCACTGGCAGGGCAAGGCGACTGTTGAGGTCTAGATGCTTTCGGACTTTGTAAACACCGTTGGCAACGTCACCGGCTCCGCCCCATGCGACACTATCCACAAAAAATTTACCGCTGATTGTCCTGACATGATCGGTCGCAACAACAACAAGAAGTGTTGGGGCGACTGGCACTCCTTCCCGATCAAGTACAGAAAAGATGGCGGAGATACTGCTGGTAACAATTTTGCGAGCACCAATCGCATCTTGAGTTGCATATACGTGTGCTGACCACTTGCACGTTTCAGAGAGCTAAAACCAGACTCATGTGGAAAGCTCACGTTTCGAAAACAAGCCAGTCCATGACTTGCTGATTGGGTCTATCGCCGGCGCGTATGAGGCCATGACCCAGCTAACCCGAAATTGCTTCCGCGCCAAGGACACCTCTGCCGGCTATCGCTATTGCAACATTGCCATGAAAGCTGGCGCAAGCATGGTGATATGTATTGCAGGGTGCGGTGCTCTGGAGGTTATCGTGAGGATCAGCGGGAAAGCAAGGTGAACGTCGATGAGATCCTCAGGAACGTCATTAACCACGATGGATAACGAGCTGGTCTACTTACCGACTTTACATTGTGGACATTGTTGGGATTGGAGTAGCTCCGAGGCACAAAGCATTGGACAAACGACAATGAGGGAAAGCCCTCGACAACGAACAGTGGAGGACTCGCGCAGTCTTGATCTAAGTCAGGGAGGTCAAACAAAGAAAGGATCGAGGGCTCTCAATGGGCTTTGCGCTATGATACCCACATTTTCAACGGTCAATGAGTCTGGAATGAAACTTACTCGCCTTACTTTTTTTGTCATAACGAGCTTAAGTTGACGCAGCTCGCTGTAAGATCAGAGCCTCAGTGTTTCGATCAGCCAAAGTTTCAACACCTCAGACTTGACTTCGATTAACACACTAAACATCTCACTTACCACATGCTCAAGATAGTCCGCCGCGTCGGGCTTGGGTCTCCCGATGCACCTTCCATACCAGGGATGCAAGTCGTAGACTGGCGCATCGTAGAGTTCAAATCGTCCAAAGCGATCGTTGCACTCGCTCACAAGGACTCAATGCTTTACATACGAGGATCAGTCACCGGCAAACACCAGTCTGCTAACAGAGCCCTCCTCCGTGACAGATCTTGAGACCGAGATACCAATAGACAGCATCGATCTCACGAACATCTATCCCAGCTACACCGCTCAATTCGCACGGTACTGTGAGTAAAGCCGCAGCCTAATTCAAAAGGATGTGTACATCAAACGCACCCAGATTCTTGATCTCGTCGCTGCAAAAGGCATGTCTGTCATACAGACTGCGCGTGCGAGCCAAATCACAGCGCACGAGGCAAGCATTTGCGATCGACTGGGCTCACAGCCGCACCCAAACATAGCCGAATACTTAGGCGTGCAGGTAAGTGACAAACTCGTGTTTGACTACCGAGGAACCAAAATCCAGGTACCGCTGGCGCAGAACTGTGCAGTAGGCCTCGTGTTCAAGAGGTATGACTGTACGCTCCGTGAGCTAGTCACCCGACGCCAGAAGTTCGATATGAGGCTATGTCTCCAATTCGTGTTTGTAGCTATCCAGTACCTCCATAAGCTCGGTATCGTGTATGGCGATCTCAAGCCGCACAATATCTTCGTCAAGCGTGGTGCTAAAGACCACTCTGTCATTGAAGACTTTGATAGTGCTCATGACACGGGCAGTGTGATCACACTGAAAACTGGAGATCCTCGTTGGAGCAGACGCAAGAGGGTTGGAGAGGACGTCGCGGAGGAAGATGATGACTGGTCTAGGTTTCGAAAGCTGACAGAGTGGTTGGTGGGAGAGAGGGGTGGGGAAACTGGGGGACTACAAGGGTATTGGGAAGACTCGGAAGACATAATAATCCTCAACACTAGAAATCGAGTCATGGAATATCTCTAAGATGAAGTATCATGTCATTGCACAAAGTATAGATGCGAAAGCGACGAGGCGGACAATGAAACAGATCAATACGAAAAGAGCAATGGCGCCTCGCTTCCACTTGCCCCTCTTCCTCAAAACTCTAGCGACGGGACTATCCGCCCGCTCCACCTTCATCTCCAGCATGCATAACTCGACGCTACCGGTGCATGCGCTTTCTTGGGAGTTTGCTCCTTTTCGCCGTGCCACATGGCAATGCCACATGTCAATCTTTTCCCTAAACCTCACCCAGGAGCCCTTCTATGAATCTATACCCCATTTCCCTGCTCCATAGCTGCAATAACGACCACCCACCATCCTATAAAACACACGACTCGCTCGACACGCACACGATGCTCGACACGTTTCCGAAGCCCACACGCAACATCGCTGATCTTGCACGCGAAGAGAAATCATTTACCTTCGCACATTTCACCTGCGAACATGCATGGGTTATCGGCAATATTCTACGCAACACGCTGCGATCGGCCGATACTCCGGCTCTCATACACATTTCCTTCGCAAGCCAGACGCTATTCCACTCGCCGAGCCTGCCAGGCATGATGCCTGACCACGAGACCTGGGTGCAGCGGAAGCGCAACACGGTGCTGCGCTGGGGACACTCGACGTGGTATATGAGCTGCCAGTTCGATGAGGATTACAAACGCTTTGCTGAGCATCATGCTATGAGTGGTGATGAGTGGGCGAAGTACACGATTGAAGGAGGTGGATATCCAGTCTTTGTGAAGGGCGTGGAAGGCTGCGTTGGCGCTATTGTCATTGTGGGGCTGCAGGGTGAACAGGCGCACAGCGTCATTGTGAAAGCGGTGGAGGAGTACAAGGTGCTGAGAGAGGGATCAAAGAGCCCTATGCGCAGTCTGACTGTTAAGTGACTAGATGGTCTGGGAAAAGGGACTGGACTTGGTATAAATTTGGAAGGGCTAGATTTGGGTCCAATGCACAAAAGGGCAAAGAGTTGAAATTGCTAACTACAGGCTGGACCTGAGTTCTACAGCACAGATGGTGGAGGATTTGAGCTGCTATCTACGGGCCGGAAGCCGAATCGCCCATCAATTGCGTCGAAGGCTATTGAATAGCCCCAGAGGAGGTTACGTCCTGTGTTGACGAATGGTGGCCGCAGCGACGCTTCTGGAAAGACGTAGCTTGGCTCGATTGATGACCCTGCACCAACTATGAAGGCGAACGACATGGCAGGCTTCTCTAACGACGGGAAACCCACATCGACTTTTGTGCCAGGCTTGACCCGTTTCACCATCTTCGCTGTGCCGTTCGGATTCGGATTGCGAATGACGATCTGCGGTATCGTAAAGCCTTCCTCAGCTCGAATATACATCTGCACGATGCCGGTATCGACAAGCCCAGGCCCACAGTGTCTCCCGTTGCCGTCAATACTGAAGCACATCTTTACCATGGCCCAATCTCTTGGATCTTCATCGTGCGTCAAGCCTGGCTCAAGACTCGTAAATGCGAAGCCTTGGACGACTGCTTGCGTCAAGCCGAGATGCACACCCTGCGCAGAGATCTCGTATCCGAGTCGCATAGACTTGGGCGATACTACTCGCCCATTGATCGACTCCACATTCAAGAATGCGTTCACCTTGGGCGAAGCATACGGCATCCCGTCCTTTGGCCCATTTCTACCAAAGCCGACGCCCATATACGTTATCTTCGACGTGTCTCGCACAACGGCCTCTTCACCATTCGGACCTCGAGGGCATTCAAATCGACCTGCCGGCGTGCTTGGATCATACCACGGACACGTCCAGCTCTTGTCGACCAGAAGGACCGGTATCTTTGCAATAGCATTCGAACCACCTTCTCCATGGAACTTGATCGGTAGCTCCACAAGACGTCCCTCGTACAAAATCTTACTGCTAGTGAAGAAATGGTGTGCGGGCGTTCCTATGGTCTTGTCGATGTTGGGTAGAATGGACGCACCAACTAGGGTCATTGTGCTTCCGGTATCAATTGGCATCTCGATCTCCACATCTTCGATGGTCGTTTGGATTTGCGGTACATGTTTTGGGCTGAACTTGTAGATATATGGCAGGAAGATGGATTCGGTGTATTGTGATAGATCGGTGTCCGCAGAGGTCATGCTACCTGATGTTGAGAAGACCATGTAGGTTGCAACGATACACGATGCAATGAGAATGCGATGAAAGAGTGTTGAACTCCTCCAGATCTGTTGATGTGGTGTTGAAGATGGCGACGAGGCTGCGGCTTCGGCTAGCAGCAGCGACGCTTTATAGTCCTCGGGTTTCATGGCTGTCTATAGTCATGAGGCTTGCAGTTCCCCGCAGTGTATTGATCAACTGCCGTCAGACACGTCAAGAGTGCATCTGAGACTTGACGTGTGTTGGTTGGACGGGCCGTCTATTGCCGCGTGCATTGGAGAAAGAGCGGTGGTGTTGACTCTACGTCACCCCTGCCTTTGGTGTGCTGGCCGCGGCAGGAACATTGAACCCTTGATTGAGCTCAGCCTTCTAGACACTGAGATGAACGACCTCGCACAGGCATCAATCTTCCATTGACCCTTTTCACAACTGCCGGCAAGCCGATGACATCCCTGCTAATACCCAGCCACACAACTGTAGGTCATCGCCAGCACGTGATGATGCACGATGAGCAGGGCTATGGAAGCTTGGCTCTTCCGCGTGCGCTCACTGGCGCCTGTGCAACAATGTTCAGGCGTGATCGAGTCTTACTCATAATTTGAAGAAGAGGAAATCGACAGCCGACGAACCCTTGCGCAATATGGACGATACGATTCATTGAGGGTGAGGCGCCGTCCCATCCCATCGCGACTCAAACGACGCACCGCAGCACCAGCGCGCTCGCCCTCGGCACTCAGACGACCGTACTCTTTAGCGGCCATGGGTCGCTCGCCCTCTCGATCCAGTGATGGCGGCGGGTCCGTTCGCGTCGAACCTCTCCTTCTCAATGCGATTGAAAAGAAGCGACATGGAGAGGTCATTGCCATCATTGAAGAGACCAAAGCCAAAGCGCAACCTATCGAGCACCTGCTGCGTATTGGGTTAATGCGTGCTGTCGAACAAACGAACGTCGAAATCACCGAATACTTGCTGGAGAGTGGAGCGAAGCCGGATGGCGCGCCTGGAAGCAGGTTGTCGCCTGTACTGAAGGCAGTCGAAAGGAACCACCCAAAGCTTGTGCAGCTGCTGCTCAGGTTCGGCGGAAATGTGGATGCACAAGATAAACAAGGTCGTACCGCGCTTATGACTGCTGCATGGAAGAACAATTTCCATGTCATGGACGTGCTGCTCAAAGGTGGCGCAGATGTGAACAAGAAGGATAACAGCGGACGACACGTTTTACACAAACTGGCGGCAGACAAGGATTGTAATTGGGGATCGAATGTGATCGAGTTACTGCTGCGCCAGAACATTGCCCTTGACGGGCCGCTTGGGCAAGATGAGAGCAAGAGAACCCCCCTTCATTGGGCGGCGAGCACGGGCAAACGCGAACTCTGCGAGATGCTGTTGGAACGCTCAAAGCTGCCAAGATCGAATGTGAACGCGGAAGAGGGAAGAGGGAAGGCACCTATCCACCTTGCGATTGCGCATGGGCGAGATGACATCGTCGAGACGCTTCTTGCACACGGCGCAGATGTAATGGCAAAGAGTGACGGAAGCTGGACGCCGTTACATAATGCGTGCGAACAAGGAACGGTTAGAGTCATCAGGATTCTGCTGGGTGCCGGAGCAGATATCAATGCCCGTCTGCTGAACGGTATGACACCATTACATGTTGCCGCGCAAGCTGGACACCTCGAGGTCGTTCAATGCCTTTTGGAACGAAAAGATATCAAGCGCACTGCGAGGGATTCATTCGGTATAACGCCATTCCTGCGAGCTGCACAGAACAAGAGGCGGGATATCGTAAATCTATTAGCCCCTTCAAACAACGTAGAGACACTCGGCGAAGACGCTCTCGGTGCTTGCAATGGATTTGATGTCACGATTGTCGACTTTGGAAACTTTCACAATGACAACAAAGTCACAAGACGGACAGTGTACGAGGTTCTCTACGGTCGCGATGCTATCAACCCAAGGAAGCCGGCCGTTACGATCCTGCCGAAAGAATCCAAGGCTACGAATTTCCGATGGATACATCTTCCCGCAAATAATATGGCTTGGGTCGAAGCGCTGCTGACGAAGGCATTCATTGAGGAAGGCGCGAATGACCATGAAGGCTTCAGGGCACTGGAGAGATCGTTCACGCACCAACATCGCGGTCAACAAGTACATTCGCACTTTATGCGGCCACTTTGTCAAAGCACACCACGAGCGCCCAGACAGTATGACGAGTCTGACCTATCTGATGGTGCAGAACACGGGCCGCCGCAGATTGTTGTCAACAACGGTCTGGGTCTCAGCATTGATTCCATAGCGGGCGCGCAAGAATCACCGTTACCTCAATTTCCGCGAGCACCAGTACGAACAGGCACTGTCAGCACCGACCAGACCGATTGGACTACTGGATCAGGTACCCCCACTGGAAAGGAAGCAAAAGGCAAGCAAAAGGACAAGGCAAACAAGTTGCAGAAGTGGAGAGGATCCAAACAGGCTGGTGGACGATCTGGTGGTACAGAAACACCGACGAAACATATTGATCATCAACAGAGGCGAAAGCACAGCACGCCAATGACTGACAGTGGACGTCTTCGATCGCCAGGCAGCCCTGGGAGAAAAGACCCTACGGCTGTTGCCAAAGGCAACATCTTCACCTTCATGCCGTACCTGCACTTCGAGACAGATCGCAGGAGGCAGGAGATGCAAGATGCCATTGCGCGAGCGCAGTCGCTGAAAGAGCGTAGTAGGCACGATGCTCGAATCGCACCTCCGTCACTACGAGGGGCCTCAACGTACGACGAAATGCTGCTACGTGCTCATCTGACATCCTCACAAGTCTCACTCCACGTTCGTCGAACTTTGGACCAGTTCTTCTACCACAACATCGACACCCAGTCACGAGACAGAGATCAGGTCGTATACAGATATCAGTGCAAGTCATCCCGTAATGATCATGTTGATCCCAAGGTCTTCATGGTGGATCAACTGTGGATGTGGGTATTGGGCAAGGACCTAATCGTGACTGCCTTCCCCCAAAGATGGCAGCAACCACGAAATGACCCGTTGAACGTTCTTGACGGTATCATCGAAAGACTCAACAGCAAGACTCAGGAACCAGTACGCAATGTGTATGATTTAGCTACGATTATCACAGAACGCTGTAGCGGCGTCTTTGACAGGCATCGCGTGGGTGACGAAGAATATCAGTTTCTGGACATGTTCGAGAGTAGCATCGGTGATGCTACGGAAATGGAAACAATGTTATTCAAAGAATTCAACACCGCCTCAGCTCAGGCCTCAGCCTGGCTGCAACACCACAGACGAGCAAATCGATTCTCACGACACCTCGAAGCAGAAGGCAGGCACCGGGAGCATCAAAATCGCCGTCACATGCCACACCACTCTCATACACACGCACTCACTGACCCACCGATCAAAGAAGAGCATTTCGGTTACGACGATGACTCCTCGCTGGCTCACGCTCCCCTCTTTGTCGATAAACTTCTCGACATTGGCGCTGAGACGGATCTCCTAGCTGAGACGAAGGACATCCGCGACGAGCTCAACATGATTGCTAAGGTTCTTGAAGATCAACGCTCGGTGATCCCAGACCTCGAAGTTGCCATCACTGATATCTACAAGGAGGAGCGCAAGCCACAACAGGACTTGAAAAAACATTTCAAGGACCAGCTGAAGACGATTGACACCCACATGAAAGATCTGGAGCGAATGGACAAGCAAGCAGAACGCATCTACAAGTCTATCACTGATCTACTTGACCTAAAGCAGAAGCACGCCAACGCATTCGAGGCACGCTTCGCACGCGATCAGGCTGCTGGCACTGCACGGCAAAGCCAAACTATAATGGTAAGCAGAACGCATCTACCAGTCCATCACTGATCTGCTTGACCTGAAGCAGAAGCATGCTAACGCATTCAAGGTCTTCACGATTGTGACTATTATCTTCTTGCCTTTGAGTTTCATCGCTGCTCTGTTCACCATCAACATCGAGGAGTTCCCACACAAACCTGGCGGCGACGAGCCAAGTCTTCCTATGTCATACGTGTTCAAGTACATGTTCGGTATTGGTCTGGCCATCTCGATCCCTTTCATCGCAATTGCGCTCTCTTTCGATGCCATTGGCGACTTCTTCCGTGTAGTCAGGCGCAGATGGCGAGATGGCAAAGGAAACGCTAAACATGCACAGTTTGATGGGCATAGCACAGCAGTCGTCAATGACGAGAATATGGGCATCGAGTACGCAGTCGATATGCGTGCGCTTGATCAAGCGCTGAGTGCCGGACGTAGCAGCATGGTGCAGGCCAACGGGCGACGCAGCATCGGGAGCTATTTGGGAAACGGGTACGAGTATGGCAATGGGACGACGCTGCGCACCGCAGCGAGTCGCAGTACAGCTGGCAAAGACGCGGTGCATGTCACTACACATGGTAATGGTATGACTACTGTGGGTGGAAGGCTGAGTGCGGAGGTCCGGCCAAGTCCTGTCGAGAGGATTAGTACGGGCTTCCGCATGAGAGGCAGTACGGATATTGAACGTGGTTAAGCAGGAGTTGTCAAGCACCAAGCGGTTTTCTGGATCGTATTCGTTTCTTTAGCATAGCTAGATACCCCGCGTCTTTGAGCGCCAATGAATTCAATGTATGATGTTGTATGCCCAAGATTATTGCTTGCGTGTAGCCGTGAAGTTCGCGGCACCGCTCGGCTCCGAAGACGGTCGTTCCTCCTCTGCATCCTGCCAACTCAATCTCCACACATCATCACCAACTCATCAGGTGCAGTTACTGCACAACTCGGCCTGACATGTCGCGCAAAATGCATTTTAATGCATACACCGGTGTTCACCCTGCCAATCTCATTGATCCTTCACCGGGTGCTTCCACTGCTGATGCGCAACCCACGCCTGGAACACAGCGATACCTGACCCTAGGTCCCGATGATCACCATAATGAAGACACCGATCATCGTTGCCATGAGCATGCTTCTTTGAGACCCACTTTTCCTCTCAACCCACTTTTCAAGCGCTGTCACAGGTGTGGGATTTTGCAGTTCGTCGTAGATCTCGCCTGGCCGAGATCTACGACGAATGAATCGTGTTTAGCACCTCCAGCAGTAGTAGGGTTCGTGGAACAAGAGGGACGGAAGCATCATCTCTCGCCACCACCAGGAGGGTTTCCTTGATCGCTGAGGTGCAATCGAACATCCGGACCAACCCCCAAGCCTTCCGCATCCTGGTAGGAACGGCATCTTTCTGACCAGCAGAGCAGGCTGAGTTGGGCATCCAGGGCTGTGTACGATAAGTTGTATGCCTTGCACGGCCTACCGGTGGTCGTTCTTGCGCCTGGAGCCTAGATTTAAACATCATGCATCGATGCAAAAGTCGCAGCACCAGACCCAATATCGTTTGTACCATCCTCACTCCGAGCCCACCGATGGCGAACTTAAGCACTGGAAACGGCCAGCGCTCACGAAGGAGCCAACCGACCGGAGCTCAGTGTCTCATCAGATGCCAATGGTCATGCTCGCAGGCCTATGCGTCTTCAGGAGACCAGTCAGTCATGAAAGAAGGGGCCGATTTGAGCATGTCTAGAAACAGCTCTGTGAGCCGTTGGCCCAGATCGTTCGTGAAACAGCAGCACACGTATGATGGCTTCTATGAGGCTCGTGATACTTGGGAACACGGAAGACGCCAAACACCAAATCCTGGTACTGTGTCCCAAGAAAGCGGAAAGCGCTGTGAGAAGCTACTATGCAATAGATCTGGTCCAGTGGTTATGTCGACCAGGGAAGTTGGGATGCCTTGACTTCGAAGTTGTAGTTGTGGGCAATTCACCGACTCCTTCTACTGCGACCGATTCATTCCAGGTCTACTGCTACCAAAATTCTGCGAGGCATATGCGCAGCACACACGCTTGGGCGACGCGTATCAAAGTTCAGCAGCTTGGAACAGATCACTGTGCAGCAATGGGAGGCTTTGTACGGACCGTGACCAACTCCGCCGAAGACACCATTTACGGCCTGACTGTTGGTCACATCCATTCTAGTGGTGGTTCAGCTGACGAACACTCATGTCAAGAGAATTTGCTCAGCTCTACCTTCCGCTCGCCCAGGAACATCGACCCTGTCCAAATTGGCGCCACCTGGGAAAAGTTGCACAGTATATCGGCGACAGCGCCCTCGAAAAGCGCTCGAGATCGTGATTGGGCATTGATACATCTCAACAATATGTTTGTGCTTCCACAGCCGCTGAAACTGGACTCCTATATCTACGAAACTACTGTACCAAGCACACAAGGCCCAGTTTCGCTGAGTCACGATGAAACTATTGCTGGCGAGATATCCGAGGATCTGACATTCGCCTTACTTCCGTTTGGACAGAGATATGTTAGCTGAGCACCCTATCGCTTAGTGAAGACTATCATAGTTATACTGAACCTTACTGCGATTCCCACTAATGTCAAGCAGATACAGTGGCTGGCTGCTCTGGCACCTGGGTAACCAAAAGGATTCAACACCGATGTCAAGTGTTTGGTCATCTTGTTGCTAAAGATCTCCAAGGAGATCTTTGGGTGGTGCCCATGATCGATAATTTGGCGGACATTGGAAGAGAGCTCGACGCTAGTCAGGTTGAGATTCCATCTCCAAACCAAGTGATCGAACATTTCTCGAGACCCGCATCAGGTATACAAGAGGCACCCGCATCGACACAAGATTCAGAAAACATCTACTTCGACTTCGATGGGCATATCAACACCAATCTAAAGTTGGAAGACATTAAGACTAAAGATGAGCAATCACAAGTCGCCGCACCATCAAGCTCATCGAACAGAGCCGGCCAAAACGCTTCTCAGCCTAGTGGTTCATCTGGTAGGACTACTGAATATCGCTGGTAATGCTCTGTTTGTCACGCAGACAACTCTTACCGGTACAATGTCGCCTGTTATAATTGCGCCCACTGGAGAGATCCCTCCTGTACTATTTACGGGATATTAAATTGATACATGGTAGATACTCAGCGGTACCGATTTAAACGAGTTTACAGTTTCCATCCCAGCGGCGATGAGAAATATACAAGTTTTTGACGGTATGGAAGCTAAGAAGGGCCTTGAGGCCGAGCCGTGCATTGATCTGGGATTTTTGCGATCCGTAGCTGGGTATCTTATGCATCTATCAAGTGCTTATCTTCGGAGGCTGCCTTTGCAATTTGCTTCAGCCGTGTTATGGATAAGGGACGCACGTGGACTCGTGACGCGTTCGTGTTCGCGGCGCGCCTATGACGCTCTTTCCATCACCAACTCTTACACTCTACCATCATCGCATTCAACAGGCCATCTTCTGAGCGCGACAGACTACCCACGAGAAGATTCTTAATCCCGCTAATCATTTGCAATTGGCCTCCACTCCAGTAGCAGTCCTTAAGCCTTCAACCTTCGAACATGGGAACTCCAGCGATGGCACTCGCCATTCCCCGGACAAACCGTGAAACACGGTCTTCGACTCAATCCCAGACTTCGAGATCACGTTGCGCTGAGCAAGCAAGATTCAAATATGCAGGAACCACATGCACCGGGAGAATCGAGAAGCATCGAACAAAACTTACCGACAAATCAAAGAAAGCGGCCAAATCTAAGTCAAGCCCGAAATCTTCAAAATTAGAACCCAGAGCAAAACCGAAACGCTCCAACGAGGACGAACAAGAACATGCAGAGCCTGATTCATCGATTTTTACGCCGGAAAATGTAACAGTCTTCACTGTTGACTCCTCACTCGTTAAGAAGCCCATTATCTGCCACCAATACGCTCCCTCCACCCCGCCACCATCTTCGTCAACCGTTGGTCCACTACCATTCATATTCACTCACGGCGCAGGCGGCACCCTCTCCGCCCCCGCAGTCGTGCACTTTTGCACCGGCTTCTCCTCCACCTCTGCCTCCCCCCTCCTCGCCTTCCAAGGCTCCATGAACCTCGGCGCGCGCGTGAAAGGATTTAATGCGTGTCGTGCACACCTTGAGTCGCACAACGGACCACCAGGTGATGCAGCAAAGCCATTGGTGTTTGGAGGGAGGAGTATGGGTGCGCGCGCCGCTGTTACGGCTGCTACGGAGCTTTATGACGAGGTGCAGGGGAAGCAAGGAGAGGATGGAGCGAGTGTGGGGGCAAGGTTAGTGTCTGTGAGCTATCCGTTGCAAGGACCGAATGGTGTCAGGGATCAGATATTGTTGGATTTGCCGAGGGGGGTGGAGGTGTTGTTTATTGTGGGGGATAGGGATGCGATGTGTCCGCTTGAGCTGTTAGAGGAGGTTAGGGGGAAGATGAAAGCCAAGACCAGAGTAGTGGTGGTGAGGGGCGCAGATCATGGGATGAATGTGAAGCCTGCCCATAAGACGAAGGAGCTGGCTGAGGAGACGGGGAGGGTGGCGGCCAAGTGGTTGTGTGGGGAGGTAGGGAACGAGGGCGTGACGTTATACGTGGGCGAAGGAGAGTAGATGGAATTGGAGATGAGAGTAGATGCATTATATCCGTTCCGTAACGCCTATCCTGGTATCGTCTCGCTAATACACGTGGGTCGAGTGCTTCATGTCTGACTGACTGCTTCTCTCAGTCCTCCCTCGCAATAACGACGCCCTCATCCCACTCTGCCTCTTCATCAATGACGCCGCCGAATTCACTCGACATGGACAGCTCATCGTTGGCGCTCAAAACACCCTGGATGTCGGCTGAGGCGATCTCCTCGTATGCCGTCGTGATGCCTGTAATGCGGCACAGACGCGCAACAGACGCCATCATCACCAAGCCTAGCATAGCGAATGGTCCAACGGCAATGAGCTGAGAGAACTGGCTTCGGGATGTGAGCCTTTCATCGAAGATCTACAAGTGGGGGTAGATGCTTACCAGTACCACACATGCACGCACTTCTCGTCCCAATACCTCAATCGCGCTTCGATCTTCGCCGGTCGCTCGGACTTCTTGCCAGTCTCCATCTCTGAAAGAAGTAGGGCAAATTGCTTTCGAAAAGCATGCAGGCTCTTCCACCAGTGGCTGCGGCGATGCTGGTTGCGGTTGCGAGCGAAAAGCTTATCCAAGAGCTCGTAGATGTCGATTAGCATGGCTTTGTCATGCTGGGAGGCGTTGAGGAGGGTGCTGGCGGAAATTGGTATAGCCATCTTTGTGATGTGGGAAGAGATGATGAGGGCCATTGCAAGGTTTGTAGGCGCCAGGGAGATTTATGAACTTCAGATGAGCGGTAGTGAGGTGCTGAAGGTACCCAGGCTTGCTGGCGAGTCGCGCGATGCGAGCTTGCGAATTACTGAGCACTGTAGGCTGCCGAGCGCGGAAACGGAACTTGTGCCTATGCGTAGGTTTGGAGGTAGTCAGGTATGTAAAGCGGTCGGAACGATGCAACTTGCCGTCACAGCGGTGGTCTTCCTGATTGTATTGATAATGTTGCGGGGAAGAAAAGTAGTTGCATGTTCTGGCTGGTAGTCAAGAAGAGGAAGAGTCCGAGCGGCGAAAGTGCAATGAAAGTGAAGAAAGAAAACGCGTTTGACGCGTGCGTGAACCAAGAACTCGATTGCGTACTCGAGCACCCTGTACAGTGCACGAGAGATATGCTCAGGCAGACGACTATCCCCTGCACGTGATACAGACGAACCTGATCCCGCGGCAGTCTGCAGTGGGTGGACCACGGATGGCAAAGGATGACTTTATAATATTGAGAAATCCCGGGTCAAAATCTGCAAGCGGTGAAGACTTTGCTAGTACAGGGTCATTCGCGACGCCTTGCAAACCTCGCGATACCCAGCGAGTCAGCAATCGTGATGTCTTAGCTGTGCTCTGATGTGAGATGCAAGCAGTGTGTAGCACAAATCTGGGGATGGTGGGTATACAGCAAGGTCTCCCAAAGTAGTCGAGATGCGGAGAGGGGGCGCGTGATTGCTGTCTTGTACGACACTCGCCTCAGCGGTAGACCTGAACCGTAGATCTGGGTATGTTGCTATCCAGACCCGGAGAATGCAATGGAAGTGATTCTGACATGAGGGTAGTACAGGCGTGGTGGCTCAACGCGAGCTAAGTCGGGATGATTGCGGAGACTGCACTAAGGTTTACTGTGAAAGTTGCCAAGATGCTTGTAGACGACGTGTACATCCTCTTGAGTTCACTCTGCCTGCATGCTGACCCCGAGGGGCTCCGAGAGAAGGGCGCTCTGGTTCGAGAGTCTGTCCGGATGCCCGTATCAGACTGGTCAAGGTCTTGAGGCTTGCAGCCTTGCATTTGGTGGCCCGTTCCGCAGCTTCCCCGGTGCGCCCAAGCTATGCGCGTGGGGTAGCTCCTTCCACCACTGCACACTCCCTCCTCCCCGCCATCGAACCCAGCTTTTTCTCATGCAGGCCCACCGAAGAGGACGCCAGTCTTGGAAAATGTGATGAGTCTCATGGGGATGACGATCGAACCGCCAGTGCCCTCGAAGCCGATGCTTCTAACCTCGATCCCTCTCCCACCCCCACACCACCATCGCGACGAGCAACATGCTCTTAACAAGACAATCAGGCCATAGACAGCTTGCGGCCGGCACCCTGCTCTGGAGCTGGGATACTCCCCTAGTCTAGCAGCGGATGAGCATACAGCGACAGGGGACGCGCCGACACGCATACCCATTGACAACCAACAACTTCCCCGGCTGGCACACACGGCGAACGGCATACCTGGTGAACAGATGAGATTTCGCATTGTACATCGTCCTTTACCATGCTAGGAGGTGTCAAGAGGGAATGAGGTGGAGTCGAGCTCATGTTTGCACCACCTACAGCATGCTTTTTGCACAACAACAGCCTGTTCCATCTTTTTGCCAGTCAACTTCAGCAGACGTCAGCGATAGTGTGCATGACCTGCGGGCGAGGGAATCGAAAGAGCTGAGAAGATATCGACGGCGGCCCCGAACATGGGACGGTACCTCCTCCTGTTGCACAGCAGGGCTTAGGTATGCACGAACGCGGAGTACAGCGCATTCGAACCCCACCCATCGATATCGCGGAACATAGGCAGAACTGGCGACTACAATGCGAAAACCGTAGTCAATGTCACTCTCCACTGCACCTCTGAAGGCTACAAGGCTGTAAGCCGTCTCGTTCAAAGAGGTTTCGCATGACCATGGCCAGATTCCACGAGCAGCGGGATGTCGCACGCTGTGCCATAGCGCACCCGAACAAATATAACGATGCCTCAGAGCTATCGTGTACATGCATACTGCATCTTGGTGGCTACAACAGCAGCTCGAAGCCACCGTGCGCATGCATGCAAACGCCTGATGCCGACATTCTTCTCTGCTCATTCCGATATGATGACTTCCTCAGGGCGCCTTCCAGGAAACGGAAGTTTACCGATGGTCGCCTGAAGGTATCCTGGTTGGGCCTAGGGTCGATCGCGGAACTCGGGAGGATGCTTGTAGTCGGCAAAGGGGAGCTGGCCAGCGCCGCTGGACTCGGTTTCCAGGAATCGTCGGCATCGTCTTGATTTCTGTGCAGGTTGTCAGTTGAATTCATCAAGACGAATGAGGAGGGCATGATCAAACCCTATCCCTTTGAGCAGATACCGTAACGACGAGGCTCGCCGACGGCACACTCTGGAGGCCTTCAGAAATCTACGAGCTCCCAGGGGGCCATCAGAGACGACCCTGTAGCCAGCCAGAGTAGCAATGAGGAGGTCCACAGTTTTAACGGTCAAGTGCGGGGATCTCCAGACGCCGTTCCCCATGCACAAACATCATCGCAAACCAGGATCAGAGGACCACCACCTGCACATCCCTGCCCACCTCTACCCTCACCGATACTGGACTAGAGGCCGGACGGTAAGGTAGGCGCGAGCCCAAGCAAGCAAGACGGCGTTGACCGTCCATTCCGCCTGGCACTCGATAAGGAAGCATCTGAGTGCAACCCAGTGCTCCCAGAATTGCTCCTGGGCTCTCTCGTCTGCTGGCTCGCGCCTCCACATGTACCACATCTCGATGTGGGTTGCGCGGATGTGACCATAGAGGTCCCGGATGTTGCTCTCCGTCTTGCGCATCATCCAGGCAGCCAGGATCGGCATGAGGGCGTCTAGGAAAGGCATCTTGTGTGAGAGGTGTGGAAAGAAGAAGATCCTATGCTTCGGAAGCTGTTCAAGAGCGGTTTTCGATGTGGTGTTGGTGTTGTGAGGAGGCTGTCAAGGTCAAGCTCGCGAGCTGCTACTACACCAAGCACATCGCAGACTGCTACAACCGCGTCCGTGCACTCACCTCCGCGCTCCGTCTTCACTGCATTGTAGCCCTCAGCATGCTGTGAGGCGAGCGAGACCAGGAGAGATGCATCTGCTTTGGCGGCTACACCTGCAGGCTTTGACTCTCAGGACATGTAGCTGGAGCAAACAATATCTTGCGGAGTCGGTCGCTGCAAATGCTCCGCCAAGTCTCATGCTGGCTACAAGATGATAGCAACAAGCACGTGAGCACGTAAACAATGGACTTCTGATAGGGGGCGTATTATCATAGTCGCTAAATGTTTGCTCGGCAAGATGTGCTCTTTATCTGCTTGTGTGCTGCAGCCAACAATATCGCGCCTCCGCATATTGAAAAATGCAAGTGAGCACGCATGCACGACCAGTGATCGCTCCTAGAAGTGATCGAGTTCAGAGGTACGGTCACTGAGGTAGAGAGCACAAGTCACAATGCACACAAGGAGAGGTGATGAGGTTAAGCAAAGCTTTTGTTCTATGGAAACAAAGTCTGAACTACATGATCTGGCACAGAGATTGTATCCACACCTATCATCACACCGAAATCCAGCTCGGATCCGAAGTCGAACCAAAAAGCCAACAACACTGATGTTGTACCGTTATCTATACCTGAAGAAGTCCTATCGAAGCATCCTGATCTGACAACCATGTGGAAACAGATCGAAACATTGAAGGGCACAGAGGAGGCCTGTCGCAAGGAGGCTCCTAGGCAAAGATGCCGCTAGTCTGCTCGCAGCGGTCAGAGCGAACGTATGAAGGGCTGCCGTTGACGCGAGGGCGGCGGGTGGGCGTGGTGACGGAGGTGCCGACGTGGTCGCGCTTGTAGGGAGTGTTGACGACTGGGGCGCCGATGACACCAGGGTGGTTGACAGCGACCGAGTTGGGAGAAGCCTGGTGTTCAGCAAAGTACTGGGCGATGTGGGTCATGGGGATGTAATTGAAGGGGATGTATCCAACTTGACCCTGACCGTGGTTGTAGGAGTACCAGACCTCAACGTCGCGCTTCTGCATGTCGGTAAGGCCTTGAAGCGGGACAGGGGCAGCGCGCTGGCGAGCGAAGTTCATGGCAGCCTGCATCATGTCGCGAGGAGTGCCGCGATCGTAGGCGCTGGCACGGTTGCGGTGCTCAGTGACGGCGGAGAATCCATGAGGAGGGTAGAGACCAACGCTGCGGGCGCTGTCCATCGAACGCTGAAGCTTAGACAGGTTGTCAGGACGAGGGAAGGGCTGCTCGGTGCCAGTGGAGCGAAGCTTGTCGGAGACGTCGGCGTCGAGGTAGGTCAGGAAGAGGCGAGGACGGCAGAATGGAGTCTCTTGCATGACGGAAGAGTTGCGGAACTTCTGCACCAAGGCCTCACGACCCTGAATCGTGGCGTATGAGATCTCGGCAGCCTTGGACGAGCGGTAGGCAGTCCAGCAGCGACGCTCGATGCGGTCGATGAGGGCGATCATGCCACCGACGTCGGCGAAGTTGATGAAGGCATAGCCCACGTTGCAGCCAGACTTGAAGTCAATGCGGAGGTAGAGGAAGTCGTAGGTGCCGAAGCAGACCTCATCTAGGATGGTCTTGAGTGACATCTGAGGAGATGGTCAGTAAGGTGCTGTAGAGACATGGAAAAGACGTCTTACCCAGTCCATCTTGTTGGGGATGTTGCGCAGCATGATGGTAGTGCGGACATCGCTGCCGTCTAGAATGCGCTCACGGCGGACACGGTTGTGCTGGTCAGCTGGGTGACGCTGGTATGGGCCGTTGAGGGGGCCAGCAGCAGGGCGGTAACCGACAAAACGACCCTGGTCGTCGATGCGAGGCTTCGTGCGGTGGGGAGAGTTCATGGCTCGCTCGCCAGACCAAGGCGCAGGCTCGGTAATAGCCCAACGGAAGGTCTTCTGTCGAGATGTCAGTACACAAGCATCGATGTCGACTGAGAGAAGGAAGACTTACCGCGTCATTGATACCCCAGACCGAGTCAAGAGTCAAGCTCTGGACAGTGCGAGTGGCTGCATCGACTGAGTGGAACTCGACACGAAAGACGAGAGTCATCTTGGTGTCGTGGGTCTCGATGTGGACGCAGTTGCGGACGGTACCGAAGACGCCAGCGGTGAGCTCGATGGCCTCAGTGACTTCGGCAAGGTCGGCATCGGTGAACTCGAAGACGGCATGCTCAGGGTAAGGCTGAATGACGACCGGTACCTTGATCGAGCCTTCGAACTCGTTGAGCTGAGCTGTGTCCTGCGACTTGGCAAGAGCGAACTCGTAGCCGGTGATCCAGTCGACCACGAAGCCATGTTGAGTGAGGATGTCCTTGGCTTCAGCAGCTTCGCGGAGGTCGTCGTAACGAAGGTGAACGCCACGAGTGTAGACAGGCACGCAGCTTGAGAAGCACTGATACTGGGTCAAGGTCAGTAAGTATCAACTTGACTTGAGTGTGACTTACCAGCTTCATCTGATGCTGAACGCTGAAGAGCTCATGCTCAGAGTCGACGCCGGCATTGGTGCCGTCTGGAAGCTGAGCAATGAATTGAAAGCGCGAGATGAATGACTTGTCATCCTCGGAGAGCTCGTTGGCGAAGAGACCCTGGTAGTAAGGAGCGGGAAACGGAAGGACGCCCTTGTATTTGGGAGAGGCAGCACCTGTGCTGTGAAGGGAGGGTTTGCCGTTGTCGGTGACGGTGACCTGGCTGAGGTTGTTGCGGTGATGCAAGCCAGCAGAGCGAGTGTAGCGGGCGAGCTCAGGTGAGTACAAGGTAGGGTCGGTGCCAGCATAGGGGCTGGAAGAAGGGCCAACGCCGGTGGAAGACTGGGGTGAGTGGTGAGACATGACGAACGAATGCTGAACAAGTGAAGTACTGATGTACAGGAAACGATGGATACGATGAATGGGTAGTGACCAAAGAGGTGATGGTCAAGGTCAAGGTTGTCAGAAAGAAGAAGACTGAATGACCAAAGCGTCGTGTGGGTAATTGAAAAAGAAGGAAAGGGCGACGAAGGTGAGGTTTATGAACATCGTGCTCTTGGCGCCCACGAGGCGCTATACCTCGCCGGAGCACGCAGACGGCGGTTCTGCCAGATGTCTGTGCCCTCATCGCTCGAAGATGGAAGGCGCTCATCGTGAGGTCCTTGGACGGCTGTTTTGGGTGCGTCGAGGGAACAGGACCTCACCCACAGGCCTTGAGGACGCAAGACCGGCGACAACAACAACAACGAGATCTGCACCAATCGATAGCCCTCGTCGAGCTCTACAACCTCCAGATCCTACAGTCGTCAATTGACAAAGTGGGCGAGCGTGCACTCAAGTTGCAAGGCTGCTTGAGAGCTTGGTGTTCCTCAACACCACAATAGTCGGACAAGTGGGGCCACGATAGCTCGGCGATCCAGCCCCCGACACCGCCTGCAAGAAGAGGCAGGAGCAGCACCGAGGGTGGCGCTCAGCAAGGTGCTGCGAGAAGCAGACACATTCATCGTGAACTTGCACCAGCAGAACTCGTAGCTGTGTGCCTCCAGCGAACTCACAAGGCTGCTAGGAAGGGGGTGCATCGTTACTTGCATGTGTTGGAGTTGTGGGCTTCGGTAGACGCACGCCCTGAAGCCCTGCTTTAGTTGAGGCTGTAGTTTTCACGGAGTGATGAGGCCAGGTCAAGCGGCGACGTAGTCCCAAGACTCAGGAGTTTGGTCCATGGTGTGTCTCGACGCAGGTTAAACCAGCTTACCTCACAACAAGAGCACACGGACAGAACATAGCTCGGGAGCATTCGTGCTGTAGTCATTCCAGGGTTAGGGTATGTATCTCATGGCATAGGTAGCGAATTGCAGTAAGGCTGTGGGAATTGCAACCAAAATACACGATTTCCAAACTGCCAATCACCCTCCTCTGCTCTACGCTGAAAACTTAGACAATGTAAACTATGAGGTTTAGCACGAAGCCGAACCCTCGAATGTATATTCCTTAGTGAAGCAGCACGATTGCTTATAGGGGTTCGAAACCAGAAGTATCAGGCAAGTGCACTCATGAACATGCATTAGCGAGCAGTAGGGTCAATAGACTGGACACTTTAGATGATTCCAACTTGTATGGCTCCTAGCCTAATGAGCAAAACTTTGATAGTCAACAATCTATGTAGCAAAACAACGCTCTACAGTTTGCTAGACTCCGCACTCGTCCTGTTCAAGTACAGCGGATCCCTGGGCTCAATCCCATACTTCCTACACAACTCCTCGCCCTTCTTCTGCTGCGCCTCAATCCTCTGCTTATGTGCGGGACCCCGCTTGTTCTCATTTCTACCCAGCTGCAACAGATGCACCTCATCGGGCCCATCCACAATCCTCATCGTCCTACCACTGGCATACATATTCGCCAACGGGGTGTCCTGGCTGACACCAGCACCTCCATAAGCCTGGATGGCCCAGTCGATGACCTTGAGGTTGACTTCGGGAACGAGGACCTTGACTTCGGCGATTTCCTTGAGCGCGCTTTTGGCGTTGGATTCGTCAATTTTGATGGCTGCGTTGAGGACGGAGAGGCGCGCGGCGTCGATTTCAATGCGTGCGCGTGCGACACGTTCGAGCATAATACCGTGCTTGTGCAGCATCTCGCCGAAGGGCTTCTTGCGCGGGTCGTTAAGACGGGCTAGCATCCATTCGAGGGCCTTCTCGGCGGAGCCGATGCTGCGCATGGCGTGGTGGATGCGGCCGGGTCCGAGACGGCCTTGGATGATTTCGAAGCCCTTGCCCTCACTGAGAACCATATTAGAGGCGGGGACGCGCACGTTGGTGAATGTAACGTGGCCATGGCCATGGGGCGCGTCGTCGAAGCCCATGACTGAGAGCATGCGGTGGATGGTGATGCCGGGGGTGTCGCTGGAAACGAGGATGACGGACTGTTGCTTGTACTTGTCGGGGTTGTTGGGGCTGGTCTTGCCCAAGACGATGAAGATCTTGCAGCGAGGGTCACCAATACCTGAAGACCACCATTTCTGGAACAATTGTCAGCGAAGCCTGGATGATAGGGTGTGCTTTGTGGCAACTTACCTGGCCGTTCAGGACGTAGTGGTCGCCATCGCGCTTGATGGTCATTTCGATGTTCGTAGCGTCACTCGAGGCAACTTGAGGCTCTGTCATCAAGAATGCAGATCGAATCTTCCCGTCCAGCAGAGGGTCAAGCCACTTCCTCTTCTGTGCCTCGTCGCCGTACTTGGCAAGCACCTCCATGTTACCGGTATCTGGGGCAGCGCAGTTGACAGCCTAAACGCAGTCAGCACCAAATCCATCTTCACAGCGGCTGTGGACTTCGTTACCTCAGAAGCTATCCTGCTCTTGCCCAGGTATTCAGCCATAAGACCGTACTCCAGATTGCTGAATCCAGCACCCTCCTTGAAATGTGCCTTAGGAAGGAACATGTTCCACAGCCCAAGCTCTTGTGCCCTCTTCTTCATGTCCTCGATAATCTGTGGATGTGCCGAGAAGCGCTCTTGGGTTGTCTCGCCAAGCTGGCGGAGGTATACCTGGTCAGCAGGAATGCATTCTTCTTCGACGAACTTCTCAACCTAATAATGTGTAAGCAATTGTTGACTGTCTTTTGAGAACAGTGAACATACAAGATCGAGTGTCTTCGCCGCCCTCTCGCTAAGGAAGGGTCGTGCAATAGTAGGAACGCGCTGCGAAGCCGGGATGTGGCCGCTGGGGGCGTTGGTCAGGAGGTTGTAAGGGACAGACATCTTGGCTCACTTTTTTTCAATTGTGATGAAGAGTAGTGAGACTAGAATCTGGAGAACTGAAAAGAGTCCGAGGAGTCTGGGGTGATTGAAGAGATGGGGCGACTCGCAACACGCTGTCGGTTGAGATGTCCCCGCAGATCGAGCTTCCCGAACGCTGGTGAACCGAGGTCCCGCGGCGAAAGCTCTCCCCACAATTCTTGGCTATGGGGTGATTAGCTGAGACGCGTCGTACGTTGATAACGATATCCGCACAGACGCCTAGAGATCCGAAACCTGTAGAACGAGGCACGATGCGTTGCATCTCAACACATCAGAATTGCAGTGCGAGCGGTCCACGATTGCAGTGTAGAACTATTGATACTTTGTTGTAAGGCTTTCACAGTTCTTGCACGTTGCAGAACACCATGATTCGTGACAAGATCATCGTACAAGCATTGAAGAATGCGTTGATTCAATATTAACATGACGTCTTCCTCAGCCAAACAATAAAGGGGTATGTAAAAGTCAACAAAACAATAGCCTGCCTCAAACGCCAGTTCATTCCTCAATGCATCATAGACTAACCGAACGCCACGCTGGAGTACACAGTAGCCCCAGGAAGAGCCGCATACCCAATAATCATCAACTGCTGATGAACAGGTCATTGCCGCTATCGGTCGGCGAGTTGTCATCCGCAGCGCCATCGTAGCTGCTCTGCGCCCTTCTCAATGGCGACCTTGCCTTGCCCTTGACACGCACCTCCTTGGGTGGTGCAGCTTCTTGTTCTTCCGCCTTCAACTGATCGATAGCACGGTTGACCTCTTCCCATGACGGTCTGCTGTCTCGTGTACCGTTGGGTGTCGCCGGACCGGATTGTGTTGCTAACACCTGTATGCGCTTGGCTTGGTCTTCGAGACTGATGTCAGGGACCTTTTTTGATGTCGCGTGTCCGCAATCTGAATCACCGTCCACAACTCCGTTGACATCCGGTGGCGAGGAACCAGATTGTGAGGCATTCGCAGATCTACCAACTGGTGTGTTGGGAGTCGGTGGACTGTACTGGATCTGAACAGGACTTCTTGCATCGTCACTGTCGACATCTGACAAAATGTTACGTCCTTGGCTTTCGTGACCGCTTCTATCACTCAGTCCAGCCGAGGTGTCGCTGCGCCACATGTTCTTGAACGTCCGTCTACGTCTGTCTACGCCAGTTTCTGGTCCTCGTGGTGGTGGAGGAGAATCGAAGAAACTGGAGTATTTAGTTCCCAGTTGCTGTACTATAGGCATGTCTGCAGCGGCTCCCATCGTCCCTGATCTAGCGAAGAGGACTAGACCAAGACACAGAAGTAACAGTGTTGACTGAACGACAGCCATCCTCTTCTGCCAAACGAGCTCGTCGGCCATCAGACTAAGTCTAGCGCCGATTTCTCCCATCTCTGACTTCTGTCGCTCTTTGATGCCTTCAACCTCAATGACGGTGCTTTGCCAAAGCTGTTCGTACAAATTGCGATAGTGCTTGAGCTCTGTAATGACCGTTGTGTTCATGTACTCCAGAAACTTCTCTGTCTTTGCCAGCTGCTTCTTTTCGACTTTGATGAAGGCATCTCTCAGGATGCGTGACTGTTCCTCAATGTATTGCAGTGAAAGCGTGCTGTTAGCCTCGAGGTACTGCAGACGTTTGTGGATTGACTTAAAGAAAGATTCTTGGGTAGATGGCGCAGCAGCATTCGGTTGTGTAGGCGAGGGACGTGACTGTGTTTGGGCTGAAGGATTCGCTGCGGTATTATTGTTGAAAGGCTTCGCAGGCGGATGATTTGCGGGTGAAGGGGCCGCGTCAGATCCAGGCGAGCGAGTCGAGGGATCCTTCCGAATCGCAGGTGCTCCAGAGCTGGTACCGGAACTAATAGGTGCGGTATTTTGAGATGCTGGAGGTGTCTGAGCATGCTGCGAGGCGACGGTGGTGCTGCTAGCCCCTCGATCTTGCACGTTGATATTGCTGTCATTGTCATTGTCTGCATTAGATTTTGTGGACGAAGACGACTTGGTTGATGAGCTGCTGGCGGTGTCATTGCTATCAGATGCACCAGTCGATCGGTTGATCGGCGTCGATTGTGGCGCTCGCCAGGAAGCTGATGGTAGTCCGGACGTCGTGGGCTGCGATACAGTTTGACTAGGGGCCGGCTGAGTGCTAGGAGAGATGGTGGATTGCGATGTGCTTTTAGCAAGAACCGTCGCTTTCGGCACCGTGGGTTCTTCTTTGGCCGGTATAACTGGTACTCGGTCCGCCGGTATTGGGCCACTACCATCAGCGGGCTTAACAACATCCTCCTCCTCTTCAATCGATTCAGCGTCGTCATCGCCGCCTCGAGCTTCTTCTTCCTCCCGTCTAAACTGCTCCATCATGGTAGTGCCATGCACCCGCAACAGACTCAAAGGACAGTAGAACTCATTGCCATAGTGCGTCAAGAACTCAATGCGCAGATAGCGAGCCCAGATCTGTGGTTCTGTGACGAGGAAAGGTTGGATATCGCGGGAGTTGCGAGCTTCGAAGGTGGCTAGCGTGCGCCATCTCTCCATCTTAACGGGGTAGCGGTCTGATACGCTGACGCGAAAATGGCGGAACATGGACGAGAAGAACTCGTAGTTGGCAAGGACGACTGTATCAACCAGAATGTCGTCACAAAGCTCTACAATTAGAAACTTGTTATCGACAGAGCACTCGTTCAGCATGTAGCTGTCCTTGTGTTCTGACAACACAGCTGAGGAGCCCTTTGCCTTCTTGTTCGTCTTAAGAACAGTTGCTGCGCAGTCGAACGAGGCATAGTTGAAGCGCTCCTTACACGTCTTTCCAGCATCTTTGCTGAGCGCCCAGGAGCCTGAGCCAGCTTTGTCTGCCTCCCCAGTAGACTTTGCAGCTTCAGAGCCCGGATCCCTTGAAGCGATACCACTGCCAATGGAGCTTCCCTCAGATGGGTCCCCAAAGCCACTGAAATCGATATCAATCTCTGCCTCCTCGCCTAGAGAGTCCAAGGCATTAACGTTGACCGGGCGCCTTCTAGGCCCCTGGTCGGCAGAAGCAGCTCGACCCTGTCCAACATTCTCAGGCGACTGGCCGGCTTGGGCCAAGTTTCTCTTCTTCCATTCGTCAAATGAGAGAAAGTTGGCGTTGTCGAAAGGCGAGTCCGTCTCCAGCTCAGTATCTGGTTCTGTGCTTGCGGTACCGCTGCCAGCCACACTCTCGACAGAGCCCGTGCCTTCTGCTGAAGAGGCAGACACAGGTGTAGGACTCCCTGTGCTCTCATCTGCCCTACTCTCTGCTCCTTCCTTTGTAGTAGAGGCCGATATTTGCGGCGTCAATGTTGGTTCTGCTGCGGGTACTGTTTCGTCACTGGAGACTGTAGCGACTGGGGCTGACCAACTCGTCTTCAGACATTGCTGAGGTAGCGTGTGCGTAATATAATTTATCGTTCGGTACAAGCATATCGTGTCGGTATCGGCGTAAGAGCGAGAGAGAGGTGTTGGCTGCGAAGGAGCAGTAGAAGCACTATGCTGTGTGACACTCGAAGCTGCAGTAGCGCCCGTGCTGGAGGTCACGTTGTTATTCGTCGCCTGGGCAAGTGCGGTCGTGGGTGTGCTGCAGAGGAGCAGGAATGCCGTCCATTTGCGGAGTGGTGCGCCAATCGTGGGCATTGCTTGATCGCATAGCTTGACCAGACTCGAGTTGCTACGAGTTGGCCGTTCGAGTGTCGATACAGATCATGAGCACTGATACATGCGCGGGGGGCTGGGAGGTTCAGTGCACTGCGAACCGGTGTTCGTGCAAAGACACGTTGCTGAACAGTGGCTCATACACCCGCATCTTTGTTGCGGCGGCTGGTACCAAGCGCTGCTGCCAAGCCATCGTCATACAGCAGGCGCGTCTATGTCAAACAACAGCAGGTGTCAAAAAACAGGGGATGTTGAATTGTTTGTTCGTTCAATCACTGGTTTGTCGCATTATTGTGATTCAAACTGTCAAGTTTCATAGTTGTTCATAGTGCATGAATTCAGCAGAACGTTTCTCATGTTGCGAAGAAAGCCCGATCCTCCGAGTCTGGGCGGCATTCAAAGCAGATTTGCGCTTAAACGTACAGAGGACTATAGAGTATTTTGCTTGTATAAAACCGTTATCTTGAATTTGCCGAAGATCTCCTAGCTGCTTTATAGAAGTTAAGAAACGGCTGTCATCGTGTCCAGCTTGTCCAGGAACATGAGAGCACGTTTAGTAGGAGCAGCAGGAGCAGCGGCAACACACGCCGCACGCTCAATTACATTCATGCTACATCGTAAGAAGGAGACTCGTAGAAGGTTGCTTATCCATGCGCCCAACTCTCTGCAAGCAAGCGAGGAGGCTTTCACGCCTCCCATATCGATATCAAACATCCACTCGCAAACTCCTCTGTCTTCCCATCGTCGTCTCTATCTTGTATGTCGTGCTCGTTTCCCCGAGACGCCATGATCGGGTTGAAGAAAACGCCTTATGAGAGTGCTAAAAATCCCAGTGTCAGAAGTTCCCGCTATGCTGTAGTCGTAATGGGTATGTCTTGCCAGGTATCGTCGAATCGAATAATAACATATCAAGTGAAAAAGTACTGTCAAACATTCGTGCAAATGGCCTCTAGATCAAGTGTTGAAGCGACCCAGGATCAAAGTACGGAGGACTGTGCTCGAAGGTGGATCCTGAGCAAATGGAGTCGCATATCGAATGATCATCCGTTTCCAGCGCCAACGAAAGCCGTAGCCATGGCTGGAGGCAGTCGCACGCCTGCGTGGTCTAAAAGGAATCGAAGCCAGCCTACGAAGTCTTGTTCTAGAAGCCTTCGTTGCCTGCATGGCAGACCTTGATCTCCGAAACCCATTCGGAGGCAAGAACTTGGTGCGCGGTGAGACGTCGTGCAGGGATGGGATCCAGGATCGAGTAGATCACGTTACGGCATTGACGCTGCAAATGATGTTAGTGGGTACATTTCGCGTGGTTGAAGTAACTTACTCTTCGCAGGACCTCGATGGGTCGGTAACCCTCTTCCTCTTTGCGGTCCTCAAGATAGCGATCGAAGAACTCATCCTCGCCCTTTTGGGCGACACGCCAGAGATGGCGACCCGTCCTCATGGCCATGTAGATGATACCGCAAGCCCACACATCGACAGCACGAGGATCGAACTCCTTGTCAACATACTCCTCAGGTGCAATGTAAGGTGCCGAACCGCAAAGGCCAGCGGTCATGTGGGCTTCCTTCTCCCAGGCCATCCTGAAGCACTCGCCATTGCCGAAGTCGGTGATTTTTATGGAACCATGGGTGGTCAGGAGGAGATTCTCAGGCTTTAGATCGCGATGCGCAACACCCATCTCGTGCATGTACTCGACACCGCGCATCAACTGCTTGAAGAAGCAGTCGGCCTCAGCAACCTCGAGCTGGCCAGCGGCCAGTACAAGAGTGTACAGGTCGCCTCCAGAACAGTATTCCATGACCTCACAGTAGACACCCTTCTCGTCCTGGAGGAGGTCGAGGGTGGTGATAACGTTGGGGTGCTGCATCGAAGACGATATACAGAATTCGGAGGTAAGGCGCTTCTGGTATTTCTTCGCAGATTCGTTAGGTCGCTGCTTAAACTCCTTCACAGCGTAGAGCTGCTCGCGCTTCGCGTCCTTGGGATCCTGCTTGTGTGCGACACGAACGATACCGAAAGCTCCTCGCCCAACGACTTCTTGACATTTGCCGTACTTCTGCACCAATGTCTGCGGCAGGTTGTTGGGGGAGTTCTTCGCCTCGGCGAGCTTTTCCTTTTCGTTGCGCATGACGTCGACCCAGTTCGACATCAGACTGAGGGGCTGGTCGGCGGGGTTGTCCTCCTTCTTCTTGCCTAACATCAAATTTTGGAACATGTCGGACAGCTTTTCTTGACGTTTGGCGACCTTCAGGTGGTGCTCGTGGCCGCTCTCCTCGTTGGTCCAGAAGCGCTTGTAGGGTGCGGGCTCTTTGGGAGCTTTCGACACCGAGCCCTGGCGCACAGGTGGCGGGCGGCCGTTCGCAGTGTCGACGCCGTTGGCTACCCTCGCAGCCTTGACGATGTCTCCGTTCGACTGTCTGGATCCAGCCTCCTTGCTAGAGCCAAACATGCTGCTCAGACGCGACGTCATCGTTGGTTTTTTCGGCTTCAGAAGGGCTTCGGCGGCAGCTTGCACTCCATGCGCTCCGGACTGATGAACAACAGGTGGGGACAGAGCAGTCGCATCTGGCATGGAATGCAGTGACGACGCCGTAGAGGCAGTCGCTGAGGGCGAAGCAGCAGGTTTTGAGGTCCCACTGGGTGGGTTACTGCTCGTAGGGGCCGCCATATCCTTGAATTTGCGTGCTGTGCTGGCCGGCGCGGCTAGGAAGGCAAGGTGGGTCGAAAAATGGGTACGGGAAGGGTGATGGTACTTGTTTCAGAGACGCAGGTGTCTCGCGGGCAAGAAGCCCAGGGTGTTATTGTATGGCCTTCAGCACAGCATACGTTCGGCGGCGGTGGGTGGTGGAGATCAGGTTCGGGAGCGTGTGCTGCGCGTGGGTGCTCTTGTATCGCGAAAACACGGTGAAGACTAGGAAGGTGCAGTCGCCAGGGCGAACAGTCAACTTGCAGTGCAGTGGTGGGCGCTGTCTATATGCTGGAGGCGATTACAAACGCGCGCGCAACTCGTGCAGAGGCAGTCACTTGCTCGCGCACTTGATGGGTGGCTGCTGTGGCTGTGGCTGTGTCGGGGGCCGAGGAAGGATCGGCGGATGATGTCGTTGGGTTGGCAGGTGCGCCGGTCAGTAGCAGCGCTCCCGAAGGCTTGCTTGTTGAAGTGGGTTGTTGTCTTGAACAGCAGGTAAAGCTCTCGAGACAACAGGCTGCACGCAGGGTAAATATTTCGCTGAAACCAAACGTGTTTGTGCGGGAGTTTGCACTGCCTCGACTTTCTCGTGGTCGGGAGCTTCGATTCCAGTTAGACTGCGCGATTTTCCATTTCATTCCCCTCATTATTCGACTTGCCGCCGACCGCTCATCTCTGAAAATGGATTATTAAGACACGATGACCCGCGGGAAGCGGCCAAGCACAGTTTGATCTTTAGCCTTGCTCGCACTCGGTCGGTGGATGTCACAGTGGACGTTCAGATGTTTGCTTTACGCAATGCCGCGCAAGACACTCGCACATGTTGCAGTGCTGACATGCTTTTACAAAGGGCTTCAAGGTGACGTCCTGCAAGTGTAGACTTCGAGATCCAGCACCATCAGCCAGCATCAACCCTAGCTTCAATCCCAGTTCCGTACACTCGAAGAATTCTCCATCAATCCGACTCCTCCAGCTGCAGGCACAGCACCAATGTCTGGTGACGCAAGTGAATTTACTTTTTGTGAGGGTAAGCCATAGCCTCTGCAAGACATGTTGTGATCACACGTCCCTACTCATCACGCTGTGTCTTCATCATCAGTGGGGTCTCTATTGCAGGTACCCATACCGGCACGACGCCGGCAAACGTTACGAGCGCGCAGGGAAATTAGGAAGCAACATCACCAACAGCAACCGCGCACCGGTGTCGTCAGCTCGCGCCTTCCATGTGCCCGCGTAGGCTGCCCTCCAGTGGCCTCCACACCTCACACCGCAACTCAAATAATCCCCGAATGCGTACAACCTGCAGCACAGCAATCTAAGGATCAAGTCGGCTACCCATTCACCGTCCACAGCTTGAGTCTGCCACATGGACGCACGCCAAATTTTGCCGTGTACCTTCAACAACTGCAGCAAGCAGATCTTGCGGACCAACGGCTGTATCTGATCGAACGCACACTCTCGCACTGACCTCTCTTGACTTACCACCAGTCTGGGTAGAACCGTTTACCTGGGGCTACAAACTGCAGGGGTTCTCTGTACCGATTTAGCCTTCATTGGCCACTGCATCGAAAGCTACACCAACCTCATAACTTTGTTTACTCTTACACAATACTCGGCACGAAAACTGCTTTGACCTGGTGCCTCACAGTCGAATCTGACGGCTGCACGACAACGTTACATAAAAGGTCGCATTTGCAGTCCTGTTCCTATCTTGCAGGATAACAATCCAAAGTGGAGACGAACAGCAGGTCTTGAGCGATTTTCGACAACCACTCACAACCATCCATTTGCACAACAGGTCGCCTTTCAAGTTACAAGGATCTACGTTGTCTGCAGCTCTGGCTCTGTTGGTAACGAACTGAAGCGGTTGCCTGTCGTTGTTGATTTAAAACACCTGCAAGAACTGGTAAATCCATAACATCAAAAGTACGCTCACTGGCTCGGTTAGGTCCAACATCTCGATGTGACAGCGGGAACGAAAACGAGAACCGAGTAGCCCACCTCTGCTATTCGGACCACGTCCCACATCCCCATATTTAATACCTCACACAGCCCCAGTCGACTCGTGGCTACTTGACTCGGCATCATTGGAGGCCGTTTTAGCTAACAGGAACCTGCAGGTGTCACAAACGTCTGGTCATCCACTGCTTGGAGTCTGTATTGAACATCCCCCTTAGAGGTAGTCAAGGTAGCTACCAGTTCAAGTGTGATCAAAGGTCATTGAGGACTATCTTCCCAGAGTCACTTGCTGTCTCAGCCTGTAAGGCCTTCACATATACATCGTCCTCACTTTTTCGTGCGTATGGTATATACACAATGCTCTACAACACGACAGCAATGTATCTGAGGACCATACCATGGAGTTATTCTCTCCGTGTGTGTGTGACAGCATTTGCATCAGGCTTTGTTCTTCCCACAGCGTGGAGGTAGTCAGTCGTGTTTGCAACATTACGGTCCATGGCTCTTACCACCAGTTGCTTGTCCCGACTGCCGCTGAGCAAAACAACAATGGTCTTAGCGCACAACCCCTCTCTTTCCTCTTGATGCTTCGACGACCTCCAGTCTGCACAACCCCATTCTTAGCAATATGGACCGACTTGCGCCGCCGTTGCATTTCCGCAACTTTATATACAGGTCCGTTCTTCATGCAAATCCCGGCGACGGTGCACGCTCTTGTCCGCGCGCCACTCCAGCCGAGCTCGCTGCTCTTCTGAGCTCTGACGGTTTGGAGCCATCGAAAGACAAGCCTCCGCACTTCTACAGCGCCCAGCTCATTCACTATGGTCTACTGGTCACGTCAGATATTGACCTTGCGAAGCACCGCCTGCGGAATGCTCTGCATCGCTCCGAGCTTGCGGTACCACCAGAGATCCGGGAGATCGAGGACAAGATGAGCGCTCTTTAGGAAGCAGAAAACCTCAAGTATAGGAGAGTTGATGCTGCCAAAGCACAAGAAGATGTTTGGGCCAAACACCTTGCAATGGCCCGCAACCGCAGCCATGGGTTGAACGTCGCTGGTACGTTGTAAGGATACAAGTACAATGACCCTTGAACTAACATGCTCCGCAGCCAATCCGCTAATCTCTGGCATTACTGCAGCCACGACACCACCCAATACCTGGAACACTCTGGGAGAACCGTCAGCAACAAAGCGCAAACGAGCCAGCGATGATACGGACAGCTCCGGCGCAACGCTAATCAAGATAGCCAGGACAACACAAGCTTCAGCACCGCCAGAAGACCAAACACATATCGAAAAGCCAACGTCAAAAGCTGATTCAGTCGTGGAGGCTGAGTTACACCCGCGCAGCAAGCCACTAAATACTTCACCGTACACCGACTAGCAGTCCTTTTCGTCCATGTCGAATCTCAAAAATGACTCCGAACTATTTCCCGGATTGAAATACCCTCTCACTGGCACATACATCAGCTCAAGTTTAGCGCATGACAAAGTAGGAGACTTGTTTGGCTCCTACAAGTTCGACCTCACAGTGACCAACAACCCAACCCGCGGCGCATGGTGGGCAACCTTCCGTCAGTGCAAGCTGCCCAAGCCAGGCCGGCGTGTGTATGCTGATTTCCCATCACCTGTTTCCGATGGCATCATCCATGTGGAGAGGGGTCCTCGGCTAGCCGTTGACTTGGATTCACCCTTTTCTCTGTCCTGGAAGTTGCGGGATCTACGAGACGGTACATTCCACTCTGGTGTGGGCATGATCGTCTTTCGAAAGCGAGGTGATGTGTTCGTACGGCTGTTTGAAGTACCGACGGCCAAGGGGCCAGTGGAGCTTACCGGTATCAGAAAGGGTGGACCAGGCATTCAGGTTGATTTGCAACACATGTGGGATGGATTCGCAGAGAAAGGGCCGCAGTATTGAGACCAATAATATACTATATTCTTCCATACAAGTAAAAGAGCGTTGGCCTCGATTAGGAGAATGGGTGACATGGGAATGGTACACTGTATTCCTCCGCTCCAAACTCAAAATGCACAAAACGCCTTACCGTGCCAGTCCTCGACCCAACTCTACTTCGGGAGGCATTCACTAACTCGAAAATCCGCTGAGCACCCCAACAAAAGAGTTGCAAGCGACGTACAGGACAAAGCATCACCTAGCCCAGAAGCTAGTCACTGAAGAGAGCGACCGATGCAAATTCATTTTGTTCGAATGCAGACAGTAACATATTGTATAACTCCCCACGGCAAAAGACGAACGCCGACGCAAGATGCAGAACAAAACTATCTAAGTCACTTATCTACCCAACTCTACCCTTAAAGGCATTCAGCAGCTCAAGGTCTCGCCTCCCACTTCCACTCGAACAAGACAGTCACGATCAACTTGCAAAGCCCTCCTCGCAACCCCAAAACTCCCGTTCGATACTCTCTGCTTCAGGCATCTCACCCACTCTCCTCTCCCTCACTAACCCGCAACGTCTCTTCATTATCCCAGTCCCACTCCCTACAAATCTCGCTCTCCTCCTCCAACGCAAACATCTCCTGCTGCAACACTTCTGTCGTCTCGCTCTCCCCATCTTGATCGAAATTCTCCGCGCTCTCCTCCAGCGCATACACCTCGCTCATGCACGCCCGCAGAAAAGAACTGTAGAACGCGCCGTCCCTTAATTGTCGCTTTTTACACGCAGTGATGCTGGCGGAAGACGGGTGTGCGTGGAAGTTGCACGAGTCGCGGATTTCTTCTTTGAGTTTGAGCCGGCTCACGCGTTTCAGAGGTGTGGTGGTGAGGAGCATATCGACGAGGAAGTCCTTAGGTAGGTCGTCTAACTTGCTCCTCTTTATCTTCGTCAGGTCGCGGTACACAGCGGCTTCTTTGACGAGGTACTTGCACAGCGGCGCGACGCTCGGGAGGCCGGCATACAATTCCTGATAGGGAGGCCACAGGTCGCGGTGCCCGCGCTTGTCACGGTTGTAGTTCTGCAGCTCGACGAGCAACGTCATGATGTCCGATGAGAGTTGCGGGATGTCGTAGGTGTGGGCGAGCGTGGAGAGGCCAATGAAGGTGCGGAGGTATTGGTGGTTTGTACGGAAGAGAAATTCTTTTGTGTCGAGCCAGGCTGGTGTGCGGCGCGTGTCGAAGAGGGCTTCTGTGCTCATGCCGATGTCATCTTCGGCGTCCAGTGGTGGTGGGGCATGGTCGTCTGCAGGCCCGGCTGCGTCCAGGTCGATGATTTCTTTGCCCTTGTTAAGGGTATGTTTGGGGCGCTTGATGAGCCGTTTGGGTTCTTCTCGTGTTGCTTGGCCGTAGAGCCAGAATTGGAAGAGTTTGGTTGTTGATTCTGAGGCATTTGGAAGGTGGATGGTTAGGGCTTCGTCTTCTGAAAGTAGTCCTTCGCACGCGTTGCGGAAGTAGCGTGAGTGTGCGCAAAGTAGATCTTTGTGTAGCATGAACGACTTCTTGTCCTCCTCCTCGTCGCCTATTGTTATCCCGATGAGGGTCTGATCGATTGCTCTATGCCTTGCGTCAGTAGCATGCTCGGATGAGGTGTGCACGGCTGTGGACCCGATGTGCCGAGCGCGTGTTACGTAGATTGCTCACAGGAAGTTTGGGCGCTTTCGCTTCTGCCCGACGGTTGGCGCTGAGTTCGCATTGCCCATTTTGGAATTGAGATAGATCTTTTTCAGATTGCTCACGATTTCCATTGGTTGTGGTCAAGCGTTGAGGCGTGCGCTTGCTCGAGCGTTTACTGGGGCGGATCTTCAAACAAGGGTCGCCGTTGACCAGGGGAACGCTCTAGCGCGACACGCTAGCGGCGCGTGGTCACACTTTCACTCCACGAGCTCACGAAGTACAGTGAGCAGATCTTGATGATTGAAATAGAAATTCAGCACTCAGGTTTCAAGATGTGAAGTTAAACTTCGTTCCATAGCTACAAAGAGGCGGGTACATATGACACAGATGCCTTGATCTCAATCAAGCGACACAATAAAAACTGTCTCAGCCGTCTTATTCTTGCTGCGACATGTGCGTGGGAAAGTTGTAATCCGTGTAATCGATATGGACGAATGCACGGTCGACATATGGTACACTCTCTAGAAGAACATTAGCAAACATCTTTGACGATGACAGATGGATGGATGACTTACCGAGAACATACTGCAAGCTCTCTCCGAGATCGTGGCTGTCCCTTAGTGCAGTGTGCTCATCGACCACGATGTCGACCTCCACGTTGAGCTTGTCGCCAGCGTGGTAGGCCTGAATACCCTGGATCCTCTTGATTGACTTGGCGAACCGCATCGTCATGTACAGCAAGATGTTCCGCTCATCAGCAGTCGCACTCGCACCAGTCAAGTTGCGAATGTGTTCTGCGGATGTGCGCGACCAATTGATGATCACGTAGGCCGAGAGCAGTATACCACCCAGCGCATCCAGCCACCAGATCTTCGCAAAGTAGCCAACAAGCGGGAAGAAGATAGAGAAGGTGTTGAAGACAACATCGGTAATGGCATCCTGTGCAAGCGCTTGCACAGAAGAATTGCGAATGAGGCGGCACCAAAGCCAACAAAGCCCCTTGATGACGACCGTGGAAGCCATGATAGCGACAGCGGGGATGGTAAGCTGCACGATGGTGTGGTCCGGTCCGGAGAGACGGGAGATACCCTCGATGCCGACCTGGAAGAAAGAGGTAATCATGATAACAGAGAAGACAAGCACGCCGATTGGCTCCAAACGCCGCCTGCCAACTGGGTAGGCATAGCGATCCTGACGTGCGATCATCCAGGACGTGAACCACACGATAGCTGTACTGAGGAAGTCCAATGCCGCATCAACCAAACTGGCTACGACGGAAAGCGAGGATGTCATGACCGCCACTATGATCTTCAAAATCAGCAGTGCGGTGTTGGCTGCCAGGTTGACGTAGAGTGCCAGCTTGACGATAGGGCTGTCCGTGTCTTCGCCCTCCTCGGGCACCCATTCCATCAGCTTCGAGTTCGACGACCCCTCGTCGTCCTCGTCATCTGAAATGGCTTCGTCTCGCAGAATCAGAGGTGTGTTCTCGTCGACCTCAGGGACCTTGTACAGATTCTTCGGGGTTCGTGTGAGCTTGGTCTTTGTACTTCCGTTTGCATTTCCGTTCGTGCCATATTCTGTCAAGCTGTTTGTCGAAGAATGACTATTGCTATGTAACAGACCGTTGCTCGGCGTCGTTGCGGCTGGCGTGTTGACAGCAGACGACTCCTCGCTGATCGTGTAGGGGATATTGACTGCGCCGGACTCAAGGTTGGTATACTCTTGAATCAGGTTATGAGGTAGCGAAGAATCGAGGAGACGATCGATGTACATGTAGTTCTGGATGAGCTGGTTATTGCGCTCGTAGTACTCTCGTCTGAGCTCATGTCAGTTAAGTACACACAGCGTAAGCATTGTTCAACTTACAAAGGCTTTTTCATGCCCTTAAGCTCTTCTTCGCTCTTATAGTACTTCTCCCTGTCCGTAGTCAGACCCTGTCCGCTGCCGTTTTCATGCTCGCTGTACTCACCACTTGTACCTGGGGTTCGAGTTTCCAATCAGTCGCTGACTTCGCATCTGCGGTGTGTTCAGAACCTGCGCGCCAACACTGTGCCTTCTGTCCGAGTCGCTGTCGTAGTTCATCATAGGCCCATGACGGGCGCTTTCCAAATCCTCATCATCCTCGCTGACGCTTCCGCGGCGCTCGCGCTCGGTGCTACGAATTGTCGACGGTCGCCGCTTGAACAGCGAGGGCAAGTGCTGTCCTCGAGTGGAGATTGCGCTTCCTTCGTTCTGAAGGGGCAGGAAGAGCTTGCTGTTGGCAATGCGAGGAAGGCTCGAGGATCGCGGAAGAGATGCCGGAGACGGGGATTTTGGAGGTGGTGTTGTAGCACCTCGGCGGTCCGCCATAATTTGGGTTTTGCTCTACAATTGGAGCTGAGAAAGTGTTGGTGTCTCAAGGGGTACGTGACCAGAGTTTGGTGGGTCAATGCCAGAAAACTGGTTCTTTCTCGCTCTTATCTGGGGAATTAATACTCTGCTTGCGCTTGGCTTTATTCAGCGCGCCCAAGGCTGGAGGCAATTGTCACGAGATGAAGATGAAGGAACGGACGTGTTATAAGACAGTTGCGCCGCGCATATCTGCGAAACACATGGTGGGCAGTGGGGTTGCAGCATGGTGCAGGACGATGCGCAGGTTGGCCAAGAAGAGGGTCCAAGGACGGAGATCGATAGTTCATGATACGGAAAGCGCAGTTTTTTGTGGTCATAGCTTCATCTAGGGAAACAAACCAGCATCCTCTGACAATCGTGGGCTTCAACTTGTCGCATTTGTTTCACAGTGACACTATCAGGCTTGGCATGTTGTAGTCATTTGTTCATTACTTTGGAGTCTACATGGCTTCTTTGCATGTGTTGCTTGCTGCACATACAGAACACGTATTCTGAGTCCTGGTGGTGTTCAGAACTGCATCCGGTGAGGATCCACTCAGCCGGCGTCTTGCACCTGCATGAACATGCGCGGATCATCGCGTAGCGCCATGGCCAAAGCATGCTGTGATATTAGCCGTTCTTCTGTTTTCCATGCGAGAGCTGTGATGTACTGATCACCTCCAGACGGTTGAACTGAATTGACGTCTACGTTCATACAGCACTCTGTGTATCGCCAACACATTTGCTTGACGCGCCTGGCAGTATGACGTGAAGACCCTTCTGATCATGTCCCTTGACGAGTGTTGTTGGTGTAGCTTGAATGCGTCTTGTCGATCACGCTGTCGTCGTTGACTGGCTCGTAGCGTCTTTTACGCAGGCAGCCATCATCGCAGCGAAGATGTGAGGGTTGTTCGAGATGCGCTGGCGACACTGATCTTGGTCGAGTGCCGAGTGCTCATGTAGAAAGCACGCATCTTTCACCAGAGCTCTCCATCTCATCGAAACCCCGGCGTCCACTGTTGAAAGTCTTATGATCTTGGATCGTTTTAGCCAGGACCATGCTGACGTCGAAGGCGAAGTCTGGATTCATAGCTCTCATCGACTGCAAGTTGCCGGCACAATTCTGACTGTGGCTCCGTGAGCCAGAGCAATGCCGTACAATGGACGAGAAACTTGACCATAGTCGAGGAGCCTGGGATTTCGTCGTACATGGTAGCCACCGTCTCTTTATCTGGATCAGGGAACCAGTCCATTGCCCAACACTGTCCCACAAAGGCGGTCATGATGTCGTCGCGCAGCTGAGGTACCGAGTACTTATCCGCGAAGATGTAGAGACGAAGGATGGATAATACCACAGACCTATAGTTGGCAAGCTACTCGTTGTTCTTCCAGTACCGTGTCCTGCCGAGTCCCTCTGGGTCGTAGTGAAAAGCACCTTCGTCGAAGGCCGCAACAGGCGCAGCATTACGATCTGAAGCCATGCTCGAGTCGCTCTCGTCATCTCTCCCGGTTGTTCCAGTAGTGGGTGGTACAGCTGCGCCAGATTTTGCTGAGTCTTGTATAAGCTGCAGGTCTTTGCACAGCGGTATCGTGGTGAGCTGAGCTTGAGACATTTGTGCGTACGCCCACTGGAGGAAGATTCGGAATGTTTGTTCGGTCACGTCAACTAGGGTGATGGAGCGCTCATCAGCCTCTTTGAAGGAGCCATCAAAGGCTTTCCTGAAGTAAGTTGAGACCGCAGTTAGCAACTTCTGTTGACTGGGATTTCCGAATTCGCAAGCCGAACAGTAACAGTGTCGAGACTCATCGTACTGGACACGTCGAGTTGGTTTTGTGTTTCCTCAAAGGTATCTGGGCTGCGCAGGAATTTACAGAAAATCAAATATTGCGATGCCAGACGACGTCGTTGCTGACTCCATAGTTGAATACCTCCGCAGTTGACTGTAGTGGGTGGAAGGTGGGAGAGGACTTGAGCGTGATAAGGCTTTTAGGCAGCAAACATGGAACCTTCATCGTCTTGTTTACCGTGGTTCCACGTTTGGTAGCAAAGCAAACGCTTCCCGCCGACAATCTCATCACTCCTGATCGAGCCACATTGTCAGCCTCGCTTAGAAGACGGGAGACCAGGTTGCCTGCGATTTTCTGGAGTTTGCAGTTGTTGACTATCTCCAGCGGACCAAGCCGTTTAGACCGCAGGTCATGCATTTGAATATGCCGACAAAACTCTCTTCGCACAAGCACTGAGTGCTTGTGAAATTTGCAAGGGAGGTAGTCTTTGATCAATCGATCCACGTCCTCGTTCGCTAGTCTGCGCCTAAGTCCTTCGTTCTGAGCCAGGTGCACGTTGAAGATAAAATCTGGGTGCATCTCGTGTAAAGACTGAATTTCGGAAGTATTGTCCTGGTCTTTCCTGAGAAGCCAAAGGAATGCAGTAGTATGCGCCAGGATTTTTGCCAGGGTAGAGGTTTTAGGAAGGTCGCCGTGAATCGAGTCGATAAGTTCGGCGTCTGGATCGGTCGCCCATTGCCACATATCCTCTCAGAACATGATGGCAGTGACAATGTCGTCGCGTAGCTGAGGAATGTCGTACCTGTCACCAAATATGAATAGCTCCATTACGGTGATGATATGCGATCGGTAGTTCGCTAGCCAGTCTGGATTCTGGTGGCAATCTCTATTTCGTGTAGAAGATCTGAATCGTTTCCAGTTTCGGCATCAGAGTCATCTTCGGAGTCTTCATCGTTGCTTGGGTCCATATCCAGGTCGTTTCCCTGGCTGCTTTCGGTCGTTTTGGCATCAAATGCAGAGGATGCAGGTACACCTGATGGTAGAAGGACGTCGAGCGTTTTTAAGTCCTGATCCAGGTCAGGGTGGTCCATCTGGTCCATCAACCAGTATAAAAAATCCGGAAAGTCTGCTCGCTGACATCATCCAGGCGTATTGCGCGATCGTCAGCTTCTGGAAAGGGGGCAGCGAAAGCTTTCTTGAAGTAAGACAATACTGCTGATATCCAATCCTTATAGACAGGAATGCTAGCATCATCAACATTAATGTGGACGATATCGAAGCTCATTGTTCTACGACGCTGTTAGATTTGCCTATAACTAGAACGGGATAAGGTCTCAAAGGGGGCTTGGGGGCTCGACGCATGATCTTGCGTTGCCTGGAGCCATGAATGTTTAAAGTACTCGATGGAGTGCCATTGGTTCAAGTCAACTAGATTCGTGCACAGCCCGGCGGAAAACTAAAGCTCTTGTAGAGACTGGAGTCATTCGATGCAGCTTCAAGTGGATGCTAAAGGATTGTGTCTATGTCGTACGACCTGCGAAGAGAAGAGAAATCGGGAAGCGGGGGTAGTTATATTCATGGATCAGGAGCAGCCTTGTCAGACTGAGTGTCGTGTCATGCAAACCTTCACATTAACACCAATCAATAAGTAGTTGAGACGAACCATTAGGACTAAGAATTGAGGATCAAACAATCACAGTAAGAATCCGAGCTCAGGTGCAGTGTCACTTGTTCTACACATTGGTGTTGGTGTTCATCAATGATCGCGCCTCCCGTGATGAGCCGTTTGGGATTAGCGTGCACGAGCCACGCACGAAGACTCGCTTCGCATCTGCCCTCGTCAGAAAATCGAACCTCTCGACACAGACCGAAACTCTCGACATCCGACTGCCAGTCAATCAGCCACGATGCCGGTACGCCGCCGCCCTGCCACGACGGCCAACCCTACGTTCGACGTTTTCTAACGAATTTGTACAGTCCCAGAAGTCTTTCCGCACCAAGCAGAAGCTTGCAAAGGCTCAGAAGCAAAACCGCCCCATCCCCCAGTGGATCCGCCTGAGGACAAACAACACCATCAGGTACGCCGACGCCGCGAACGCCTGCATACTCTAGCTTTTGGCGCCAACTCGCACGACACACGCAAGGAACGCATACACAGGTGGCAGCAGCTGACAGTCCGCAGGTACAACGCCAAGAGGAGGCACTGGCGCAAGACTCGTCTCGGTATCTAGACGACTCGCCCATGGGCCCTCATTTTCGACTTTCGATTCTCGCATTCAAGTACACAGCCGCGTACACGACAAATACAATCACGAGCGCACCTACGGAAATCGATTTCGAATCGCAATGACGGGAATCGAGCGGACAGTCTTCTAAGCGGGGCACATTATGTCTTTCTTCATGAATGGTATGGGTATCTGCGAATACTCTGGCGCTTTTGCGGGAATGAGAAATCGAATCATGATGGGTTAGACTAGGCAGTGGTTTGAGATACGAATACACTTGCTGGTCGCAATGAATTACGATGTGCGTGCGTCGTTCGATGTGTATGGATCGTGATGTGCGTGCTACTTGTTTGGCACGTTGCTAATGCTATCATGCATATCAATTTCTCCTTCGCAACAGCAGCAATGGTCTCGGCTCAGAGCGCCGTAAACGGTGCACTACTCCCTCTCAGCGGTGCCCGCCCACCTCAGGTACTTCGTTCCCGCTCGCAAAATAACTCATCCTTCAGGCACAGCATACACTCGCGCAGTCACATCACTCTCGTCCCTTGCCCTACTCATTGCATCCGAAACGCAGAAACCGGATACCATTCGAACTGCTCTTAATGTAAGCACAACGTCTCAAACAAACTCAACTTCCCGGTCTTCTCTACTTCCCACTCCTCACCTGGAACTTGGGCTGATCACTCAAATCCACCACCAGACACCTCTCATCGCTCTTCCCCGCCGTCTCAAACAAACTCACAACCCCCTTGTCGATCTTGATCACCGTGCTACTCCCCGCATAGCACACCCCCTTCTCCATCCCGCTCCGGTTCGCCAACACAACAAACACCGGCTCGTCCAGCCGTGCCTCGACAATCGGCTGGAACCGCTCGACCCAGTACGCAATCGTGGCTACATCAGGCTGACTCGAATCACGCATGAGTTCTTCGGGTGTGAGGTGGCACAGCCAGGCCATCGAGACACAGAGCAAGTGAGATCTGTTGGACAGCGCGGTGGATGCGAATTCGTACGCGTCCCAGGCAGCGGTGAATTTGTACGGGTTGATGTCCATGCAGATCCCCAGCGTCACGTTTCCCAGGTCGCCCAGCGGGCCGCAGAAGAACGGGGCGTCTGGTGAAGCTGGATTAGACAGCTTGTGCTCGTGTGAGCCGGGGCCTTCAGTTGCCCAAGTTTCGTCGGTGTAGTAGAGGAAGGATTTGCGGTAGTTTGCGAGGATGGCACCGGATGGGGAGATGGTGACAGTGGAGTTGTATTGTGTGGAGGGTTGTGTTGAGGTAGCTGTCGTGATCTCAGGGTAGCCGATTGTGACGTGACAGTTGTAGTGGCGGGCTGCTTGGATGGCCCATTGTGTGCTTATTCCGGCTGTTGTGTGTTCTAGGAATGGTTTGATTTCTTCGAGGGAGAAGAAGTTGTAGCCTGGAGTGTGTCAGTGTCCAATAATGTGGTTCTGCGTGGATCATGGAGGTAAGGCAGTGAGCATTCATCTATAAGCCTGAAAAGGCCCTGGGCTACAATCTATGATTTTTGTTCTTCGCCATCAACAGCCTTCAGCTCATGTCACATGTTCAAGCTGGATTGCGGTGTGGGGATGCTTACCTGTGAAAGCGAGTTCTGGAAGTACCAGCCAATCGATGTCGAATGGCAGTCGAGTCTCGAGCAATATCCTGTCTGCTCTTGCGATGTTCTCCTGAACCTTGCCGACTTCCGGAGCGAACTGTAGACACGCGACCTTCATCTTGTGTCTTGCCTCAGGGTCGATGTGGGGTATGGAGGGGTAGACCGGGGTATTGTACAGCTCCGATGGATGATGGGCTGAGCGTTAGATCGGATGAATGAAGCAGTCAAGTGCAAGTGAGTCCATTCAAAGAGATATGGAGACACTTCCTTGATCAGGCCAGAACAGAGGCCTATCGGTGCAAGCACGAATATTCGGAAACTTGGTTCCCGCGCCCTAGACTATTTCAAAAGCGTTGAGATCCGCGGAAGGAAAAGAAGACAAAAGAAGCAACCAAACTTTCCCAACCCAACGCCAATAGAAGAAGAACACACAAGTTTCCGATGTCTGGCCTGCAGAAGGAAGAGCACCGAACTGCGAGGTTGGTAGTAGGTGTACCTGCATGAGGGCTAGCTTCTTCGAATCTAGCGCAAGATCTCGCTCCGAGCAATTGAGCTGTGACGACATGATCGATGGTTTCTAAACAATTGTAGCAATAATCAAGATCCCGCAGCAACAATCGCACGCGGTGCGCAATGATTTCCTCATAACATCGGCACCTTGGATCTATCGCAATGGCGGGAAGGCGTTTTGTGGACGCGGCGAAGCTGTTCCAGGCCTCGAAATCTATTGCATCGAAGCACATCACACTCCGATCGCAACAATTCGAAGCCTATCAAAAGACATCCACACTAGCCAAGGCCGTCAAAAGCCAGACAGACCGTGTCACTCTTACCGCTTCCGCTGCCATTGCCCTCTACCAGCGATCCAACGAGGCAGCTCCCGCATACTCAAAAGCCGCTCCCGAGCGCCCACCAGCAACAGACGCACAGCACGCGGACATACCGAGAAAGGAGACAGTGGAGAGACAGGTCCCAGAGCATGCTGTAAGAGAGGGACTCAAGCAAGATCATCACTATGATCGCTCTGGACAGACAACCGCTGCTCAGCCGCCGCCAGAGCAGGAGCTGGACATCGAGCAGGCAAAGGCACCACGTCGTTCATTGCCAGATGGCACTATACCGCCCATCGGAGCGACATTGGGCCAGGAAGAGAAGGGCCAGGACACTTTCTCGGAGCGACCTGTGTCTGAGGCTCCCAAGGACCCCTTGGCCAACGAACAAGCAACGCAGGTCCGACAAGAGGGTGAAGGCATCACGCCCGCAGAGTCCACAGATTCGACCATACCGTTACCTGGGCAGCCAAGAGGCACATCCCTAGATGCTTCAGAGCCCATCCCAGCCCACGCGAACGATCTGCAACCGTCGACGCAGACGTCGAAGATACAAAGCCTTCTTCAGGGACACGACAGAGATGTTTTCTACACAAGATCGGTCGAATCACAGCCTGCGTCTTCTGCCCAGCCACGCTCCCAGATACCCAAAGAGACTACAAGCAAGCAAGGAAACAACAGTCATGTTGAGGATGGACGACTCAATCAGGATGTGTTCTATGCTACTCCAAAGCCTGGGCAGCAGCAGGTGCAAGGGGAGGAACCTGTTCAGGCTGCAGTCCCTGCGGATGAAGAGATACCAGAGGGCATCAACACCGACGTGTTCCACTCGAAGCGAGTCGCTCGAATGCTCGGACAAGACCGCTACTCGCGCAAAGAGCACCTGGGCCCAACGGTCTCGAAGGGTACAGGGAGACACCCTCTTGATGATCGGCCTATAGTACAGACCGATCACAGTGCGAAGCTTCAACCGAACCAACCAGCTCAACCGCCGACACCTGTCCAGGCGACCCAGACAGCCCAACCTGCAACTACTGAACAGGAGATGCAGGATCTCTCTTCCAAGCTGGCCAAGGACGTCGAAGCACAGGCTGCGGCTGCTAATGAGGTATGCACAAGGTAGAGTCTGCTGTGAAATATACTGATATACTAACAGCTGGACCGCAGATGCCTACCGAACTTGGTGCAGAGCCTGAGAAGCCAGCGTACGCACTTCGTGAATCGAGAGTACCATCGTCGCGATTTGGCCGACTCTGGCAGTACGCTGGACTTGGTACCAGCATGGCCCTAGGAGCTGTTGGTGAAAGCCTTCGTCGTGTCACAGGCACAGCCGCCGCGACAGGTGGCTCGCTCATGCTGAGTCCTGGCAACCTCGAGATCCTTGTCGCAAAGCTCTCTCGCATGCGAGGTGCTGCGCTGAAACTTGGGCAGATGATCAGCTTCCAAGACAGCAAAATGCTACCACCCCAGATCCAGGAAGTTCTGCAGCGTGTGCAAGACAGCGCTGATTACATGCCAGCCTGGCAGCGGGACAAGGTGCTTGCGTCAAACCTTGGGTCCGAATGGCGCGATCTCTTTGAGTCGTTCGAGGACATTCCAATTGCAGCTGCATCCATTGGACAGGTACACAAAGCAGTACTCAAGTCAACAGGCCAACCCGTAGCCGTCAAAGTTCAATACCCCGGTGTCGCCAACTCCATCGACTCCGACCTTAACAACCTCTCCATCCTCCTAACCGCATCCCGCATCCTCCCCCGTGGTCTCTTCCTCGATAAAACCATCGCCAATGCGCGCACCGAGCTCGGCTGGGAATGTAACTACACCCGTGAAGCCGAGTGTCAAACCCGCTTCCGCAATCTGATCGCCGACGACACCTCCGTCTTCACAGTCCCGAAAGTCTTCCCCGAAGCCAGCGGGCCGACCGTGCTGACCGCCGAACTGATGAGCGGCGTCGGCGTCGCCAAACTCAAGAACCTTACGCAATCCCAGCGCGACTGGATTGGCACGCAAATCCTACGCCTCTGCTTGCGCGAGATTGTCGAGTTCAAGTTTATGCAGACAGACCCGAACTGGACGAACTTCCTCTTCAACGCACACGATAACAAAATCGAACTCCTCGACTTTGGTGCGAGTCGGGAGTATCCCGATGAATTTGTGGGACCGTACATCAACGTCCTTATCGCTGCTAGCAAAGAAGACCGCATCGCCATCCGCGACTTGAGCCTCGAGCTCGGCTATTTGACGGGCGACGAGAGCACGGCTATGTTGAACGCACATACAGACTCGGTCCTCACGCTCGCAGAACCGTTCAAATCCTCTGGACCGAAGATCTACGATTTCAGAGACCAGACGATTACAGATCGCGTCCGCGACCTCATTCCCGTGATGGTGCGGGAGCGCCTCGCGCCGCCGCCGGAAGAAACGTATTCTCTCCACCGCAAGCTCTCAGGTGCTTTCCTTCTCTGCGCACGTTTGGGTTCGAGAGTTCCGTGCCGCGAGCTGTTTGAGAAGGCTATTGCGACGTACCATGAGAAAGCGAAGATGAAATGAACGCAGTGAACGTAGTAGAGAGCTGTAGTGGATGTGGCATAGCGATTGTATTATATTGTACATCTCACCGTGCTTCAAATTGCACAATCCTCTTCATCCTTATCTTCATCAATATCGCACTCGTGCACTTGCTGTGTCTGCACCGGATCGGTTCTCCCTCCTTGTACACCACGGTCCGCTCGCAGTAATAACAGTGTTATGTCATTCGCCACCCTCCTCCATCCTACTATGTCTGGCGGCTTGCTAGAGTGCGTAGTTCTCTACACGGCGTTGCTCTTCCGTCTCTTGGGACATTTTCGCCAACCTCTTTTCACCCTTCTCCTTCTGTGTCTTCGAAGCTTCGCGGGGTGGTTGTGGGAAGGGAGTGGATGCGTTTCGTTGCGGTGATCGTGTTGAGAGGGGGGGGGGGTTCGGTGATTTCGTACTCAATGTCGTCTAATCCGTCCTCTGGGTCTTGAGTGTCTTCGACTTCCTTGGGTTCGACGCGTGATCAGTCACTGCAGCACTCTGTGAGGCTTGGGAGTAAGTATGCTTACCGTCTGCTGCGCTGTCCATACGATACAGTGCCTCGACCGTGCTGTGCAAAGGCGGTTGTGCTGCCTTGGAGGCAGACGGTGTGTGGCGAGGGCTGTAAATACACGTGTGAATGGTGGTGTGGGGCTCCATTGCGTTCGTCCAGGTCATGTCAAGGTATGTACGTATATAGTGGGCAGCCCAGGGTTGCCCTGACTATTGATATTGATGTGTCGGTATCATTTCCGCGTGCTTTGACGGACTCAAGATCTATAGAACAAAGAAATATCTCAAGGGATGGACTCAACCAGGCGAAACGTAGGATGCTCAACTTTTGAACTATCCCAAGATGCTTATGTGCCCGCTATTGATGCTATAGTATATAAGTTTGGCTCCGCAATAGTTGCCAGTCGACTCCAGCTACTGTTTGCTCATGCCTTCTTCCCCTGTTCTTCCGTCTCATCCTTCGAGGAGCCTCGAAACCACAGAGCAGCTGCAGCTGCGATAAACGCTCCATAGCTGGTAGCCATGATCATTCGTCCGCGGAAACCTTGCTTCCTCTTGAGCTCCTCGTTACCTCCCAAAATCTTAACTGCATCCTTCTTCCATGTGTACTCTAAACCGCTGTACAGCGTTGTGCTGGCAACGATAGCCGAAAGTCCTGTAACGAGGTCCTTCACACCGGCTTCGCCACCCAGGATGTCTTGGATAGACATCAAGAATCCACCTGCAGCGGATGTGGTCGCAGCAGGATCGTGGAGGAGGTTTGTGCAGAGCAGGGTGCCGAGCAAACTGAGTTGCAGGAAGGTGTTGAACTTTGAGATCTGTGTGGGATGCACCTCTGCGCTAGGCAGACTAAAGTCCCAGTACCTGGCCATGGTCTTTGGTGTTGGTAAAGATGCGTATCGGTAGTACAGAGCGGAAACTGCCAGACTGACGTCGCGACCGAGAATGATAACGGCCAGAGGTGCCGCCATGCTTCCGTTGACTGCCAGGCATGTGACGAGAGTTGTCATGAGGAACTTGTCGGCCATGGGATCGACGACGCTGCCGACAACAGTCTGCAGCTTCCACTTTCTGGCTATCCATCCATCAAGCAGGTCCGAGAATGCAGCGTACGTGAACAATGAAAAAGCAGCCAGATGTTGGTTATGGAGAATGAGGTACCCAACGACTGGAGTCGCTACCAGGCGTGTGAAAGTGAGAAAGTTTGGTATGTTGTAGATTTGCTCATGTCGCTGTGCCGGGATGTCCAGTTTCAATGAGGACTTCAAAGTGGCTGCAACCTTTGCTGTTGTTGACAAGTTATTGTTCTAAGGTATAGTCAGCAAAGGTCGAGGTGATGCTGTATATGTCATGATGGTAAACTGATTTCATAATTGGAGCTCCCTCGGTCGCCGTGGATCTGTGCATACAATGCGTTTGTGGTGTTCGTGCATCGTTTGACATGCATGAAGATGATCTCAATACCACCAAACCCTGTGTGACCGCATTTACGCATTGTATTCCCGCTCCGACGTGAAAAACGAAGGAAGAATCGACGCAGAAGAACGCTGGATATATATTGACCTACCTCCTGCTTACATTCAGGTACGCCCTGAGAGGTGATATCCTTTCCATCTTCGCGTTCGGCATTACGCCTGACTGATGTGCTGAAGACACTAGACTGTTGCAGAAAATAAGATGTTCTGCCTTTTGCTGTCAACAGTGCCTGACGTTGTTTTATATCGTTGTTTTGCGCCCGGGTGCACGAAGCACGTGAGGAGAAAAGGGGAAAAGGTTGACCGCTTCGTAACCTCAACACCGCTCGCGACCCATCCCAAGAGCCGCGTGTAAGCGTGCTGGAGAGTGTAGGTATCCTGCACGCCATCGAGATGCTTATTGAGGGTGTAGGCTCCTGGTGTACTTGATGGTAAGGCTTCGACGCGCCTGCGACGTGGGCTTTGGCGCTTTGACCCCCAAGCGCCCGAAAGGGGAAGCAAGCTCACAATCTCCCCTCAACCACGACTCCCTTTCCACAACACAAGAAGATTGCGCAACAAATGTTTGTGAGCTAGAGCTGTGCTCGACAGCTAAGAACGTGCTTGGATCAAGTGACAAGCTTGTTTGCCATCTGCAAGAGAGCTTCTGCTAACGCCCCAGTTGCACGGCAACAATGACGCTAGAGAGTTGTTTGTTGCCGACCATGCAAGACCTCACCAGCACCGCGGATGTACTCGACGTCGCTTCGACCAAAGCAACGCAGGGCCTACATAAGAAATTTGAAGCATCCATGCAGGATCATATTTGAAGGAAAGCCAGCTCACCAGATGCAAGGAGCTGACGTCCTGTGGCTCACAGGCCATCTACCTTGCCTCAATGATGCTCATCGCGAGCGCATGTGGATGCAGGGAGCTGTTATGATGGAGAACTTGCATAAATTTGACTGACCAAAAACTTACAGGCCATGACAGTCGTCGAACTCATCCGCTGCCACTACGGCACTGAACGATGCTCATATTCCCGGGACAGACTACATGCCTTTAGCAGGTGGAAGTGAACCATGGAGTTCAGCGGTCGATTTGTTGAGCTTCTTGGGCTATGCCAACATGTCCGCGATGCAGCAATGCCACAGCATGCGCTGGCTTGATGGCCTCCTTATTGTGGTCCAGACGCAAAGAGCAGGTTGTGCATGCCAGGACAGCCTTCTTCACCAGTACAACAATAGTCAAGGCTCCGGCTTGGTTGCCGCGCCTTCTATGCAGCAGCGGATCACTCAGAGATTGCCACAATTGTCAGGTTCCCTGGAGGGCGAACTGCAGCCCCCTGAGGTGTGGATAGCTGAAGGCATCACTTGCTACGTGTGTACGAGGTTGAACCTTACTTTGCCGCTTTACAGTACCAGGTTCCGCTGTCACACCTTGAAAAGGGTCTCCGATACGTGGACTTCCCTTCGACCTCCACATTCGCCTCGCTCTCCTACCTAGTTCATCATGCGTTCTCTCGAATTGTACACGTACGTGCCAAAGTCTCGATGGCGACCGAGGCTTACCCGTGAAGACAGTACAATAGCAGAGCCTTCTAGGTCTTCCCGGACGAACAAGATGTGCCGCAGGAACTGCAGGAATAGCGTCCGTCCAATCAGCCATGCAGAGCAGCGCGGTTGTTATTGCCATACTGCGACCCAGGCACTTCGCAGAGCTCAGAAAATACCAACACAACTTTCACAAGATTCCATATTTGGTACCTCCGCTATCGATTTCATGTACCTTTGCAAATTTCCGAGAAGGGGTCTCCAGCTCGGGTCCACAGTTCACCATGTGAAGCAGGATAGTGCTGGCTTTCCATACTCCGCGGTCGTCTGGAACCGGGATATCCAGAGAAGATTCACGCTAATTGCAGCGATCTCGTGTAGACATGCGAACCACCCCATCCCCCATCCTGGCACGGGCCGCATCTTCCATGGCTTCTACCGACTATTCTCCAAATAAAGTTTGGCATTGCTGCACCGTGTCATGTGTCGTGCATCAAGTCTGGCACTAAAGGCGAATTGGTGGAGTCGCTTCATAGTCGACCACAAGGCCGCTAAGAAACCTTGACAGAAATATGGTCAACGAGTCCTTCAATGGTTATTGCGTAACTCTGGAGAGAGCTTGAGTCAGGCTTGCAGGTAGAACACAACCAGGAGAACTTGGCATGAGTGTGAAAGCTTGCAAACGATACTTTGACTTTGACAGGCGTTGTTGTTCGAATGTTATGCGGCGAAAGGCTTCGATCAAACACCAAGAAGCTATCGATTCTCAAATCGACCTAGGCTTATGCCTGCACATTATTGCCGGCGGCTTAATCACATCTTCCGCGATGGCCAATGTGTAGTCTTGCACATGGGACCCTTCTGCAAGTGACGGATTGTTCTGAAACTCCGGCGACTCTGATACATGGCTTCGAGTTCTGAGGCGGCGGAAGCAGATCAGGGACATCAAACACGCCCTGCATCTGTGCCCTGGACCTCTTCTCGCTCGGCGTTCTTGATCAGCAATCACTTTGTGGCTACTGCTGCTGAAACACATCGACATGATACTCGATAACGGAGGACTACAGCAATGTGGATATCCGCCCGCTTCACGTACATTGCTTGCGATTTGGGTTCATGGAATTGGCCATGCTCAGGGTCTGAAACTTCACGCAGTAAAAGGTACAAGCTGCAAGCAGCGGATAGTTCGGCTGAATAGTTCGGCTACTTACATCCTTTCGCTACCTCTGCATGTATACCAACTCGCCCAAACTCATTTATCAGATTGCGAATTGTCCAGAAAGGGAGTGATGGGGCTCGATGTCATCCAAATCGAACGAGCTTGTAGCCACAGCTGCAACACATGACTTGTCGTCAACACTAATCGGCTTCCAACGTTGGTTGAAACCCTATTGCTTCTTCCACGGCCACAAGAACGGCCAGTGCGATGGCGCACCGGCAATGGCCTACTACGCATACAGAATAGCTGATCCGAGCGACGGCATGCGTCTTTCCGAGTGAGACCATCTGGCTTCTAGCGAACATCCTAACATCCCGTTCGAGCACGTCGAAGGGTGTGGATGAGTTTCAGATGTGCCACTCCAGCCCCCGCTAACGCAGGTACAGGCTCCTATGTCCCAAAATGATACTTGCTCCGATGAAAGTGACAACGCCGACAAACGCAAGAGCTTGTTTTCGTGAACGGCACTGCAGATTCTTACCGCAAGGCACCAAGCGTTCGCAGATAGGATGCACGAGGCAGAATTCCGGATTCCCACTACCCAAAATTCCGCACTCTATCTGGACGGAGTGCGGTTGCGTTCATCATCCGAAATAAGCCTACCAAAATTCTCAGATCTCGGTGACATTCGCCAATACCATACCATAAGGAGCCAATGAGCAATGCGAGTCATAAGCGAAGAGACAAACTGGATTGCAACGTCAGTCATCAACTTCAGCAGTAGCAGCAGCAGCAGCAGCAATAACACCTTCCGATATGTGAAACTGCAAGCTGCAAGTACCGAAGACACCGAAACGTGGGGTTTGTGACGACCCTTTTTCCGACTGCATGAAGGTGGTGACGCCACCAAGCTGCATGTCGACAGTTGTGAGCGGCGCTTATACTCGAAAGGCAGAGCCACCGGCCGTTCCTCATTCGCTGACTCGTGCGCACAACAAAACGGCTAGAACGATTATACTAGCTAAAAGCAAATATGAAACGGATTCAACTACGCTCTTACTGGCTTGAGAGGCAGCGTTACGCTGCACAGGCAGTCCTTCAATTGACGGCAGAACAGCGAGCATCGCTGTCTGAAGTGAAGCCTGAGGACGTAAGCGCAGTTTATCACCACTCAAACCACCATGCAAATTGCAGATGCTGGTAAGCTGGAGAGCGAGAGATCTGAAGAGAACCAATGGCCATTCCCGCAGGCCGAGGAAAAAGCGTGTTTCAAAGCGATGATCAAACGATGCTTCAACGCTTCTTCTGCTGGTTCCTGCATCTCGACGCACTCACATCATCGGTTGAACAGCCATAACTGGATGGCTTCAGGAAACGGGCTGGATGAGCTCGATGATGACATGCTCTTGTGATTGCGACGGCACAGAGTGCGCCCTGCCACCGCCATTCGCAGGAGGTGTGAAATGGGAAGATTTCGCAGCGCTTGCCGGTGGGTCGCAAGCGCAACCTCAGGCTCTGAAGCGCGAATTCGCGTGATAATAGAGCAGCTTCTATGGACTGGGCAAGTTCCGGTGACAGCGGGAATAGTGATAAGGCGGTGTCAACTGGGTGGACAGGCAGGAGAACAGTCGTTGCGGCATCGCACAGCGTCAGCGCCGCTCGCCGGGCACGCAGCGGTGCATGTGCGGCTGCACACTCCCACCTGACAACGCCCACGAGGCGGCTCTCGAACAGCAGCGCAGTGTTGAGGCGAGTGTGTAGCCAGATCTGCTCTCACGCCGCCTATTGCGTCAGTTTAACTTTGAGCTGGTGAGGTCGCAGCAGCCGACGGACCGCGATGATCTGGTCGAGCACACGGCGCAGCTGTCATTTCGAGCATGGCGTCGCGAGGGCAGACAGGGCAGGTGCACGTAGCGAGCGGGGCAGGTGCGAACAACCGCGAGGAAAGGGCACCCAGAGAGCCCTCCAGCACGCCCGCGTCCAGACGGCCTTGATGCATGATGCCGTTGACGAGGTCGCGCAGGGCAGCGCAGGCATGCTGCAGGACCTCTGGAGTGGACGACTGGAGACTGATCCACCGCTACCGGGCTCCCTCGCAGCGACATGCCCGCCGCACCAGCACCAAGCATCGTCCGCGGCCAGCCACTTACCAAAGCCTGCGCTAGGAGTTATTCACACTCACCACCCATTGCTGCACGGCCGTCCCATGAGTCGCCCGCACGCCAGAGTGCGGGCCTCGAAATAGATTGGTGGCAGGGGTCTGCAGGCTGGTGCAGAGACCAATGGCCAAGGTCTTTCTCAAACACCGCTAGGCCAGCAGAGACCCAGAGCCCAGGGCGTTTCAGCGCTGCGACACTTTAACTTGCCGCTTTCCCTCCCAGTCCTCGTTTCGCATCCCAGCCCGTCACGTCTGCTCGCTCACCCACCCGTCGAGACCACTCGCGATACATTTCATTCTCATTTAACATATCTCAAACCGTCGCTGGTCGATTTCTCTTTCGCTTTGCGCCTCAACTTCCGTTGTTCGAACCTGGCAGGCCCTTCACCGCGCTTTCCCCTCGCGTTTCCAGAGCGCCGTTCACACCAACACGTTACCGACGTCTGACCTTCGCGACGCCAAACACCCGTTTATAGAGGGACGTGTTGCAGCGCAGCATGTTTCCCAACGCCCACCATGCCCAGATGCCCCCACCCCAGGCACGCTCTGTAGCGCCTGAGACTTTCTTATTAGACCAGGACGCTCAGCAAAGCCTGCCGCCGGACAGCATCGTCGCCCTGCAGCAAGTTGATAACCGTATGTACCGCACCGGTGTCTCAACTGCCCTCGCGCATGGCTTTGGGCGCCCCAATTGTGTGCCTTCCTGTGTACTTACCTCGCTGCAGTGAAGTACTTCCTTATCTCAGCACCAGTCGACTGGCAACCAGACCAGTACATCCGCAGGTTCCTCCTGCCCACAGGCGAATATGTTTCCTGCGTGCTATGGTGTGTGCGCCCACTGCTAGAATGCACAACGGTATAGCTAACTGGCCTGCAGGAACAACCTCTTCCACATCTCGGGTACCGACATTGTACGATGCCTGTCCTTCAGATTCCAGGCCTTTGGCCGCCCCGTCAAGAACTCCAAGAAGTTTGAGGAGGGTATTTTCTCAGACCTGCGCAATCTGAAGTCCGGCACAGACGCGTCGCTGGAGGAGCCCAAGAGCGCATTCCTCGACTTCCTATACAAGAACAACTGCATCCGCACACAGAAGAAGCAGAAAGTCTTCTACTGGTACAGCGTACCGCACGACCGCCTTTTCCTTGACGCGCTGGAGCGCGACCTGAAGCGCGAGAAGATGGGACAGGAGGCGACCACTATGGCGGTCAGCGAGCCTGCGCTTTCCTTCGAGTTCGATTCCTCGCAGTCTCTTTTCGAACAGCTCACCAAGGCGCAACAAACCAACTCTTCGTCGTTCAACAACAACGTACAGCCTTCGTACCAGCACAACCCATCGCCTGACATGCTGTCAAGAGAGTCGATGCCACCGCCGCAAATGGTCCCGGTTCCTCAGCAGATGCCCCAGCACCAGCCGCAGCCGATGCACCACCAGCCAGTACACCACCAACCAGTACACCACCAACCAGTACACCACCAACCAGTACACCACCAGCCAGTACACCACCAGCCGGTGCAGCATGAGGACCCCATGGTTCAGTACCACCAGCAGATGTCTATGCCGCCTTCTATGCCGCCGACAATGCAGCCTACAGTGATGAAGAGCCGAGAGCGCGAGTTCAGCACCTCTCTGCAGTACGACCGCAACGGTATCCCACTCTCGCAGGTGCACCAGCGCCACAGCTCGATGCCCGCTTACATGGAGTACTCGCCAGCTCCTTCTTTCGTTTCTTCGCACTACGAGGACTACAGCACACGGGGCATGTCTTTCGAGCCTCTTACCCCACCACAGCACCAGATTGGCCTCGGTGCTGAGCCAGCTTACATCGCCAACGAGGACACTGGTCTATACAGCGCCATTCCCGACCTTCCAGTACCCAACACATTTAACCCTTTGATGAACATTCCTCCGTCAAATTTGATGGGCCCTGGCTACCCAGTGTCGAGGCCTTTCGCGCCTGGGAATGTCTACTCCGTTATTGAGGGTTCGCCGACCTACAAGCAGCGTAGGAGGCGATCGTCCCTCTCTGCAGGCATCACTGCCGCAGTTGTCGCAGCTGGCAATGCTCACCAGGTTCACCGACAAAGCGATCTGAGACGGTCAATGTCGGTCAACCCTGTTCCTGAGGCCGATGAGTCGAACCACAACTCGCCATCGCCCAACAGTACAAGCTATGCCCAGCCAATCCAGGAGTCTAAGCCTCTCGTTGACATTTCGCGTCAAGGTACACCTCTTAACACCGTTGAGGAGAGCCCTGAGCCTCAGCCGGCAATGCTGCATCACGACGATCTCAACAGCATGGTTAACGGCGAATTATTCGAGACACCTCTTCAGCATAGCGCCGTTGCTCGTGCGGCAGGTGCACCCGTCTTCCGACGCGCGCGCAGTGCTACCATGATGGAGATTGGTCCCTACCCTCAGAAGTCTCACTCATGTCCCATCCCGACATGTGGCAGGCTCTTCAAGAGATTAGAACACCTCAAGAGGTAAGCGCCTAATTCCCTCTCATTTCCTGTTGATAGGTGGTCAAGACCTCAGACTATTTTTATGCATTGACGCTGACGATCTGGCGCTTAGGCACGTGCGCACCCACACACAAGAACGACCATACGTCTGCCCGCTGTGTAATAAGGCTTTCTCGCGCTCGGACAACCTTGCCCAGTGAGTTGCTCTCGTCAATCTTTCCTGAGTCATCGTTGCTAATGCAAGTCAGACATCGTCGCACACACGAGCCCCGTCCTGACGGTGAGCCTATTGAGGACTTCAACGAGGAAGATCTCGAGGGTGAAGAGGAGCTCCACCTTGAGGAGGACTCCCCGACATCCGGTAACGAGTACCTTGGCGGTGCGCACAACGTACCTGCTTCTTACGCCGACATTCCTGGTCCCGGCTTGGGTATGGGCGCTGCTATGGCCACACCTCAGCAGCTGATGGCTAGCCACTACTAGGCGGTCGCCAGCGACTGTCTTTATTGATGTCTTATCACGATACAAACATTCGGCGCTGGGCGACCCTCGATAGAGTGGCTGCATTTCTTTCTTCTTTCTTATTGATTCCCTAGATCAGGTTTCTTTCTTCTTTACATTCTGGCATTTTACGATGTTTGCATTGCATCGCGTCGCATGCATTTTCTTCCGGTATTGATGTCACGAACACGAGTACCCTTTTCTTTTCGCTTAGCCTGCGCGCAGTTGTCTTTTCTCACATGGTTGCATATCCTGTTGGCATACGAGCGCTTTTCTGCAAAATTTATTGGACGGTACTGGCGCTGAACGCTGGTGCGCGCACCCTGATGGTCGCTGCGTGTTTCTTGTGGATAGGATACCACAGTGAAGGGCGCCGCTTGAGGCGTGTGTATAATATTGCAACAATGCAGAACGCTTATTCGCGACTTCAATCTTCCGATGCTTTCAGCGACATGCGACTCGACCAGCCTACGGACTGGATGGAAGTACACAATGCATTACTGGAGACTAATTTGCACAGCGCCGACCACTTCCAAGCTACGTGAGTTCTTCTCGATTTCCCTATCAGCTAAAGTCTCACTCGTGCACAGCCACCACCTAGTTGACACTCCCTCTCCGAAAGATACTTCAGACACACACTTCGTCAAGCAACGGTCAATGGACAGCAACAGTTGCAGGCGAGTGCACAGCAGAGACTTCCCTGCTAGGAGTCACCTTACTTTGTTCACACCATGTCTGCGTCATGCTTCTAATATGCAACCGCTACCTCGACTCCGGCGTCAACGCAACGCTATCGCGAACGCTCGCTCAGATGGACCCGAGGCCTCACCGATGAAGACGAACACAAAGGCCATGGACGATGAGAATTCTCCCTCTGCAATGTCCTGGGAAGCAACCCGCCGAGCGTCCCGCGATCCTACAGGATTCATCTCCTGGCAGATGGCGAGACACGGCTGGTCGCCGAAAGAAGATCACACCGCGGACTGACGGGTCCTTCTTCTTCTTCGAGCCGGATCTGCTTGCAGACTTTCAGTTGTTCGATCGGTTGGCCAGGAGGGTGGGTGCCGAGGCGACCACGGAGAGGTGTGTGAAGTGGCATGTGGTATATTGGTGCAGCAAGCGTAGTTGACAACCCTGTCTGGCCTCTCGTCTAGAGCATCGAGGCCTGGCTCTAAGGTAAGGATAAACGCCGCCCAATGCATACTCTTGACATCTCTCGAATAGCTTACAACCCCTCCACGGCGACGCCCGCAGCCGCCCCGCCGCCGTCTCGGTACATAGCTTTCCGCTTCTCTACTTCCTCTTTGAACCGCCTTTCACGCTCCTCTTTCCCAACGCCCTTCACGTACTGCAGGAGTCTTAACGCGCCGGTGGGCGTCACACCCTCCACACGTCGGGCCTGCCCCACGCTTTCCGGCCTGGCTATCTTCAGCGCGGCCTTCTCCTCGAAACTCAGCCCGAAGATGGTTTCAAAGTCGAGATCCAGCGGGAGCGCGAGTTGCTCGTCGCGTAACCAGCGCGCCTGCGCGGCGGCTTGGTAGGCGACGTACGGCGCGTAGGTGGCTTCGATGTGCACTCTATCGCGGATGCGCTGGCTGTAGGATGTGATCTCGGGGAGAATGGAAGCGAGAGTCGTGGGTGTGGTGTTCGCCATGCGCAAAAGGTCGTATGCAGAGCGCTTGGTGCTGTCGTTGCGCACATCGAAGCCCTCCATTTTCCAGGACGGGGCGCCCATGGTTTTGCTCTGGAGGAGTTGCGTGAGGGCGCTCATTTGTGCGGACTCGTCAGAGAACGCAGACCAGCGCTTATCGCTGACGACGCCGTGCGAGCGCCCGAGAGACGTGAGCCGTGTATCTGCGTTGTCGGCGCGCGCGGACATGCGGTACTCGCTTCTGCTCGTGAACATGCGGTACGGTTCGCTCACCCCCTTTGTAATCAAGTCGTCGATCATGATGCCGATATATCCATCTGCTCTCGTCAGCACCATGGCGTCTTTGCCCAAGCTGCGCAGCCCGGCGTTTATCCCCGCGACCACGCCCTGGCCCGCAGCTTCTTCGTAGCCGGTTGTTCCGTTGATTTGGCCCGCGAGGAAGAGCCCGGAGATGTTTTTTGTTTCGAGCGTGCTGCGCAGGTGCCGCGGGTCGACGTAATCGTATTCCACGCCGTAGCCGGGTTGCAGCATTTTGACGTTCTCCAGCCCTTTCACGGTCTTCAAGAATGCTTCTTGGACGGAGGGCGGGACGGTGCAGGATATGCCGTTCGGGTAGATGATGTCGTTGTCGAAGCCCTCGGGCTCGAGCCAGATGATGTGCGATGTTTTGTCTGCAAAGCGGATGATCTTTGATTCGAGCGAGGGGCAGTATCGCGGCCCTTTGACGGTTTCGCGGATGTGGATGCTTTTGTCGAGGTTCTGGCGGATGATTTCGTGGCCGGCCTCGTTGGTGCGAGTTTCGTGGTTAAGTAGCTGGTGTTCTACCTGCACGCGGTCGTTCAGGTAGCTGAATGGCATGGGTGGGTCGTCGCCCTCTTGCGCCTCGAGGATCTTGAAGTTGATCGACTTTGCGTCCAATCGCGGTGGTGTGCCTGTTTTCAGTCTGCCCAGTGTGAATCCAGCTTCCCTTAGACTCTTACTCAGGCCAAATGTTGCGGCCTCGCCCATGCGCCCCGATGGATAGGCGTCGAGTCCAATATGGATCTCCCCGCCCAAAAATGTGCCAGTCGTAATGACAACATTGCCTGTGGGAATAATCTGTCCGCTCTCCAACCGCACCCCCGTGATCTTCCCATAACTCCCCTTCCTCCCCTCCTCCTCCGTGCGATCCACAATGATATCTGCAACGCTCCCCTCCACGACACTCAGCCCCCTATACCCCTCAATCTCCTCGCGCATGTACTTCTTGTACAGCGCTCGATCGATCTGTGCTCGCGGCCCCCAAACCGCCGGCCCTTTCTTGCGATTCAGGACTCGGAACTGAACACCCGCTTTATCCACGATGCGTCCTACGACGCCATCCAGGGCGTCGATTTCGCGCAGCATTGTGCCCTTGCCGATGCCGCCGAACGAAGGATTGCAGGAGCAGACGCCGAGGTTTTCGACAGAGGGCGTGACGAGCGCGGTGCGTGCGCCTGAGCGAGCAGCGGCGGCAGAAGCTTCGCAACCTGCGTGGCCGCCGCCTATAACAATTACATCGTAGGGTCTGTAACACAGTCAGACAAGTGTCGTTGACAGAGTAGTGGGAGGGAGGTACTGCTCGGAGCCGGAGACGCTGGCAAATGGTCTGCGGTGCCGGTTGTGGAAGGACCGCACGCGCGGCGCATGGCCCCAGAGCTGGCGCGCTCGCTGCGGAACGGCTCGCTGCATTGTGGGGTGTGAAGGGGTGGTGGAAGAGAGGATTGGAAAAAGTTGGGATGGGACGCGGAGGTCTTTGAAGTCGCCGCAGCTTTCGCCGCGCGCAGTCACGTGGGGAGGTAAAAGTGGTTTGCGCGAGTAGTGCGCGACAGCGGTCACTGGAGCCGTCTGGAGCCGTCTGGATCCAAGCTTCGAAAGATGGTTGAAGGTTGGAGCTCAGTTCATATGCCGTGGCGTACATGTGTTGACCACCATAGTCGCAGTATTGCACAGAGTACCGTCCAGACAGCGCGCAAAACGCCTCCACTCATACTTGTACAGGAGCAGAGATCGTACACAGGAAAGCCGTTGCAATGGTATACACTCTGATATCTCGTACAAGTTCCAAACGTGAAGCCGACAGCACCGTTCCTCCGATTGTGCGGCAAATCGTCTTCATTACAAGGTATAGCGGCAAATCGTACACAAAACATCTCATCACCGAGATGTTTGCCTACCTAGAAGCCTCCTGCACAAGACCCTCGTCGTTGGTCTCAGCCACATCGTCGGTGCGGGCGCGGGACAGGACATCAAAGTTCCTCGCGACCAAGCTCAGATTGGAGCGCTTGTTGCCCTCAGCATCGGTGAAGACCTCCATGCGCGCATCGGCGTCGACGTAGAGCAGGGATCTATCCTCACACACACACACATTAGCCACCATCCCATACTGAAACTGCTCAAACCGTCCGATGGCTTCCATTGCGCTTCGCCGATGCGCCTCTCAACACATCTCGACAGTCCAAACGGGCGCATTCTTCAGACTCTGGTGAACTCACCCCTTAGGCACACCCATCAGAAAGTCCTTCTGCGCGCCCTGCACAAAGCTCGCGACCCTGAACCAGCTCGTCTTCTTCTCCTCGCCCTTGCCGAACGAGCTGCCAATAACATATCTGACCAGTGTGCGGTCGCCCGAGATGGTGACTTCCTCGGGCGCGACGCCCAGACGCCCGACGACCGTCATGCGCGCGAGTTGGCTGGCCGGCGACGAGCTGAAGGAACGTGTGAATGCGCGTGGCGCGGCGGTACGCAAGGACGAAGCAAACATTTCGGCGGTGTTTGTGGGAGGAGGGTTGATGGCGTGGAAGATGGATGTGAGACAGATGGCGGGCGGTTGGCGGTGGGGGTGTTTGGTGGGTAGAGATGGAGGAGACGCGACACGCGCAAGTCAGGGGCGCGTTCTGCCAAGCACTAATTCACCGAGGCCATTGCTGAGTCACTGGCTCGCAATCATCCACATAGCTGCCGTGAAATCAATATGATAAACATGTCGTGCTATTTGTACGATGCTTGTTGATTTCTGGGTATAATCTATCCATCCGAAGTCTCCAGTGCAGCTCAACGTGATTCCTCACCAGAGCTCTCCACTACTATTCGTCTTCCATAGTCTTAGACTCACATAGGACGTTAAACCAATCAATCCCCACTACTGCCTCTTCGCTCTCTTCCCCGCCGGCTCATCCTCATCACTATCGTAGTCTTTGTATATCTGCTTGGGCTGCGTCTTATCCCACGCCCCCGTAAAAACATTCTTCTCCCCGGCTTTCGGCGCATACTTGAGCAGTGCCTCCCTCGGATCCTCATCGCGCATATCACTCCCCTCAATTTGCTCCATGACATACTTCTGATCCGGCGTGCTCTTCGCAAACGGCGTGACAGCGGGAATATGCGGGCGCCGCGGGTCGCGACTCTTGCCGGACGCTGTGAGCCCGATGGTAGGGTGCCGCGCTGAGAAGGAGCCTGGCGTAGCTTTACCTCCTTGGTCTTCGCCGGCCATGCCAAGCGGGTCCATGTCCACGGTGAGGTTGGGGTCGTCGTCGAGGTGCCGCTTTTTGGGCGCTTTGCTGAGGATGGTGAGCGCGCCGGCTGTGGAGAGAGTGGGGTTGAAGAGGATGGTTGTTTGGCCGTTGGCGGAGCCGGTGAAGATCTGGTTGAGCTTGGGATGCCAGTTTACTGTGATGAGAGGCGAGCCTGGGGTGACTGGGGTGACGAGCTCTGGACGGAGTGTTGCTGGGTTGAGGATGTGTAGGTGGCCGGTCTCGGAACCTGTGATGATGCTCGCCGAGTTTGGCGCAAACTTGATGTTCGATGTTGGGTACTGTGATGATGTCGAGGGATGTGATGTTGTGTTGAGCGGTGTCTTGAACTTTCGTAAGTCCCACAGCTTGATCATGTCGTCTCCACCTCTTGTTATGACCAGTCTTCCGTCGGCGCTGATATCCAGTCCGCTTGTCCAAGTATCCTTCTCGTGCGCATCGCGAATCTCCGCTGAAGGGCGGTGATATGGGCCTTCTCCACCCCACATGACTAGACTGCCATCAAGCGCTGCAGATACTAGTATGCTGCTGCCACCTTCAGCTGCAGCGCCCCAAGCAACCGCCGTCATTCTCGTCATTCCCGCACTCCCCGCTGCCCGCGATTTGTGCACTATGACCTCCTCCTGCTTCATCCTCTTATTGACATCCCATATGCGCACCGTGCTGTCCGTACCCGCAGTCACAAATCTGTCCCTGTTCGTTGGATGCCATGCAGCGCTCGTAAGGTCTGCTGTGTGTCCCTTCGTGTTGTGCTTGTCCCTCAGATACATGTCTCCCTTGACATACTCTGCAGTGAGGTCACCATCTCTGCTAAACAGCCTTGCTTGCGGCGTCGCCGTGACGCACAGAAACTGGCTTCCAGAGAGCGGACTGATCAGGACCTGATGAATCAGATGCGACTCTGCGGTCTGCGAGGGCTTCGTAGCGAACGGATCGACCGTCTTGAACGCGCGTATCGTACTTGGTGTCAGCGAACTGAGATCGTGCAGCTTCAATGTGCAGTCGTTACTCCCCGTCACCATCCGCGTGCCTGAAGGGTCGAGCGCAATAGTGGTAACAGCGCGGTCATGCGTTTTGATAACCAGCTCATGGGAGACCGGGAACTCATCCTCATCCTCATCATCGTCGTCGCTGTCATCGTCAGAGTCCTTATCTTCCACCTTCTTGCCCTGCCTGCTCTCATCCACCACCGGTCTCCGACAGCGCTCAATTTGCGCCTCAACATCTACATCTCCCTCTTTCCTGCCAAACTGAGTCGGCATAAACTGGCGCAAAGCCTCATCATCTTCCGCGGAAAAGTCCATTGCTGCACATGCACAGTAAACCTGACGACTGACAGACCGCGTTCGTGAGCTTGAACAGAAGGCCCAGCCTCACGAATCTCGTGCTCGAAGTTCTGCCTGCAGGATGACATCAACGCGCCGCCCGCGGGGACGCTACGTTGAGAGCGGCACGCTACACTTCGACGTGGGGATTCTAATCCATCGCGTTTCGACATCATTAGTAAACCTTGTGCATAGTGCAAGAAGCCACTGTGTTTCAACTTCGTAGACAAGCAGTCGTCAGCGTTGTGCCTAAAGTGTGAGTAAGCAGATGAAGCTGCTCGATATGTAATCCTGTGTGGGGGCTTCACCAATACCTTTTGCAAGTTTACTGCGTATACAGTCAGCTTTGCATAGGTTGTAGTCGTGGTAGGGCTAGATGACGAATTGGTAAGCTGTATGATAGGTGTCGTCAATTGATGACCAGCGTAATGGCGAGGCTGTAATGGTATAAAGTCGGACACCAGTCCGCTATAGAATCAACACAACGTCCCAATCCAAGCTCCAATCCTATTCAACACTCATAGCTTCGACGGAATTATCTTGAGAATGTCACGAACACTCCTCCTCTTCGGCGCCGGCCCCGGAATCGGCGATAACGTCGCAGCCACATTCGCATCCAGCGGCAGCATCGACCACATCGTCCTCCTCGGGCGCAACACCGACCGTCTGCAAAATGAAGCCGCCGTGTTCGTCCAGAAGGCTGCCTCAAACGTCAAGGTCGATACTCTGCGCGCCGACCTGAGCGACCTGGATTCCATCCCCAAGGTTCTCTCGCAACTCGATGACCTGACCAAAGGCGAAGATATCGAAGTAGTATACTACAACGCGGCACGAATCAAGCCCACCGATCCAGTTCTGGACGTCGATGTGAAGGAGATCGAGGATGATCTCAGGGTACGTAGAGTCTCCTACCTCATCTCATCTGAGCACGCTTTCCATTTCCAGCAAACATCCCCCATACCACCATCTTCACAGAAGCATTAAACCCCAGGTATCCTAAAGTCTAATCTTCTCTAGGTCACCGTCCTCGCCCTCCACCTAATCTCTCAGCACTACATCCCGCTCCTCCAATCAACCTCCAAATCCTCCCCGACCTCCAAGCCCGCGCTTCTAGTCACCAACTCGCACCTCCCCTGGGACCCCGTGCCGCAACTAATCTCACTCTCCCTGGTCAAAGGCGCGCAGCGCACGCAAGTAATCTCCTTGAACCGTGCCTTTGGTGAGAGTGGAGTTCATTGCGGTTTGATCAGCGTGGAAGGAGTAGTCGATCCGAAGAACAAGGTTTTGAACCCGGCCAATATCGCGAAGAAGGTGCTTGAATTCTGGCAGAAGGGCGAGGGGGTGGAAGTGAATTTGAAGGAGCCACAGCAGTAGATGAGGAGTTCTGGCGAGAGCGTTGTCGTTGAGGTGTGGATGTTTGTAGAAAGCAAAGCAAACAAAGTCATCCAGGACCACCATCCCGAAACTCCAAAGTCATAAAATTCCCAAGTCCAAATCCTCCCGCCTCGAAATACCCGGTTAACTCAAACACCAAACATCACATAGCCATGATGACCACTTTAGTACCCACGCCTCCCAGCCCCATTTCCCCCATTCGCTCCACCCCCATCCTTCCTCATATGCAGCATAGGAGCCACAGGCGCGGAACCCATAGGCTTCTTCGCACCGAGCACCGAATTGCCCAAGAACGCTAGCTGCATCTGACCGTTTCCACTTCCGGAACTCGGCCTGCGCTGCCACTCCCTACTACCATACTGATCGCGTTCATTTTCGTACTGCTCATCCTCATCCTCTTCCTGCGTATGGTGGCCCAGCGCAGCTCCAGTGCTGTTGCGATTCGCCTTGCTGAGCGAAGCCGTGTACTCCTGGCGCTTGCGCATGAGCTCGGAACCAGGGGCTTGGAGGTGTTCGTATGTTCCTGGTGTGCTATGCGAGTCAGCGGAGCGGTTGCGGATCTTGCGCAGGCGCTCGCGGGGTGTTTGTAGGTGGTGTTCATTTGGCGAGGATGGGGTCGAGTTTCGCGTTGGCCTGGAGGTCGTCAGGTTGCTTTCGGGCATATGGCGAGGGACTGATTGAGCGCGAGTGCTAATCGCGGGAGGTTCTGGCTGGCGCTCGTCTTCCTTGACGCCTTCGTCTTGGTGCTGTTGACTCGCTTGTAGGATATGAGGAGGTGGCATCTGGTGCTGGGAATCGTCTTCGTCCTCTTCGTAGCGTTGATCTATGACACTGTTGTCCTCTTGTGCCTGGGTCGCTGCAGCCACGTTCGATCGAGCTGCTGGCACCGGCGTACTCCTGGCTTCTTTGACCGTCGCAGGCACCGGCGTGGCCGTGCGACTTCCGCTCACGCCGCTATGCTGACTGGCCGTGGCTTCCTTCCTACCCTTTCCACTCTTGGTGCGAGGTGGAGCGTAAGCACTCTCGAACTCTTCGAGTGCGCCTTTGAGCTCAACGACAGCTTTGTGGAGTTCCGGGAAGTCACTGCCAACGTTGGCGTATACCGAGACAACGTTCCAGGACGCAACGATCAAATTGTCGAAGTTGGGAAAAGCGGTCTTGACGATGTTGTTGAAAAGATCCACTTTGATCTGCGCAGGTATGGTGTTGAATGTCTCACTCTTGACGTTATTGGGGATCGTCTCTAGGCCGACACGTTGACGTTTATTCGATATGTGCTTCGTGATCTCTTTGCGCTTGCGGGAGCTTCCATCTACAGTGCGTTGGATGTTGCCATGCCTATGATGGAAATGTAAACTTACCTCGAGAGGAGTCTTCGTTGGCCTTAGACTTTGCCGCCTGTAGCCTGGCAAGTGTCTGAGGCAATGTCAGGAAGTACCTCGAAACGGTGAATCGTAAAACCGTAGACGAGGGTGTATCTAGGAAACAAAGCACCTCTACGCACTGGACATACCTCTCCTTCTTCGAACTTCGCTGGTGGATGATCGAGCATGTTGTACGCAACACGTCTCGCCTCGTTGATCTTCTCCATCCTTGCGTGTATGGTCTTGTACTTCGCCTTGAAGAGTGGGAACATGTTCTCTGCGACGAAACGATGGATGCCCACCGACCCCAGCTCAGCATCATCCTTCGGTAATGCGTCCTCAGTCCGCATCTCAAAACGCTCGTCTTCCACCGTCAGATAAGCCCGGTATGTTGCTCCACCTTCTTCTGGAAACTGGACATTGCCAAGGTCGAAACGGGTAGCATCCTCCTTGATGGTAACCTGCGCAAGCGGAGGATATACTGTACCGCTGACGTTCTTGTACGTGGGTGGCTCATCTGCGGTGACGCCGTTAAGGAAGGTGTCTAGGTGAGCTGGTTCGAGGTATCGAAGCTGGTCGCGCAAGATCAGCGCTCGCTTCTGCGGCTTGTTGAGACAAGCCAGCGTTGGAACATCGCCAATGTCTCCCGGGATCATCGTGAGGGCGATCGTGTCAAGCGTAAATATGGGTGGAGTCCGAGCAGGTTGGTCGAGTCTACGATTAGCAAGGTTGACAAGGTTGACAAGGTTGTGGAGGAGGTAGGAGAGGTGATGGACGCGGAGATGAGCTGCTATATATGCCTAAGTTGCAGGAGGCGTAGCGAAACTCTCTCACCTGTCACGTCCGGGAGACCAGCGCAGTGATCAAAGTAAAGGTGAGCAGGCTTCGAAGTTGTGCGCTGGCATTTTGAATCCATGGTGACGCCGCAACAGAGCTTGTAGTAATCTTAGTGCTGAATACCTTCCAGGTGAGGCCTAACGTACTAACGTTGGTAATGAGGACGTCGCTATCTTCGGCGCAACTCAGGGTGCTAATGGTCTCTACGATGAGGTTTCGTCTATATCAATGTTTCAATGAGAAATAATGGTTGAGAGGGGGACTTGTTGATCACGGTGATGTAGGAGGAGAGCACAGCCGGGGCGAACCTACAAGAAGCCACGTCCGGTACAGAGTTACCTGTGGGAGATTGCTTCGAACATGAGACGGCTTGACTTGGTGAGCATTAGTCTACCGCGCAAAGCGCCTATCTGTGCGTACTGATACACATCAATGAGGTCTTGAGTCTTGAAGTCATGTCGTGTCCAATACATCCTCTTGTTACGCCTACAAGTACAGCCCCTCGGGCTCTCCCTCGCTCTTCGTCTTCAGCACACGCTCTCTGGCGCTGCGGAAGTCATCCATCTGTACCCGCATCCTGCGTTCGCGAAGGGCCAACAAGCCAGCTTCAGAGCAGATGGCCTTGATATCAGCACCGGACAGGTCATCCTTTTGGTTGATGAACTCGTCAAGGTCGACATCCTCGTTGAGAGACATCTTGGAGGTGTGCAGGGTAAAGATCTTCTTCTTTGTGTGTTCTACCATCTGTTAGTGTACATTCAAAGTTTTCTAGTTGCAAAGACTTACGGTCCGGGTTCTCGAAGAGAATCTTTCGGTCAATACGACCAGGACGGATCAAGGCGGGATCGAGAGTGTCGATCTTGTTGGTAGCCATGATGACCTTGACATCACCACGGTCGTCGAAGCCGTCAAGTTGGTTGAGCAGCTCCAGCATAGTTCGCTGAATTTCACGCTCACCGCCTGATGTCGAATCGTAACGCTTGGTACCGATGGCATCGATCTCGTCGATGAAGACGATAGAAGGCGCATTCTCAGCAGCAGTCTGGAACAGCTGTCGCACAAGCCTAGGCCCGTCACCGAGGTACTTCTGAATCAGCTCACTTCCTACGATACGCAGGAAAGTGGCACTGGTCTGGTTTGCGACGGCCTTTGCCAACAGCGTCTTTCCGGTACCAGGCGCGCCGTACAGGATGACACCCTTCGGTGGCTTGATACCCATCTCCTCGTACAGCTCAGGATGTAACAGAGGAAGCTCTACAGCCTCTCGTACCTCCTGGATCTGCTGCTCCAGACCACCGATATCTGCATATGATTCTGTGGGCGCCTTGTCCAACTTCATGACCGACACCAGCGGATCCGCGTCATCTGTAAGCACACCAACGACAGACACCGACTTGTGATGCAGCAGAATGCTGGCGCCAGGCTCGAGGAGGTCTTTGTCGACGAAGGACATAATCGAGACGTAGTACTCGGGGCCGGTCGCGCTCGAAACGATGGCGTGGTCGTCGTCGATAAGTTCCTCGAGGTTACCAACACCCATGGGGCTGCCTCGCATGTCGTCAACCCGCGACCTCTCATCGGCATTTCGGTCGGCGGCTTCCGGATCGGCGTTGACGTTCACGGGCGCTGCTCCCTCCTTGACGGCCTTTGCCTTGCGGATCCGCTCCTGATTCTCGACGTACTCCTCCTCTAGCAGCAGATGGTCATGGATGCGCTGCATGCGCAGGTACCGTAGTTTGCATCGTGCCGTGGGGTAGATGGTGGGGAGCTTCGCGGCGGCGCTTGGACCGGCAGCCTTCTTCTTCTTCCTGCCGATGCGGGTGGTGGGCTGTGGTGGCGGCTCGTACTTTGGCTTCTCCTTCTGCGGGCAAACGTAAGTATCATAGACCGACGGTGGGCGGCGAGGCAGATGTAGGAATGCGGACAGCAGTGATCTGTGTATCAAAAGAACGTACCTTGTCCTTCTTGCTCTTATCGTCGCCGGGAGGGCCTCCGCCTCCAGCGCTAGACTGCTGGTTACCCTGGATATTGTCAGTATACACGCCGCCGCGTTTCACATGGGGGCGAGCGTACCATGCCACGCGATCACGTAGGCGGCTCTGCTGTCGAAGGTCTTGTGTGAGGTGTCGGGAAAGTGTTCGGAGGGTGCAGGCACTGCTGCAGGTGACGGTGGTGGTGAGGCGGTGATGGTGTTTGTAATGTTGATGCTGGCCGCATCGAGCTGATTCACGCCAGTCGGAGCTCGGTCAACTTGCCAAGCTCTGACGCCACTGCTTCACCTCTCACGGCGCCCGCCTCACTCGCCATAGAACAACAGACACGTCAAATGCACGCATGCCCTTTATATACCATTGAATATACATACCACTGCTGCTCCTCCTCTCTGACTCCCCTCCATCCACACCCCATAACCACGTGAGAAACAGCAGTCGTGCTCGGCCCCGCTCTAAATCACCTCCAGCTCCCCCACGTCGGCGGCTCTGAGGTACTCTTGATAGCCACCACACTCCTTCACGCGACCACTGCAACCAGCGTAAGTCGATTCTGCGGCAACCTCGAGAAAGGAGCCTGTATGACCATACACTTGCCGTGACGTACTGGCCTGCCCCACCTGGCAGCTGCTGCCTTTTGAGCCTCAGGCTGACCTTCTGCACAGAGCTAGCACCGCTCGCTGCCTGCCCATTACCGAACTCAGCTCCCTCCCCTCTCCCCTCTTCTCCACACCCTCACATTTCGACCGTATCTTACTCCCACAATGGCCTCCAATCGTGCCAGGCGTATCGCCAAAGAGATCGCCGACATCAAAAACGATAAGCTCTCGCAGATCCTAGTAGAGCCTGCAGGGAACGGCGATGATCTTACACATCTTCACGGCCAGTTCTTTGGACCGCCAGACACACCGTACGAGGGTGCCACATACCATGTCGACATCAAGATCCCTAGCGAGTATCCATTTCGACCACCGAACATGAAGTTCGAGACCAAGATATGGCACCCCAATGTCAGCTCGCAGACAGTGAGTCCTCCAAATCCATACAAACGGGAGGATGCTGATTAGACAGGGCGCCATCTGCTTGGACACATTATCGTCACAATGGTCGCCAGTCCTGACGATCAAATCCGCCCTTATCTCCCTCCAGTCCCTCCTCTCCACCCCCGAACCGAAAGACCCACAAGACGCAGAGGTTGCCAGCATGCTGATCCGCAACCCCGCTGAGTTCGAGCACAAGGCCCGCGAGTGGGCGGTCAAGTACGCCGGCGCCCCCAAGAAGGAGATGGCTGAAGGCAGCGGTGGTGCTACAGCAGAGTCGATCACAAAGAAACGCCAGGAGGCCAAACACAATGAAGAGAAGGTCAAGCTGGCAGCGTACGTGCCCTGTACTTTTGGGTCTCTCTTCGTGATTTGCTAATACAGGATCAGGTACCACGGATACAACAAAGACCTCGTCGACCGATTTGTCGCCATGGGGTTCGACGTCGAAGCGGTGGTTGGCGCATTCGAGTACGTTGGTATCGACAAGATGGGGGGTGAGGACTATGAATTGGAGGAAGCGTACATGGGCGACATCACTGCGCGACTGTTCGGCGAGGCGTGAGGCGGCAAGCAAGAGCGAAGAAGACCTTAGTGACAAGAAGAGGCTTGGATGCACAGGCGTTTGTCATTCAGATTATACACCATCATCGGCGGCGGCGTCCGGTATTGTTCACACATGTACTGTACTCAGACATGTTTCATGACTTTGTTCACAACAGAAGAATCCAATTGAGTGGTCAAACATTATGTTATGATTATGCTTTTCCAACATTCAACTGGGCATCGTGCACTTTAGCAGTAGCCTCAGTAACCTCAACAGTATCACTCTTCAGCGGCGCGCTGCCGAAAACAGTAGTGTTGGGGGTAGGCTTCTCGACAACCTGGCTCAGGCTCACAGCTTCATATCGTTAACAAACATACCCCCAACCATCCCACTCCTCTATTCAGAAAATACGTACTTTGGCCGTCGTGCTGTCATGGCATGACTATCTTCACCATCCATATCCTCGCCTTGAAGTCCTCCTTACTGCCTACATTGCAACCTCTCGTATTCTGTCAAGGTTGCATGGTTATTTTGAGAGCATTGGAGATCTGCTCAAGGTTGAAGACTTGATTTGCAGGAACGAACGAGTGCGAGTGCGATGCCACGACCGCGCAGGTCGAGTAGGCCAACAGAATGTTGTGCTGTGGTGGAGGTGTTGCGCTTTAAGGAAGTGGCGATGTACATCTCCGATGCTAATTGCGTCAACGGGGAACGGGATGGCGCCGCTGTGCGAGCTATTTTTAGCCGGTTGGTCAGGAACATGATCGTGGTGAGAAGTATGCAGAGCGGGCATCAAGATGAACGATTGGTGAACTGTGGGGATACGTTCGTGCGTTTGTCGATGTACTGTCTTTTGATTTTGTATTTACCGCCTACAATACAGTATCTTTTTTGCAAAAAAAAAAAAAAAGTGGACGTTGCTTGGAAATGACTTGGTCGTATGGAGCACCGCACGAAATGCATACCAGTCTTGGTGTAGACCACAGAACGTTGAATACGGGTTTGTAGGTTCTACATCTAACAACTCTCAAAGCGCGGAGTAAGTTGCCTGTTTCTCACTATTCTCCTCTGATCGGCATGCAGCACAACATCAATCTTGTGTTCTGTAACACGTCCCTGGCTTGTTATACGAGCAATGCATCCGCAATTGCTTGTATATGTATTGGAACCATGTGAGCCAAGTCTGTAGACAAGTCATGAAGGTGGAAATCTTTAGTGAGCACGCCGAACGTTCACGACTTTGGCTTCGGAACACCGGACCGAGCCTGGTGGCATCTGAAGTTCGAAATGCCTTTGATTTCAGTACTCCTATTTCTGCATTATATCTTCACTTGTGGAGATGGTTGGAGATATTACTCGCGATGCTCAATGCATCTTACAATATCATTATGAGTTACTTTGGTACTTTTCATTTCTTGTAAATCGTAGGCTTAGTACTGGCCGAAGTACTTGCCCTTTCCACGACCAAACTTAGGCTTAACAACAAATGCACCACGATCAATAGTGTTGATCACGGTGTAGCCACTTGGGAAAGTGTAGTGTGACCATGTACCAGCATCCCAGAGCGCCTGACCACCACCGGCAACAGCATCGTCACCAGGGAAAACGTCAAAGTAAGCAATCTCTTCAACACGGGAGCCGTCAGGGTGGCGAGGGATAGAGCTGACATCGAGAATGCGCAGACCGGCCTGGTAGTTGGACTGGTACGCAAGGCCGTCGTGCACAAACTGGTTGTGGTCGACGGCGCGCGTGGTAGACTTGTAGTAGCCGGTGTTCTTGGGAGCCTCGAGGTTGGTGATGTCCCAGATGTAGGTCGCAGGGTATCCGTCCTTAGCAACAGACTCTGGGTCGGTGTCGATACCGCCTTCGATCTCACCCTCGTCGAGCTCATCGTCCATGACGAGGTGAGTCTGCCAGTAGGGGTCGAGGACCCAGCCCTGGTGAGTGTAGGAAGCGCCCTTGTAGGGGGTACGCGAAATTACGGTCGAGGCGTTGAAGCCCTTCTTGTTGGTGACGTCGTAAATGGTCAATGTGTCCTCGTTGTAGCCGTAGCAGATGTCGCGGCCGTAGTACTTCTTGTGGGGTCCGCGGTACACAATGCACTGAGCGTCGTGGACATAACCGTCCTGGGGCGCGCAGCCCTCCTTGTAAGGCTTGGTGATGTCGTCGACGTTGATGAAGATGAGACCTCCAGCACATGTGTCGTTACGGCCAGCACGTCCACCTGAACCGACAGCTACAGCGTAGCCCTTCTCCTCGTTGGTGACGACGTTGTGGGAACGGCCGGCAATACCAGCGCCCTCAGTGAGGTCGTTGAACCAAGCAGTGAGGTCTGTTGCTGGGTCAAAGACCTTTGGTTCCTTGGGGCTGAGCTTGAGGAGCTTCTTGAAATCGAAGATCTGTACTCCGTGACCTGCACCCTCAGAACCAACGAAGAGGTAATCACCCAGACTCTTCATCTCGTGCCAGATGACAGGCGAGGCCTGGGCTGGGAGGCGGCCAAGGTACTCAAGCTCGCCCTTGGAGGTGACCTCCGCAAATGCAGTGCCATTGGTCTGACCAATGGCAATGAACTCACGGCCCTTGTGCGTCCATCCCCACGAACCAGATCCCTCAGAGACGGGAGGGGGATTACCAAGTTCCTCGTGTGTCTTGAAATCGTACAAGTCCCATGGTGGCGTTAGCACCTTGCAATTTCGAACCTCAACTGCATAAACTTACGATGTTCTTGCACTTGTAGGTCTGGTCGGCGTCACCCTTGACTGCCTCAACGCGGCCGTTTTCGCACTCGATGCGATTCTTGTTGACGCGCTTCTTGTGGAAATCCTTCCACTTCTTGTTGTCGTAAGCACCAGCGGCGCGCTGCTTAGCCCAAGCACCCTTTGACTCAATTAGCAGCTATTCATTTAACAGAGTGTGATATCGCACCTCCTTTGCCGCCATCATCTTCTCCATGACTTCACCAGAGCGGTACTGCTCCTTAGAGTATCCGGCAGCCGATGCCAGAGGCATGGCTGCAAGAGCGGTTGCAATGGTAGTCCACTTCATCTTTGTGATTTCGACTGCAATTTGACAGTTGGCAGATGGAGATGATCCAAGAACCCGGGTGCAGGTTCTCCCATCTTATATCCTCGTGCTATCGACATAGGCCAACCCGGAAGCATTCTGTCACTCAGCATCTGATCGCGTGCGAAACGCCATAGATTGGCGCTCACTGTGTAACCCCGTGTACCTTCCTATCGCAGATTACTGCCGAACCCCAATGTTCGTTACCAAGACCCGTGTAGAAGCATTAACGTTGTCGTTGGCATGCACTGGCGAGCTGGGCACTTCTTGGGGAAGTCTTGGTGGAAGGTGGGAAGTGCCCGCTGATTTGCTCCTCAGTCAGAACCATCCTTGGCTTGATTACAACCCGGACATTTGACAGCAGCTAGAGCTCAAAATCGATAAGCTGCAGTCGTTCACCATGTGGAGTAACGAGGCGGACCAGTAGAACAGCTTCTGAACGGACCGTCAGCGGAAATAGGGCACTATGCTTCTTTGGGAAGGTGCCAAGAGGTCGTAGGGTTGCACCCTCAGCCACCGCGAAAAGACCGCGGATATCTTTGACAGACAAGGCAGCTTCAAGGATACTGGAAGCTGCATACTGCAGTGTTTACCCCCAGAACGTGGTGTTGTGGTGGCAAAAGAACTATGAGCTCTTCAATTGTGCCGTTTGAAGCCGGGATAGGATTGGCAAGGAGTTCCAGAGCGGAGCAAGCATGCATTGCAACAGCGGCACAACAGACCTCGGCTCTTATCTCGGAGGAACCGTGACTCAGTACATAGATAGCGGAGCGTAGATCGCGGAGAATTGCCCTTGGTATTGAGATATTTGGTGGTATGTTGCGAGGCGGATGAGTTCGAATAACGCTGTGAGGAAGGTTGTCAATTATCGCCTAGGACACACTCGTACTCGACATTGTATAACTGAGTAGGATCGAATAGCAGCAGTGCTTCGAGGACTGGCGGTAGAACGACGGTGAGAATATGTTCAACGAGCGTGAGGTCATGTTCGAAACTGGAGAAAGGAAACGACAGATCATGATGAAAGGTCAATGAAGGGCGAGTGATCGGTATTTATGAGCTTTTGTCTCAAGGCCAGCATCCCAATGCTGTCCTGTTTCGGTCAGTTGAGCAAGATTGAGGTCGATACACCTGAGCGGTGACGTGTGGTGATTGGACGGGGACCTCTCGAGGTGCATACCGAGACATGTCTGGTGTTTGTACCTGGCTCCTGGACTCTCTGATAGTGCTCAGAAGGACCGACGATATGGTCAAGCTTTGGATAGCCTCGTTCTCGATGGTGAACATGCAGCTATGTGCACAGCTAGAAAGCTAGGGTGAGGAAGCTGGGAGAACTCATGTTCACAGGGAAGCCGCAACCCACGCCACTCGGCTAAAGTTGTCACCTCGGCCGGCTTTCGAGCTTCATCATCATAAGGCGAAAGCGACAACGACAGCTTCAGCACCCGCTCGCCGCGCCTCGACACACAATGAAGCTCAACGAAGACGATCTATACCGCACCTCGACGCAGTTCCGCCAGTGGTCTTTCACCGCCGAGCAACTCGCCGCCCAACGCGCAAAAACAAACCTCCAAGCCACCGAGCGCGTCAAGCTCAATGTTGCGCGACAACGCGCCCAGCGCGTCCAAGCAGCAGAACTCGACAGCACAAGCGGGAATTCGGGCATCGATGGTAGCGGAGCGAACACGCCCAATGCGGTAACATCAGACAAAGAGGTGGACTGCTTGACAGTCACTGAAGAGATGACGTTTGTGGAGGAGTTCTGCGAGCGAACTATGGCCTTAGGCGCACACTGTAAATTCAGTGACAACGTTATCGCAACATGTGTACAGTTCCTGCGTCGCTTTTATCTGTACAACTCGCCCATGACCTACCACGCCCAGAACATTAGCCGGACAGCCATGTTTCTTGCTGGTAAATCTGAGAGCGAACACCAGAGCTTGGATCACTTTGCAACAAACATCTCCTCGGAGAAGACGAAGGTCACCCCAGAGCAGATACTGGCACCCGAGTATCTCATTGTGCAGGCACTGCGCTTCAACTTCGATGTCAAGCACCCATTCAGAGCGCTCAAAGGTGGAGTGCTCGACATGATGAGCATAGCAAATGGGAAGTACGAAGGACCGAATCACAGCATCCACAAGACCGCTGCAGACTTGAGTACCGCAATACATCAATTGCCACGTAAGACTGGCGGTCTGGCAGCAAAGGCAACCTCTCAGCAGCTTGCGGATCGCATCATGCGCGAGTCATATTCCCCTGCGGCTCAGACATTGAAGAAGACCGCCGCCCTTACAGATGTCTACTTCCTTTACACACCATCCCAGATCTGGCTTGCAGCGTTACTCTTGGCTGATGAGCCGCTCGTGCTCTTCTACCTCTCGGTCAAGATGCCTTCTACTTCGCCAGTGTACGAAAAAGTTATCGTCGCCCTTCGCGAATGCGCCCTGATCCTGTCTTCACATCGATCGCACCAAAAGCTCCACCTTCCGGCAGACGAGCAGGCGAGAATGGACGCTGAGCACAGAGCTGAGGTTAAGAGACTCATCAAGAAGCTCAAACTCTGTCAAGATCCTGACAAGTTGGATCTCGTCAAGCTGAACCAGGCGCAAAAACGCGACGCGGTGCAAGGTTCAGATCTGGACGTGCACAAGGCAAAGCGCCGGAAAATGGACCGAGAGAACTTCCAGAAGGACTCTGATACTTTTTGGGGCCCTGAACTGCCAACCTACGGAGCAAAGCCTGCGTAGACGGTATTTTGATCTTGATTGGAGCAAGCATAGCGTGGCGTTCAGGTCTTTGTAAGGTATACACCAAGATTTTCTTACCCTTAGAAAAAAATTCTCGTACATCTCTTCGTCCGTCTGTCCGATGCTCCGCTCTCCTTTACATGTCATCGACGCGAACTCTCCCTTGAAGGTGTCCAGTGCAAGAGTCATCACAACTGTAACACAAGGTACAAATGCAGACCTTCCGCTGCGTGAAGTAACTACACCAGTGCTCGCGACAGAGGGTTTTCACGCGTCCAGTAGAGAGACATCTTTATCACAGCTGGGCTTGACAATCATCGAGGCGCTATCAAGCATTCGTTGGCTGTACACTTGAGACTGCATCCTGGTTGGCTTGACATTTGCACATGCGCTCATGAAGGAATCCTCGCCCGTTCTATTGTGCGGTCATGAAAGTAATCTGGATCTTGTGCAAACCTCAGATCGTAGGTGAAAATGCCTTTTCTTACCGTCACATGCCAGCTGATGCTGTCCTTCCTTCACCGTCGAATCCAGCCTGCTACCAAGTAATCGCGCCTTCCATTTGTCTTTCCCACCCGCACAACAAGGATCTTTTTACTTTTTAACAAGGCGCACACTCTCTTCCACTCCACTCTGCAGCTGCACATCGCCTCTGTCAACTACCACGCCTTTCGCGACTTCGAACGCCTCCACTCCGTCAGAGTACACTCCGCGCTTTAACTTCTCCAGCACTACCAGCGCACTCAACACCAGTTTTGACTGCCGTGCGGCTTCTCACAGCCGCCCCACCTTGAGCCACCATGAACTACTACCCACGGGGCCCAATCTCCGACTATCTTCGAGGTGCTGTTCATGATGCTCCTACCTCCATAGTACCACTGGCTGGTATGGTTATTCCACGAAGGTGCTGAGCTTTGTTGGGCTATGCTACCCTACTTCGTTGCTCTTTACGTCTTCTACCATTTTATGAGCTATCAGTTCAGTCAGAAAGTCGAAGGTGGGAGGTACAATGAGAGTGAATGTGGGTATGTGGCTGATCATTGTGTAGACGCCGTTGCCCAAGCCCTTGCAGACCCGTGTCAATCGGCCCATCAGTTCATTGCAATGGAGATTACCAAGGTTCACGAGTACTATCGATCGACTCACAGTACCGAACGTGAGCAATACAGTCCGTTCAAATTAGGTATATAACTGACTCATGTACAAATATCCTTGCCCAAGCCCTCGAAGATCCTAATCATGCCCTCCATCGAACCATCGAGGCAAAGATTCAGAAAGCTTGTCTGATCAGTGCGAGATGTGTGTATGATAAAGTCATCAAGGTCACCAAGTCGTACAGAGGCGAGCTGTCTACTGTCAAAGATGAGCTTTTCATTGTCAAAGAGGAGAATGCCACGAACGAAAGAATGGTGGCGTCTCTTCAGGATCAATTGAACAAGCTCCGACGACAGGTACCAGACGAGCTTCCACAGACTCTAGAGAACATCACCAGCGTCATTCGCCCTGAAATCCAAGAAACAATTGAGAAAGCCGATCAGGTCAGGGTCCGCAAGCTTGTGCTTCTGTCCAACCACGCCGATCACGAGCGTCTGGAAGACCTACATGACAGATCTCTTAACCAGGATGCACTTCTCCAAAAACTCGCGAAAACCTCAACTGTAGTCGACGGACTGCAGACCAAGATGGAGCACCACATTGAGCGACTCGAATCTGCAATGAGTAAGCAAGCACCATCACAACACTCACGAGCACACGCAACGCACCCTTGACCAAATTGCAGGACGAAGTCGACAAAAATTTCACCGAGCTCTCAGCTGACCTCAGCGGATTGAAAGCCAATATCAAGACCTTCACTGATCCTAATGGAAATTCGGAGGCCACTAAGCGCACCCTTCCCGTAATAGAAGGCAAGCTCAATGAGCATGATACCCAGCTCGTGAAGCTGAGTAGCGTCGAAACGACCGTCAATACGCTGTTCGAAACCAACATGGACCTCCAGAATAGGATTGGCGAGCACGAAGGCTACCATACGGGAGGGTAATCGAACCACAGCACTACATCAGCCCTAGAAGGCAAGATCGAGAACATCGAGACTGCGGTTGCTGAGCTGATCAATATATCCGGCCAGTTTAGCGCGCTCGATGACCGTACCAAAGCCCTCAAAGATAACGACGACCGTCAAAACAAGCACCCTGAGAAACTAAAAAGCACATTCATCGATAACACTGCTCTTACCAAGAGGCTGGAGGCCTGTGAAAGCATGGTTGAGCACCTTGAACGTAAGGTAAACGGGATCTCAGATGCGGTGACAGGCACCTCGGACAAGCTTGAAAAGCTCGATGAGCTTGAAAACAACGTGGAAGAGGATTTGAAGTTCGTGAGGCAACTCAACAAAGCGGTGAAGAAGGAGTCAAACGCTCTGGGTGAGATCTTCCGCCGTATGGCGAATTGCGAAGACGACATCGACGACCTCCAAGCTGCCACAGGCATCACTAGGAACGATAGGTCTTTGGACGCTGGGGCCAACAACGTTGATGATGCTGTCACCTCTACAAGCGATCCATCCTATAAAGGCCTCCAGGCTTCCTTATCTACCTCTCAGTCTGCTAGCCTGCAGAAGGTAGTGCGCCAGTGCTTGCGCAAGGCTTCAACGCAAGTCAGTATCAGGACATGAGGTTGAAATCTTCAGTCCCGGTGTCTGGCTCTCCTTTCACATACTTGAGCAATTGCCTCCAGCCCTCCTTATCCCGACCCAACCTCCTCATCGTCCACAACCGACGCCCTCCCCGCTCCGTCTTCGACCGATATCGCGTCGCCGCAAGAGGGTGTGACTACCTCCAGGTCTCCATCTCGCATCTCGACTCCCCCTTCTGGCACCACTGAGCTTGTCAGCCGTGCCCCCGAAGTCGAAGCTCCGTCGCAAGATGAGGCGATAGATGACTGGGTGCCTTATGGCATGACAGACATTCCAGAGTCCCAAGAAGCGGTCGAGGATTACATGGTGATAGCTGGCGAAGAGCGTGAAGATAGTGATTCAGATGATGACGCTGAAACGGAGGATTATGTAGACGCTGAGGGTGAGTCTGACGAGGAGACGTAACGTTTGGCAAGGGGTATTGAAGCCCTGAGGACTAGCCATTGGTTGCTGGTGGAGAAGGGGTGAAGTTTGAATGCCTCCAAAATAGGTTCTGCTGTGTTACGTAATATATAACGAGGCATTGAATTCATCCAGCATACTCGAGAGCTTTTTGTTCGACGCGGGTGGACACAGTGTAGACGTTTCGATGGCAGCTGACGTGGTTCAGTCAGCACGGGATTTGGGCCGTATACTTCAATACAAAGATCCTCCGAATCACCTTCTCTCTTGAAAACTTCATGCCGTTTAGGAAGCTCCGCGGGGCTCTTGTGTCCTTTTGATGTTCTGAGGGCATGCAACGTATTCCACGTGAACCCTTGTTGATGATGATAGGGCGCCCTCTCTTCAGCCCCCTCACGTACCCAAACAACCTATATCGAAATGCGCCGCGGACCCAGACCACGAACGTCTACAAAACTATTAACGGAGCCGCTGTGAGTTTGTCATCCTTGCCTCTTCTCAATTTTTGCGCGCTTCGTCGTTGACAATGGACATCCACCACCAAGCCCCCAAAGAGGTAGTCGCTACTGAAACGACGCCCGCACCTCCAATTGATGAGGCAGATCCTTTCGAAGTGCGTGGTCAAACACGCACAATCACCAAATGGCGCATCCCAGACTCGACTCCAGATTCGGAACAAGGTACCCCCCCCCCATTACCTCACAAGAACAGAACTGATATTACTATTTCCAGCCGAAGCCGCCCTCAAAACCGAAGAGCGAGTGGAAGAAGATACTGCTTGGAGGGAGCTGAAGGAACTCTACCACGTCTCAGACGCAGAATGGGAGGCGTCTGAAGCGCAATGGCGCGAGTGGGTTTCCAAGCGCGACACAGCGGGAGCTCTCGACGCGGGGCGGTTCTACGTACCGCCTGAGAAGCTGTTGTGGCGAGATTATAGTAGTGGTGCTGAAGAGCGGTTGAGTAAGGTCGTTGAGGTGCAGCATAAGAGCTGCCTTACCTGCCGTGCGATTGAAGTTGTGAAGGGAGATGTGACGATCAGTGGGGAAGAGAAGGAAAAGCGGATTGCTAGGTTGGCGCATACGATTCCATGGCTGCAACCGTTGCCATCCGCGGGGGGACCGATTTCGCCTCGGGTGTTGGGTGAGTCGAACTTCGATGACTTGCTGAACGTCTCAGCATGGGGTTATGAGGCAGCCAAATCTGCTCAAGAGATGTCCGCGCCATCGAAGGTCGGAACGTTGAAAAAAGCCCTGCCCAAAGCAGACATACTCAACTTCATGAACGGGTCGAAGCATGAGTTCAAGGATCGAAAGGAACACCTATGTGCCACCAAAGTTCTGTTGAAAAGCACTGATGCCGACGCGATACTGGACGCGGCGATAGATGACCCGACATTCTTGCAACGAGCCCACGTATTCCGCCAAAACAAGCAAGCAATGGAGAACGCAATAAGCGCAGCTGATTCTCTCCAGCGCTTGAGCGTTGCTGAGAAGAGGACTGCCTCTAAGGCCGCAGCGGAAGCGTGGGAGCTGGAGCGAGATCTCGTACGGCTGGAAAAGATCCAAGAGTCTTTGAAAGCCCGAATAGGCTCTGCGAAGAACGGTTATAGTGTTAACCGATACAACAACAAGAGATGCCAGGATCGAAAGAAGAGTTATGCCGATACTGGAAGCCATCCTATCAGATATGGAACTCTCGGTCTCCATAAGGGAGCAGATTCTGATGATGAGGAGGAAGAAGATGTCGAAGAAGAGAAGCAGGAAGACAATATTGTTGCGGACGAGAGTCCAATCGAGAGAGCCGAGCGGAATATTTGGGAACGGCAGCAGCGACAAAAATTGCCCGACACAACAAGGCAGGCAGAAACTGGCAAGCTCAATGCTAGCAAGGAGAGCTCACCGTCACCACCCATTCTGACTGAGTCCCCTGCGCAAATCGATGAAGAACAGCCAGCGCAGTACACTGTCGCTCACAGCATGTTCGTTAAAGCCCTGCGAAACTTCAACGAGCACAACCTTGAGGCCGCGCAGGAAGATAACGAATCTGCTTCGACCGAGGGTGATCCGTTCAAGTATGATGCGGCACAAGAGACCACTTCGACAGTGGGTGAAGCTGCTACTCCTGGCAACGAAGTCGCAACCGGTAGTGCATCCAAGGGGAAGGCGAAGAAGGACTCTAAGACAGAAGGGTTGATGGAAGAGGATGGAGTAAGTTTGAAGGATTTCGCAGCAAATCCTGAGGAACAGAAACCGAAAGGGCTGAGGAAACTTTCGATCAAGCGCGGTTCTTCTTCAAGGCCAAGATGGCATTCCTGATTGAGCAATATGTCAGTTGTGTATCAGATTTGGCCGTCACTGCCATGCCCGTAAAGATACAGGAAGTACCTAGTTATGTCAGGACACAATCAGAACTTGGAATTCTTGAAACAGGTCATCTACGCCTTGGGAGGAGGTGGTTGTCTGGCGTTATTGATACCAGAGTATGCGTCGTGCTCCTCCAAGCACTGGACACCAGGAACGAGTATTAAGCTCCCCGCTCAACAACATCGCGAATACCTTTTGATTACTGTTGCTCTCATGAACTGGATCTGTCCAGAAATATTAGAACCATCGCAATTATTCCAGAGCACACACCAGTACTCTCCGAATTGGTTACGGTGCGCGTAACACTGTCGAGTAGTTCCAGCTTCTCCTGGCCCACGAAAGGTCGAGATTTATAGTACGGTACGTTGCCCTGCCACTGCAATCCTGAGTAGATCTCCAACATCGTGGCGCTTGGTCTCGGCCAAGAGCTGCTTCTGGTGTGAGATGTTGATCCTCTTTCGCATTCGTATGCAGCTCTGTCGGAGGAACGCGCCCCCACGGCATGCAGGCTTGTGCGAATCGACGAGTCAGATATACGCTAGCATCGCGACGAATATCGGAGAGGGTACCATAGGCGCGGATTGTGGCTCGTTGACCATACTTGTTTCTGATCGATGTCCGCCATGTGGAATTTTGCAGTTTGAGTCGTGTGGCTACTACAGCCGAGTAGTGGATCATGATCTCGCATTAGTGGGTCTTCACGATCCGTAGGATCTGGCAATTGTGGGTACGTCCCTGGCTTCACCGATGATGTCGTCGATGAAGGTACAAACACTCACTGCAGCTGCGAAGACCATTGTTTTCACCTTTAATCCTGCTCGATAATTCCTCCCGACCGGAGATTTCTTGCGGGGTATTCTGCTGTACCATTGTCTAATTTAGGACACGGACGGATGTGGAGATATCAGGACTGCAGTCTCAAACACTGCGGAATGGGGATGCATTAGGTCCACGCACGTGCGATGCGTATGCAAGCATCGTCTTATTAGTGCAGGAATGATATCGTGGGAATGTAGGTACATATATTATATTTATACAAAATAATAAGTTAAGTGAAGGTATCGGCATAACGTGTGGTGAGATAGGCGAAAGAAGGCCTAAGCCAAGCAAGCTGATGCACGCTGGACAGAACGTCAAGATGATTTTCATGAATAATGCGAAGAGGGCGTGAAACGTACAGATATAGAAACAACTGTTAAAGATAGGAAATGGTCGTTAAGGGAAGAGCAAAGCGATAGCCGCCGGCGCCAAATATGCGTAATGAAAAAGTGCTGAAGAGAGCAAGATGCGATGGTAACAAGGAGCCGCCTTCGCCGAACAGTAACAGAGCTCAAGGGGTATCGCAACCAGAACTGACCGCCGTGATTGCCTTCGTACATGTATCTGTCGTTTCAATCTGAGTCATTTGCGATGTTGGAATATATGACTGTAAAGAGAATGCTACAATCTAGTAACCGTGCTGGGTGTTGGGTGGGTATTTGGCATCTTCGACGTAGTACGCCGCTGGATGAGGTGGTGCAGGGTGGTACTGCGGTTGAGTATATGGTTGAAGGGCCACAGGAGCAGATGCCCTCCTTTGGGGATCATGTTGCTGGACGGAGCCTGGAGGAGGCAGCTGCGTGGAGGTCGCGCTCTGTGGGACTGAGACCTGTACGTCGAAGGTCAGAGCCGATGGAACCGTATACTGGGGTACAGAGGGTGGTGGTGTAGGCTGGGAATGATGCGAAGCCGCGTAGTGAGATGCTGCGACCTGAGGAGGGTAACGAGGTCCTAGAGTCGGCTGCTGATGATCAATAGAGTAGTGTCGACTGGGCTGCGGGCGTGGGGCATATTGCTGGGAGGTGTTTGCCGACGCAGGATATGACTGATTCGAAGATTGCGGCGATGGGTAAGGTTGAGGTGAGGGAGGCTGAACATATTGTTGTGTCGGCGGCTGCTGGGTAAGATATTGATATGGATGTGCTGGGGCTGTGTTTCGTGGGGCTGGCTGAGGTGACGCATAGTGTTGAGGGCTTTGGTGGCTCGATGTGTACTGCTGAACATGTCCGCCGTGCCAATACTCCGGTACCTGCAGGTGGGGTGGGCCATGGGTCTGGATGATTCCATGTGGGCCAACAGTTTGTGTCACGGCCGTGATAGTATGGTGTTGCATGTGGCTGGGCTGGAGGTGTTGGGGGTAGCCCGCAATGAGCGGCATGTCCTTGCTCTCCTCATCCTCCAAGCTAACCTTCCAGCCAGTGAGGAGTTCTGGTCGCGGTTGTATATGCTCAAGCCTGGGATCCTGGAATGGTCGCTTGAGCTTGCCGTTCACGACGTCTTCCAGACTGTAGTAGGAGATGACATGGTGATGGGTACCCTGGTACTTTACTGAGATAGTCTTCTTCATCAACCCTCCTTCTTTGAATTCGTAGCTGTCGATAAGAGATCCACAAAAACGTCGTTGTTGGTCGGGGGTAAGATCTTGTGCGAAGTTGGCATAGACTTTGCCTGCAGAATCGCCCTCGCCCGGGAATGATCCCTCAAGTGAGGGACTCTCATACTCATCGTCAGAGTTGTTACAATTGTCACCGATCTTAGTGATTGAGGGCCCGGCGCTCTCCTTGCGCTTGCGCTTCGTACCGCAAGAAGGATTGAGGGCAGTCTTCTTCTCTTCAGGTTTCAAAGCTCGGGTCAATTGTCGATAGATCAGACAGTTGTTCATGACTCGGCTCGGTGACCAGTGCACGGCGTCAGTCCAGCGTTTGATACCGGACGCGTTTTCTTCATAGACAAGAACTGTTCCTGAGGTGAGCATTTCCGCTCGTTCTTTGTCGTGAGGTCGACGGCTAATGTGGTTCAGGCGCCCCTGCAATGCTGCCTCCACAACTGTCATGGCATCTTTCGTAGTGTCAAGGAACCCTGTCCATGTTGGCTTGAAGGCGGGTTGCGCTTTGACCATGTTTCCTGCCACTTGATGCCTTGGTGGTGGGGGCGTCGCAGTGCCGGTGGAGATGACATGAGATGTTGCAATCGAATGGTGACGCGGTTGTACGCGCGATGGTGGTTGCAAGTGAGGCGCAAAGTTCGTGTTCGCGTATATCGAGGGATCGAACATGCTCGTATATGTTGGGTGATGTGTGGAGGATTGCTGAGACCAGGCCCAGTTGTCACCATAATTTTCCACCTTCGACACCCCACCAATGGACATATTGTGTCCAAAAGGCGGCATCGTTAAAGTCGATGCCCGGATTCCTTGCAACATGAGTAATAGAAATGTAGAATGACCCTGGAAATAGGCTAGTCAAGCTTGATTGCTGATAAGCTTGCCTGTCGATGTTCAATTAGATGGTGGTGGGTTCCAGGTGCATCGAGGATAAAATGCTCTCGAAATCAGACAGTGAATCAAGCGGTGGATGTTGCAAATTCGAAGAATCGATACCAACGGAAGGAGAGCTTCGCCCTGGTTAGAAATAGGACCTCGTGTCCATTAAGTTCGAGCACTCACAAGTTGGAAGAGCTGGCAAGCTCCACACGGGGTAATTATGTGATAAGATGTGATATAATCGCTCAATCGACTGATCCAAACAATTGTTTTGGAACAACGTGGAGAAGTGAGGCTGGAGAGGAGGTTAGTTGTCTCCTGAATGTGAGGGATAGTCTACCAGATGTAGAAGTAGGAAAGCGCACGTACCGAAAATTATCAGGGCAAAAGAGCGGGAGCGGGAGTACCACAGAGTGGTCAAGGGAATGGGTAGGAGAGCTATTTGATGATTGCGTTGGCGAATTACGAGGGCTACCCGATTGTCAAAGCAGGCGGTTCCTTGACGATATAATAAAAGGGGAGGAAATAGTGGCAACGGCAAAGGCGGCTTCAACGAGCAGGCATAGTCCTGTAACTACGCGAAAGGACGCTACTCTCAGCCTTGACAGCCTGGGATGGGTTGATCGGAGATATTTGACGTTTCCTGGCCAGGAAGAGAATGTATATGGCAGGTGAAGCGTGAGGGGGTATGTACGAGATGCGACAGTAGTGAACGAATACTGTACGTAGTGGTGAGGTGCTTAAGCGGAGATGCAGCTTTCTTTGCAACAACGACCGCTATATTTCTGGCGGCTTGGGAGGGCCTTACCTGCTTGGGCTGGCCGACAGTTGCTGGCGAGAAGTAGCGTAACGATCGCCCCTGCTGAAGACCCTGCTAGGCCGCAAAGGGGAGAATTCTGAACATGAGGCAGCCCTGCTGGGGATGTTCGCCGTCAGCCCCGTCTGCCCGTTCGTGGGTTCTGGCCCTTGAGACGATCGACGCAGCTCAGAGACGCTTTCTTTGCGCTCTCCACTTCCACAACCGCACCATGCACGGCTAGCTAGTTACCATGACTCCACGCCAGCCGGTTTTTGATGGCTAAGAAAACAGCGTGAGCTTCACGTTCCTGGACGGCGGCCGCAGATGAGGCACTCCCCTGAAACCCTCCGGCTGTAACGCTGTAACGCTGTACACTCAGGAACAGCTATACGTAGCGCATATCGTACTGTGTACGAACCCTGGGAGATGAGCTGCCCTGTAGCCGCAATGTGGCACCTCGTAGCTACGTCAAGGCTTGAGTTCGGATTCGGATGCTCAAGGCAAAGCGATGCGGAGAAGGCCAAGAGACGACAAGCATGGCGAGCTAGGATGTAATTCCGCTCCCGGACAAAGTGCGGCCTGTTTTCAGCGCGATAGGATGCGCCGCCGGTCAGCGCCGACAGGGCTAACACTCGCGGAGCCGGGACGATGCGCTATGTTTCACCCGCTCGCGTCTGCTTCCTGGGTTGTTGGCAGTTGTCTCTTATGCTGCGGATACGCTTTCCCCGCGGTTGTCAGCATCTTGTGTCGAACTAACTTCCGAGCATCATGCATGTTGGTGATGTTCATAGGGCAGCGATAACGTTCAGCGCTCTGGAACGTGGTTTGATTGCGACCTTCATCAACCTTGGAACGAGAAGAAATTGAAGACGGTTAGCGTGCACGTACCATCCGGCGCGCTCCATTTTTCAAAGCTCGGGCGTAAATCATGCACGGCCATCACACACCTCGTCGAAAACCCGCAGCTTTCAGCACAACGTGACCCGTGAACGACGTTGACACCGCTGAAATTGCATCTCGCTGTGCCGCTACCACGCTTGGTGTAACGCACAGCCGCGGCGATAAGCACATCCGACGACGGGAGATGCCATCTGTTCATGATCAGCAGGCCCCGCACGTCTGTTCTCCGTTCTCATTCAGCCCCAGCCTGTGCTGAGCAGCACTTCCAGGCCAACTCACACGACGCAGCAGCGTGCATGCTGGCTCGGCATATGACAGGTGAATTAGCGTGGGACTGTGAGTGACGACAATGCGACTGGGAGAATTGTGCCCTGAAGCTGCAGCTGCATCATCAAAGCAGATCTACTGCACAGGATCAGCTGATTAATTATCCTAGCATCCTTGACCGATGAGGATCAGGGACCGGGATCTGAACGGCTGGGAAGGCAGAGCTGCAGTCTATCGCCTTGCTTTGATCGTCGTCATCGCGATACAGAAACAATGGAGTTGCAATCATTGACAATCGCTCAGGCACAGGAACATCGCAGAGAGCAATGACGATCCGTCATGATGCTATCAAAAGTAGCTTAGGGTCGACCTATAATGTGTAGCTTGGTTGCCAGAAAAATTGAATCGACTGGAAACCTCGCTGGCTCGCGAGTCGTGTCATGATGTGCTTCCAGGGTCATCCCCGCCGCCCCATCTAGCAACTTGTCCCTTTCCGGCTGTCCAGAAGTTCCCAATGTGGCTAACGAGACTACTCGCCTGCCCCTCCCGAACCAGCGTCAACTCCTTCTGTTTCCTCGTGGCAGCAGCCGCCTCTGAACTTGACCAGCCCTAATCTACACGTGGTCCGCTTATCTACCTCAGGTATCACAAGAACTGATATCAAACCTGAATCGATAAGATGGACGTTAAGATGGACGTTGAGATAGATTTCTGTTTGATGCTCGGGAGGCGGAGAGCGTGCCAACAGGTCGGATGTGCTAACACAGTCGAGGCCGCAACTCAACCTAAAACTTGCACTTGCCAGGCATTATTAATGCTAGGAGTACCGTTGCTCCTTGGTGCTTAACAAAGCAATTATAGGGTCCGAACACATATATGTATATGATCTGTGCTCTCAGGCTGAAAATCCATAGATATGTGACTATTGACTGGTAAGAGCGCAACTCGTTTGGGGGTAGAAGACCATTCTCAACGTTGTTGGTTCTGCTCGTCTACATTTTCCTGTTGCGACCGGTCGGCCTCTTCCTACGCTACGACAACACGGACGATGACAGACCACTGTTCCAGGTTGTAGACCTTTCTCATTCGTCGCACTCTGCAAGCGCAGTTTCTTCCAAGTTTCTCCTAAAAAATTCCTTAGTATTCTGACTAAGTGAACAGGTACGTTGACACATTGTTTTAAAATAATTCATGTTAGACTCCACGGGTGTCTTTCATTGGCTTTGCTATCGTAATTGAAAACCATAGTGACGATGCTAGCACTGCACAAGTCTCTCCCTCGGCTCCGCTATAGTAATTGGCAACCATAGCGCATAGCAATGATGCTAGCAGTGCACAAGTCTTGCTACACATGGGCACAATCATCACTTCGATGGCACGCCACCATCGAAGTGTTACTGCTGCATGTCAGCTGCAGCAGTCTCCCATACTACAGCAGTAGCTCTGGTCATCACGAACGCGGCCCGATTGAGGATGCCTTTTATCCATACGGCACCGGTAATCGCGACTGGCCTCACTGACTGATTATTTGCTGCCTATGATGGTAGCTATTGATCTAAAGTGTGACTGTCCAGAATGGGCTTGCAAGTATGCACAATCATCCAGGATCACAAAAGCCAAGTTGCATGATACAGGTCAGTCTAAGCATTTGAGTTCACATCCTCTTGGCTGTTGCCAACTGCTTCACCACACGCCTCGGCGCATGTCCAAAGTCTAAGAACAAGGAGAGAAACCTCTCGACTGTCGTTCTTAGCCCGATATAACGGTCGAGTCAGTCCCGACCCTTCCCCGGTTTCCGCTCCAGTTACTTCCCGGATATCCGTGTTGAACAGTATCAGAGTACTGCTGGTGCAGCACCGGAACATTTGCTCGACCTTGTTTGCATCTCCAGACCCACCTGCAGACCCTTTTCAACTCATATGCGCTGTACGAAACTATCATAGATACTGCAGATCACCACCATCATGCGGTCTCGGACGTCACGAACGTTACACTATCTAGATAGCAGCCTGTGATAGCCAGATTCCTCGTGCATTATTGCAACACTCATTTGACAGGACCGTTCATCTTCGACACTTTAGGTAATTTCACCGACGGGGTTTTGTAGAAATCGGTACGTACCACCGGGCAGTCCTTTAGCCTCTCCACATGTATTAGCAATCGCACGTATGAAATGACTGCTTCGTATTGAGCTAGCACGCTAGGATTTCAGCCTTCTTCTCAGGCACCAAACCATGAATTAAAGCTCAGCAACGCCACGGCCAGTCCATTTGTCACTTCGTGGTGGATGCTTCGGGCCGCACAGCTGTAGCTGAAAGCGTAATTGCGGACGCCACGCGACAGGAAAACTGGGCATCGTTGTTACTGTTACTAACAGGTGCTGCAGAATAATGTCTCTGCCAAGGTTTCAGTCCGCCCGGAGAATTTCACAATAATGTTCAGGAAAATAAAGACACTTTCGGGAGATTCGAGCACCCACAGTCCGGGAGCATGCATCAACCTGCATGGAGATCGCGGGCACGTCTCTAAACCGAACAGTTTCACATCATATGACCATGTGGCGTTCTCCTTCCACGGTTCATGCGTTCCGTGTGGATTTCCTAATTTGTGGACATTTTCTCAGGACGAGCCACGCCCATCAATACTCACTACGGACGATATGACCCACAAACGGTGTCGGTCACTCTTTTGACTACGTGCTGGCACATACGAAGGCTTGTGCCGGCACCTCTTCAAACTTTACTGTCAGTCTTAGTCGGATAAGCGAAAGCTGGTACCCTAGCGCTTAGTGCCAGGACTGGTTGTCCAGGACTGCCGTAGATCCCTCTAACGCAAAGCACGGTCAATTTGAGATGTCCTGTCGATCCGGATCGCGGTCTGTGCAACTGCAAAAACGCAGTTCGACGTCAACGGACCTGCAGTTGCGAGACCCTGGGACTCCAAAAGCTGTACTTTCACATCAGATTCCGCATACACTCGGCGTTCTGCTGTGCCGCACGACTCAGGGACGATGATGTACCACAGAAGGTCTTTAGTGTCCTGCCAGTCAACAGTTTCACTAACCGTATCTAATCCTAGATCAGTCACTCCAGTCGAGAGTGCCTTGAGAGGCGTCACGTATAGACAATAGCGGCAGTACTTCCTAGCTCATGAGTTGTCTCTGTCGTACGTTAACTAACTCCAAGATCACTCTGTGATCGAGCACAAAGACGTTAAGCTGGGGTCACCTTAGTGCAAGAAACACGCAATCAGCACCGTTTCACGCCACCGGCAGTCCGCAGCCGTATGCAACTTCTGAACAGTGCTCGTGAACCTTCTTTCTTAATCGAGTGGGGAGTTTGCACGTGGTACGAGCGTTTGATACGAGGCCGACCATCGGCGCAAGGCAAGACTCGCGGTTCTGGTCGTGACTTTCGGAGGCCACAGAGACGTTACCGATACATTTTCAAAAGAGCTTGTACCTGATCCTTTACGGGGTCGTGGCTTCGTCTGTCAGCACCTTGTTAGGATTTGCCTGTTTTTGATCAGTTAGGTGGCCTATGCAGGAACGTGGAGCGAGCAGTCAGTTCAAATCAGCCACAAGTGTGAGCTTCAGCCATTTCCCACCCTTGGAGCCATCCGTGGTGCCAAAATCATCGAAAAAACATCTCAGCTCAAGCAGCCGGTTTCAGCCGTCTCTCTTGTGCTCAATTTAGTCATGAGCTAACATCGAGACACCAACCTCTTCTGAAGTCAATAACACGAATGTGGATAGTCCCATCATGCACAGCTCTCAGGTTCTTGTGCTCTGTGATTGCGAATGCTGCGATCTGGGCATCGTCTCGCCGTTTCAGTGCTTTGCCACTTGGGACCACAGTGGAAATAAGGGTGGCAAGCGGTTGCGTAGGCCAAAAACAGGGCACTTCGATTCACAGCCAGCCCAGGCCAACGTCTTGCGAACTTGCAGCGGATGACGACTTCGCGGCCTAGGCGGTACACGGCGTACGGAGCGCAAACTCACCACCTCAGACACAGAGTCATAGTTGGGAGGCTCCCGAGGGCCGCGACGAGCCGAGATGCTGCACTGCCATGCCAGGCTCGAAGTTACATAACATCCCACCTTTGGCAGATGGCACGCCTTGCAACAGGGCAACCCGCAGTGATCTGCAGGACTCGCAGCTCACGTCGTTACGAAGGGTCACTCGTTCCGTGTCGATGCCCACAGCGAGAGGGGTCACTGTCCCCATCGAGCTTGCCTCACAGGTTTGCCTTACACTCTTGCCACATAAGCTTGCTACACAAGCTTGCCACTGCATGGGAGGCTTCGACCTACCCTGAAGATGCAGATACCCCAGCTAACCACCATTTCACCAAAGTTTTGAACAGCGCTTGCACCGGGAACCAAGAAATTCCCCGACTCAGCAGAGTGGTTTGATTCTTACAAGTGCAACGACGTTCTGCATGCCATAGCCCTAGTAGGGACGGGAAAGCAGCCCAGCCACGTCTCATGATCAATCGGAAAGAACGCCGCGTATTTCGAACCAAGACATTCACCATTTTCAACAGTCGATCAGAATGAGCTTATGAAGCAAGTCATTCAGAATACGAAGCATCGTCTATCTCAGTCAAACGACATTTGAAATGATACCAGTGATCTCGATGATGCGAACGCCCCGTATCTGAATCTAACAGTGTCCATGAGTGAGTTTACCACAAGCTGACCACGGTGATTGCTGTTGAATGGCTGCCCAATCCAACAGATTAGTTGGAAAATCACGCGTCTCTCATGTCTATCGCAGCCAATGAAGGCCAGCCTCGAGCAATCGTAACTGTTCCCAGCACAAGTAGGTCACACCGAACACGAATGCATTGCATAATGAGGGATGCGAAGGATCTCGATACTGCAGTGCCCTCGTATCTGAAGGTGGCCGTCTCCATGAGGAGCTTGGCATCAAGTGACCGCGATGGCGTAGTCTTACCATCGGCGATAGCCGTTGAAGAACCAAGCTGAAGTGACTGGTTGAGAAGTCACCCGCCCTTGTATTCATCACGGATGCTGGAAATCAGTTCGTTCGATGGAGGAGAGGAATCATCACTGTCCTCACTATGCACACTCCCTCTTCGTGCCTATGCAGCATCAGAATACAGAAGCCTACAGTGTTTTGGGGAGCCTTCTTGCGAGCCATTCTTGTTTTGTTGAACCATATATCTGTAGTTATACTTAAACCGCATCCGGCCACCAGAAAATGTGCGAAAGATAGTTGAGAACTGTGCTTTCAAGCACTGGGAGCATCTGAGAGAACAACACGTCTTTTTGTGGTTTACAAGTCTACAGCTTGATCACTTGCTCATCTCCTTCCTGCATTCAAGTTCGACGGATAACGTGGAACCTCGCAGAACATTGTGTCCATCAATCACAGGCCTCGACTAATACCTCCCTGTTACTGACCCAAGGCAGCACGCAGTCACACGGTCGCATTTGAGCTTGCCAACGTGCCAGACTGCAAATCATACGGACAACACAGGCTGCTTCGAGCCTCTACGTCACAGACCTGCGTCAGTCCTGCAGAAAAGACACATAATTGCGGGCTACACTGCCCAAGTGATGATAAAGCACAATGGGTCTAAACAGACAAGTGGGAAGAGTGAAAACGCTTCCCGTGATGTTCTTGCTCAAGGTTATCCTGCTGACCAAGAATGAAAGAGCTAGGGTCTCATCGACTACAAAGGAAGGTGCTGTCATCGCAGATTGATCGACGTAAGGACAACTGACATCAAAGAAGCTACGCTGTCTCTAATCCATGTCGCACCTGCCATGCTACACTTTGCTCCAAGACAATCATACCTTTCCACGATCCGACGCTGCATCTTACCATCGAGAAATTATATAGTTCAGGAATCCCTTCAAAAACCCCACATTGAGAGACAACACCATCCAAAACACCATGATGTAACGTTCCTTCGAGACAGAATAAACGCAGAGAAAGAAAGCATCGGCGACGACAATAGCATACTGTACATTTGCACGGGGGGGGGGGGTCTTATCATACCTGCGATCAAGAGACACCGACGACAACGTTGCCCTACAAGTAGAAGTAGTCATCTCACTGCCAGCGTAATACGGCTCAAACATGAACCTCCTTCTGTTAGTCATCCGAAACTACACCATGAAATAGGATGAATTTCAAACCACCCTGAACGATCAGCGCAACCTTCACCTTTTCACCACACCGTCAATCCCTCAATACCACAGGCAGCACCATCAAGATACTGACTGCCTCCGACCTACCACATCCAAGCTCTCAATAGTTCGATCCTCCACGTACCGCCCTTATGGAGCACTCGCATCCACATCGCTTCAACATGCCTACTTGCCCATCGATTCGAACACTACACTTCTATGTGGCTGACAGAAAAGCGTCCACTACCACAGCACTTCAATAGTCAACCGGCAAAGCTACTGGAATCCTCCAAGGGGGACATCTCCGTCATGGTTTGGACGAAAGACTCAGGCACGATGAGATTAGCGATGGTGATGATATTTGAAATTCACATTTTTGGATGAAAATGCCTAATAGGGAAAATATGCAGAATATGCACCAGAGCCTCACAGTTTTTCGAGACAGTTGAACGGGAAGAAAGCCAAGAATGGACGCGCAGACGTGGATGATATGTGTCAGCACCACACTGTCAGGACGCTTATGCACTCGCATGCGCTCACATGTAGGTCTGCACATTATTCCACCACTCAATTCGATCCTCATGACCGCCTCACTTGACTTCTTTCTCCTCTTCCATGGATCTCGCCTTTCAATACATCTAATTACATAAACATCATCCAAACAAATGAATCAATACACACATCCGTCCCACCCTCGCCACAGCACCTTCCATCCCTCACACTGCCAGGCTTCCTCCCACTCTCTTATTTGTAATCACTTCCCATCCCAGGCCGCCGTCGTTCTGCCCAACATCCCTTAAACTCCTAAACTGCTCGTTCATTCACCATCTTACGCCCATCTGTTTAAGCTCAGCTCACACCCATAAACCCCTACCAACTCTTCACATCCTGTTGAAGTGAGTGGATTGTGTTGATTGATCTTAAGCGCTATTGGCTAGAATCGATCGAGACTATATAGTAGAAGGGGATAGCAGTGAAGGGTTGGGGAAGCAAACCGAGCTAACCGAATGAGCCGGACAATAAGTGCAGCGGACCGTTAGCAAACACTGCAACGGACCGCTAGCAAATAGATGGCGATCGGTGGATATCTTCACTCCCTCCGACACATCCATACCAGTTCATCGTCTCCCAACTCCACACTGGTAGTCTCAGCAGCCGTCGTCCAACGCACTCATATACTCCCATTCGCAGCCCCAAGGATCAGCAGTGCGTCCCAATTTTTCAACGCGTATTTAGACTTAATCACTTTGAGTTATGGGTACTGAGCCATCTCTTGTCAAATGCACGATGATGGGACGGTGTATCATGGGAAGCAGTGGGGTTGGAATCGGAGAACAAGCACGAGAGGGGTATTAGGGAGGGGATGTGGAGTGGAGATTGTGTGTGAAGCACGTGGAAAGGGGCTTGGAGTTCTCTGAGTGATCAGTCTCCGAACAGTCGATACTGATCTCGACCGGGAGGAAGGGCAATGGGTGACGACACGATTTCGCAGAAGAAATTATAAATCTATTCACTAGCCACACTCATCGATTATGCCTCTAAAAGCCTGAAAGATCGCAAGCTATGCAACACAAGACAAAGGCAGTAACAACTCGGCCCTTTAGCCCTTCCAACATTTCTTGTTCCTTACGATCGTCACCTCTCCCCACTCCCCTCGCCACCCTCTCTCTGCAGCCCCTGCTCACCATCAACATCCTCTCTACTACTCTGCCCCCTCAGCCCCCTCCAGAGCTCATCCAGCGTGCCACTCATCCCGCGTCCCCTCCCACCAGGCCTCTCACTCCCCCTCTCAGCGCCAACGCCTTGTGTGCTTCGTCTGCTGAGCGGCTCGCCAAACATATCATCCGAGGTCTCCGTGCTCCCCAGACCGAGGACGCTCTGCCGTCGGCCCTCGCCGTTGCTCTCACCTGCACGCATGCGTACGCTTCCGCCACGCTTCAGATCCTGCACCAAAGCGCTCAGAGACGTAGATAAAGGCGAAGCGAGTAGCGGCCCCGGAATCGAGCCGCGCTGCCGCTCATTCGTGCGCAAGCGTCGTAACCCAGGATCAAGGTTCGATTGCGACGTCCCTGGCGTGGAGGGCAGTTCGTCGTGGCTTTTGCCGCGCGTGGGCGTGCGTGGCATTGGGGTGCTGGCTAGCGTTGGCTCAGACGGCGTAGCTGCTAGGTTCGAGGTGGGGTTCGAGGGCGGAGGTGTTGCTTCACTCGGCAATACGGGCGTGGAGGTGTGTCTGCTGATTGAGGGCTTGGGGCTTGAGGTGTTGCGGTCGGGAGGCTGGGACCACGGGTTTTGTATCAAGGAGTCGAGCGCTTCCGAGGTGTATGTTCGGCGCGGCGGGGTGGAGGGGTCGGGGGTGCTGAGTTTGATGATTGGTGTTGTTGGGCGGGTTTCGTCTTGGTAGAGAGGGTTGATTTCGAGGATGTCGAGAGGTGGGGACGCCGGGCGGATTGTAGAGGAGGATGAATGGCTGGAGCTCGTGCTATCGATTGAGTCGCGATATCGGTCGCCGTGGAGATTGATCGCTTCTCCTGATTCAGGTTCGCGGTCGTCTTCATCGTCCTCGTCATCGTCAACGTGTCTGCGTGGCCGGCCGCTGGTAATGAGCCAGACGCCTGAGAACGTGAGGGCGCAACCGCCGACGAATTTTCCTGCGTCGTCGCCGGACGTGCGCTCGAAGTCGCGGTACAAGATGGCAGATCCAAGGATGACTGATAGGGTGAACATGACGAACTGGACCGGGATAACCTGCGTAGCGTCGAATCGTTGCAACGCCCGGTTGATGTACTTGATCTGCATGACCGCCGTACCAACCAGAATCGCAACCAGGAGGTAAAACACCGGGAACGTGATAACGCGCCAAAGCGTGTATGAGAGCAGCGACGCAACGCCCTTTGTCGACAGAGCCGTGAAGCCACCAAACAGCCCAACAAGCCCCAGATCGATCAAGATGTTCTTCTGTCCGTACCGATTACTGGCAATCATCAAGATAACAATAACACCGATGGTAATCCCCAGATACGTCTCAAACTCCCACCTCTTAATCAACTTCCAAATCTCATCCGGCCCGAGCTTTGGATTGTTATCGCTCGCAGACAGCACAACCGTGACCGCGCCGCCCACCGCAACGATGACGCCTGCAGCATCGCGCCAGCGGAACCGCTCCTTCAGCATGAACGGCGCGATGATGCAGTTCGAAATCAGCGCCACGACACCGAGCGGGCTCACAATCGACGCGGGTGCGAACCCATACGCGAGGAAATTCCCGGCCTCGCCAATGGTCATGAGGATGATGCCGAGCCACCAGTATGTGGATTTGAGGTAGGATTTCTGCTTGAACGCGCCCTCGTCCGTACCCGCCCTTTCAACACCCCTTGGACTCCCCTCGTCCGCATTATCCGGGAGGAGAGGATCTTCTTCTGTGCTCTGCCTCCCATTCCCCTGGCTTCCGCCGCTGCGTTTCCTTCCCTCCTCATCCTCAGCCAATCGTGCTAAACTCGCTCCACTCTTATTCCGCCTCTTCCGCTGCTTCTCTTTCTCCTGCCACTCCCTGTCCAGCTTAATATGCGCATACCGCTGCATATTCAGCGCGAAGGAGATCAGCACGTTGCCGACGATAGCGGTGACGATGCCGATAAGACTGCTCCAGTTCTCGTCGTACCGCCCAGCCTGCCCGAGGTGCCGCATGAAGCCATTGTGTGCGTAAACGGGTGGGATTGTTGGCGTCGCGCTGCGAGATTGCGATGCTGGGAGGAACATTGTGGTCGTGAGCGTTCCGGCGCGCAGCGGGAGTTGGGATGCAAGGGCTGCCTGAAGCCGAGCGCCGCAAGGCCTATCTTGCGCAGCGAAGATGTCGTCTCAAGGATAGTGAAGCGTAAGTATGTAGCTATTAGAAACTACACCAACGAAGACTGAAAGGCGACATGATACACGCGCTTGTCCTTCCTCCAAGAAAGTGGCAGAGCAACGCTACATTGCCCTATGCCGCGTTGGCTGACAGGGTTCCTGCGGCGATCTGACGAAACGTCCCGCGCTAGCCTGCGGTACTGTCACCGTGCAGCAGAGCTTGTCCAGACGTGCGCCTCATGAGCTGCACATTTCGACTACGATCAAAATTGACGCGTTTGTAAGGAGACAAATATAAGTCCCTGCCCACTTAAGACCTTCTTCATTTGATGGGAAGTCGTTGTTGACCTATTCAGATATGCTTGTGTTGCACTGTCACATGCATGCTCGGTCCAACGAGTACCAGGACCCCCAAGTAACAAGACCAGTTCCTTCACTCGATCTGTGTCGAATGATTGATGTAAGCAAAACCCTCTTCATTGCATGGGACTCGACTGCCTACTTGACTCTTGAACTTTTGCCAATGCTCTATGTATGCCGTCCCAGATTTCCTTCCATCCAGAGCTGGGGTATTTCGTGAAACTCATCGATATCGTACCATAACGCTAAAACACCAAACCTGCCCAAAGCAGGTGCGAGAATGCTATACCTACCGTAACCTGTGCCGAAGCATCAGTATATCTCTCCATGCTCTTCCTTCGGTTTGTACATGATCGTCGTAAGGAACTAGCTAAAGTCAGTGGTGTGTTCTAACATCATGGCGCATATCCAACGTACCTTCTGCTTGTATCTCGTCGTCGCACTGGTAGCCAGAATGTTGTCCTTGATACTGCTCGTCGCCAGATGGTTCAGCACCGTGTGGTTCGGCATGATCAGCACACTGCTGTCATCCTTCATTGGCGTGGTTCCATTCAGAATGCTCTTGCTCAAGAACATGGGTAGACTCGGTGGCGTAGGCAGATTGCTTGCTGCGGCATTTGCACGGGCAAATCTTGATGACTCTTCGGGCGCATCAAGGTCGAGCAGGTAGGCCGGGATCTTGGAGTGGTATCTCTTTTCCGGCTCGGGGAGCTTGGTGTTGGGGATTTCGGCGGTCGGAGGCTTGACGAGAGGGACTTCAGGGGAGGGAGGGTCCTGCGGTGGTTGTGTCGCAGACTGTTCTTCTGAGGGTGCTGATGTGTCTGTAGGCTTGTCCGCAGCTGGTGCTTGCTGGTTGTTGATATCGTCGTAAGAGACTTCGAGGTAGTTGACCAGGATGTTTGTGTAGTCGACGGCTGTTGGCAGCTTATCCGAAATCATCATGTCGTTATCCACAATGAACATGAGATGGTGGGTGCCCGGGTGGATCGGGACATGTGCAGAGAGAACATTCTCCTTCTTGCTGGGACCACTAGATAAGGAATATTGTCAGCCTCGACGGCGTGCAGTGTAACGCTCAACAGCAGGCAAAAACGCATTGACTAGTGGATAGAGTTTGGGGACTGCAATGTCGACGAAGTGATCGTTGCCTGATTGACCATGTCTCAGGCTGCTGTTTGAGACATGCGCCACACGGGTAGACGCAGAACGTTTTGCAAGGCATTGAGGAAGCAAACATTTCCACTTACTTCTTGTGCAGCCTGTATTTCCGGTTCCACCCTGCAAATGTTCCTGTCACATACACCCTGTCACCATCACCCTCCCATTCGATCAATGTTGGCACCGTTGGGCGATCTGGAGTGGGCACCTTGAACTCTTCGCCAAGATCATCATCGTCGGCCGTGGTGCTGCTGAGCATCGACGTGCGGCGTGGCAGGGCACCCTCGACCTCGCCATGATCAAGTGATTCCGGGAGATCGGTGGATGATATTATGGGTGAGCCAGGCGTATGGACCTCCTCTTCAATAGGCAATGGTAGACGTGGTGGACGGCTGAAGTGCGAAGAGGGCACAATGTAGTCCTGGGAAGCATCGGCAGGCTCGAGCGACCCCGCAATGGCCTGCTCTGTTCTGCTGCTCTGCGGGGCTTCGATTGGAATCGCGTGTACTTCGCTAGGTGGTGGTGTCGATGAGAAGGTAGCTGGCGGCGCCGGCTGGACTGTCTGAGGTGGTGTGATGGTTGCGGGCGGCGGTGGAGGTGCTGCGCTCGAGGGCGCGGGCTGCGGCGTAGACTGGCGATTCAGCTTCTCCTGCCTCTCCTGCCTCTCCTCCCTCTCCCTCTCTTTCTTCTGGCTGCTCTGCTCGTTGCCCATTTTGTCGGAGCTGCCCTCGCGCACAATGCTGCGGTCCTGGGCGGCGCGCAGCTGGCTGGTGACGTGGGCGGTGGTGTTGGCCTGTGTGCTCGCGCGACCCCGCTCAACGCCGCGGGCGCTCTCAAAGCTCGCGGAGGGAGGGGCTATCTGCGCGGCCTTGATCGTGTGCTGAATGCTCTCACGCCTGCCAGTGCGGTATCCAGGATGTGGCGGGTGGTGACTGCTGGAGCTGCCTAGGTGGGAGTGCGCATGTGACGCATGTTGATTGCTCGAGCCAACGGGCGACTGCGGTTGCGAGGACGCCGGCGTCGACCGCGAGCTCGAGTGCTGGTTCCCCATGGCCGCGACCAGATCCGGCGATGCAGCGAACTCTGGTTCCCGTACGCTTCTTATGGGGACACCGGTAGGCGGCAGGACGTCAAAACTAGCTCTCCACGATCGCCCCGTCTCAGGATGCATGCGGCGGGACACGCCAGGGACTGGGATTTACATAGCGCTTGCAGCTGTCCATCGCCGATACTCCGCACGAGCCACAGCAGCATCGTGCCGCCGTGTTGTGCGCATTGCGAGGTTGTCTTTCACTTCATCAATCGCACTTTCGATATGTTCAGGTGCTAAGACGAGACGCGTTTGTTTGGATTGCTGCATACATACACGTCATAATGAACGCGTTGTAGCTTCATCTGTCACTTCTCACTTTCCTGACCACGTACACGCGTCTGCAACATGGATAAAGCGCTCGTTAACTTCCTTACTGTCGTGCAACTGGTCTGGTGGCCCCTCAGGAAGCTCACCAATGCTATTCGATTCATTGTGTCGCCAGTACTGCACGCAGTAGTCTTCATCTTATCGCCAATATGGATAGTGGGTAGCTTTATGCTCCTCCCCTTTATACATCTTGCCAAGGGGTTGTTTCATATCATCACGTTACCATTGCAGGTGAAATGGCTGGAACGAATCGAGGTATGTTCATTAGTGACTATAGGAGAGACGGTATAGCGCTAAGACAATCAGACACTCTACATCTATCTTGGAACCGCCGGCCTCATAGGTTGCATGACTGGCGCCGTCCTCTACTTCATCTTCAAGTTCTTGTCATCGTCCCTTAGCATTGATGCTACCTCAAGAGTCAAACCACGTAAAGGCCGCACAACTGCAGAATTCAGGTCTGCCCGCCGCGAGAAGCAGGATCGGATCTTGGCCTCAATGCCTCCCACTCAAGTCGTATTGGACAAGGCGTCCAGACGCCGTAGGCATGGCCTGTTGTCGCAAACGATCGTCGAAGAGGAGGATTCAGATTTCTAAGAGCATCAGGTAGTGGTGCAGTACTTGAGCGTACAGGAGCTGTAGGGGCAGGATGGGCTCTGGAGCCCATAATCTCAAGGTCATCGTAATAGGGCAGTGACCTCGAGTTTGTGATTGGTACAGCAGGAACTCTTGCAGGGCACATGAATTCCACTGGCTTTGGCTCGTTGCGACCTTGAGGGTCCTCAGATAACATATTGCAGAAAGAGATGGTCGAAGAAATGTTTGATCCTGCCATTTCTTTCGATCTGACCGTATTGGAACGGCGTACTAGAGGCGGCGCGGGTTGGTGATGCGAGTTGCTCGGTCTGTGAATCATTTAGCATTGGGCTCACCCCGGTCGATGTGCGAGGGAGAGGGTATGTAACTTACTCAGCAGATAGTTTCTCCTCCGCCTCTTTAGAACCAACTGTCAGCCAGTGGAAAACACCTACTGTCCAGACGACTGCAGCAATGATCAGCTATGCTATCAACGACCAGGAACAGCAGGCGAACCGTCGAAAGTGCAGGTAGTCAAGCATACCCAGCCAAGCTCTCGCCCCTCCATTGCAGTCAAGGCTGCCATGTTGCCGACCGTAGGGATCATCACAAGGATTGACCCGATGAGAGTTCTCAGTAGAAGCTTTTCAATCTTCTTGACCATTAGTTGATTGCTGTGGTTGGCTTGGATGAGACTAGTCCTGGATTTGGAATGACTGCACATATTTCCAAAGCATGTGGCAAAGCGACTCGCAGGAAAACCTTTGCTCGGGAGCTTTCCCGAACGGATCAGTGGACTCAGAAGATATACGAAGACGAGTGTCAGGAGGACATTGAGACCGACATCGTATGAGACTAGGGGTATTGTGGTGTATCGTGGAACGCCGATGCGGCAACGGCCATCGATTGGTGACATGTCAGCGACAGGGTTCATATAAGCCACCACGCCTATGGCCGTGAAGCCGGAAAATACTAGTATAAATCCAGTTACCCAGATCCAGTCGTGAGTCCTCTTCATGAACGGAACTCGGAGTGCACGTGCTCTCTCGATAAGAAAGAGGTACCTGCATGGATTCAGCATGAGCAGCAGCAGCAGCAGTACCCGTAGATTGTTCTACTAGGACGTGACTGGATGTGTTATGAACTCACATGACAACCTTGCTGAGTACGTAGAAACCAAGACAGAGGAAGAGTGCCACTCGACAGGTGCCCAGAGACACGAGACCGAGACCACTTTTGACGACTGCAGCGGAGAAGACAAAACACATAGAGACGAAGTAGAGAAGGAAGAGAAGGACGTGTGCCAGGCAGAGGTTTTTGACTTGTTTGCGATCAATCTGGCGTACTCGGTAACCTGACTTGCTGGTTACTTTTGGTCCAACAAGAAAGCGGATCTCCTACCAAGCATCCCAGCCAGTATGCTTATGCTGAGCATTGATATGACCGTATATGCTACACGTGAAGGATCCGGCTCACCCTAGGGGCCAGGGTTGGCTGGTGTGGGAGTGAATTTATCGTGAGTTTCCCTGAGGGTTGACGCATAAGAGGTAGCTGCTGCAACGAGCGAGAGCCATGCCAACCCAGTACCCATGGTATGTTGCATATCTTCGGCGTGAAACTTTTTTCTGAGCTAGGCAGGAGCAAGGTCGGATAAGAGCATAATACTAGGTGGTGTGGGGAAGGGGAAGCAAGGAAATCATATGATGTCCGGTGCGGATGGCTTCCATCTGCTTGATGATGTGTAAGATAGGAAAGGAGCAAATTTTGAATAACCGCACCTGTCGTTCCTGTGGGCGCCAAGGAGCTCAGGCCTCTTGCAAGTCGAGTGAGGCAGGTGTGAATCTGAGGCACACCTCAACCTTCAAAAGACGGTTCGCAAATCTGAGCAAGACAAACGAACGCTTAGCGAGACCCTTAGTTGAGTGAGGTAAAATATTCGAAGGAAGAGAGACAGAATGAACTGAACTTGCTCGAGACATGTAGAGAACTTGACAACCGGAACCAAGTTCCTCAGAACGAAGCGCGGAATCGATGAGGCAGTCTGAGATTACTTGACAATGACATGAGCGCGCAAACCAGCGTTAGGGTCTTGATGTGCAAGGCTGCTGTCTGCACGGCCATGATCGAGAATTCAGTAAGTGCACGTGGTTTCGAAAGCAAGGGCTTCCTCAGGAATGCTTCCCTGCCATAAGGTGACATTTTCGTAAGTTTCTAGAATACCTGTCTGTACACTTGAGGCTCAGCCAGCCGCCTCACATCTTTGCTCAGTCATCTTCTGGTGTCTTCGTGGCCGTCGCCTTCAACCTTCACGACGCCATGATCTAAAAACCTCGCTTTGTGTTGTTCCGTCCCGCGACCTTGAGACGTCAAAAGAGGCACGCGTAGCGGATGACGTACACATTGCCTGGTGGCTGTCCAGCGCCGAAGAAGTGTTTTACCGTCTTGAGCCCGGCGGCGTGGACCAGTAGTTGCGAAAGCGAAGCGGCAGTTGATGTAGCGTGCTGCAGGAGATCGTCATAGGCGGAGCAAATTCCACAGCAACACAGCCCCAAACTCGCAACGGGCTCCAAATTTAGACCTTGCTGCGAGAGTGAGGTGAGATGAGGCGAGCGCACGTGTATTTGCAGTACAGGTAGAAGAGTACAAGATATCAGAGACGTTAGCAAGAAAGCCTCGTATAGCAGCGTATCCCGTAGGCCAGAGGCCTGAGCGCGTCTATCGTGAAAAGTTCAGACCACCATCCCGCGTTTTGGCTTGTTAAAGTGGACTGGGAGAATTTCGATTGGTTACCAGGGCCCACTTATCCCTTGGCGGCCAGGGTCCTTGGAGTCGCAAGCGAGATTGTTGGTGCAGCAGCTAGCATAGCCACCAACACCGGTCTTGTCTCGCGCATCTGTCTTTCACGCCTCTTCTTCTCTGCCTCGACCCGCCAAGTCCACGAGACACGAGACTCTGAGACGTCACCTCTGCTTCATGAATGCTTGACCCGCAGCGCTTCTTACACCAGCATCTCTATCCGGCGCACGCGACTCTCGACACCGCCCGGGTTACGCCAAGACACACCAAGAAAAAGAAGTTCTCAGAAGAGCAGCAACCGTCACCATGAGGAGAGGCGTCACTATATTTATTCTTGTCACCGTTGTCGTTCTCGGCTTCGCAGTGCACAGCGTCTGGACATTGCTCGGTCTACTGGTTGCGACTGGTCGCGATGATGCCATTCTGCGCGGCGAGCTTCCTGCCCCCAACTCGAGCGCAGGCAGCGACCGCGAGCAATTGGTCCCCAAGATTATCCACCAGACGTACATCAACGAGAGCATTCCAGCGCATTGGAAGGGTCCCCAGCAAAGCTGTATTGACCTGCACCCGGACTACGAGTACAAGGTATGGCCAAAACAAATACAATAGTCGACGAAGGTACTAATGTCACCAGCTTTGGACCGACAAGAAGGCCCGCGAGTTCATCGCCGACGAGTACCCGTGGTTCCTCGAGACATTCGACGGCTACCCTTACCCCATCCAGCGTGCCGACACAATTCGATACTTCGTGCTGCACCACTTTGGTGGAATTTACATTGACTTGGACGATGTACGTAGAATCTGCGACAGATTGATTGTATGCGGCTAACAAACCTCAGGGATGCAACCGCAGCCTTGACCCTCTTCTCGCCTACCCAGCCTGGGTTCGCCGCACCATCCCCACCGGTATCTCCAACGATGTTATGGGCGCAGTCCCCCGCCACCCATTCTTCCTCAAGGCTATCGATTCCCTGACCGACTACAACCGTCGCTGGCCACTCCCATACATTACAGTCATGGCATCGACCGGTCCTCTCTACCTCAGTCTCGTCTGGCGCCACTACATGAACCAGAGCCCTGAAGGCGCCGACCGCCTCCGCATCCTCTTCCCGGACGAGTACAACAACCACGCCTGGAGCTTCTTCACCCACCACTTGGGCAACAGCTGGCACAGGACCGACGTCAAGGTCATTTTCTGGCTGGGCAACCACTGGATCTTCGTGACTCTTGTCGGGTTCACGGTTGGTTTCACCCTGCTCGGGTTGCTGTACAAGGTCTTCTTCCTGAACAAGGGATTCAAACAGCCTGGCTCGCCTAGACTCCGATCTGCATACGCACGACTACCTTTCTACCGCCGCATAAGCCAGAAGGACGTCGAGTTGGACGACCGACACGAGGTCTAAGCGAGGCTTTGTAGCCGCCATATCCCTTCAACCGTACGATGTTTAATGAGCGCATTGTCTATAACCCTACCTTGCATACCCCCGGCGCATATAATATCCTTACGACTGCATTGCATTTTTCGACTCTTCAAACCCCATTCTTCTGCTTCTGGCGCATGTCACTATTTTGCTACACCATTTAACTGTTTTCCCACGTTCGGCGGACGCAAGTACGATCCGGTGGCGTTGTCAAGTTCCATTCGAAAAGCAAGATTAGAAAGGCGTTATTCAGCCAGATAGAGAAGACTCTTCAGCGTTCGCAAGTTTCTGGACAGCCAACATCGGAGCATAGAGGACCGGAGGATGTTCAAATACCGCAAGCTATAGACGCAGAGCTAGACGCGCCTCTACACCAGAGGGTATACGTCAGAATGATATATATTCACCCAACACCCAGTGCTCCCCAACACCACTTATATTGAAGCGCTATGAACAACAGTCAGCATGTGCAATGAACATTCCCGACAACATCATGGTCCATTCCGAGCCGTTCCGTAACCCAGATCTCCATGTAACGCGGGCGCGATCGTACCTGCTTTTGTGGAGGAGCGGAGAGTCCCGCGGGGACGCACGTGGATGACATCCGTCACCTTCCGGTCAACCTGGTCTGGAACAATTACTGAAGAGAAGAACATCAGCCTTTATGCCTGAGGCTACATTCTTAGTGCAATCATGGTAAACCTACCTTCGACATCACAGCGCGTCATCGAGCCACTTGGCCACGGCTACCTATATGGCAAAATTCGTGAAGCTACTCCCGCAACTAATCACATGTGACACTACCATTTCAACTCTACACCTGATGAAGGCTTTTGGACTTGCGATACTTCCATGCTGAGGTCACGAACGAATGGATGTAAATGGGGATCTGATACCGTAATATTATCATTATGATCGTGCCAACTACCGAACAGCAGAGTTTACTTTTGTTATCAGTCAGGTACCGGTTCCTGCTGATTGTCCCTGAAACTACACCCTTGTTATCCTTCTCGTGAGCTCTTGCTCAACACATCCTGGCTGCTCACTGCTTCAACCACGCCCAAACGCCCTTACTCTGCGTCTCTAGAACCTCCTGCTCCTCGGCATGCTCTAGACTCTGCTCCTTACCCAGCTTGGGGTTGCGGATGACCAGCGAGAAGCCGATTAGGAGGACGGATAGACAGATACCGGCAATGCAGAGCAGACGCTGGACATGTCGATAAGCCTGAATCACAGCCTCTCGCTCCGGTGTACCCACTGGGTACGTCACAACGAAGTCGAAAGGATCGGCGTAGACTGCCGCAGCCAAAGGCGAGTTGCCAGTCTGGCGCAGCAGCTCCCCGGGAATCATATGTTGCCACATAGCGCCACTGACCGTGGCTCCCAACGCAGAGCCAATGTTGTATGTAGCAAGGTAGATACCCGTGACGATAGCGACATGCTCGTGTTTAGTCGCTGCTTGGATGCTGGCTTGTGCCGGGTAGGGAAACATGCCACCCGCGATACCGAGACAGATCTGTGCGCCAACGATGCCGGAGTGTGAGGCAGCGCCTGTGCCGCCACGGTAGTGGGTCAAGAGACCAAAGGCAACCATGAACAGGCAGGTGCCGAAGACGATGAAGGGCTTGAGGCGTCTGACGCGAAAGACCACCAATCCGAGGATGAGGCCGGTGATGACGGAACTGAAGCTGTAGAGCGAGGAGATTCGTGTCGCACTCTTGATGCTCTCGTTGAAAGACACAATAAGCACAGTGTAAAGAAAGTCGCCCTGCATGTACCAGGCGAAGTTCAGGGTGCACGCGATGCCGAGAGCGCCCCAGACTGCGCGGTCGGCGAGGAGGTGGAAAGGAAGCATGGGATGAGGCGCGCGGCGTTCCCAGATGACGAATACAGGGACGCAGAGGATGCCAATGACGAGAGGAGCGACGACCTTGGCTGTGCCCCATTGCGAAGAGGTACCGCCTGCGATTGTGAAGGGCTGGAGGTTGTCAGTATCTGACGGGCGGGTTGTGAGGTGGGGTGGATACTCACTGTGAGGATGCAGCCGAACACTGCGATGAGAAGGATGATTCCTGGTACGTCAAGCTGCCAGAAGAGTGCTGTTGCAAGGCGTTTGCCACCGTACACCTGATACGGAGTTTTGAATTTATCGAGAGCTCCGGCCTTTCTCGCCTTGTAGGATGACCATAACAAGGATGCAACCAAAGGCACAGCGCAGACAGTGTAGATGATAGCCCACATGCCCACGCCCCATCGCCAGGTTGTGGCAGTCAAGACCGCTTGACTAACGTCGCCGCCCACCCAGGTATTGATCTGAGGTCTGTCAGTGGTATGGACACGTCCCGAGGAACAGATCTTACCAGAAAGGGTATGGCCGGCACGTATGAGAAGAAGAGACGTGATCGAAGGGATGTGATATCGGCAATGATGATTTCGATGAGTACGATCATGGTAGTGTAGCCAACCTGTGTGCGGTTAGCATTTGTCTGTTATCATCAAGTCTAAGATTGGTGCATACCTGGTAGAACACCGCACCTGCCGCGAACGACTCTACGTTGTCGCTGACAGCTTCAATAACCGTTCCTACCACGATTAGTATCACTCGAAGACGCATCAGCAACATCATCAGAAATTGGCTTACCCAAGACGTAGAAGAAGATGGACACCAGGACAACTTCGACTCGTCCAAAGACATCGGCTGCGAACTGGTCAGAATGGTCCTACCATAGAATCGAAAAACAAGTGAGCATACCAATCTTCGCGGCCGTTGGCTGATATACAAGTCAGTCTCTCATCAACTACATATTAGGGTGGTTCGGAAAACGTACCTGAGCAGCGGCAGCAATCACACTTCGCAGCACACCTGAGCACAGCATTAACTAGGAAGCATTCAGGTACTCATGTTAGCAGACTGACCGATCGTGGCAAGCGTGGAATGCGTCTCAAAGCCAGCGGTTGCGTAAGGCTGGTATGTGCCGCGGAGAGTACCATCCAGGCCATAGGCGTAGGCCACTAGGAACAAGCCGAAGAAGATGAAGTAGCGGTTGATGAGTGAGGTATGAGCGTTGAGGGCTTCGATGCGAGCGACGCCGGGCGACTTGGTGTCACTCAAAGGTGCAGACTTCTCGGTTGGGGTGACGCTCTTTCTGTCGTTGTTCATCTGCTTGATGTGACCGTCTCCGGGAGAGGAAACCATCCTGGCAAATAGCCTGTCAGCTAGTGTAGTCGTAAGTGGGATGAAATGTCGTGAGGCTGCGCGCAAGGTAAGGTGGTGGAGCAAGACATGTACTTGTATGGTGAAGGTGAAGAAGCAGGTGATCTCCTGATGTGGAGCAGGCTTGTTGATTCCTTCCTGCCCAGGCTGTCAAAACACGAGGCAATCCGTACAACTACTGGAAAATGATCCCCAAAGCGGGGCAACTGGGGTTGCGTACCTTGGGAGTGGTCGAATTGCTTGCTGATTGATAAGATTAGATGCAAATTTGCAGGGACGTGGGGCGCCTTCCGCCCTTGGCAATCACCATTCGCCTGTTCTTGCTGCTTCTGGGTCGTTTCCTTCTAAGCGAAAGCTTGTTGAAAATGTCTTATCTTATTGCCGGAACTGACGGCCGCTGTGGAAGAATGATGCCCTTCACCACAATGTCTGGGAGGGGCTTTCATATTAATATAAAAACCCCGGACGCAAATAATCCTGGGGGGCATTAGGGAGGCTTTGTCCATCGCTGGTAGCTGCTAATGGTACACAAGACTACAGGTAATTTGATCCTGACAGACTGCTCTTTCTTTACGATTGAACACCTCCAGGCTTCACCATCAGATCGAGGGTCTGTGGCTACTACGTCCGAGCTCTTTCTACAACTTGAGAGAGGGGGTTATACTTAGTTTTACCTCACCGCCAGATTCTTCGGTTGAAGTGAAGACATCGCTACATCTACACACGAAGAGTTCTGCGAGGGGAGAACTGACAGAGATGTATTCTAATGAAGAAAGTAATCAGAAGACTGAACTGCGAAAAGGACTCGACCACTGACCATGCCATTGTGAATAGGGTAAAAGGCGTCGATGAGAAATTAAGCTGGGAGTATCAATCGTGCTTACTTGAAGGCCACACCAAGCCACCCACGTTGTAGACTATGGTGCAGCCGCAGAACTCACGCTCGACGAACGTGTGATATACTGAAGCTCGGTTCTGGACTCTACCTCAGTGCGCGACCAACTGCTTGTCCGTTCGCACTTGTTATGTATTGTGTGTAGATAACCGCCCCAGAACTTACGTAGTGTACCATGGATATAAAGCTGATGTTTATCAGACCCATGGCGATCTAAACAGTGAGCGATTAACATCGAAGGCAGCGCCAGCATATATCTTCAATGTACCAGCAAACATACTATCGTACCAGGATGGCTCTCGTCACGTTTGACATCAAGCGTGGGCCGATATGATCGTACATCCGTACCCCGCTAACAGTAAGATGATGGACAGATTTAAGAATAGGGTCGAAGAGTTCCACCACATTTGACGCCTGAAGCTTGGCACCCATCGTCCGTTGAGATCTTGCTTTGCGAGCTGGCGCCGGACTTTGTCTCCGGCCTCAGTCCTGCTACCACTGTTGTGCAACTCCAATCGCCGGAGAATGTAGTTTTGTTGAAGCACCTTGTGGATCAATACGAGCGAAAATATGAACGCAGGCCCGTAGAATGTCTTTACTGGCCAAGGGGAGGTAGAATAGATGGGCCAAGAGTATATGGCAGCTACGATACCAGCGATTAAGCAAGACTGTACTGTTCGTCAGCTATCTTGGGCAAACAAAAAGTACAACAGCTCAACGTGGAATGGGGCGAACTTACAGTCGTGGAAATAGCTGTCAGCTCAACGAGTTTACTTTCAGCAAGCTTGAAGGTGAAGTCATCTATCTCTTCGTCCGTGCCGTGAAACGCGTTTGGTGGGAGGAGAGGCCATGCTACGATGGACAGGTCGAGCAGCATGCGCACAAGACTCATAATGACGATGTATTGGGCAGTTCAGCCCTGTGCTGAAAAAGGCGATCAGTCAGAACAGGAAGTTTATAACTTCTTCGCGTAGAATACGGCTCCCTGTCTTGTTTTCTGGAGGCTTGTCGAGAGAAGTCACGGGACACTCGGCCGAAATTCCGATCACAATTGTGCGGCTGGCCGCAAGCACAGCCTCTGGAACTTGGTATTGCGATGCATACCCATGTTGGTGGTGTAGAGGTCCTGCACATTAGTCCTTCGAAAGCGGGACACTCTAATCGGCCCGACGGCCAAACGTACGATGGCGTCCAATGAGGGTAGAGATGGCAAGCCCACGGACTCTTGCTCAAGCCTCGCGTTCGTTTCAAGGCTGTGCCTACCAGGGCCACGTTGTGCAGGCGGTTCCTGAGCATCTCCCGTGGAGCTAACAACGCTTCCATGGTAAACAAGCTTTCCTTCTGCGGGAAGAAGCCACATGATATGTTGTGTTGATTAGATTGGAAACGCTTCCTTATCACAGGCTGCCCTTCAGGAAGGCAGTGTGCCTGATTCTGGCATGTTCTTCCTCGCACGAGCTTGGAATGATCTTGTGCGGTAGGAGTAGGGGTAGTGCTGAATGTAGAAGAGCCCGCTGCATGTTCAAGGCTGATTCTGTATCATGCTGGTACCTGCCCGCACTAGGTAGGATGTTTGCAATTAGTAAACCTCCCGCCTGTTGCACGTCAGTGTGTTTCTTGTGTTCATCCTACGTGTGCCATACCCGGGAACGATTTTCGACCTGTGTCCTAACCACTTGCTCAGCTTGTTGCTATGGATTCATTCAAGTCCACCTCGTCCAATGCCGCAGCCTTCCTGGTGTGCAGCGACCTGAGGAAGAACGAGCAGCCCGGCAATCGCCCATCTGCGGACCCCAACTTTTGTAACCACAGCAGCTGGTCTCGGATACCGATTCGTGGCCACTGGCAACTTGAATGCCATGGTCACATTTTCGAGATCGCAGCAGATGGTCCTTGGTACAATCGAACCTTGACCACCAAGTAGGGAGAAAGACGAGCGGACAAACGTGTACTTTTCTACAGATAAAAGGTCGGGGAGACACATTTGAGCGCTAAAGAGGTTGGCCAAGTCTGTAAGTGTTACCCTGCAACCGTACGTGTGTACGCCACCAACCTGTCTACAGTTCTGGATGCGGTGCACGACGGACCATACAATATTCTCCTTCGAAATCGCCAGACAACCACCAAAGAACTTGCCAAAAGAATCGTTACGAAGGAAAACGAACCCCCTTCGAAAAGCCATGGCGCTCATCGCAGGTCATGACATTTGTTTGCCGGAGCAACATTAGTCGGCGCGTTCTACATAAACGATGGGGCGCTGACAGCCACAAATACCCCTGGCCAAACCAGTAGCAAAATCCGGTGGGAGAACCTCTCTGGAGACGTCATAGGGATAATTGGCCAGGCATTCGCAGACAAAAGCAAGGGTAGCCCAGAAAAGTTGCAGAAATGGTGTACTGACATGTGGAATGTACTCGGACGACATATCCCTTCGCAATTTGGGACCTACTCCATAATTTGGATCCGAACATGTGGGCCACGATACTCCAAGCTCTCAACCTATGGCTTCATGACCGACAGGACACTGCATATTATTTCGTTGAAGCATGCATATACCTTTCAATCAACCCCTCCTGGCGCAAAAATATGTCTTTCTTGGGCCGCTGTGGTGGAGTTATCCTTGGTGGCTTCCTGGGATTGAATGCATTAGCTGCTTTCTTACCGGAGACATGGGAAGCTCTGAGTAGCTGGTGGAGCAAGCTCTGATCTTCAATCTTGTCCAACGAACGAAGGGTCAAATCCATGGAGCAGCTGGCCAAGCTGCAGAAGTCGATAGGAGTAGTAACAGTAAGGCTGCAGTAGGGCTGGAAAATACCGAGTATTGTGTGATAGCACACTGTGGTTCTGGTCGTGCTTGATCAGAGTTATCGCAGGTTTCTGTGCACAAATGAGGCATTCTTGCTTCGCAATCTTCAAATAGACTATCATGCAACATAAACAGACCCAGAACACCGACCATGCAATTGTGAGGCAGAACATTGCTCACTTATTCTTGTCCAGCCCTTGAAGTCCAACAAAGTCATACCCCGTCTCTTACTCATACTCGGATCGCACCTTCTTCGCCCTCCTCTTGTTCGCCTTGAAGTGCTTCTTGCTGTTCAGTCTCAGATCCGTTGGGTCAACGTCCATGTTGAGCGCAGTCATTTGCTTTAACTTCCTGCCGCTCAACTCCTTGCCCTGTTCGCTGTACTTGTAGTTGAAAGGCTTGTTGACATGTGCCATGCCCTGCCCAGGGCCGAAGAACTTCTTGTCCATGCGTTGCGACTTCTCACCTGTCTTGGGAGCAAGACTAAACTCATCATCATCCATCAGGGACTCGGCCTCGGCGGCTTCGGTGATACGCGCAAGACGTGCGCGGCGCTTCTCGGGCAGATGCGCAGCATCGTAGAGCTCACGGTTAAAATGCTTGGGGTCTATAGGCGGGTCCCTTGGAGGTGGGTGGCAGAAGAGCAGCTTGCCCTTCACGTAGTCCTTCAGGATGTAGCGGGCAGCTCGCGACTCGTCTGGCTGGCCAAGACCTTGTGTTTGGAAACCACGTGCAATGGCGTAAGCGCGCAGCACCTCGTCCGATGTAGGAACACCAGTGCCGCCTTCTTCGAGCGGGCGTACCTCCATCTTCATACCGTAAATAGCCTCAAGGAAGGGCTGTGGAATGCGCTGTGCAACAAGGCCACCAGGTCCGGTGTATTCTCGCAGTTGATCGATGGGAAGAACACCAGCACAAACGAGCTCAGCCTTGGTAGCTGCGAAACTAGGGAACACGAGACCAGGACAGTCGCAAAGGACGACCTTTTCGCTGAGATGGATGGTCTGGAAGTGCTTCGTCTTTCCGGGTGTGGCTGAGACCGACACCTTCTTTGCGCCGATAAGGGCGTTGATAGTGGACGATTTACCAACGTTGGGGTAACCGACCAGACCAATGGAAGTCTTGCGAGGCTGACCGTCAGGTCCAGTATCGATCTCGGGGGCATGTGCAAGGAAGAGCGCCTCAAGTTCGTCGGTTGTCAATATCCGGGTTCGTTCGTCGCCGTCCGCCAGCTGGATGCCCTCGCCAGGAGTATCGACTGTCTCCTCCTTCTCTTCTTGCTTGTCTTGCAAATCAATCTTCTTGGCCTCTTTCGCGAGACCGTCGTCCTCGGATTCGACATCTTCCTCGTCTTCCTCCTCGTCTTCCTGTTCCTGTTCCTCTTCCTCTTCTTCTTCCGAATCCTCCTGCGACTCAGCACCCTCTTCTGCGAGTTCCCTTGCCTCGTTCATTTCCTTAGCCAACTCAGCCGAGAAGAACTTGTAGTTGACGCCAGTCTCCTCAAAGTAGTCAGCCCAGGCTGTACGCTGCTCCAGTGTCATCATGTCCGCCTTGTTGACCAGCAACAAGTTGTTCTTCTTGGGGTCGACCTCCTTGACATAGACTTCCAGATCCTCGGATCTGAACAAGAGCGGGTTTCGCGCATCCACAATCTGAACAACCAGGTCTGATCTCTCAATGACACGCCATAGCTGCCTCCAAACCTCAAGGTTACGTTCGAACGGCGTTGTGAGCAGGTCGTTGTTCTCTGTCAGCTCGGCAAGACCGCGCCTCCACTGCAGCATGGCCTCCTTCTCGCGTGTGTCCAGTTGCTGTGGTGTGGTCTTCGAGTCCCACTTCGGTCGCCTCGGCACCGTCAGCTTGTGCCTGTTTTCCTTCTGTCTCTTGACGATGTTGCGCTCCTCAGTCGCAGACAACAGGTAAGGATTCTTCTGATCCTTGTGGATAATCTTGACGTTGTTCATCTTCTCTGCGGTGAAATCGGTGCCGGCGAGTTCTGCGGTCTCCAGGAACTCGTCGAGGTCGCCCTGCTCGGTGACGGAGCGCATCTTCACCCACGATGCCTCCTTCTTCTCGTTGGTGATGTACTGTACAGTGTCAGCAAATGCTCATACAGGCATGATCGCCCTGCCAGTGCTCACCTTCTCGCCGGTCTGGTGGTTTGTCCGCTCAATACCGCCTTGAAAGTTACCGCGGCGCATATCAGCACCCTTGCCCTTCCCGAACCTGTCGTTCATGAGACTGTTGCCCAGGCCGACGGCCTTCTTGGACTTTGCGAGCACCATCTTTGCGATTGTGCGTGGGTATCTCTGTGGTGTTGTTGGTGGCAGTCGTGTGCCTGTGAGGGGTGCGTTCGAGTTATCTGAATTTGCCCCGCGATGTCATCCACGGCTCCACTTTATTTTTCTCGCAGCCCACCGAGGGCCCTTTGTCAGCGTGCGTTCTCCCAACTGCTGTTCCGCCACCACTGGACTTTCTCTTGACTTTCACGAGACAGCCAAAAATAGCCCAAAATAGCCCAAAATGCCTCGTCGCAAGTTCATGTAAGCAACAGCAACAGCAACAGCAACAGCAACAGCAACAGCAACGTTCGAAACTTGGCCGCGGGCACCCCACTAACCCACACGCAGCGACAAGAAGACCGCGATCAACTACCGCCTTGTCCACCGCGCCCAGAACGATCCCCGAATCCACGATGACGATGCCCCACAGATGGTCTTCGCCGAGACCGCGGCGGCCAACTTGCGCGAAGGCGACGAGCCTGCTGGTAGTTCGCGCGCGTCGCAGTACTCGTCGGCTTCGCGCGCCTCACAGTTCTCTTCAGCAACCGGGCGGAGCAAGATCAAGTTAAGAGGAGACCTAGAGAACGAGTATGGGGATCGAGTACGAGACAACGAGGGCGAAGCCGCCAACTACGGCATCTTCTACGACGACAGCAAGTACGACTACATGCAGCACATGCGCGACCTCAACTCTGGCGGTGGAGACGCATACTTCATCGAGGCCAAAGACGACAAGAAGAAAGGGAAGGAGAAGTTCGACCTAGCAGATGCGCTGAAGAAGGCCTCGCTAGATGACAGGCAAAGCGATGCCGGCTACAGCATGAACAGCAGCATCAGCAACGTTAGCGATGTATTCGGCGAGGACATGGCACCCTCTGAATTCGTGCGGAAAACCACATACCAAGATCAGCAAAACATTCCCGATGCGCTCGCTGGATTCCAGCCAGACATGGACCCGCGCCTACGAGAGGTGCTTGAGGCGCTCGACGATGACGCCTACGTCGACGACGACGAAGACATTTTCGACTCCCTTCAACAAGACGGCTTCGAGCTGAACCAGCGCGAATTCGAAGCCGCTGGCCAATTCGACGCAGACCGCGACACACTGGACCGCTTCCTAGACGAAGACGACGAAGGCTGGGAATCAGACGACACTGTCCGCGCCTCCTCGCCCTTCCAGAAATCCAAGCCCGCACCGCCTCTTGGGTCAGGCGAGCTACCAGCACCAGATGAAGCGCCTCCGCTCGCAGATGCAGGGGACATGGCGTACATGGAGGAGTTCAAGAAGTTTAAGAACGACGTTAAAGCCAACAAAGCTCCCAAGCCTGTTGCGCCGAGCGACATGCAGTCGTCCATCATGACCGGCGCCTCCGCATTGACTGCTGGCGGACGAAGGAAGAAGCGCAAGGGCGCCTTAACAAGCACGAGCGGGTACTCCATGTCCTCATCCGCCTTGCACCGCACAGACGCTCTCTCCCTCCTCGACGAACGCTTCGAGAAAATCGAAGAAGAATACGCGGACGACGGATTCGACTTCCCCGACGACGCGTCCATGGTCTCTGGCATGTCGAAGATGTCCGGGTTGTCCAAGATGAGCGGGATGACGGGCGTGAGTCAGTGGAGCTCGAGTGAGGCGCCGCCGCTGAGGAGCGATTTTGACAACATTATGGATGATTTCCTGGGGAATCATATGACTGTCGGCAAGGCGGGGAGGCATGTGCGAAAGGGCAAGGTTGCGACGGGTATGGAGCAGCTTGATGAGGTTAGGAAGGGGTTGGGTAAGGCGAGGATGAGTGAGAGGGGGCAGGAAAGGTATGGAGCTCAGAAGGCGCAGTTCATCTAAGTGGTTGTTCTCGGATGTGGGATGGTTGTGTTGCATTTCCGGGCGTTTGAGGGATATCAAAAGATAGACATGATGGGACGGACATGATAGGACCATCTATACCCCCTGTTGAGGGTTCGTAGACATGAATGAATGACCCACTTCACATACGTACAAGTCTTGCGCAAGGCGTGACAGTATTGATGTCTTGCATTCGTTTGTGTATCATCATGTGGCATTTCGCTGTCCAAGCTTTCACAAGCTTTTCACAAGCTTATCACCCTCGGTCTGCGCCTCCGGCTCGATGCTTGGCCTGACCTCAATGTCTGATACAGGCTACCGTGTAGCAAGCAGGGCCGATCTCCCTGAACCGACGTCGCTTGTCGAGCATCTTGCTGTGTGCAATCGTGACCTAGGTCTCCATGTCGTGACTCCATGCTTCCAGCAGTACAAAGCCTTGTACGTGTCCTCTCAACACCCTCTATCCTCCACGCCCCTCAAGCAGGCAACACCGCCCCCAAAAACGCCTCCAGCCCCCTCTCAAACAATTCATTACTCACCCCCACCCCGCCCGGATGTTCCGTCGGCGCCAGCGGATTCTTAACCACATACTCGACATACAGATTCGCCCAGATCTGGTACAAGTACTGCCGCAGATTCGGCACCTTGGTGTCCGTCAACATGACAAACTTCATCCGCGTGGGCGTCTCGTAGTAGTGCAGCTTGTACTCGCCGGTGCGGTAGGAGAGGAAGGTGTCGTCGCTCCCGCCGAGTTTGGTGACCATGTTGCGCAGCGAGAAGACGAGCCCGAAGATTAGCTTTTCGTCGTCCGCGTGCGAGAGGCCTCTGTGTGTGGAGGCGGAGGGGGCGTCATGGGGGGCTGTGGATGTGAGGGAAGCGCTAGAGGTAGGGCGGGTGGTTTTGGAGGTCGTAGATGCGCCAGAGGATGAGGTCGGTCGGGGGGTCCAGCGGCGGCTGTATATGCACTCCGCTGGGTGCTGTTAGCTGGAACACTTCGCTGTGTGTGTTGCAGGCCTACTATGCCGGTCGAATATGTAGAAGCTGTAGAGAACCATGTTGGCGGAATGCGAGCGCGGGCTCTGAGCGCGGGCGGTGAGCGGCGACGTTGGGTGAAGGGCCAGGCACGTGCGCTAGAGGGGTAGCTCAGGGATGCAGCTCTACAGCTCTGCAGGACATCGATCGATGTGTTGTTGCTGGCTTCTCTTTGCTATACTCGATATACGGAATACGGGCCATCATCAGGGCGACATTCTGGTGGAGGCTCAACGAAGCGCCGGCGAATCAAAGGTTAGGTCGCCGTGTTAGGTTTCCCGTGTCAGGCTCCCGTGCAGCAGTGATGTCGTTCAGTGCTCTAGGGATAACGTTCGCCAAGTAGCGGGTCAAGCGGCGGGATGACTGCAGTGCCTCGTGGAGCGCGGAAAACCCGGTGATAGATGAGAGCGTGAGGCTGAAAGGATATCTGGAAGCCACAAAGCTGCCCCTCTCATTCCCCTCTTGGTCGCGCTGCATTGTGTAATACCTACTCGCCAGTCACTACGGCGCATATCAGTGCTCAGTGCCCACCTCACTGATTGCCTCGAGCTAGCAACCTAGCCTTCCCCATATTATTCCTCGTCTAGTCTCGTGTCCATCGCCTCCGCCCTTATCACTTCGCCCTGTACCACCTATGTCGCATCCGCCTGAGCACCCCGCAAAACAGACATCGACGCCCTCCACGCCCACAGCAGACAGCGGCCCCTCTCATCCTGGCTTCTACACCTCGCGCCCCACGCTCGCCGTCCCCGCCGCCCCCGACGACGCTCGCCCAGCGCCCGTCAAGTATATGTGCGCCGCCCGCCAATAGCTCATACGTCAATGCTGCCCCCCCCCCGCGGAGGTGCTGACAGATGGCCAGGTCAACGCCCGCATACCAGAGCCCGCTCCGACACCACCGCCGAGCTGCGTCCAGTACTAGACACGTGAAGGTACTGACATTGGTTCGAGCTCCAAGTTTGTTAGTTAATGTTGGCAGGAAACCCTCAATGCGCGCTCCGAGTACAGTAACAGCGAAGATGACGGCACCGCCCAGCACCGCATCAACCAATACCTGATCAAGCAGGAGATCGGGCGAGGCTCCTTTGGCGCCGTCCACCTCGCCGTCGACCAGTATGGCCAGGAATATGCCGTCAAAGAGTTCTCCAAGTCGCGCCTGCGCAAACGTGCCCAATCAAACCTCCTCCGCCGACCCAGCAATCGACGACGCGCCCTGCCTGCCGGCATTGGGTTCAATTCCCCACTGCATCGACACTCGTCTACCGAAGGAGAGAACAATGCCTTTGAATTGATCAAGGAGGAGATCGCCATCATGAAGAAGCTCAACCACCCCAATCTGGTGTCACTAATCGAAGTGCTCGATGACCCAGAGGAAGACTCGCTGTACATGGTCATGGAGATGTGTAAGAAGGGCGTGGTCATGCAGGTGGGCCTTGAAGAGCGTGCAGATCCCTATAGTGAAGAGCAGTGTCGATGTTGGCTGCGGGATATGATCCTCGGCCTCGAATACCGTATGTCCTGAGCAAGGAAGCTGGCAAGAGCTGTAGCTAACTTGCAGCGTAGTTCATGCACAGGGTATTATCCATCGTGACATCAAGCCCGACAACTGCCTCGTCACCGAAGACGACGTGCTCAAGATTGTCGATTTCGGCGTGTCGGAAATGTTTGATAAAGACGGCGAGATGAAGACAGCCAAGTCAGCGGGATCGCCAGCGTTCATGCCGCCAGAGCTGTGTGTTGCCAAGCACGGTCACGTCTCTGGCAGGGCTGCCGACATCTGGTCCATGGGCTGCACACTATACTGTCTGCTGTTCGGCCGGATCCCGTTCGAGAAGCACGGCATGATTGAGTTGTACCAGGCGATACGGATGGATAAGGTCGAATTCGACAGCCCCTGCAATGATGAGCTCAAGGATCTCCTCATTCGACTGCTGGAGAAAGATCCAAAGAAGCGGATAAATATCGAGCAGCTTCGAGTATGTCGCCCAAGTACCGCTCAGCAAACCTCACTGACGTGTCTAGGAACACCCTTGGGTCACACGACAAGGCGCCGACCCTCTACTGCCTAAGTCAGAAAATGTCGCCGTTATAATAGAACCGCCCACTGATGAAGAAGTCAATGCTGCCATCACTGGAAACATGGGTCATCTCGTGACAGTGGTAAGTTCTCGGTCTGGCTCCTGATAGATGAAGCCAGTATTGACAGAGTCTAGGTTCAAGCAGTGAAGCGTTTCAAACAACTACTCTTCAGGCGGAGACCAGAGCGCCTAGAGGGGATACTTGGTAGTGCCTCGAGAATCGTACAGCCTCCACTGTCTATGAGACCTTCAGCACTACGAAAGTCGAAATCGCAAGACACAGATAACCGACATCCTGTGGAAGGAGTTCTCGCCGCAGAAGGGATCCATCGAGACGTCGACAGCCACGACCGTAAGTGTCGCAAAACGTACAACGTAACGTTGCTAACGCAGTAACAGGCTTCCGCGAAGAAGCATTCGCTACACGACTCGCGCCGAAACGCTCGACCATCACCAGAGCAAATGCGCCAAATTCACTAAGTCCTACTGACGCTAACGTAATCCACGACAACATGTCCCATAGGCCTTCCGCAACAACTTCCATCTCCACACCCAACACATCAACATCAGGACCCTCCACACCGATTGGCAAGGGCCATGCCCACGACCCTCTTGAAGACACACTGTTCCTCAACATCGGCACCGGCGAGGACTCCGCATCCGCAGATACCTTCTTCGTCTCCGAATCACCCTCCAACGTCGACATCAACGTTTACGAAGCCGCCTACGAAGAAGAAGTCCAACGCATCATCGCTCAACGCAAAGACCAACACCGCCGCCCCACGCTCTACCTCACACGGCGCGTCGAGGACATTAAGCGCATTCGCGACAGCGACTGCGTGTTCGACGACGGCAAAGACCTTGGCCGCGGTCTGAAAGGTGGGTTTAAGGACTTCGTCAAGAAGACTAAAGAGGACATCGAGGCGAGAGGCGAGCTGCAGAAGCTGCAGGAGGGTAAAGAAGGGAAGCTGGGCCGTACAATGCGCAACGTGAGGGAGGCGAAGAGGCTGGTTGAGGAGGCGAGGGAGAGAGTTAAGATTGAAGATCGCGAGAGGGAGAGAGAGAGGAGTAGGAGTAGTACGCCCGTGCCAAGAAACAACAGCTCGGGCAGTGTGACGACAAGGATTAGTCGGAGTGGGACGCCGGTTGGGGGCGGTGCTTGACGAAGATGCATATACGTATCAGGCGTTATGGGTTCATGGAGTTACTTTGTACGAATGATGTATTGAGGGATCGACGGTTGGGACGAGGGACTTGCATGAGCTGAGCGGGCTTGGCTTGAAGCATCATAAACACGGCATATTACCTTCTTCTTCCTGAAACAATTGACAATCACACCTAACTTCTCCTTCAGGTCTCTGTGAACATATGGAGTTGTCACCTGGAACATGCCGTCTCGTGGTGCAAGATCTCACGTTGATGTTGCTTTGAAACACCCCGGGACTCTTTAGCACTCGCCATCTTCAAGTCCTGACGCAATCGCTAACGCTCCTACACTGAATAAAGACTATGCGCGTTGTTAGTTGAGGCGGAGACACCTCAAGGCTGGTGCACGCATACATATTCCTGCGCGAGAGACCAAGACACGCAACTCTGTGCAGCCCGGGTCAAAGCATGCTAGCTTTTGGCAAGCAAGGTAAATCCAAACAGTGGACTCTAGTGCACGACGAGGACGTCGCGCTAGCTACTGAGTCCTCGACCGCGTTCACCAACTGTACCATACACCCCATAACTCGAGCTACCTCGCCTCCCAACACCACACATCTACAATCGAGCCCAAGCATTCGGTGACAACTCAAACACTGAACATCGCGCCTGTGACAACCATCCAACAGAGCAGCGACACTGTCCCATGCATGCAAGGTGCCGCGTGCTGGTTCAGGCCGCGCGGACACATGACGCGGCTCCCTTCACTTGCCGACGCGGGCAATGCAAGGCGTGGCTCGGCAAGCTCTGAGAGTTGGGGCAAACGATTGAGCGACCGTGGAAGTAGTGCTTCCTTGGACCTGTAGAGGGAGTGGTTGAAGATTGGGATTTGGAGGAATGGTGCATAGGACTGTGGGTTTTGACGGGCGATGGACTTTCAGGGGAACAGAAAGCATTAAAAGTTAGGAGAAGGGTTATTTGCGCGGGTATGCTGTTGATTCGTTGTGGAGATTATCAGTCTCATGTAGATCAGGGTTCTTCTAAGTACTGTTGTGGCTAGTTGTATTGTTGCATCTCAGCTCAACTCCAAGAGGTTCTGGGGTTGGTACTGTGACAACTGTCCTATGAGAGGTGTCCAATATTTTTGGTGAAGACATTGTTCTTTGGTTGCTTGCGACAAGTAGAGTTGAGGAATAGATGTAGGGAAGTCGAGATGGGTGTGTTGGTGCAAGTATGTAGTGGCAGTCGTGTCTGTTGATATCAGGAATGTGTGTACCATCATCGGAAGCTGGGGGCTCTTGATTTGTGGAGATATTCTGATTGTGCGTAAGCTGGTAGATGGTCATAAGTGTCGAAATACTGGAAGTGTGTCGTTACAAGGAGGATCTTTGATATCAAAAGAATTTGTGTTCATTGATCAGAGGTTATCTACGGGCTGCCGTTGGTTTGTAGATGAAAGCACATTGCTCCAGCGGCGAAACTTGGTGGTTGTGCAACCATGTGGCTGATCGGTGAAAGATCTTCAACCTGCATGATCGGATGGAAAGTTTTGTGCTCTATCCCTGGAACACGGTGTGCGTCTATGGACGTAGCCCAAGAGAATTTCGAAGCCTTGCGCACACGTCTAAAACACGAAGAGAGTAGATACCTCGTCCTTTGGAGGGAAGGGTTCATCGCTCGGCAAGCGTGCAATGTTGTGCGTTCGCTCTACGGAATCGTCATGATGGACGGTGTCTGTGGTCCAGACATTCTGCCTCAATGAGGGACGAGACCATCGTTGTATGACTGTGTCGTTCACCGGACACTCTGCCAACGAACGGAATGCGAAACTGTTGAGAGGGAGTGCAGGATCGACAACAGGCATTACAAGGTTGCAGGTTGCTCGACATACAACGTCCCTTGCCGTGAAGTGAGGCGTCCGAGACTTTGCCTGTAACTTCAGTCCAGCTCTTCAGGAAGCAAGTCCGGGTGGGAAGGAGGCTACTGATATTGGATTCCTACATTGACTGTCAGTACAACGACGTACTCAATGCCGAGATCGCGGATGTGGCTGAAGGTAGTCGCTGCCCCGAGCGACGTTGCTATTCGTACACCCTCGTCTATGGCACTCGTACAAAAGCAACGTTGAACGGCAACTACGCGGGAGCTAGCATGACACCTGTAGCCTGCAGTCCGTGGAAGCAAGTATCCGGCCGATGTCGGTCATCGAATGTAGAAAGCCGCACGGAAACGTTGTGGTATGTGAAGCAAACTTGAAGAGTATGGTGATGGTGGATCTTGCTATTGGTAATATACTGTCCGATCATGTTTGACAGCATATCTCGGTGACACAACGCCTGTACTCGAAGTCGGTTCGTGCGTGTAACGCGGCTGAACTGAGAAAGGGGACAAAAGGGCCACAGGGCTGAAATGGAGGACTTCAATGGAGTGTGTGAGGTCGACTTTTGAATCTGGACGAATGAGAGCGTCTGTGAAAACAATTGCCAATATGTTGAGCGCCCTCCAAGGTGGTAGATCTGCATCCCGTCCGCCACCATATTGAAGATGAGGAACTTGCATTCTGTTCGTGCAGTGAGCGTTCATTTGACAGTATGGTGATTGACTACCTCCAGGGTCTTAGTCGGGCGAGCATAGCACAATCGTCTAGAGCTAATCGAATGACTTGTCCTTACCCTGCGATTGATCATGAATCGTGTACACCGTTCGTGAGTGTCAAAACGTACATTGGCCGGCGCAGGTGCGGCTGCCCAGCGATGGCCAACGTATGTGGTGGTGTGGTGCAAAGTAATGACGTAGTCTCTCTCGCAGTTGCAGAACAACATCTGTTGATTTGGAAAGCAACCTGTGCCAGATGAAGGTAGGATACACGTGATTAGTACCGGATACGACACCCTTGGAGCGGGGCAGCTGCTGCACATTGACGTATGAACGAATGAAACGAATGAACGAACCAGCTGGGAGTTGACGGTAGTTTCGCTAGCTTACCCATACTTGGTGCTCGTAATCTTTGGGTTTCAGCATCGTTCGATTTCAGGGCCCTGCATCGTTTACCCGCAGCGATGCTCGTTGCTAGAGGGTGAGATAGATGCAGCTGTTGCACACAGCGCCTTGTCAAGTGCGACCGCACGTGCTGTAATACTCGGAAGCATCCCAAAGTGACCAAGCGCTTCGGAGGCGATCATCATCGTCATGAGTAATTTGATGTGTATGTCGGTTGCTGCACGTCTGGCTCAATCCGTCCTAAAGGCGCAGCAATGAGGAGTTTTGGTGTAACGCGTACCGATCAATGGTTTATCACGGCTGCTCGGAGCTCTGCAGCCGGGAAAGGGGCGCCATTGAGCATCCACAATGGGCTTGTCAATCAGGAACGAACGCTGTCTGGACAGTGAGTTTGGTCCACGATCGAGTGTGGACCGGGAGGGGTGTTGAGGATAGCTGCAGAGGCTCTGCAGACGACAGGCACACGGCAGGAGGCCCCTGCGCTGACAAGGACCAGGGCATGCTGGAGCTGGTCAGCTGTTGCTAATGTGGATGCGGGAAATTCACATGTGTGGCCACAGAAATTATGATGAGACGAGAAAACGAGGCGAGCGGCATTGATTGACGGCCTGTCGTGCAAATAAAGACATGCTGTGATTGCTCGGTCGTGCATTTTGCAAGGTGCATAAAACGCCTATGGCCGGCAGCGCTCATGCGTCCGCAACGCTGGATTTGATGATGACCCGCAATGCAAGTGCCTGAGGAGTTCAACGCCGGAATGCACAGCTCAAATGCAGGTATTATTGAAGAAGTCCCGTCTCTGCTGCAGCCTGCCCACGAAGGACCTCAAGAGGCTGACTCAAGGCCAACGCAGGAGTGAATTGTGCCGACATCTGGTGACTCTCGCTTTGGCTTTGCTAAGCTCCTGTAGTGGAGCGCTCAGGCCCTTGTTCAACATGTCTTTCAATGCTGCTTGCCGCGTGATGAGACATTCGGCTTCGAGTGCTAAACAAAGATGTGAGCGTCACCATCGTCCTCACTAGAATGCTTGTTGGGTGACGGAGTTGCTACCACCCAACTGCAGGGCATCACGGTGAAGTGGCAGGTATTATTGGAGAACAGTTCCCGGTCAGCCACGCGCCCAAGCGACCGCACCGCGTTATGGGTCCAAGCAAGTGGGTTTTGGGCTGGTTATTTCAGGCGGCGTGCTTGAGGGAGGAGAATCTGAGCGCTCACGTGCAGGTGGTGTATGTAATGCAACCCCGGGGGCCTCAATTACCATTGTGCTATATTGCACAGCCGGCCTGGCCTGGAAGTGAGGAAGATCGCAGCTTAAAATTAGACGCCGCAGACAGCAGCGCTGCTGGCTACACACAGTTAGCCCTACACAGGTGCAGCTCTGCGAACGACTTGCTCGTTTAAACGGCGTAAAGCAGCACGGCAGCAGACGATGACAAACAGAGCTCACACGCTGCCGTGTGCACGCGCTACGTCTTGAGAAGCCGCGCTCCGGTGACGTCTGTTTCAAGAAACAGCGATCTGCTGCTCCTGCTGCGCGAGCCAGCCTCGTGGATCTAAATGCTCGGTTGCCTTCCGCTCAGCGCTGCGTGTCAATCGCTGCAGACGCTCAATTCCAGGCGCCTTCACACCACCGTTGCCACGCGCTGCTGCTGAGCCCAGGCCCGGTGTTGCTGGTCGTTGAGAAGCTGACCATTCCCTAACGCGAGTGGCCTTCATGTCACGAGCTCCTCTTCAGCTTTAGCGCCCTCGTCTGTGCCTACAAGCCCCAAGCCCGCCCCGCTCCATCTACGTCGACCCTCAACTCAACCCGCATTCCCTTCATTTTGCAACTCAATCTCGACGTCAATTACTAACCTCCTTCACCCTCATCTCCCCACATTCTGCTGCACCGCTGCCTGGCAGTACGTTCACGTGGTCCGCTAGCGATTCACCAAGCCACACCTAGCACCTGCCACTTCGCCAACCGCGAGGGTCAACCACGCACACGGAGCACACTCCACCTCCACTCCACCTTGCGCCTACAACACCCTCGCCCACTACGGATCTACTCATCCACGCCCGCTCCTCCGCCCACACTCTCCTCAGCTACAGCCCGCCCTATTCTCGATAGCAGTCCGCGCACGCTTGCCGGATAACCCCTCGTTGCAGCCCCCCAAACAATGAGCCAGAACCGGCCATCGGCCTTCTCCAGTCTGAGAATGGGAGGTAAGGATTCACATTCACCGTGCGAACACCACAATGCTAACAACATTGCAGAAGTCATCCGCGAGAAGGTCCAGGACGGCGAAACTGGCGAGTACAAGGACCTCGCATACACGCAATGCAAGATTGTTGGTAACGGCTCCTTCGGTGTCGTCTTCCAGACCAAGCTCTCGCCAAGTGGAGAGGATGCAGCCATCAAGCGGGTGCTGCAAGACAAGCGATTCAAGGTAAGCCCGCGCATGTGACCGAAACGCGTAAAGAAGTCAGTGCTGACTATGACCAGAACCGTGAGCTGCAGATTATGCGCATTGTCAGGCACCCCAACATCGTCGAACTCAAGGCCTTCTTCTACAACAATGGCGAACGGGTATGTTTCAGCATTGAACGGCAGGGTTGCGATGAGCAGCTACTGACGTGATTTCTAGAAGGACGAGGTCTATTTGAATCTCGTGCTCGAGTTCGTCCCCGAGACCGTTTACCGCGCTTCGCGCTACTTCAACAAGATGAAGACGGTTATGCCCATCCTCGAGGTCAAGCTCTACATTTACCAGCTGTTCCGTTCTCTCGCCTACATTCACTCGCAAGGGATCTGCCACAGGGACATTAAGCCCCAAAACCTGCTTTTGGACCCTGCATCTGGCATTCTGAAGCTGTGCGATTTTGGTAGCGCAAAGATTCTGGTGGAGAATGAGCCCAATGTGTCGTACATTTGCTCCAGATACTACCGTGCACCCGAATTGATCTTTGGCGCGACAAACTACACCACGAAGATCGGTATGTCATATGGCCCTTGCGCGTACCATGACCTACTAACACGTGCGATCTAGATGTATGGTCGACCGGTTGTGTCATGGCTGAGCTCATGCTTGGACAACCACTGTTCCCTGGTGAGTCTGGTATCGACCAGCTCGTTGAAATCATCAAGGTCCTCGGTACCCCCACACGAGACCAGATTCGCACCATGAACCCCAACTACATGGAGCACAAATTCCCTCAGATCAAGCCGCATCCGTTCAACAAGGTTTGTCGACCCAAATGCCTTTCGACCATTCGTCATACTTACAAGTGCACTGCAGGTCTTCCGCAAAGCTGATCCGAATGCCATCGACTTGATCTCAAAGTTGCTGGAGTACACACCCACACAGCGCCTGTCTGCCATCGATGCTATGGTGCACCCCTTCTTTGACGAGCTGAGGGACCCCAACACACGTCTGCCCGACTCTCGTCACCCCAACGGTGCTGTACGGGATCTACCAAACCTCTACAACTTCAACCACCACGGTAAGCACATTGCTGCACGCCACAGGGCTCACAAACTGATGATATCCAGAACTCTCGATCGCACCTCACCTCAACCAACAGCTTGTTCCTCATCACATTCGTGCCACACTGGCCTCGCGCGGCCTAGACTTCGAGTCGCCCGACTTCAAGCCATTAACGAAGGACCAGATGATGGCGAGACTAGATTAAGAGTCTTTGCACCTCTTATGCGAAACGATACCATTTTGATTACGCGGCCTGGCCTCGATCATCTCTGCTCACGAGTCCAGAAGTCTTCCGTCCAGCAAGTACAACATGGAGCCTCGCATGGCGTCGGTTTTCGAGTGTTGGAGCTCACACGTGTACACCCTTACCTGCAATATCTGAGCGAGTCTGTAATGATACCGACATTTACAAAGAACGGTTTGCTTTGCTTTCCCTTCTGGGCACCGGCCATCCCGTCTATGCAAACTCACGGGCTGGCTCCGTAAATGTATTTCTTTCTTCCCTGTTTTTTTGAGACGATGATGGGGCGCAGATGACTGCAAAAATGAAGGGCAGGGAAGGTCGACAAAAGTCATGGAAGAATCGCTTGCGAACATCTTAGGATGATTTCCGGATCTTGGAGGGTTTCACGGCAACCTGGCATAGGCTGCATTGCGTCTTTTCATTTGCATGCAGGAGTTTTCTCATTGAAGGGTGTTTGCGGTGGCTGCGTATGAGTTGGGGATGCCTAGTGCTTTACACCCGACTCTTGATGGGTTGTGGGCTTGGCTAACGCTCGACGCTTTGCTTACGGACGGTTATCCGATGGAGTGTGCAATGCTAGGCGGATTGCTTGGACTTTGTGGGTACTGATGGGAGGTTCTACGTCTATATAGAACTGCCTGACAGTATGCACACACGCGTGTTGCTACGCCAGTCCCATGCGCTATTCTAGCCTCTCAAATGGTGGCTTTCTTCACTTCAATCTTCAGTAGACTACTCTTCTCTTTTGTTCATTTTCCATCTTCTCCGTGACGCTGTCAACCCTGCCTGTATTGGTCTCGTCTGGACGAGGAGTAAGAGGTATTTGTTAGGATTTATCTGTCTGCATATCGCAGCACAGCTCACTGACGCTCCTTGAGGGCACGCTTAGGTCACGTCTTCGTAGTTTGAGGCCAGAGCCACCATCGTCTACAATGACCTAGTCTCATGACATGTCTATCGGCTGCTGCTCACACTGGACACTGCCTATTTCGACCTCATCCAACAGTCTCTCCTATGGCCACTTTGCAGCGGGGTCTTCATCGCTGAAAATGCAATGCATGTCCTATGCACGCCCAGCGGCCACTCTCACTTGCTGTACGGACAAGTTCAACTAGGGGCAACAAATTTACCTTTACCTGGGCTACAAACTCACCTCGAGAGTCTTCGCAGTAGCGTCTCTGACATATAAGTTGCTGAACTGCACAAAACGCTACTCCTACACCTTACGCTACACTGTTTCGACTGCCTTTAAGCTCATATCTCACTCAACGCTCTGACGTTCCGATTCACTACCAAGTCTACGCTCTGCAACGCTCTATCGAGTAACACCCAGCCGATTGCCAGCCAAGACGTTGAGAATGTTCTCTCGAGGTGCAACGCATGTCTACGCTTCGAAGCCGGCGATGAGAGACGACCTGATGGGTGTTACGGTGAACAGTGTCCGTGGAACACATCCACTCGAATTGCTTGACCTTGACATGGACTTCGAATTCATGTCTGCTGAGCGTCGACAGCAATTGATGGCTCCATTACTAATCTCGAAAGAAGAGCCACCTCATCAGTACTTGCACTTGAACGATGTTTCGATGGAGGTTGTCGCGGGCAATGAAGTGAGCCGCCAAGATCAGCCTCACGGCACTAACCACGATAAGCAAGTGCGCATAGGTCGCGACCTCCAAAGCTTCGACGTAGCTCCTGCTCCGCGACCGACCAAGGCGCATCGACGTCGACGCTCGCGACACCGTGTATACAACTCTCCTTATCGACACTCCTACTACTATACGCCCGGTTACGCAACTTACTTCGATCGCGACGCTCATCGTTCACGAAGCGACCATTATAGTCCTTCTCAAGGCAGGAACGCTTCACCAGAAACCCTCAAGCACAGGTCTGAGGCCACATTCGTTGCAGCAATGGCGGATCTCGATGTGAAAGAAGAACGCGACTACGATAGGCGTGGCACAGACAGCTACCGAGGTGGAGGAAACAAGCGCCGTCGCGATGGTGAGCTCAGCATCACAGTTGATTCAATACCCCAGCAGCTAATAATGCACAGATGACGATGGCCATGCTTACCGAGACGACCGCCGTGGTCCTCAGAGGCGCCGCCGAGACGATCCTCCCCGCCGCCGCTACGAAGAGCCGCCCTTTCCTAAGCTGCGCCGCCTGCTATTGAACATCGCCAGTTCCACTAAATTGCCCCAAGATGAAGCCATTGAGATCGCAACGTACTTCGGCGAGCACTATGACGACGAGCGCCTGCGATCCGATGTCTTCGACGTATTCGTACAGCTGTGAGTGAACTTCGAACATTGATTGTACAATCCATACTAATAGATTCTAGTATCGTCGAACAGCCTTTCAAGATTCCCTTCGTCGCCGCGGTCGCCTTTTACGGAAACGATGTGAAGCCGGAGATTACCATGGAAGCTATGAAGCGTGTGGGTGATCGCGCACAGCAGGCGCTGGATGCTGGCGAGTGGAAGGACTTCAAGCTGCTCCTGAGGTTCTTTGCATGCTTGCAGTCACTATACCAAGACGACGGCATCTTCAGCTTCCTGGGCCAGTTGTTCGACAAGGTTGTCGACCTTCAGAGCGCGGACGAGAACGACGTTGTAGGCATCGAGCTCGTCAAGATCATTCTCCTCACCGTCCCGTACGCTTTGGTCGCTGGAGGCAGCCGTTTCCACGAACAAGCCCAGCAGTTGCTGAAGAATACCGAAATTGTGGCTGGCAATGCAATTCCCATCGAGAGTGTGATTCACTCGTACGTCGGTGAGGACGAAACTAAGCCGATGTCCTACCACAGCGTCATTGGCCTCTTGCAAGCACAGCTTACGACAGAGGCGGAGTCTGGCTTCCCACTGGCATGTCTTCCACACTTCGACCCTGAGGCGGTGCGCAAGTCCGTCAAAGAAAAGGATGCTGAATCGCTACCTGCTGCGCCTCCTACACACGCTTTCCCAACCTTCAACATCCCCTCGCTGATTAACCCTGGGCCCCGACCGGTCTTCCCAGAAGCCTACTTCTCTTTGTTCGCAGACACGGACGCTAATACCGTCCCGAGAACGACGGACATTGCTTCCTCCCTCATTCGTGATGCTATCGTTGATACGATCAACCAGCTTGACTTCAACCGTGAGATGGTTGCCAAGTTCCTTGTCGATGTTGACTGTTACTGGACGATCGATGCCTTTGCCAAGCGAGGAACACCACTCGATAAGTTCAAGGAGCAGGCCGAGGGCAAGACTCAGTACAAGTCCGAAGACATGATCATCGACGCCATCTTCTCGCAACTGTTTAAGTTGCCGTCTGCGGAACACAAGCTGGTGTACTATCACTCCGTGATCACACAATGCTGCAAGGTCGCACCCCAGGCTATTGCGCCCTCGCTTGGACGTGCTATCCGCACGATCTACAAGAGCCTGCCAGTGCTGGACCTTGAGTTGGGTTATCGATTTTTGGATTGGTTCTCGCACCATCTCAGTAACTTCGAGTTCCGATGGAGATGGACAGAATGGTGAGTACTGATCTGGCTTCACGTGAGCTGAGCTGACTGTTGTACAGGCTCGATGATCTAGAACTGACAAATCTGCACCCAAAGAAGGCGTTTATCCTGGCTGCACTCGACAAGGAGATCCGCTTGTCGTTCGCTAAGCGTGTCAGGTCAACTCTCCCTGAGCCAATGCACTCGCTAATCCCTGAGCGCCTTGACGAGGACAATAGCCCAGACTTCAAGTATGACAACCAGCAGACACCGTATGCTGCAGAAGGGCAGGCATTACTGCATCAGCTTAGGAAAAAGGCACCACCTGAAGAAGTCCAAGCGACTATCAACAAGATCCACGAGCAGGCTGTTGAACATGGCATCACAGAAGTGCTCGTCCCTTCGACTGATGCTTTCGTCACAGCGATCTGCCGACTAGGCGCGAAGTCATTGTCTCACGTTCTCTCATGCATTGAGCGAGGCAAGGACCGCTTGTTGGAGATCTCACAGAACGAAGTTGCGCGACGCCAGATCGTTGCAAGCGTAGTCGAGTATTGGAAGGATCAACCGGGTGTTGCGGTCAGGATCATCGACATCCTCCTTAACTATACCATCCTTGCCCCGATCACTGTTGTTCAATGGGTCTTTGGAAGCCACATGGGCGCTGGCGAGGCGCTAACCGAGAGCTGGGTCTTCGAGATGGTTTCTAATACAGTTGCCAAGGTCACGAACCGCAACCGTCAGATCGCCTCAGCACGCATTCAGAAGGGCTTGCCGGCGGACCAGATTGAGATGGTTGACGCAACACTGGCTAAGGATCGTGACAACGCCCGTGAGCTCTTCAAGTACATCGAAGACTCCACGGGCGGAGTGTCAGAGGGCTCTGCCGACATCTTGATGGAGAAGAAGGCCAGCGGTGCGCTGTCTGAAGAGGAGGCGCAGCTTATCCAGGCATGGGGCAGGCGCTGGCACCAGACCTTCCTGCGCAAGGCTCAGGTCGAGGAATCGGTTGTCGGTGAGCAGGCTGTTGAGGCGAGGATCAAGCTTCTGGATGCCGAGCCGGATGTTGAGACTGCTGATGGGGAAGCAACGAACGGCGAGGCGCAGATGTCTCTTGCCTGAGCTCTTGCATCAATAGGTTAAAAATTTACGAATCGGCGCATTTAGGGGGTCAGAAGAGGCTCCTGGTCATCTTACGGGGGAGCATGGTAGACCCATCATATAGTGTAACATACTGCAAGTACATTTTGAGTGCATCGACAGCTGTTTCAGTTTACAATCGAGGACAAAAAACCTCGGCTTTGCTCACTCGATACCAGATCATCGATACACTGCACGAAATTGCGGACCAGACGAAGCGATCTTGTTGCGCCGTTTTCGTGATTCCTCGAATGCCGTGTTGTCCATTACAAGCAGGTGCTCATCGCCGCCCGTTTCTTCCTTGTTGACGCTACTGCTCTCTTGCAGCCTCGGCTACTGCCTCCTGCGCAAGTTCACCTTCTGCAATTGCACTATCGCACCTTCTGCCATGACCTGGTCCTCTTCAGGTCCACATATTCAGGCCCTCACACGGCATGATTAATAATGCAGTTCATGTTCACGACAGCGCTTGGCCTGCGACAGCTTTTCAGCGACTTCAGGACGCTATTATTAACTAAACGGATGACCGGTTCATTCTTGCGTTCCGTCATCCATGCCTCGAAACGGTCGCAGAGATCCCCGTACATCGATCCTCGCCTATACTAGCACTTGACGTTACATACTTCTGCGACGACGTCCTACGCGAAGAGTCCAGTACACAGCGGCGTCCAACTCGACAGACTACCCCAATGCGTCTTACAGGTGGCAATCTTACTCTGAACCTGTACATTAGCCCTCTAGTTCCAACACCGCAGTTGTTGGGCTCAAACCCGAATATCAAGTTTGGAAAGACATATAGGGCTGCTCGACTGTAGACAACCTGGTGATCAGTTGTCGAGACCTGCTATCTTGCTTCAAGCAAGCGACAAAACTCGTACCCGGTTCAGACGGTGCTTTTCGCATCCTGTATTGATGGAAGTCAAAGCAAGTAGTTCACCCTATTGTGTATGCACTGGCGTCAGCGATTGGTGTTGTCGGTTGGCCCGTAGACCTTGGTCAACGGCGCTATCTGCCAAAGTCAACTGCATCAGCATTCCATGTTTGCAACTAGATGACTCGTACCGCAAGGCAGTTACACGCGCTGGTAACCCTAGTCGGATTGTTCTAGCAGTTGGCTGCCCACGTGGGAATGGTTGCGGTGGCTTGAGTTGTGTACGTCATTCAGAAGGGTATGGCCGACTTGACGTTGGCTCGGACTGCGCGCAGACAGTTGTCCGCTGAGCAGGTGGCGCGATTGTTCAAGTTGACGAGCTCTGGAGCTGGAGTTGGTTCTGGCACGGCCAGGACAGGCTGGAATGTAAGGTTAGCACGTTGAATGCAACAAGGACGCGACGGATTAATCCTACCTTGGTCTAATGAATCTTCACTTCCTCGACCTTTTAGTAGAGTGGACTTATGAAGAAAATGGAAACCCAAGTTCTGTAGATGGCCGTGCTGGTATCGGCGACTTCCACAAGTTGCTAAACCCCCTTGATAATTGGAACGATGACGAGATATAGCTTTTTGGCCTGAAGAACAACTTCGTGGGTAGACGACATCATGGTTTCCAGACAGAGGGGAGTCAGCAAATTGTGAAAGTCATTATAAGGGCTTATCCTTTCAAGAAGGTGCTTTCCTGCCAGCCGTATCCATAAGTCTGGGAATCGCGTACACATGTAAGCCACTGCGAGTACCAGATGAGTGTTCATGTGCAACTTTCCTTTATGCTAATGTACGGCCGTATCGTGACCATCCAGCCACTCAGCAGCTGTCCCTCCGAATCACCCTATTGGCAGGCGCGGAACTCTCCCCAGCTTTCTCTAACGCTAAAGCCTATTTATGACAAAATCCTAAATAGAAAAAACCTAATCTCCCACCACCATCAAAATATCCATTATTCGACTGGCTATGCTCAGCCCTCTCTGGGTAGCTTTCAGTGGGTGGGTGGAAATGATACTAAGTCTCACATGCGCTTGTCTTCTCGTAAACCAGGGAGTGTAAGCAACAGGTTACCAGGTTACACTTCGAGTCCTTGGCCAGTATTTCTGCTACACCGAGACTACATGAGATGTCCTAGGCCCAACTACTGTGCAGCAGATTTCATCCTCGAACTGATCTAAAGCCAGATCATCACCACTCCGCTCAGAGCTGCTAAAACAACGAAAGTCGTCTGCACAGCCATCGCCCCTGCAGCACTTGCACTACCCGAGATCGTAGACGGCGCACTCGAGCTCGACGCAGTCCTTGACGACGAAGTCCTCGAGGTTGATGCCCGAGTCACCGAAGGGCCAGACGTAGTCTTATCATCGCTCGGTGGAGGCAGCAAAATATTCTGAGACGTAGGCTCAGGCGCCTCTGAACTGCCCAACTCCGTTTCTAAAGCTGTTGTTGGAGTTGCAGTTGGACTCGGCGCTGCGTCGAGTAGACTTGCAAGAGTAGTTGCCTCCGCAGGTGTTGAGAAGGTCAAGGTCTTGCTCAGCTCTGCGAAGATGGCTGAAGCTGCTCTGTCGTCGGTCGCGGTAGTTGTGTAGATTGTTGTAAAGGTGATGGTTGTGTAGGTCACTGTGCTTCGAGCCTGGAAGATAGTCCAGTAGTAACTGAAGTACCTCCACCTTACTGTCCAGTAGTATGTTGTGAAACTGTCAACAATTACTTGCGTTGTCCTCGGCGGCTGCGTGATTGTTGGCGGCGGTGGCGCCGCCGGTGCCGGTGTAGTCGTTGTAGCGAAGGAAGTTGTACCGCCCCTCACGACAGCAGTGCACTGCAAGTCGGTGCAGCACACACCTCTTCCATTGTAAAGTACACACATATTTCCAGCCTCACAATAGGCACCACCGCGGCAGCACTGAGCGCCGTTAGGAATGCATTTATTTTCGCAGCAAGTCAACCCAGCGTCGCAAGGGCCGTTAGGACAGCAGGTCTTGCCTGGCTCGAGACAGTAGCCGTAACCACAGCACTTGTTGCTGCTGGGACAACATCTTCCGAATGCTGGTATTATGGTCAGTCTATGGAGACTTAATATGAGTGAAGACAAAAGTGTGGCTTACCAGCGCAATAACCATATCCAGCTTGACACTGCTGTCTCTCGTACAGCTCCGTGCTGCGATCTTGCAACTGTGAGAGTGTCACATTCTTTTCCGATCCTTGAATCGCGTCTAGGAATATGGCCGGCTCTGCATCTTGAAACACAGATTCACTGCTGAAATCCTCTTCATTCCAATCAATCCCAAAGTCTGCGCGCTTGCCGAGCTCGAAATGGGCTGTGGCAATACTGAAGATCGCAGTGGCCGCAACAAGATGAAGGGCCCTCATGATGCTGAAGAACCCAGATTTTGGTAGAAGAGGTACATATGTTTGAGCAACCCCAAGAGTGTTGATAAGGCTGCTTATTTGTACTATAACATTTGACCTCTCGCCGATCGGCCTTGTTGATTGGTGTCCTCGCACTGGGTGACCCTTGGTCATTGAAAAGCCTTCACAAGCTTCACACCAGTGCCTTCACCCGCATCATGCGAGGCCCACCAATCGATCACCTCATCGAAGTCTAGTTTATAGCCTTGTGAAGCCGTACCTCGCATTCACAACTGGAAGGCGAAACATCGGAGCAGATCCATGTGGTGATTATCTATACGAAGGCGGCTCGTAGCGAGGCTGACACTCGAATTAGGTTGGTGTGCATGGTGCGCAACGTTGGTGTAGTAGGTTCGACGGGGGCTAAAGCAGGGGTATAGCGAGGTTTTGTGGTGTTGACGTTCAGCTGCCAAGAGATATTGATGAGGTGGACGAATGAGAACCCTCTGGTAGATGAAGTGGCTGAAGGGTGAAGCGAGAAGATTGGGGGCCTGGAAAGTACGCTAATAGAAGTCATGTGTCTTGAGGAAGGCGCACTACTGCATCCAGCACAGAAGGACGGCAGCGTGTTCAACAGTCACTACGTTACAATGAGGCCCAAATAGGTACGTTACGAGTGAATTTTTGGTATTGCTGCCGCCCAATTGATCAAAAATAGTAAATTTACGAGCCATAGTGCGTAGTGCTGTAATAAATCGCCTTATTAAGTTTAGCGTACACCTTAGAGTGAATTATTCTCCCTGCACCCTATCCCAATTTCCCACTTCTGCTTCTGCACGTCATCAGCTAACTTTTGTCAGGGGGCTTGTAACCACTCTGTTCCTCAGCCAATTCTTCTGCAATTAAAGAGCCTCAATTGTAGATGGTGATAATTAGTTTTGGTCACATGTGGTTGATTGTTTGGCAGAGCTAAAGCAGCGCTCACATTCACAGCTAGCACATGGGATGGAAAGGAAATCAACAGTCATTTTGAAGAAAACAGGATACTTGGCACGCCTGACTTGGAGCCACCACTGCCATGGGTCAATCATCAACTCCTGATAAGCCTCATCCTTCTGCAAATCCTTGTTGACATCGTCAAGGTATTCCTTCAATTGTGACGGCCGCTTATGCTTCTTGTGGCTCTCGTCACCAATTAGGTACTGTTCGTCGACCTTCATGACAGCTGCAAGTGGGTTGGTTGAGTAACTGGCTGGTACTTTGCAACGCTTGGGTTCTACAGTAACCTCCCTTGGCTCAACTTTGGCGGCTAAATACCCACGATGGACCTTCTCAACAGACCTTTTTGCCTTGTGGTGCCATGGTTTATAATGCCTCCAGTGATCCTTGAACCAGGCAAGGCGTAATTGTGGGTGGAGAGCGGTGGAAACGCAATAGAAGCTTGTGTAACGCCTTGGACCGAAAGCGCTCCGATAACGTGTAGTCCCGCAGGGACTCAGCACACCGCTCTCTTTCCTGTCGCTAACTACTTCCGTGTCA